TATTTCATCTGATTTAAACTATACTGTGTCCCCTAAAATCACCCAATGGCCATGAAACTTACATAGATATCTTCATAATGAAAACCTGAATGGATCCACAAATTTTCATGGGAATCAGAGGATTGTGTAGGTACAGGTGATGGGATAGGTTGGGAGGGTCACAGTAAAGCAACTGAAAGTGCCGGAAACTCAGCTGTAGCTTGAAATTCGTCTGACTTTTACTCCCTGCCTGGTAAATACATAGTGCTACCTATCTCAAATGCTAGTACTACTCCTAAGGACCTTTAAATACATTTTTCTGTATTTTTCTTTCCTCAATGCTGAGTGCGCGACGAGTGCGTGCAGTGCTCCTTCAGCGCTCGGCACTTTCCGAGCGCTGTTGATGGCTGGTTGAGCAGCCACGTCAACGTCTCTGCTCTACTACAACTCAAACAATAACGTTGCTCGTCATCCGTTATCATTAACGGATGACGAGCACCCAGGTAAGTACTTACCATTCCTCATTCCTCTCAACCACCTTGTTGAGACAACGCCACAGGACAACTTCACAGGATGACAACGAGTGGCAACGAGCAGGCCACAGGACGACGACACTATGACGACACGGGACGAGTACGACCAAACGACAACAATACGGCACAACGAAGACCCAACGACAACATGGAACGAAGACACGAATGCACGACAGGATGGCAACGACGCAACGAGGAGGTCACAGCACTACGACACAACGACGACACGACACGGAATGAGTAAGACCCAACGCCAACGATATGGCACAACGACGACCCAACGACAACGTGGAATGAAGATACGAACAGCGCGGCACGACCAGCAAACGACACAGACACACAACACCCATTCCCATCGACGAGACGACAACAAGGCGACAACGATGTGTCCAGCCCCAGCCCAGCACTCGGACGACAACGACACAACACCCACAACGCCTACTCCCATCGACGAGGCGACAACAACGCCCAGCCCCAGCCCCAGCACTCGGTCGACGATAGCATGCAGATGACGAAGACCCAACACCCACAATGCCTACTCCCATCGACGAGGCGACAACAACGCTCACCCCAGCACTTGGTCAACGACAACAAAATGCCCATTCCCATCGATGAGGCAACAACAACGCCCAGCCCCATTGACGAGCTGACAACATCGTGCCCAGCACTCAGATGACGACGACTCAATGCCCACAACACCTACTCCCATCGACAAGCCGACAACAACGTTCAGCACATCGACGAGCCGACAATGACGTGCCCAACCCCAGCACTCGGACGACGACGAAGCAACGCCCATTCCCATCGACGAGCCAACAACAACACCCAGCCCCATCGACGAGCTGACGACAACGTGCCCAGCCTCACTCCCTGCCCTCCACCACCCCCAACCACCCCCTCCCCACTCTCTCAGTCCCCACTGCTCCCTCCCCCTCCATCAGCATCCTCCCCTCCGTGTCCAATCCCGTCGCTTAGATCTGCACATCCCGCTCCTCCTCTCCACCGGCACCTACCCACACCGTCCTCCCTAGATGCCCCGTCTTTCTCCGTTGGCCGGAAGATTAGGCTCACGCGATGACACCAGACAGCGAAACGGACGACGATGAAGCAACTATGCCACAGGACGACGACTTCAGGATGACGAAGCCGACGATGGGTTCTGACGTCGTTGATAGCTGGTCTACATGTTTCTTCATAAATTATGTATTACACATCCTTTTTACAGTTTCTTTCCCTGTATGTCATGTAGTAGGGTAGCTACCTTTTTTTCAAGTGTTGTTTACAATTGTGTACCAACGGCGTCTAAGGCCCAAAGTCATCCAAAAACGGTTTGTCCCATCCAGCTTATTTTGGTCAGATTTGATAGAGGGAAACTATTTAGAGGTGTCAGAACATTAGAATATATATATAGCGTAAAGTTTCAGATGTTGTTTCTATGACGAACAAAGCTGTAGGGCACAAAGAATCTCCTCAGAACCCACTTTCAGAATTGTTTACAATTGTTGTGCAGGAGCATCAATTCCCAAAGGTCATCCGAAGTTGGTTGACCCAATCCATCCATTTCCGACATACCGACGCACGAGGAACCAATTCCACTAAATGTAAATAAAACACAGGATATATTTGGAATGATTTACAAGGCTTTTTTGTGGGAGAAACATATGCAGAAGCAAAAATATTGTTCTTGAGCCCAAAACAGAGGTTTGTTTGCAGATATTGACATATTGGCTGAAAAACAAATACAGAACATTAATGGATAATTAGGAATACAGCCAAGGGTGCCCATTTGATTATATCAGTATATTTGTTTTCCGATGTTTTATGACTTTTTCAACAGAGGAACTTTTACTTTTATATATTTGACGGGAAATAAGAGACTGTTGATATATGTTTACCAAAAGCCTGCCCCAACAAACCCTAGGCCAACCCAGGTGCCAGTGCATGCTGCAGACCCCTGGCTTGAATGCATGGTTAATGGCAAGGGATTAAGTGCAATAATGTGGGTGATTAGGGCAATGACTACAGCTAGGGGTGGCTCGTAAATTCCGCAATCTGATTGCTCTGATGCGATACCCATCACTAGAAAGTTGCGCTGCCTCCACTCCACTGATAAACCCAAAAGACCTCCTCCACATCTCGAGTTCGGAATTGAGTAGGTTGCTTCAGATACCTTCTAGATCTGGGGACTCAGATGGACCATTGATGCGCACATTTCACGGACGATTGAGGAGACGGCGCTTTTTGCTTACACATATTTCTCCACATATTTCCCAAATATTTCCGACATGTTTAATTGGTGAGCAACTCTTCTTGTGTGTTTCCCATACTCCACTTCCACGCTATGCTCCGTTGTGATATCTGCAGGTGGGATGTACCGTGAGCATATTTTCTCCAACCCCAATTGGTATGACGAATACATGCGGTGCGGCGCTGTGTTTGTAGAGACCGATCCGGAGCTCTGGGCATATTTATTGGGTGCGTCCTTTTCTTTTCATTAAATTTTGAAGGTCGTTGTCACTCATGCACTCTTATTCACTGGCTAGTCCCTGTCGGTGATAGTCCTGAATCAGAGACAGGCTTTTGGGTTGTATGGTCTGAGTTCGAAAGGAATGGGCGCTGTAGTCTACAAGTTATCTTGCTGACCATGACGCACATAATTTCTACAAGAGTAAATGTAGTTGTACTAAGATAGGTAATTCTACAATTTTTCTGATATGGCCAGTAACTTGTCGGCTTGCAAGCTCTTTTCAGCTTGTGACTTGTCAACAAGCTGTCAGTCCCAAAAAGTCACAAAAAGCCAACGAGTAATCTGTAGGTTTGCTGATGCATGGGCTTTCAACACTTATTCTCAAGAAGTGCAACACCTGTTAGCTTCTTGGGCTACCAAGTAACAGACCTTCCCCCCAATATCAGATATGCGAGGGTCATTCTGATGGCATTGGAGTATGCCAAACACTTTTTGCCTAACATCTTCGAGACGCCACCTCAAGGTGACAATGACTTGCAGCAGGTATGTCCAGTAGTGTAGACATCACACTTCTTGTCTCATTTTTATCCTTCCCAGGTCTGGTTCAAGGGGGTCCACGGTGATGCATGGGAACTGTCTCTTTTATTAAAAAACATCTTAGCATTCATCCTGGGGGATTTACACCAGGCAGGGCTAGGTATTCCAGATATCAGGGACCCTTGGGCTGATCCCCCCCCATCTGCTGAGACCACATGGACAATGTGGTTGATGCAGGTGTTCAAGAGGCCAAGAGCGGTCCTGCAGGGAACAGGAACCAACCAATTCCACCACCAAACCATAACAGCACGCGACTTCCTCGTACACCCGCCTCTTCCAGTATCTTCAGAGGAAACTGCTGCTAGGGTCCGGCTGGGCCTGCCAGCGCTGGACATACATTGAATAGAATATAGAATCTTAAAAACCCATGCCATGTATTGTTGGTGGCATACAGCAGTGATGCATATGATATCATGACCTTACTCTCCACCCTTCACAAGTGTCCACTTCGAAGCAATTCATGAGCGCCAAGGAATGGGAACCTGAATGAGCATCCACGCAATCAAGGCGGCCACAGAAAAAGTGCCATGCAGTCTTAAAGAGGATCAGCTACCCGAGCCCAATAGTCATATATTTGTAATATACCATCTATGCACGATGGAGATCATCATTGAACTGGAAGATCATTTAGCCCTGAAAGTATGTATACATTCAGTCAACATTCGGTTCAAATCAGTGACCACAGTAGTCAAGTTGGAACTGCCCAAAATACGCCGCTCCATCGTCGACGTCCTTCCGTGGAAGAGCTTGCATGACCGTGACGTGCGCAACTTCGTTGATACCATCCACAAGACCTCCTTACATAAAGATATTCAAGTCAAAGAAAAGGGCATTGTTGGATGGGGATGAAGCTGTTGCAAGACAGGCGGGGCAAGGAAAGGATATAATGAGTATTCTAAGTACACTAATTTTTCCCCACCTCCGAGATCCTTCGACTGTAGTAAGAGCCAATATTGACACATCAGAGCAAGATAAACTTTACAGCTTGACGAGTCTGAACTTGTTGCGCAAGTCTCGTGCATATGCAGCGTATCCCTCATCTTCGCCCAAATTTTATTAATCCCATCGTCTCACCCCACCCTTTCACCTTGTTCAGGTTCTATATATTTCTGGCTGGAGGATTATCTTGCTTGGGTCTTGTGAGTGTCGTTTAACGTCGACGATGGAGCGGCGTATTTTGGGCGGTTCCAACTTGACTAACTGCCACAAATACGAATGGATGAATGCAAATTTGCGAAGAAAGCGCTTGAGCGATCATACTTAAGTTTAATTATCCACCTGCCATTGCAAGAAATGCAACGAGTTCACTCCACAACCAACTGATGAATGATCTGTTCACTCGAAGTAGCAAACCTTGTATGCATTCCTGCGGCCTGCCAACATCTGGTTGCTCAATACATAGATTGGAATCACAGTCTACAATCCTATCTATTAATGAAGTTCTTAAAACGCTCCACCACAGCTGTCACCCCATCATCACTGAAATTTTCTGCTCCTTCAACTTCTAGATCAAAATGAGTTGCTGTGACAAACCCTGTGCGCAAAACCAGGCATAATCTTGAGTCTCCTTTGGGAGCCACCAGCTTCCGCTCATCATACATCGCTGACCGATAGCCAAGCCATTTTGCCATGCGACGAGGAGCAGTGAGTGAAGGATCGATCAGGATGACCACACTTGCATAAATCAAATATAAGCAACATAAAAGCTATGTAACAGTAACACCCACTGGCATATTTTTGAGATTTTCGAACCAGGCTGAGTGGGGAGGTTGATTGGCTGTCCATACAAGAACTTACTCCAAACAATGTTGAAGCTGGACACAGAACGAACAAAGGAGTCTCCATATAGATCGATGAATTGCATCAGCTTTATGGCCTGCAGTATAGCTATATCAATGCCTCTAGTACTCATAGCACAAGGAAAACTGACCAGATATGCCCCACTTTCGCAAGCGACAAGGTTGATCTATATGTAAGTCCATGACACATCTCAGTGCAAGGGGGGTATGTGGGGACTGACTTCACTGATACGACTTTGGTTGTACCAAAGATCAAAATACAGATCGGCTGCAAATGTCACTGGAAATAAAGAGGATTAGAGTTGAACAGCCAAAGCTCTCCCAGCACTTACTCAAGTTATTGGTACAGCGGTGCATGTTGCGAATCCCCCCGTACGGCTCATTCATGCTGCACAACATGATGAATACTCAATGTCGCACGTAGATCAAAACTTTGCTTACAGCACAGATACATAATCTGCGTAATAAGCTGCTTCGTTAGGCTTCCTAAGCAATACTATGTAAGAAAAATAAGACCTGGCAGCACTTTCACACACCTATTCTTTAACACATCCATGATCATTTTTGCAGCTTCAATGTGCACTCTATTGAGGGCTGCATATAATTCAGAGGGAGGCCCCAAAGCAGAAAATGGAGACCATACCATGCAGTTGTTCGGGTTGACTTTTAACATTAGCAAGCGGGCCAATGACAAAGAGTTTTGATCTAGGAATAGCACCATAAAGTAAGCGGCAAAGAAAAAAGACGACGAGCGACACACCCAGATAACGGTGTGGGGCCACCATTTAGTTCAGTGTGGCCATTTGCAAGTGGACCACTGACCACAAACTTTGTTGAGTGAGCGCAGAAAAGAAATGACAAGGTACGCACTCGGATAATTTTATGGGGGATGTGGATACCCCGTTTGCAATTGCAATCACTGAGGGCGATTCAGGAGGAGATGACGGTTCCTTTTCAAGGGTTAATTTGCATGGTTAAACGCAGGAGTCAAACTATGGGATACCAATGCAAAAGCAGATGCCAGATAATCTGGGGATCCACCTGCGTGAGTGAGATTCTCGTCTTGAGTTTGGGTGGGTTGAGACATGGATGGATATTCTTACGTCATCGTTCTGCTTGAGCTCACACGACGAACAAACACTGCCCCTCTTCCCCTCTTCTTTCAGTCGGGATGTGGGTGACAAAAGAGCAGTACAATGTCTGCGCGCAGCCAGCCTACAAACCACTTCTCTATTGAATTCTGTCCACTTACAACCACGATCACTTGATTTCTGCAATACATTTTTGGGCTTGGGCAATGGTGTTGTGGATGTCCATTTTGCACCCATGCAGGGGGCTGCGAGGACGGTTGAGGAGTTGAAGAATTTTTGGAAAGAGAGGTGCGTTGAAGTACGTTCTCGATGTTGCTTAAGGAACCGACACACCCTTGCGCACGCTTTAGGGCAGCGATCGAGGAAGATTATGCCAAACGTTTAACCAAATTGTCGAAAATGGTTTTGGGAAGGGGTGAAATTGGGTAGGTTGGGCTAGGAAGACTTGGATTGGTGGTGCTGACCTTTCTCTCCAGAGAATTACGCAATTCCTTGAACGCCATCAAAGTCGAGACCGAGCGTCAGTCCGGTATCCACCTTAACCTTGCGCAGCAAATACGCAGCGATTTGGAGTCCCCAGCCGCTGTGTTTTACACGCGGTGACTCCAGCACAAGAAAGTGGCCCAAGCGGCCATCGAGATTCACATGAAACTGGAACGCGCACAACAGACGGTACAAATCAATGAGCGCGACTTTGCCAACTTTTCCAAAGCTTTGCAAAATACTTCCACTAGCAATCCCCAAACCATATCAACTATGGGAACCTGCGGCCAAACGTTCCATTTCCCGTTGATGCTTAATGTCTCTTTTGCCTGGGGTCTCCAAATGTAACCTTCCCCCTAATTGGCCACTGGCTTTCATTTACTGATCAACGAATAGGGTTATGCACTCGGAAGGTGAAGGTCTGAACTCCCCGTCGCCATAGGTGAATTGACACCCTCTCTTGAGTAACTCTGCTTCTGGCTCTTCCTCGTAAACTCAGGGTCAAACTGGTTCAGAAGCTTGTATTTTGAAACATGGGTGGTTGGCTCATGTATAGCCGTCATATACATGCCCCGGGTGACAATCTTTACGAGGCACGACCCACTCGTAGTAAGTGGCGTCTGTAATGCGAATCCAACTTCTGATTTCACCTGCAGAGCGAAGCCTATAGGTTCTTGGATGAGAGTCTCGGGAGTCTATCATTAACATTATGGTCCACGCTGATTCTGTTGGTATCAGTCATGTATGCTCATAATCATGGGTGCTGATCAAGCTATTAGTATTTGTCGTTAGTTGAACGTTTCCTACTTTCCTCAAGACTTTGGCAAGTACATGGCGTATATCGAAATAATGCTGCTACCATGAAGGTTTGTAGTGGCGCGAAGGTGTTGACATCGCAGTCAACATCTTGCTAGGAAATATTTGTTGCTTACGTCCCTCTTCACAGATGATTCGTGTTGTCTTCCGTTTTCTTTTTATCCAATTCTTATTCTTGGGGTCGATGGCGTGCGACCTCACCACCATATCAACGAGTCTGTATTTTGGACGGGTTAGATTCAAACAAGGTTCCTCATGGTCAGATATTTATCTGTGATCGGTTAGATTTTCTGGTCATCCTGTCTGGCTTTGGTATTGCGGTATCTTTGGGAATCATTTTGGTGGTAAGTGGTAGTTGGCTTTCCTTGTCAATGAGCCACTGACACTGCAACAATAGATCTTGTCCAGGCGATCCATCGAAGGCGAGGTCGCACCGCGAGATGCTTCCAAGGAACGCAAGCGAAGTCGATCATTTGGCAGAACAACGAGTGTGACGGAAAAGACACCGCTGCCAAAAACATGTCGATGTCACAATTTTCGACCTGCAGAAATGCGCCGCCTGAGATTGCAGCGGGTGGCACATACCTTCTCACATCTTCCCCGGTGAAGACTGGTATGCAAAGCTACGATGGTCACACCGATGATGGTCTCCGGATGGGTGGCGCCTCCTTTCAGAATCACGGTGATAAGTTGTGATATTGTGATGGCCAAAGATGTTCCTGCTGCTCTGCCTGCAAGGAAGCGGAATCGTAAAAGGTGAAAAGATGTGGAGCTAGGGGGAATCGAAGCTTTGGCGGAAACTAACTAATTTTCTGTGCATAGCCACAATTATAAGCAATCTGCAAAATATTTGTGTTCTCGTCATCGCATCAGTCGTCCACCCGTCTTTTCGGTCTCATCTGCATCTGCGCCTTTGAATCCGGGGTAGGAGAGGGTAGAAAGCACACGTGGTGCGTAGAGTCATCGGGCCTACAATCTGGAGGCTGCTGATCCCCAGATCTAGTAAATATATCTTGAACGCGCACGTCTCTACCCGCGCACCCTGTTGCAAGCAATGGTACGACTGCGCTGAATGCCATGCCGCAGCGTAGACACATCCCTTGGCGAAAACAACGGAAATGGCGTTCATTTGCAAGAAGTTTAAGAAAGCATTCCGGAAAAATATGACCGTGTAGCCCACATTCCGATAATCGTTATGATTTTCGTCCTTTTTTGCACGGTTTAATTGGCATACCTAGGTGCTAGAGGCAAAGACCCCTCACGCCGTAGTGGGGGTGGAGGGTGAAGATGCTAGGGTGTTTGCTCGGTAGGTCACCGTCTTTCCTGCGATGGAGTCATCTCGCGGCATTTTTTTTCCCCAGGATGCTCAAGGACTATCGTTTCAAGCAGGTACAAAACAGGTCCATTTTTGTGAGGGATGACTTTTCAGATATCTTTGGATAACCGATTGTGCACTTGTCGAATTAACACAATACAGATAAAATGCACCCTGAGCTCTACTTCGCCTGTGATAAAGGTGTAAGGTCTGGTGGATCCTCAAGCCTCCGGACCTTCAAACATCCTGCAGCCTCTGAGCCGACTTCAGTGCAACAAGAATTTCATTCACTAACTATCCCCTTCAAGCTCCCATCTGCCAGTGATTATGTCCACGCAGATGTGGTACTATTTCACATGAAGTTCTACTGAAATCCAAACAAAGGAGTTAAGGTACAAGGTAGGGAATACACTTCGATTTGGGAGGCTAAAGGCCCCTAGTCGGGTAAAACGTTCGACCTAAGAAAGGCTATTTCACCAAGAGCAAAATATGAACTTGTGAGAAGTAAAGAGGTTGATCGAGGATGATAATGCGAAGAAATTGTACCAGCACCAGCTATGAACGATTCTGTAAACGACCCCAGCGATGTTCCCCAACTCCAGACGGCCGCATGTTTCAATATTTGTTGTTTGGAGCCTTCTTCCGTCCTACATGGGCATTATTGCCGGACGGGACAGTCGCCCTGAAAATACGATCTTTGATGACCATAAAGTACGCGTATTGTTGGATAGTGAACACAAAACTAACGTTGAAATTGTACTTTTGGTGCGACCATAGCGTGAAGATGATGGTGGTGTAAATGATGGATGGGACGACGAAGAAGCAGTTAGTAAACCACAAAACAAATGTTCGGGCTGACCCAAACCAACGGATGTATAAAACAACATTCCGCTCTTGTAGCAAATCTTCTGAATAACGGTGAGGATTGACTTCCAGAAATCGCGGTTGGTGAGGAGCGTAGAAGAGCCGGAGCACCAACGCATCTGCTGTGCGAAGCAAGCCGCAGGAGTGTCCGGCGAGATGTCACAAGCGAGAGCGAGGAAAATATACTTCAGTGTCCAACCAAGTGCGACTGCGTAAAATCCTGCATGGACGTCCTCAGAGTGTCCAATCTCGGCTGTCCCAACTTCCACCAATGCTTCACGACGGGAGAGGGCATTACTGCCAACGCAGATAGAAGCTCCGAAACTATCTCGATTGACTTGTACAATGCGATAGAAGAACTTTGCCCATTTGCAAGGACGGAAGAATTGAGGCGATTGGATAATGGCAATTTTAGGATTCCACTTCATGTAGGGAAGCGCCTCGGATAAGAAATCCTGACGAGGACAAAAATCGGCGTCGAAAATGATGAAAAAGTCACCAGTCGTGCGGGGGAATCCGTATCGCAGGTTTCTGGCTATCTTGAGGTATGGTCTACTATTGTCCCGCGTAATATAATTGAAGTCATAGTGGGTTGCAAGTCACTTGACGGTGTCGAAACCACCACCGTCGAGTACCCAGACCTTGAAATTGGGGTAATCTAATTACGAGACATACTTGTACGTGTTCTCGAGAACTTCTGAGTCGAGAGGCTCTTTACTACAAGGAAGATAAATGTCGACAAGAGGGTGGTTACTGGTGCACGAGTTTTCTGCAACTATTCTCCTGTGTTGCACTGGGTCGAAATCTCTGCTACTGCAAAGGAGATAAAGCTGGATGAAAGCCACGAAAGCACCCATCCTAGGAGAAAGAGTGTTATATAATCAAGGGACACTTGCAATGCTCCACGGACCACAGTAGGCTCACCACAAATGATATTTAGTCGTCCTGACGAGAAACCATTTCCCCTCTGGTCTGATGGAATGACACTCGTCAGGGATGTGCATGCAATAAAGCACAGTGACCTGACAGATGGATCGATAAATAAGTATATTTAACGGGATCAATCTAACCAGAAACCCCCTTTTCGCGTGGAACCCTGGGTTTCTTCTGCATTTGGTAGAAATCCCCCTTCCATCAGTCGATGGGTTATTTTGAGGAACCCCATGTCGGAGTTAAATTCCTAGATGCCGACGCGTGTCGCGCTCAAATTTAAATTGATCTTGGCTCCCCGGGGGATCAATCTAACCAGAAACCCCCTTTTCGCGTGGAACCCTGGGTTTCTTCTGCATTTGGTAGAAATCCCCCTTCCATCAGTCGATGGGTTATTTTGAGGAACCCCATGTCGGAGTTAAATTCCTAGATGCCGACGCGTGTCGCGCTCAAATTTAAATTGATCTTGGCTCCCCGGGTCATGATGAGAAGAGAGCGCGACGAGTTGAACTCCATCATGCACATCCCTTGTCGCACATGTATCGTCACGCGATGCGACGCGCCCACTCGACAAGTGGTTACCACGGTAAATAATATTGGTTCATGGTCTACACAATGCTACAAGATGCAAACAAGATGAGGGTTTGGACGGGTAGCTATACTTACATAGATGTAGGAGAGCGGGAGTGGTTTAGGGATGCCACTGCTCCCTTCCATAGTCCCTTGCTACTTGAAAGGTTGATGACCCCCGCCGCCAACTTGAACTTATGCATGTGCATGTGGTGGACCTCAAATATCCCGAGCTCCGCTTCTTGTGGAAACAAGGTTTCTACGCAAGCACTTTGGAAACCCTGGGTTGTTCAGGGGAAACCAGGGTTTCTGGATAGTTTAATCCTATTTAACGGGTTGGGTACCTGTAAACGTCTTTTCTATCCCCCAGAAGAGTTCTGTGCGACATGCCGCTTCTTCCTCTCGCGAACGCGAATGCCTATGCCAACTGGGTGCAAGCAAATGCAAATGAAGAGGGTTTTGTGAATGGCATCTGGAGCTCGTGAGTGCCACAATAGCCTTCTTTATCGAAAATGCTGACAACACTTGTTTCTTGTTCAGCATCCTAAATACACATTTTCAGGCGCAAATTCGAACTCTTAACTATTCCATTAATCCCGAGGTCCACCTGAACCATGGATTCACCGATCTGCTTGTCACCAGCAACAATCACGTCATTCCGCCAACTGTGAAGTGGCAGATCATCTTCGAGGGAAAAGCTGGGAATGGCATGAACTACCAGAATACGCTCAACCAGCTCGACGGCTATGCCCAACAAGTTCGGGGAGGGGGAGGATGGTGTTACCTTATTGCGGCAAAAGGCGACACTTGCATGTTCTGGAGATATCAGAAGAACTCCTTGGTGCCTATTCAGCCTATGGGAATTAATGCAAAATCTTCCTATTCATCAACAGGTATCCACGTCCGACAAGATCGACAGCGGCAAGGGGAAATCCAAAGAAGCGAACACCAGTAATGCAGACATTGTTTCCCTTCCCTCAATTTCCTACAATCACCTCCGACGTCCATCCTCGCTTCGTACTCTACAATACTGGGAGCAAGCTAAGTAGTGCCATTTCATTGGCGTATGGGCGCGCCAATCCTCATTTGCTGTCTACCTTCCGAGACATCATCGCTATATACAAAGCTTGGACAAGCTCTCAAATTCCGGAAGATTTTTACTCGGCAGACCTCCCCCCCAATACCCGTCCTGAGGATGACTACCCAGATAACAAGACAAATCCTCACCGTGCTGCACCTGTTGGCAAGAAACGCTCAGCCCCGAAGCCCCAAGGTGTTCCAACAAGGCAGTCAAAGAGGGCAAAAACGGGAGGAGGCAAGGATTGTGGTTGGCTTGATGATGCTACCCTCGCTGAGTTAGACCACGACCGATCGCCGAAGAGGGCTTGGGAAGAGAAGGTTGCTTGGATTCAAGCATGGGTGGGAGGTGTCCCGCTGGACGCAATGGACGTAGATGAAGTTTCGATGGATGTCGAGCATGATCATTTGACGGACAAATTAGCTGGTCAAGTCCCTGATTACGCAGCTAGGATACCGATCTCCGAACTGTCGTCTTGAAGAGGGTACTCAAGCTTCGCACAGCTGATAATATCATGAATTATTGTGTAAAGCTAGCTGTTATTTCAATTAATGCGCAATGACCTCAAGTGCCATAGGCCTGTCGGAGAGCACTGTGCGCTTTTCAAACTCAGCACCTTGCTTGCGTCGCGTCTTTGTCGCGTCTTCTCATTGACCTCATATTCGCGACATGGTGAGTTCATTTTCTTGCTAAATCGTTGTTGACTAAGGCCTTGATAAATTATTGCAGTCATCTCAAACTCCTCGACGCTCAAAACGCCCGCGGTCAGCTTCACCTGCTCCGCTCTCATCGCCTGCGCGTCCTACGCCTCAACCACGCGATTCTCAGTCTTCTCTACCTCCATCGTCTCCCCCAGCCCCATTTTCTGACACGGACGATAGCCTAGATGACAGAGACGCCGTTAGAGATGCCGAAGACCAAGAGGAGGACGATGGAGAAGACCTGTTTGGAGAGAATCTTGAGGTGTATGTTTCTTCGTGTCATTCACCAATACCTGGTTGATGATGGTGTTGGAATGCAGAGATTACGCTCCGAACGAACTCCTCGATAGGTATTCTGACGCCGGCCTAGATGACGATGAAGAGGTGGCGGAACTCTCGGCGGCAGACAGAAGAGCAGCTGAGTTAAAAATGGCGCGTCGTGACAAACTTGAACGTGCTGGAAAACGTGGTTCACGCGCCGCTCATCGTAGTCGTGCCCCTGCCTTCCTTGGTAGTGATGATATGGATGATGATGGGGATGTTGATGATGAGTTGGGTCTTTCTCGCTTCAAGACTCGAACACGGAGACAATATGATGAGCGACGAGATCGTGATGATCTCGAAGGAGTAGAGGATGTAAGTGCTCTATTCATACTTGCATGGTTACGTCGAGGGGGCTAATTTTGTCTGGAAGGAATTGCCTCTTGAGCAACTGGGCGACATCAAAGCCAAATCTATCGTTGAATGGATTGCAAACGACCGTGTCCGTCGAACAATTGCATGGCATTTCCGTAACTTCTTGATGATCCACGTCGACGAACATGGCTCATCTGTGTATGGTGAACGTATTCGCCATCTGGGAGAAAGTAAGCGAGCGACAAATATCATCCATTCTCCTTCTCTAACCACATTTCAGCGAACGCCGAATCCCTAGAAGTCTCATATCAACATCTCATAGACACCAAAGCTATTTTGGCCTACTTCTTGTCCAACAGCCCTACCGCAATGCTTGAAATTTTTGATGAGGTCGCTCTCAATGCCATCCTTGTCTACTACCCTTCTTACAAACGTATCCATTCCGAAGTACACGTTCGAATATCCGATTTACCCACCACCTCCTCCTTGCGAGATCTGCGTCGAGCAGATCTCAACAACCTCGTTCGGGTGACTGGTGTTGTTACGCGGCGAACGGGTGTCTTCCCCCAACTGAAATATGTTAAATTTGATTGCAAGAAGTGCGGAGCAGTTCTTGGCCCCTTCTATCAAGATGCCACGAAGGAAGTCAAAATCAGCTATTGCGCTAATTGCGAAAGCAAGGGCCCTTTCCCAGTAAATTCGGAACAGGTTTGTTTCGTTCTTGTGGAACAAAAGTCGTGCTCATCATTCATGTCTGCAGACGGTATACAGGAATTTCCAAAAGATGACATTGCAAGAGTCTCCTGGATCAGTTCCTGCGGGTCGTTTGCCCAGACATCGGGAAGTCATCCTGCTTTGGGATCTGATTGATAGTGCGAAGCCAGGCGAAGAAGTGGTTAGTATCTCAGGCAATCATTTGTGATTGATTTTGACGAGGGCGGTAGGAAGTAACTGGCGTCTACCGCAACAATTTCGATGCCTCTCTCAATGCCAAGAACGGCTTTCCCGTTTTCTCGACCATCATCGAAGCAAATCATATCAACAAGAAGGAAGACCTCTTTGCGGCCTTCCGGTTGACCGAAGACGACGAAAAGGAAATGCGTAATCTCGCCCGTGACGATCGTATTCGAAAAAGGATCATCAAATCCATCGCCCCATCCATCTACGGCCACGAAGATATCAAGACCGCCATTGCCCTTTCACTCTTTGGTGGAGTGTCCAAGGACATCAATCACAAGCATCGCATTCGTGGAGATATCAACGTCCTTCTTCTAGGAGACCCTGGAACAGCCAAATCTCAATTTCTCAAATATGTTGAAAAGACTGCTCACAGATCGGTCTTCGCAACTGGGCAAGGTGCATCAGCGGTCGGTCTCACTGCCAGCGTCCGCAAGGATCCCATCACGCGAGAGTGGACGCTAGAGGGTGGCGCACTAGTTCTCGCAGATAAAGGCACCTGCCTTATCGACGAATTCGACAAGATGAACGACGCTGACCGAACATCTATCCACGAGGCCATGGAACAACAATCGATCTCCATCTCAAAAGCCGGCATCGTCACTACTCTCCAAGCGCGGTGTGCGATTATCGCTGCTGCCAATCCCATTCGTGGCCGATATAACCCCCTGATACCCTTCTCGCAGAACGTGGAACTAACGGAACCAATTTTGTCTCGTTTTGATGTTCTTTGCGTCGTGAAAGACAATGTGGACCCGGTTATGGATGAATTACTGGCTAGATTCGTTGTGGGCAGTCATTTACGGAGTCACCCCAAATTTGAGGCGGAAACTGATGAGATGGATGTCGGGACGACGTTAGACGCTGATGTTCGTTGAGCTCTTTTTATATTCTTTCACAGGTTAATTTGCGTTCTAGATTATACCGCAAGATGTATTGCGCAAGTACATCATGTACGCCAGGGAAAAGATCCGGCCCAAGCTGTTTGACCTCGATCAAGAAAAGCTAGCGCGGCTCTTTGCTGACCTACGTCGCGAGTCGATGGCGACTGGGTCGTATCCTATTACCGTTCGACACTTGGAGAGCATGATTCGCATGGCTGAAGCCAGCGCGAAGATGGCGTTGCGCGAGTATGTTCGCGCTGATGACATTGACCTTGCCATTGAGGTCGCGGTTGGAAGCTTTGTCAGTGCACAAAAGAGTAGCATTAAGAAGACTTTGCAAAGGGTGCGTCCATCTATCTGCTTCTTAGATGGGGATTTTTCCTGATGAGGTATAATTCTCTAGGGATTCCGGAAATACCTTACGCAATCTAAAGACCACGAAGAACTACTAGCATTCTTGCTTGGTGGGATGGTGAAAGATCAAGCACGGCTCTATCAGTTGCGGCGTCATGAACAGCCGGAGAAAGTCACGATTAAGGTTTCTGAGCTGGAAGAAAGAGTAGGTCTTTGTTTGTGTCAACCCGTCCTTTTACTGACTGTCGTGACCTCCAGGCAAAGGGACACGACATCTTTGACATTACGCCCTTCCTCCGCTCTAAGCTGTTTACCACCAATGGGTACAAATTGAAAGCGAATATAATTGAAAAGGAGTTTATCGTTCACCGCGACGATCAAGGTGCCTTGTGATCTACGTTGCTGTTCTCTTGTATGTAAGTATATGTTGTTGTAATTGCTATCAGTTTCTCAATATCTTGATATCGAGTGTTCGAAATTTCGATTTCAAAACATCCAATAGAGATAACAAGTGAGAGGTGTGTGTCTAACGTGGAAGGTGAATAAGAATACGTCAATGCTGGAGTGAGGGTAGTCGTCTATAATGTATGTATTATTAAGATCCTCCAAGATGGTGGTTTTGAGGTAGGTCAAGCAGCTTATGATGAGGTGGTCGTGGACGGCTTGTCGAGCTTTGTCCGTCGTGGCTTTTCAGGCGCAGGTATGCCTGCGGGGTCAGCTTCTCCGACTGCAGTGCCTTCCGGCGTTGAAGAGAGACCAGCTGTCTCGGTTACTGGTAAAGCCTCTTCACCCTCGTCGTCATCATCATTCATTATTTCTAACCGAAAATCAGAACGGTACGTTTTGAAATAAATCAAAAAAAGGGATGCGCACCATCAGCGTATACCTCCGGATGAGCCCTAAAGCAATCCTGCATATGCTTGAACTTTTCAACACAGTTAATGCCCTTTGGTTCGTCCTCTGAAAACACAAAACACGAGAAGGCTTCTCGGAATTCAGGACCGCATGGGCCATGGGCCATTCCACCGAGACATGGACAGTCCCAGTTGATTTCCCCCGTTACAGGGTTATATGCACCTCCGGAAGCACCACTTTCTTCTGGTGAAGCTTCGTCCGAGCTTCCGTCGCTTCCCTCGGTATCCTTGGGGTCTACATCGCTGTCAGACGAGACAGAAGACGTAGAGTCAGATGCGGGTAGTGAATCTGGTATAAAAACGGATGGTTCTGAGGGTAATGATGGGGTTTTCGGGGACTGTGAGTTAGTGGTCTTCGCTGCATCCACCCATTTTAGAAACGGTCTTCATGCGAAAGGGTCACAGACTGACTTGAATTTGATTCCGAACTATCCAATGCGATATGGTTTTTGTCAAACGCCAGCCGCCATGACAAGTAAGCCGTAGCAGCTAGGGAAGCACCCACCGCGGCCTTTGTAAACCTTCGGGACGTGAACGCGGTGTGTCGTGCGGATGTGTGTGTATGCAGACACCTTCGTGCGGCAGAATTTGCAAAACGAGAGAACATGGCAAGGAATGAGCTGGATGAAGAATTGCGCTGGTGACTTGCAAGTAGTACGCGGCGATACGGCTTCAATTGCTAGAAATTTCAAAGCGGCTCCTTTCAAGATTAACATGTCAAAACAGTGTTATACAAATTCTTTATCTTTATCTACAACTCCACCGAATAAATTAGCGCGAGTCGCCTGAAGAAAGAAAATTAGCAAGGACTGTGTCGAACAATGGCGAAAAGACGTACGCAACGACCGCTAGCGGGTTACTGATTTTTCACGGGCCATTAGGTCGTTGAGACACCGTGCAACGATGCCAACACCCTCCTCAATGGCCCCTTGATCTTTCTCCGCGACCTTCCTCATCAATCGACGGAACCTGTCCGGATGCCATCGTAGTTGCGCGTTGCGGAGTCTATCCTTGCGCGTCTGGTTCTGCGAGTGTGCTGGAGAGAGAAGGAATGACATAATCGCGGTGGGTGTAATATCCTCGGGTGTCTTCGGCGGTACCAGCAGTGGCCAAGCGACGGTCGAAAACGTGAGCGGTTCCGTAGACGTTGCGATCGCTGCCCATCGTGCTTCATAGTTGTTCCAAGCTTCTACAATTCCGTGTTCCCTCCTTGCGCGGTCCTTGCGCTCCTGTTCGCGGAAGTAGGAAAACGCTTTAGCAGTCTCCTCTGCAGCCTTCCTCTTTTCTGCCTCGCGTTTTTGCCGAATGCGTACGTCGATCTTTCGTAGCTCCTCCTGGATCCGAGCCTTTGCCTTCTCGCGTTCGATCGCCACTCGCCTGGCTTCCTCCTCCTGCCTCATCCACCTATCCGCTTCTACACCGTAAGTATGCACCATGTCCTCCCACACCCTGCGCGATCGCCCCTTGTCTCTCTGTCGCGTGCCAGCGGACCAATCTCTCTCGAATCCATCCCCTACGAATATCTGCTGCTCGAGGACCCATTTCTCTGTCTTCTTGTTGCGCCTGTCCTGTTTCGCGAGCTCCTGCTCCAGCACCCAGGTGTACGTCTCGGTCATATGTTGCCAGGGGGTGTCACGGACACGCTCGCTGCTGGCGAACCCGGCCGCAGTGGGCGTTCGGCGAAGGGAAGGGTTTATATACCCTTCACGTTGAGAGCGGCAATGATGATGGCTAGTAGTGGCAGACTGTGTGCGAGTGGCCATTGTGGAAGTAAAGCTCAGCTGTGGATGATTGGATTGCTCTCCAGGAGGAATTATGAGTTTCTACAGGGACGGGAGACGAGACATTTATGTGTGCTGCATTGATGACGCATTGTGTAGGCACGACGAACACGCAATCTGTTTGAGACCCACAGTCATTCGCCGTGGACAGATTTGCATGTATGTATTGTCCCTCGTTGTGAAACTGATGTAAGGGAGGAGGTCCGTACTTACCAGGTCGGATCCGGCAGATCAGTTATCAAACGCATGGCCGACACGTTGTTCAATGTTCTTTGTTGTCCTCCCGTTCCTGGGGTAATTTCAGGGTGATAGAATACCGAAAGTTGACCGAATGAACAGCCTTCACCAGCCTTCACGCAATATCCTACTTCCACTTGCCTCTAACGGAAAGACCTAGAGGGACACGAAGCGATCTAATGTTGTGATATAGGTCAGGCGCCATGCGATAAGCCTTGGATAATCTTCTATAGATGTATTGAAAGTCTAGATACCCATAAGGCCATGAACTGCCCATTCATACACTCCCAGGAATACCGCACCACCAGCAGATATCCAAAGAGTGCGTGGCACCACGCCTGAGAATAGAGTTTTCACGCCCTCCGTAGCGTAGATAGTCCTAAATCTACGTCCCAATGAAGGCAGCTTCTCATTGGTTGGATCCTGAGATAGAATTACTAGGGTCGGGGAGAGTGTGTGATGAAAACGGAACATACACGAAGGTCAAGCATGACGCGCGTTTTCAAAACGTCCAGTGGCGTCGTCACAGCGGCGGTAAATCCTCCCGCGATGCTCCCACAAACGGCAGCTTCGTGGGCGTAAAGCGGTGTCCGCCCGACTCTTCGGGAAAGTTGTAGCTTTAACAACTCGTAGAGTGGGAATTGCAACGAGGTAAAAGGTATCTAAAATGAAAATGTCAGCGGCAGAATATGAGAACGCACAGGCAAAACCAAGCAAAAATGCACCTCCCGCATAATGGTCGACCCAAATCCCCGATAAAAGCCGCGCCATCCGTCGTTCGTGAGAACAAGCCGTGCAGCTGCGAGTGACGACTGTCCTAGCATTCCATATGTAGAAGTTTGCGTTCTCGTTTTGATGACTTCAGTCGGCACACGAATCAAACAGGCAGCCTGGAAGGGTGTGCATCACCAGAGAAGGGAGTCGTGAAAATGGGATTGCGCTCCGAAAGATGTAGGGAAACATCCGTACAACTTCCGCCACGGATGCAGAGATCATATGGTTGACTGGCGCAAGACGGTCGGAGAACGGCAGGATTTTTTTCATGGTCTCGTAACTTGAGAAGAAAACAGCCGCTAAGTTCAAGTATGTTAATTCTTGTTGCTCTGGTTGACAGGCAAGAAAATCAAAAATAAGTACCTCCAGGTGCGCTGCCAACAACCACGCTGCCCACCCCCTTGTATACACCATGAAAGCCTCCTGCGCGCCTAAAACCTTTCGCAGATTGGAGACGGGTTTTCATGGTATCAACAGGAAAGAACAGGAGATCGACAGCAGTTCCCGCAGCACCACCGGCCTGGAGGGAGATGTCAGTTCATAGATCTCGTGCGCACACAAAAAGAAGCTCATACCAAAAGTGATTGTATAAAAGTTGGCCTCACCTTGACCTCCATGTCTTCGTGCAGCCTTGAGTCTATTTGACTTTACGCTCAGCCAGGGAGTCGGAGTGGCACGGGGTTGAAGACGCGAATCAGGGTGGAAGTGAACACTGAACAAATATGTAGAAGTTCGCACACTGGTTGGTCCAGCTCAAGATGTGAAAATGAGCCAAATGCTTCATGATGTCAATTTCCATAACTGCAGGTAAATACGATACGTAAGGAGCGATATATGTAGGAACAACGGTGTCCAATAGTATACATAGAACCAAATTAAATGAGCGAGAGGTGAACATGCAAAGAGATACAGATAGCTGACAGCTGCCGGGGGAAATCATCTAGCGGAAAAGGTTAGTAACAGAATGGGTGTAAGATTTGAAGGGGATTTACGCAAGTGAGAGTGAGTGGTTATGGTGTTACATGTTCTTGGGAATCAACTCGGAGGAATGCAAGCACCAACGGGATTGAGCTATTTTGTTGGCATTGCATCTGCAGATCACGCCCTGACCAGACGTTCCCTTCAATCCGGACGCTTTGGTCATACACAACAGAATTCTCGAAAAGGTCCCCTCCACCGTTTTCAAGTGGGCTGCGACTTTTTGCGTTGTTGCTGAGATCAAGCTCGTTTTTGCCTGCCCCGTGCCGGTGATAAACTTTGCTACGAGACTTTGACCGGACCAGTGCTGCAAGAGACTGAGGAGAACCTCTGTGGTCGACCGTCAAGCCGCCGTTAATGTTAACGCTACCATGGCTGGACTGAGACGAGATGTTGTGTCGATGTAGAGGTCCTTTTGAACTAGGCGGATTCGAGGGAATTGAGGTTCCTATCAAAATCTCCTGAAGGACCTTGAATGCAACACTCTCAGCAGCTTGTAAGAATGTGGATGCTACTGGCGTCGAAGAGCCCGTGGACAGCTCTGCTGCTGCTGTAGCATTGTTGATTTGTCGTTTAAGAGATACGGCCCACTGATGACGAATGAGAGGGTCATCGACGCTGAACATATATCTTCGCTTCAACCCCGTGTGATTTGAGAAAGCTAGCTGGAAAGTGTTGCGCATGAAGGCGCGCTCAACAACCACGGTATGACTTATGGGCAAACCAGCGTAATTCACAGCGTTTGGTCCAGATCGACATAGGGTCACAGTTTTTGAGCCAAGGGAAGTTCCCATTACGCGGAATGACGCCTCTGATGATTTTGCGAAAGTTAGAACAGGAGGATCAAAGACCAAATCTTGACCATAGAGTTGTATCGAGAAAGAAGGATCGACATGGGGTATGCGGAAGATGATGGGGTCAGATTGTATCTTGTAGGTTAGACGAGCTGGTAACTGCCGTTTGATGGTGACCTGCAAATCTGCGCTGCTCGTCGGACTTGGGTAACGGGCTTGACATAGCCTCTCGGAACGAATAGAGTCATAAACATCTTCTAGAAACTCGTCAGACACGAGACACCGCACATCAGTTCGCCGGAAGGCATCCACAAAATCCCTGCTAGTAATGTTGCGTTTAACATCGTCTGATCTGCCAGCTTCATCCGCGATTCCGTCATGAAGCAGGTCGTTGAGCTGAACGAGACCCCGAACAAGGCGAATAGCCATATCCTTGTCATACGCCACACTCTTGGCATTGGCTTCGTACCACCGGACAGCAAAGAAATCAAGAAGATATTCTGAAGCCCCATGGCTCTGAGTCGACTTGGGAGAGACGTGAAGTGATTGTAGGAAGACCTTCAAAGCAATATCAATCCTTAAACCCGCAAATCCAAAACTATCCAGGTATGTTTTGAGGACAATCTTCGAGGTCCTCCTTGACAGGTAATCCCCCAAGCGAGCTCTATCCAAGTCGATAGTTTTGAATAGCAATTGACCAAGCAGTTGTGGGTCATCCGGGATATTAGATTTGGAAAACAGGGTGGTGATGGCATAATCTGGATCTTTCGAAAAATTTAGAACGAAAGACCTGACGAGGGGATTTCGAGGAACAGGAGAATTGTTTCCAGTCCTTGATTGAAATTCCGTCCTATCCGGGAAAAAACGTAAATTTCGAAGCAGGACAACACTCTTCACCACATATTTCCTATCGGGAGGGCTAGGCTTGTAAGCGTCCATAAAGTTGTCTTGATCATGAGAAACGGGTTTTGCGATAACGAGGATATCAGAAAACAAGAAAAGAAATCTGTCCTTCACCGTATTGGGATCGACGACCTGCAAAACTGGCGATGATAACAATAACTTTCGAGGGGGATCGTCGACTACATTCACCAGCATAGGATTACGTGAGCCTCGCGTAAGGTTCTCCTCGAGGCGCTCTAGAACAGCAGAACCTTGAGAGGGGTGGCTCAAAGATGAAGATGACGTTGACTCAGATTCGGACGTTGAGTGATTGGGATAATCACTCAATGAAGAGGAGGGATAGGGCGTCCCAGAGACAGGTCGTTCTGACCGTGAGGTACTGGGCGGAGGTTGATCGTCGGGCGAGAGATGTCGAGGTTCCGATGACATAGCGAAGGAAGGAGGCATAATCTTTTTGGCTTTGGGTGTTTTCTCTGTGTCGGTGTGATATGGCGTTCCATTTAGGGAAGGAGTTTCTACTCGTTCCTTCAACTCAGGCCCGTTCAATCTTTTCCCCAACAACGTGTTTGATTTCGTACTCGTCGGGGTGATCCCAATATCTTCCCAATCTGTCCCAAGTTCAGTCTCCTTTACTCGAAGCAAATCCGTTAGTGAAGCTTTTTTGTTTGAGTTGAAGGAGTTCTGCAATTCGATGGGAGGAGGGGAGAATGACGCCGAGGCCGAAGGTGACAAGCTCTGATGCGGAACAGTCTTCTTCTTGTTGTTTTTGCTCAGCCATTGTTTCACACCAGGAAGTGTCATGGGCAATTTCAGGTTCAAAGATGATCCGTTTTGCGGCGAAATAGGTGAAATGGTGAAAACGTCTGTATGAGAGGCCGAAGGAGGTCCTGAGCCCAAGGAGGACAGCTCACCGGACTTGAAAACCGTACCGTATGTAAGTCAAAAGATCGTAAAAGAGCGGTTGCTGACTCACCTCTGGATTAAAAGAAGAGTTCAAAGTCAAAGAGTGAGATGTAGGCGGCGGAGTTTGTACGTCTTCTTGACCACTGTATGCCATAGAAACGTCGGGCGATGAGGCAGATGCTGGATAACCCCCTGTTGCGACCCGACGTTGCTCCTGCAATTGCTTCATTCCAGGGAAAGGGAACAACTTCGCATTTCGATACTTCGCCATGTCACCAGAAGCCACTGGAGGGATTGGAGAAGCACCACCTCGCGGTGGAGCATGCGATAATGAAAGGATGGATGCAGACGCAGAAGGGCTCTGCATCAAGGGTTGCTGCTGGGGTTGATGTTGGAAGAGAATCGTCTCGCCCTTGTCTGTTCTCCCGCTATTCACGCTGGCGCCGCTTTCCCGACTGATGCTGGAATCAGTGTGATCACGTCTTTCACGAGTGACGATGCTATTTGTTCGTGAACGACGGCCACTACTTGAACCAGTACGAGTAAATGTGCTTTTAAGCTTGTCCCATGTGCTTGGGGATGAGCTTTCGCCATTCCGTTTCGTAGATGGTTCAGCACTAGGAAAACGATCCTCCCAGTCGGTAAAGTCTCCATTCAATGGTGAGCGATCACTCTGAATGCGAGATGCAATGGAAAGTCGTGCTGGGTAGGTTTGCGGAGACATAGACACATCGCTCGCAAGAGTGAAGGAAGCCGTCTGAGATAAAGCCGCTAGTGACGGAGAGGTTGGTATATGATGGGGTGGTATAGCATCCAGAGAGGTCTCCGACTCGACCACTATGCTCTTGGAACTAGTTGACATTCGAGGAGAAATATCGTCAAAGGCTTCAACATCCTGAGGCGAGAACCCAGTGGAAGAACTAGCAGATAGAGGAGGATCCTCATATTCAACGTATTCGTCGTCAGGATCCTCCTGGTGGACCTCTACCTCTTCCCCTTCTTCATCATCTTCTTTATCGTCAATAGGCATGCGAATTTCCGGAACTACAGATTTCAAACCTGAGATATAAAAACTCAAGAAACAAAAGGTCACTCACCAGGAGAAGCAACCCAACTAATCTCACGGTCAAATTCCATGTTGCTTACATATGGAGTACGGGGCCTACTCTCTGCAGGATACAAAACCTGCTCTTCGTCTTCGTCTCCAGGAGGTTTCTCCTCTTTCAAAGGCGTTGTGAATGGACTGGTTGGGAAGGGACCATTCCGAGACGGGGACCGCTGGCTTAAATACACAGGCAAAACCCCTGTACCAGAAACAGAGTCTGATGATCCGTTTGAAGGAGGATTTGAAAATTGAGGTGTGCGTAGCGAAGCGATATGGGGAGAATACCATTGAGGAGGAGTGCCTGGCAAGGAATTGTTCACGGGTAGTGGTAGGGAGGGAATTCGGTCTTCAACATCATCCTCTTCTTCCACTAACACGCTTCGACGTCGAGGTTCAGGGGGCTCAGTTTCAGGCTCGGTTTGAGGCAATGATGGTGGTGGCTCCACGGCACGTTCATTGCTTTGATTGCGCGAACTGCTGGCTTGATTTGGGGTAGCCGACTGAGCACGAAGGTTTGCAAACGCTTCTAGTGGGAGAGGCAGGGGGGTTTGTGGGACCAGTGGTGTGTTCGGTGAAGTCGTGACAAGCTCCGAGTCAGAAATTTGTGCGTTCGCGGTGTTGACACTAGCTGAGGCTCTACGAGACCTTCTTCGACGTCTTGGAGTCGGAGATGGAGCAGTTCTATCCTCTGCGCCGCTTGTCTGCTGCTCTTCAAAATCCTTATTCAGTCTCCCACCCAGCCGACTGAACATCAATTGGCGAGCAGCAATACGCTCTCCGCCAGCGACAGTGTTGTTACGCCCCAATTTTCCGGGAAGAGGAGGTGGAGTTGGTGGCGGTGATGAGTCGTATGTTTCCGTGCCACCTGTCAACTTGTGCATTGCCATCCTCCGACCCGCAGCAGTGCTTCCCGCACTATTTGACCGTATCAGACCCCTCTGAAGAGCTTCTAGCGTTGGCAATGGAATCGGTGTTGGGGGTGAAGTGCCAGGATAAAATAAAGAGGGCTCTGGGGATGCAGGTGTAGGCGAACGCAGGAGGCGGGACTGTTGTAGAAGCGCAAAATGAGAGGGTATCGGAGATAGAAGGGGCGTCAACATGGGTAGTGCTATAGGATGTAGTAATGGTGGACCCTCATCTGGAGAGGAATCACCAGCAACTTGTTGGACGGGTGATTGTGCCCCTCTCGCCTTTCCCTTGAAGTCTTTTGAACCTCTGGAACGTGAACGCGAGCGAGAACGCCTTTTTGATCGCGTATTGAGTCCTGGCGAGAACGGACGTTCCTCTTCAACGTCCACCTCTATTTCGGCTTCTGGAGTGTTTTCTTCAGGAGGCGGACTATCGGGGTCAACGTTTTTGTCGTCATCGGGTTGACCTTGCTCTGTGTCGCTCGCCAGCTTCTCTGCTTCACTGTAACTGATTTGAACTTCCCGAACTTCCTCCTCTACCTCTTCGCTGGCCACTCCATTGACCACTGGCTTCTCTCCTTCACTGACTGCTTCAACATGCATCGGTGGCCGCCTACCATCCTTCAATCGTGGTACTGATGCAGCTCTTTTAAGTTTTGCAACAGCCATCATTCTCTGCTCCGCCCGCGTAGGCTGAGGTTCTTGATCCGCCATAGCAAGCGTAGAGGGGCTCGAGGGCTGCAAAGGAGTGCTTCAGAAGGACGCTTAGCGCCACTGTCGATGTAAAGGACGCACCCGTCAAGAAACGAATATGTGATGCCGTGATGATGAAGGTGTTAGACCTGCGGCGACAAAAGAAATTGATGATGAGTGGCTTTGAATGGCGAGTGAGATGATATACTGGGGCGGAGATATTACAAGGATATTATAAGTACCTGGGAGAGCCAAGGGAGAGCGGCAGAGAAGAACTCAAAAGCTGTGAACACGTGGCCGTACATTTGCCTCCGTTTCTTGCCCACTTTGGTCACAATGTCCATGTTGTTCACCTTTGCTCGTGCTATCACAACGTTAATCTCTGCCAAACGAGGCTCAATCCCTCTTAACCCCATCGGTTTTTGCACACCACTCGAGAAGCGATAACAATCAGCCACCGAATTACTTCCCAAACTAAAAAAAACGACGCATTAGACCCGGATTCCAAAACTTCTGGCCTGCATTCTGTCCCGAGCTCCGAATTCCAGAAAATACTGTAGAAATGCTCTATCGACCTCAAATGCTTCTACCTTGCCTTCGACGTCATTTAATGCTCATGCATCATGTCCGGATTGACAACGACATGGGAAATGTGCCTGACGCCCAAGTATGTGGACAAAATTGAGACAAAGCGCTTACCTCAAATAAATGCGAAAATAATGCAATATCTCAAAGCGTATCGAGGAATCAGGTCGAGGTGAAATTTAGGTGAATAAAAACAAGCGTCCACTTCGGGTACAACCCGCAGGACATTGGTAACGGCCTTCTACATTAACCCTCGTTTGGTTAGCACTCGCAACGTAGGAACAGGAGGCGGGCAAAGCCTTGGCGTACGAGGAGTCGTGGCACCACATCTACCTGCCCTTTCACCAGAGATCATAAATTTTCCACGATGGCATCAAGTGATACTAATGAACATCGACGGCGTAGAGAGCGCACCGATGACTCCACAACCAGTGCACCTCAAGGCACCTGCCGTTTGGCAAGATTGCGATAGTCCTCATGGACAGATTTCCAGACTACTGAAGGCAGATTAAACCCTTCGAGTAATCGCCCATACGCTCTTCCTCCCAAACGTGCAATCGGCCGGAGTTTGGAGGGGTCAATCGATGTCCCATCATCAACGAGGATTGACTCGCAGACGTGGACTTTTTTAATTAAGCCGAGGACCACCGTCGTGGTAATGTCGGAAGAATTTGGTGGGGATATATCTTGCGAACTAAAGAGCTATACCGAAGCCTCAGCATTTTGAGGGATGAAAACATTCACAATGACTTACTTCACATTCCATGCAAACAGGACTTTCCTTCACAAGCGAGGGTTTCACGGTAGTCTGTAAAGAGGTTTAAGTGATGGTTCTAAGCGATTTGCCATTTGGTACTAACGCTGGGCTCCATCGTCAGTCCACTGACGATCCACTCGTTGACGTCTGCCGGAGACTCAACAGCAGTGGCGTTGGCTGCCTCCGCAAAGCTCTCGCTAATGATATTGACGGTGAACTCTTTCGTTTTGAGGATGTTTTCCCGGGTATCTTTCGGACGTCTAGGGGAAAGGGAGAATGATATGCTGACAATTGGTGGGTTGTGAGAGACCTATATAAGTGATTCTCGTCAGCGCGCTGGATGAAACGGAGTGCAATGCACTTGCCATGGAAAAATAACTGCCAATCATCGAGAAATATCAAAATTCAACTTCAATGACAAGGTGTATTGCGCATGCGAACCTAAACGGAGCAAGATTGGTATGTCCCTCCGCGGACACAGTCGACACGAGGGCAATTGGACGTGGTACTATTGCTGAGGTTAAAAGCCGATACGCGTCCCTAAAAAAGACGCATTTTAGTCCCAGAACTCGCGTCCAACGCGCACCAAAAGTAACCTGGACGGCGTAGTGCTCATATCCCATGTTTTCCGCGCTGACTCTTGTCCTTCCTGTATCGCGAAGCTAGCAGGTAGACCATGCCCAAGATTCCACGTAGGACAAGGTGGTTTGGTCAATTTGAAAGTAGAACGAGGATTAAATGGTGGCGGGGAAGCGCTGGAAGACTGGCGAGCCCCTACTTGGCCTAGATATCTCCAGCTAGCGGAAGTGCGCTTCAAGCACCGAGGCCAGTTACCAAGCATAAGCGGGTGAGCGGGCATGTCACCTGAACCCGGGCAGCAATTGATAGCCAAACAAGGTTTTGAATTCTCACCTCAAATCCACTTACCAAGCTGACGACTAAGCCACTTCCTCAGATGTCTATAAATCAACCAACGCTTTACTCATTGCGGAGCCATTCTTTATGTCCGCCCTCGACAACACCCCAGCTTTGCAAGGCTTCTACGGCTGGACCGACACTCTAAAGGGAGTGTATTATGGTCCAGGTTCTGTCGTAACGGCGTTGCCGAAACTACTGAATACACTTGGTGTCAAGAAAGCATTAATCATGACAGGAAAGAGCTTGATGAATAAGGTATTTATTCTCTCCTACCAGCCTGCCGATGATGCCACAGGTTCAGTTGACCACGACTTTCCTAGACCGATGTGGTACGAAAGGTAGAGGGAATACTCAGACAACACGACGCATACGGTGCCACATTCTTCGAAATCGGGGAACATTCTCCTATCGCTGGCATCCGCAACGGCATCAAAGCGTTCCAGGAGAATAGTTGCGATGTGATCGTATCAATTGGGGGAGGCTCTCCAATCGATGCGTCGAAAGCCATCCTATATAACATCCAGCAACAAGTTGGAGGGTTGACCCCGCGTCAGATCGCGATCCCCACAACCCTCAGCGCTGCCGAATATACGGTATGACTTCGTCGTAGTCGCCTTTGTTCATTTGATATATCGAAAGCAGATTGGTGCTGGGTTTACCAATGACGAAGGCCAAAAGGTGGCTGTTAGCTCATATGAGTTGGCTCCGGCAGGCGTCATCTTGGATGCAGAGTTAACACTTGCGACACCTGAGCGTCTCTGGTACGTTATTCAACGCTGTTTAGTTCAGACCTTAGGCTTATCAAGGTTTAGGCTTTCCACTGGAGTTCGTGCCCTCGATCACGCTGTTGGTAAGTGAACGAACGGTTTACATGATTTGACATTCGAGGCGATAACCTACTTGTATAGAGAATCTATACAGACCTCTGGTCTCGCAACCAGTCAAGTTTCTTTGCTACGGCGCAATCAGAGATCTTTTCAAGTATCTTCCAGACTCCAAAGCAAATCCGACAGATGTTGGCGTCAGACAAAAGCTACAGCTGGCCTCGTGGATGAGTCTTTGGCCGATGAAGCAAGAAAAGTACAGGTACTGTAAAAAAAAACTTGGCTTTTCTTTAAAGGCTGACCACGCCTCTACATAGTGCATTGGGTCTTTCGCATTCACTCGGGCACAAGTTGGGTGCCAAGTACGGAATTCCTCACGGAATAACATCGGTCGGTTATATTTCCTCTGCCTTGCGGTGTTTTAACATTCTTCAAGTGTCTTACGCTATCTCCAACTGTTGCGCTGCAAGCAGAAATAGCATCCGCTGAGGATCGGGAATGCCTGGCAGAAGCACTGTTTTTCCTTCGCGAACCATCGACAGGCTCTGTCGAAGGGGATGTGCGCCGTCTATCAACGTTAATCAACGAGTCAGTCAAGATGCAATATATATATTGTGATTTCTACTGACAACTATCTAGACTTGTTGTCAGTCTTGGATTGCAATCCAGTCTGACCCAATACAAAGTTCCTAAAGAAGATTTCAATTTCATCGCATCTGCGGCATTGGGGGCGCAGGCTGATTCAGTCCGGTTGGAGAAGGTGATCCAGCTTCTGGAGGGTATATATAACCCTAACAAATTGTGATATACTTACGCTTGGGCATGCGCATACATATTCTTGTACCGAAGTTGGCAGTCTATGCTTTATTGAACTAATATTATCGCAACATTGAACTGTAACAGAGATATTAACAGGAGAGACCAAGGACCAGTCTTACCTGGCCTTGCCTAGGCTTTTGATCAGGACTACTGGAGGACCCCCGTACTTTGTAACATTCGGCAGAATTCTGCCGATGCATTTTCTTCGAATCTAGTACATGATTCGAACATATGAGGGAGGTCTTGCGAGAACCGTCAATTTGGGACCGCCTTGCCTTGCCTCTACTTGCCTAAAATGATCAATCGAACTAACCTTTGGAGACGCGTATGCGTTCAACGAAAACATATCAACTTTCTGGTCGTTTCAGTCCCTCCTTTACACCCCAGCACCAATAGCACCCACTCCAGTAACTATTCAACTCAAGTGCGGACGTGGCACAACCGAGTACGGTTCCCATCCCTGAGGACTAACGTGGCAGTTTTCTCGGGGGAATACAGGGGGTCACAGTCTCTTGAACCAAACCATCTCCGTCTTTCCCCTGCATCGATGTCGTCGCGTTTTCAATCGACGAAAGGTTCAGTAGGCCAAAAGCCCACAAGTTCAGGTCCAGCCAATGTCAATAACACGCTCCACGACCGGAAGCATCAAAACGGAAACGGGGCACACGAGCATGAGAAACCACGCGAGCCTGATGAACCACACTTTCACTCGATATTTGGACATTCGCACTCGCACGGAGATGAGAACGGGCACACCCATGACGCGGAGCAGATAATCGCAGCGCTCAAGGGTTCACGTACGTGTTTTGATACTTCACCAATGCCCCATTGACGACTGTTGCGGTTGTAGACGACAAAGGTAGTCAAGTTACACTCATTGGATTATTTTCGAATATTGTCCTTACGACGGCGAAGGGGTTGGCTGGATGGTACATGCACTCTGCATCCTTACTTGCCGATGCCGGTCATTCGATGAGTGGTTCGTATTCTATGACATCATGAATGGTGTAAATTAAACACCCACCTGTAGACCTCCTGGGCGACTTTGTCACCCTATTCTGTTGGCGTCTCTCCCGTAAACCTCCTTCAGAAAGATACCCATACGGATTTGCGAAATTCGAAACACTCGGAACAACAACGATATCCATCTTATTGATAGCTGGCGCTGTCACCATTGGCCTCCATTCTTACAACCTCCTCATCGCAACCCTCGCAGAAACAACAGCGTCTCTTTCGCCTGGCCAATTACAGGACTTTCTTAGAACTATTACAACGGCCGTCCCATTGCCCGATATTGGACATCACCATGTCCATCTAGTCGACCCCAATGCGGCGTGGTTCGCGGCCGTCAGTGTAGTGGCGAAGGAGTGGTTATACAGAATCACAAAGGTAGTAGCGGACGAAGAGAGTAGCCCTGTACTGCTTGCAAACGCCATTCACCATCGGAGTGATGCGTACTCCAGTCTAGTTGCCTTCTTTGCAATTATTGGGACATGGCTCTGGCCTGCTTTCCCTCTTGATCCAATTGGCGGTGCATATCATCGATTTTATTCCTGTCGATTTTATACTCACATGTGCTTGAAGGTCTTCTTGTGTCAATGGTGATCCTCAAACAGGGCTTTGACCTTCTTCGAGGCGCATGGGGAGACCTTACAGATGCAGGGGTTTCCCCACGAAAACGCAAACTGTTGTTAAAGACTTTGCAGCCTTTCATTCCGGATTCTTGGGAGTCGTCGTCGTGTCCAACATTGATTTCGTTTGATCATCTACGTGCACGTCGGGCAGGTTCTTTGATGTTCGTGGATGTCACTGCAAAGGTATCCGATGATATGACTGTTATTCAAGCCTCCGCCTGGGAGGATGAAATCACTAGAACTCTGAAAGCAGCACACAAGGAAATTACAGAGGTTCGGGTGAAATTCGAAGTCGGTCAGATTGTTGTGGACATTTAGAATCCCTTTCATCCTTCGTTCAGTTTGCTCATAACTTATCCTTAACCCTCTTGTATCAAACATGTAATGTAGCCTCTCTTACTGCACTTGATGTGTAACGACGCTGTCAAGGGCCTATTCGTCTTGTCGCTTTTCGCGTAACGTAAATAAGATTGAAGAGGTGCTTTGAACTGTCTCGTATTATGTATACTACTCTACAAACGCCAGCAAGAATGTCATTAACCCACATACAATATGTGCATGCAACTACCTAATTTATACATAGACAATATAAGGATATGAGGTGCAGATGCTAGAAACCAAGGAACGTACAACAAGTAGTCCGGTCCACAAGATTCAAAAGGTTGGATGAAGGGGAAAAAAGCTCACACCTTCAGATATTGTCTACATTGACTGGAACCACAAAAACACTGACGACACCCAGGAGGGATCACCACCTTGCCCTTGCCCTTGCCCTTGCGTTCGATGGGTGAAACCGCAGCTTTCGGATCGTAGTCGAAGGTGAACTCTGTCATGGCCATGATCGGCTCAGTGGCGACGAAAGCGATGTAGTGTAAGCCCATCTAGTGGGAGATCATTGGCGTAGAGTAACAAAGACGAGTGAAAGTAAACGTACGTCAGGAACGGCGTCATGCAACACCAGGTATATCTCGAGGTTAGGACCGCATGAATGGCTGGAGGAGGCATCAGCTATACTCTGTGGAGGTCGCGTGCTATTCCGTACTTGATGAATCGAGTCCAGTTACCTGTGAAAATCAACCAAAGTGAGAAGACGGGTGCAAGAGAAGCAACGTCGACCAACCACATCTTTGCGAGTCGACGGTGTATCCCTCATCCCTGCCCGACATCGAGTCATTTTCACTGTCATCCTGGATTTCTTGTCCATCCAAGTCGAAACAGTACGATCTTCGGTCGCGTCCCAGATCATCCGCTGCTTTCCGTGTCCTGGAAGGTAAATGAACGAACAGTTGGATAACGCCAGGTCAAGCAACATACATGAGAAGTCTAAAGACCGAAATCACGTTAACATCAACCATGAGAATCGAGAATCGGGCAAGGACATACCCAGTGTAGAGACCTAGGACTTTACCTCGTGGTATGTCTTCCATCGACCGCACACCCCAACCCCGATCGGGAGTTTTGAATATCTGTATCGAGAAATTTCTAGGTTGTTGCGTGACACGGTTTTGACACCCCATATCACAGCTGCAACACTACCGATGTAGGATGTTTCAGTTATGTGTTCAAGGAACCAGTGGAGTTTCGCACCTTGTTGCACTCGATAACTTCATCTCCGGGAGGCACATTGAAGGCAAATAGACCCTGCATGATTTGTGTACAGTCAGTTCATGATCAGAAATTAGAATGAACGACTTGCATCGACAGTGTACGCGAATGCACGGTGACCTCTCTCGTCAACTAATCCTGTATTTGACTGGCAGTCACAATACATTGCTTCTATGCATACGTCGCAGTCACAACGGACTAAAAATTCAGGGTCCACAACTTGAAAGCCATTAGGGCTGGGAAATTATCATCATGAGTCATCAAAACACTGAGATTGGCAAGAACATACTCATTATATACAGATTCAAGATATTCAAAATTTTCGCAAAAAGCGGGAACTTGTTCGTCGTCGATATCGTTGGCGAATGTTATGGGCGCAGTGGAGTTTGATGCTTTATTCCAGCGTTCCTCGAGGCGTTCGCGACTATTCCACAGAAGAGAATAAGATACTGCAATGGATAATTGTGAATAACATACATTGATTTTGTTCTACCCACTTTTTGGCCTGACCTAGAGGGCAATGGCTTGGTGGTACGAGGGTTTGAAGGCATGGGCATAGAAATAGGGGATGGTGGGGGCAAAGACAGCCCAGGTGATGCCGCCACTCTCTTGCCCTTTCCTTTGTTTGAACTGGATGCACCAGTGTACTTGGGAGGAGGAGAGACGGAGAAAGGGGTCAGAAGAGTTGAGGTTGTTTGCCGACTTGAACTGGAAGTGCCGACCGACAAAGTGGTCGAAGTCTCCCCATTAGAATGTTTGCTGCTTGTTATGGATGGTGACCATTTGCCGACAGAGCTAGATGATCTGATTTTCACATTTTGGGTTCGAGGGGTTGAAGTCTTTAATTTCTTCATGGGTGGTTCAGATGCGGGTTCATCGAAAAGATGTGCCTGCGACGCCATGAGCTCTGCCATGCGTGGCGGGAGGTCGTCCTGCTGAGAACGCTTTGTGGCCTTCAATTTCTCATCGTAAGCCTGAGCCCGCAATCGTGTGTTGGTGTTGTAGATGTCCAACGTAGCCCATATTTCAATGTCGTGAGACTCCTTGGCAAGGTCCAACCGCCGCTGAGCTTGTATCCTGTCCCACTCCTCGTGATGCCGAGGTTGCAGAAGATCGTTGTCCCAGGTTGTATTGGTGCCATCCATTCTGGACCAGGTAACCCACTCCGCCTGCAGCAAAAATTAAAAACAACCTTCAAACCAAAGTAGATGAGCAGTCGACTCACTTCGTATCTATAGAGTAAATTGAGGTTGACGCACATAAAAGAACTGGGCAACACTCACCTGACATTTCCCTCTTCATCTACTTCCTCGCCAATGATTTGTATTTCCCACTCGCCGTCTGAGTTAGCTCCCTCGGCATCGCTCCAAGACTCCACTGGAGTGGGTGATCGCTGCCAACGCTCTCGAGCTTTCTTCGGCCTATATTTTGTTGGTAGGTATAGATATTTGAATAGAACAAACCAAGAAGTGACTTACATATGGAACCAATCCGAAATGTCGATCTACGAGGGCAGGGAATGGAGTCTTGCACTGATCTGACTTTCTACGCGTTGCGGCGTTCACGGTTCGACGAGGGAGGGCGCTTGTCACGTGGGCATGCTTCAAGCAGAACATTGCCAGTATGACAATTGGCGGTTCATAAAAATGAATAATCTACAGTAGAATATACAATTCGAAACAGTATAAAGCATCCTTTCAATCTTAATCACATCACGCGAAAAGCGACAGGACGACGTGTTGTAATTTACCATCCCGAATGGCCTACAAAGATGTCAGTAAAAAAGCCCTTTTCAGAAACGCAGACCATACCTCGTGGATGCTCGAGATATGTTGGCCAATTGAAAGGTTATCAGCCCCGACACCATTTACGAACCGGCCATGATTCTCAGCACCATGCATGTGAACCCCAAGATTGATTCTGACAAACTCGTAGACGGCTTTCGTTTTGCCCAAAAGAGAAGTGGCGGGCGCCGCTCCACGATCGCCGCTGAGGTAGTCCTTTCGGAGTTGGTCGAGCAGTGTCGATGCGGAGGATGCAACATTCGCTCGGAACTTCGGAATTAGGGTCAGTGGGGATTCTGCGCCTGGGACAACAACGATGTCGGGACCCATTAAGAAGTCAAGAAGAAGCGTGGTGGTCGATCCAGCGACTTCACGCATCCGATCGGCGTTGTCCATGGTGGTTGTCTTGTCCAATGATTGTTCCATTGTCTTTATCACCCGTTTAAGCAGAGTGTTGTGCTGAGCCGGAGTCAAGTAGAGATCAAATATTGACGTCAATTCTTCCTTTATGATGTCTTCCAATCCGCAAATGAATTCCTGTTGGAGTGCCCGAAGATCGAGTGCTTAAAAAAAATGTTAAGAGCTATCGGTGATCTATCGAAAAAATGCTAGCGTACCTTGGCACAAAAGATATAAATACGTTGCAGTCAACATTGACAGAACTTCTAGGGAAGTAATAGTTGCCCTTGCAGATATTAAAGCCAATGAACTGTTAATATGCCACTGATTAGCTGCTAATCTAAGGGAAAGGTGAAATGAACAAACTTGACGGCTTGGTTGTGCATCTCAGCCGACTGAATGTGGGTGGACACTGGGTTGGCCAAGTAACCTAGTTCGGCTACATAAGCGGCCGTGGCGATATCGGCACCCTTTCCGTGATAATCCAGAGATGGGTCGCTTGCCGCCAGCGATGGCGGTAAACCGTTGTTCATAGCCGGGTTACAAAGCTCGGTGCTCTGTGCAAAGAGAAGTTTTCCGATGTGATGCAAAGCGAGTCGTGTCTTCTCCATAGCGTTGGTGACGGCCATTGCCTGAAAGTTACCGCCATGATGAATTTCACCAGAATCACCGTCAATGAGCGGGTTATCCGTCGCTACATGAATGCTTAGTAAACAGGGAAAGCTTGCATTCTCATTTCATAACGTACTAGAGTTGCATTCCTGCGTTATCGCCGATTGGGCTGCGAGAATATCTTCAATCTGGGGCCCTAGGAATTGAGGCGAAGTTCGGAGGGGATATCTGTCTTGTCTCAAAGAATAACGATCCTCTTCGAGCGTGACTTCCTCTTGCTCTTCGTGTTGTTGAGCGAGTCGGCTGCCTTGCAAAAGATTCCAAATATTCTGCGCACACTCGACCTGACCACGTGTTAGTCTTATAGCATACAGCGATACTATTTGAAACTCACTTGACCAGGATGGGGACGCGCAACCGCATGTATAAATGAGGCATAAGAACCGGTAGTACCTTTCAGTGCCTCCGTACCCATTGCGGTACAAACTTGGGCTAAGAGGCACATGTGCACGGCTTCGTTCACAGCGAGCGCGCCCACAGATGCAGAAAAGGCAGTCCCATTGAGAATTCCCAAATGCTCCTTCGACGCGAGAGAGATGGGCTCAATCTTGTGTTTCAGAAGAGCATCTCCAGAAGAGGAGACTTGGCGACCATGAAAGGAGGGAGGGCCATGGAAAACCTGAATAGAAGAATTGCCAACTGCACGGACGTTTACTAAACTGTACCCCCAATAGAGTAATTTGTTATCTGACCTAGAGCGCCAGCAATATAGGAAAGAGGGGAAAGATCTAAAAGGTAAATAAATTTAGAAGCGGAAGTCAATGCGGAGAAGTACAAGACAGACCTCCCGAAGCCGAGATACTTCCGCGTAACGGCACCACAGGCGTGATGTTGGCAGCAAAAAGTTCCTTCATTTTTTCAATGAGTTCCCACCTACGAATGACAAAAGTGTTGTGAGAAGTTGACGCGTTGCAAAGTTTTGAGATGATTGTACCTGACGCCAGAATGACCACGAATCAACGAATTCATTCGAATTAACATGGCACCGCTGGAAGGAAAATGAGACTGGCTGTGAGGCGCAGATGAAAGAACTCTTACCGAACCCAAGATTCGGGCATAACCGTCGAGGTAGTAGGATCTGTGAGAGGTAGAACGTCAAGGGGCTGCGTAGACGATGGAGTTACACCAATGTGTTGATGTTGAAGCAGAGCATGACCCAACAGTAATGGCTGGTCGGTGCGCGTATCGGCTATCGTTGAGGTTGGTCAGTATGAAGCTGGAATATTCAAGCGAAGGGCACAGACGAACCGCTGCCACCAAACCCAGTAGATAACCCGTAGACGCTTGCCCCACTTTCTACTTTGTCAACAATAACCTTTCGGCTCTTGAGGACGCGCTCCTGGACCGCAGAAGAGTCGTCCAGTTCTATTTTGGCGCTATACCTAGCGGCGGCGACAACTGCAGCGGTGGAAAGAGTCTGTCCGTCGATTTTGACAGTCTTTCCATTTCTACATCCATGTCGTCAGTACCAAGTTGTTGAAGAAGGTCAACGGCACTCACCTGTAACTCTCGAGCTCCCTATGAGAGTCGACAAATTTCGAGAGAAGGGTGGTCGCTTTTGGTGGTGGGGCTTGGACAACGGGTGCCAATCGTTTCAGGCCAGAATCAAGGATATCGTCGAGGACCATTGAAAAAGTTGAGAGAAGACGCGAAGTAGACCAAGAAAGGACTTGTAAGAACCATTCTGAAGGGCGTCGCAATTTATAGGTTCGGAGCAACGGATGAGATCCGTTCTGCGCCGTTTTTGTTAGGGGTTGAAGAGACAAGTTCAGAATAGCTTCTAGGCTGCAACTGTTGTTTGGCGCTCGCTCGTTCGTCCAGAGTTTGCAGCTAATGCGCTCGGCGTATTTCCGGCTATACTCGAAATAGCTACAACTTGTGCTAAAACCTCCTCCACATTTATTCATCGCCAGATTGAAGTGCAGTTTAAATTCCCTTGGCCGGTCAATTAGTCTCTGATTCTGGCCGAGAATCTCCCCAAACTTTCTCAATGCGCGCAACTACATCCAGCCTTACCTTCCGACATATATCCACTACCTCACGCTTGATGACGCCTGGTTATGATATGCTTTGAGTGTCTATGTTCGGTTCAAGATCCTTCCGAAAATGCAAGCCCGCTGTCCCGACTATCGTCGTTATTACGTTCTAAAAACCACCTACCGCTGATATAGAGTAAGATGTTTCCCGTCAGAAGCGTCTAACTGCAGGGTTTGGTATCAGAAGAGCGATGATGTGTGTGTATGTAATCTTGAGAACCTGTAAAGGGCTTGGCAAATGACGTGCAGTGGGTTCTGAGGCTGAGAGGTCCAGCCGCACGAGAACGACCTCGGGGAGAACCACATAGCGCCATTCATATTCTGAGTGGCATTGAGAATGATAGACTCTCAACGAGAGGAATGATTGTTGCAACTTGCATGCATCATTGATGCTTCAAAGATACTTGCCGTACTCAGGCCATGTGGACATCAACATGGTCCCTAGGGAAAATATTATTAGGAATGGGGGAGGTAACTATGATAGAGGGTCCGGATCATACATCACATAATGCCAAATTGTCGCCGATAAGATCCGGCATATTCGTCGTAGTAATTCATTGGAAATGTGTGGAAAGAACAGGTTTTACGCCTTGGAACGGCCAAATCCTTGCTAAAAGGAGTCCGGGATATGCGGAAGCTCTTGAACAACAGGATCAAGCAACTTAGAGTTGATGTTTTTTGAAAGGCCGGATGAATCACTCAAGTCGAAAACATCCTGCCAAAGGAAAAAAATCGGAATAAGTTCGCGGTCAAAAAAATAAAGGGCGTCTTACATCGAGTCTTCCCAAACAAATTCCACCCAATCAACACAACTACCTAACTTGAGTACAACTTCCTCCAGTGCGTTCCGTAAAACCGGTTCTTCGAAACCTCTCACCACTGGGGCGATAACTGTGCTGGACGCATTCTTTGTAGAGGAGAAAGCGGGGCGCTCCGGAAATGACAACCTCGGCCATTTCGTATTTGTATTTCTATCTTGGTCCGGGTTTCGCCCTGTTTGCATACTCACAGGAAAAGTTCTCTTCGCCTGTCCTTGTTTTTCCGTAATGATAGAGAGAAGCCGGGCTTCTATGGCGCCCATGAGACGTCGAAGTAAAAGTAAGAAAACGGGGTCTTGAGGTCGCAGAGTGCGTTCCACCGCCGCCCGTAGTTGCGCTTCTTCGGCAGGCTCTGGCTTCCCGGATGAGAGCGTCCGCGCACGGATGACTTCATCGGCTAAATTGTTTATTTTCGTTCCCCCGTTGGTATTGTCGATTGCGTTCGAGTCAATCTCGGCTTTGAGGAGCACCCAAATTTGATTCATGAAATCGTAGTGTGGTTCCTGGTCGCTGGACCGGAGTACTGGGTGCAATCGAGTGAGCGAGCGTAACGAAGCTGCAATGACGATAGCCTGTATAAGGTTCTGAATGTACAACAAGGCGGGAGCAGAGAGGAGAAACTGCGGTGGTAATTGGTTTTGTGGTTGTCCGGTATCTTCTTCAGATAACGCCTCCCTTGTGAGGTCCGCCTGCCGAGGAAGGTCGCAAGAAAGGGGCCTATCGGAACATAAGGCGTTGACAAGAGCAGTGATCCATTTCTTCTTTTCAGGAATGCCATTCGGGGTTGACGTTGCCGTCTCAGGCGCTCCTACGAGCCAAGATTGCCAAATCTCTTTAATTTGGTGGTCACCTCCACTTTTCTGAGCGCCCCAGATGTCCAAAACCACACGTCTTTCACGGAGTTTGGCCTGTTCTATTACCAATTGCTTCAGCTGTGCATCTGTCATATTTCCAAGCACAAAGGTGCTAAGGTCCGATTTCATAATCTCTACCAAGGAAAGGATGGATTGCATGACATCCACGAGAAGTTGTGCGAGGGGCGACGGCGGTTGGGCTTGACTGGAAGGCTGAGTGGCATCTATGTGATTAGCGTCTATTACTTTTGGGGCGTAGACCGGAAAAGGGTCGTCTAACTTTCTAAGAAGTTCATCCACCATATCATCGCGTAGCGGAGCACATCGTTCACGTAGGGCTACCACGATCTCTTTGAGGAAGACGCGGGCAGATTGAAGGGGAGAAGATGTCGGAGGAAAAGGTAAGGACAAGGCTTGCACTATTTGATGATTAGGAGGGAAGAGAGGAGAAAGGGCCTCGAGTATATCGCCGTATAGACACTTCAAACGAGGTAGCTGTACAGAGGGGATGGGTGACGACAGGGCTTCAAGGGCCTACGATAAGAAACAACTTCCTGTTAATTTCAGAACCGGCACAACGGTGGGAACGCACCTCAGTCCAAAAGGCTTTATGTGCCACTTCCTTCACTCGACCAAGCAACGCTGTGTCTTGACCTCCTCGTCCCGGTGGTTCGTCTGGTAATCCAACTTGGGCATGGGCAAGCATCGACAAGGGGGTCTTCCCCGGTGGAAGAACGCTCTCTGGATCTGTTGCCAAGAGGTGAAGAAGATACGCTTGGTTGAGGGCATGAATGAGTTCAAGCGGGAGCGTAGAGAGCGTTTGTTGGTTAACAAAACTCGAATTTGGACCACTATTCATGTCAAGCCGCGAAATGTGGGTGAACTGGGTGACGGTTTATCATCTCCCATCGACGTAAATGGCAATTCTTGCGGATCAGCGGCTGCACGCCGCAAGTTTGTGGGCCGTTACCTTCCCCGAGGACTTACCTCCCCTCGATATCAGTGAACCCGCAAGAATCCTTTGTCAATTGCATTCAAAATTTTCAAAGTGGTAGATATGAGCTTGTGGTACACGTTAGGTTTTTATTTTAATTATTGTACAACACAGAACTGTTCCCCGACTTTTATATATGGTGACCGGTGAATTTACATATTATCAATACAGATGGTGGCAAGGTTGTCGTCGTGGGGGAGATTTAAACAGGGCTATAAGATGGCGGAGGGTATTGCAGTAAAGGTGCAGGCGTAGGGGGAATATCGTTTGGAGTATACGGGGGCGCTGGTTCGTGATGAGGGGGGGTGAACATGCCGTTGGCAGCGAGGAGTTTTGATTTGCCGCTCGTACTAGACAGTATCGCCCGGCGACGTTTAATGGTGCAAATTACGATTCCAGCAACAGCTAAGAAAACTGCAAATTTGCGTAAGCACAACGAGCGGGCACTTGCCGCGACGCCGACGCCGACGCACTTAATATAAAGCCGATGGCGTATAACACTGGGGCGCTTAGATAAATCCCATCACGGAAGCAGTCCAGGCTTTGAATGAGCGAGTGAGCATCATGCGACTGATGACAATGAAATACTTACTTGCTGCATTTTTCGCTAGGAGCTGTCATGAAAGTGGAAGGGCGGTGGTCAATGAAATTTTTGAGAGCAGAATTTATGCATGTAAGGTGGCTGGTAGCTGTGCGTTGACACGACTACCACTAGCGTTGGACAGCGTCGGACGACGAAGCTATGCGCGTCGCAGCGTCTCATCAAAGTCAAGATGATGTGTCAGAGTGTACGGTGTTTACCGGTGTTGTCAACACACATATTATTGATGACGTGATGATCTTCACGACAGTCATCGTTGCGCCCATTTTCGACTCAGCCATTAGACCCAGCTTCCTCTTGCCTTCGTCGCTGTTGCTGGCAGGCACCTCGCCATCTTTGTCCAACTGAATCTCAGAACGACGCCTATTACGATCAACTCACGAGAAACACGACCTCAAGTTGTCATTAGACTTTAAATGGACACTATCACCACAACTGCGACCTCTGCCTCATCGTCTCCGACCTCCGTCTCAACTGACGCCGTATCAGCCCGCCATGCTAGCCCAGTTATTGCCTTCATAATTGGACTCGCTATAATTCTCCTTGCCTCCGTTCTCAATGCCGCAGGCCTCAATCTCACAAAATTAGACCATGTTTGTAGACTGCTTCGGCAAACTGTTCATTGACTAACATAATAGAAAGGTTCGAACAAGCGCAGTACCGAAAGGCGCGCGCAAGAAAGACTGGATGCGACCGTTGTGGTTGCTGGGAATACTACTATACATGTTTGTTACACCAATTGATTTACCCTTCGATTGGAACTCATATCTTCCAGTCTATCACAGCTAATAGGAAGTACATTGGCACTTGAATATATGCGTGCGGGTAAGTATTTGGTTGCCCATTGATCGCGTCTTTTCGCTCAATGTCGCCCAGAATATGTTGCACCACTGGGTTCCTCTTCCCTTGTCTTTAATTTCCTCTTTGCTCGCTTTCTAGTCGGTACCCCGGTTACGAGCACAGATGTCTATGTTTGTCCTTCTTCACAGTACCTTGACGCCATTTAACTTGTTATTATCAACTAGGGCACTATTGTCGTTGTTCTGGGCGTGGTCGGCATCGTTGCTTTTGGTTCCATAAACAGCGGCCTCTCAAATGGAACAGATGTAGAACATATCACCCGATTATGGAGGCGTGGTGGTTGGCTAGGCTTCTTCTTCGCGATGGCATTCGCTCTTTTCTGTGTCCTCGTCTTCACAAGCAGACTTGACGCCGTCCTTGCTGCGAGAGCCGACTTGGAAGCTGTACCCTTTTCCAGCACGGGGACACGCCCGGGTGTCGGGCTAGGATTGCCAGGCGGTGCGCTATCAGGGGGTGGGCGACGTAAATCGTTACTTGGGAGAGTTTTGGGTGTCTTTGGCGCGATAAAACATGGCTGGTATGCAACTATGGATTGGGTTACCGAACACCTGGAAACATGGGCTGCACCAAAAGATGATAAACAGGTCGCTTGGACTCTGGGTATCGGATGGGCTTGTTGTGGCGGAGGTCTCGCTGGTGGATGTTTGGTATTTGCCAAAGCCACGTAAGTGTTAATTTTCATCAATCACCCTCCTTTCTCAAGTGAATTTTGCAGCGTCAAGTTATTGTCTGGTTCCCTCTCCCACCAAAATCCTGGGAATCAGTTTGGCCATGCGGCTCCCATCTTTACGATCTTGCTTCTTGCACTTACCGCCGTCTTACAAATCATATGCCTCAACCGTGGCCTAAAAGTATACGACTCGACTCTTGTAGTGCCTGTGTTTTATGGTGTCTATACTGCCACAGGGTATAGTCGAATCAGTCTTTTAGAATGCGTGACCTCATTTCTCACACGCGTTCTGCAGCTTTCTAGACTCTTTGATCTTCAACAACGAGGTCGATTCATATAAATCCTGGACACTCTTCTTGATTTTCCTATCTATCTCCGTCCTTATTTCGGGCGTCGTTCTTTTGACACACAAGAAGCCTGAGCCAGTGACAGGGAAAACCAAGTCCGCAACTCCACGACCCAGACAACGTCGGAAAGTGGATAAGAAGACGTCTGAAGAGGGCGGTGAGCTTGAGGGCGAACAACATGGGGAAGGCGAAAGCTCAGTTCTTTGGGCTGTTGGCGAGGCGAGTGATGGGGAGGAGGATCTGGATGAGGATGAAGATCTGGATCACCACCAACACCCGTTAGGCCAGTTGCGTCAAGGGAACTCCAGTCGAAGAAATTTAAGGGCTGGTCGAGAGGGGGTCGGCTTAATTGATCGCGAGGAAGGAGGGGATCTTGAGGTAATAGATCGGTATTCACATAAAACGGAGGACGTTTGGAAACGAAGATCAATGGACCCCTTCCGAGACGACACAGAGCAGGAGCTTGGAGGTTCGGGAGTAATTCGGTAACAGGTGTCGTCGTTTCACTCACTCGTATTTATCATAGTAGGTTAATTGGTGCCCTTATAATATCCTAGCTATATTATTGTACGGGACTATCTTCCCAAAAGCCATATGCGGAAGAATAAGCCATTACTAAAGTATCTTTGTAGGTAGACAACAAGATTTTTAAAACATTCGGCCAGCGTATGTACTAGTTACCGCAACCAGGACAACAGTGAATGACATCGTGGACAAAGACGTCACAGTCCGCGCAAAAATCATGATGGCACTCTGGACACTTATATCGACCCACAGGGCTTACGCCTTCAGTTGCTGAGGCTGAGACTGCCGTTGGGAACGGACGCGAGCATGCATGACATGAGCTCGATGGATCGGTCACATCCTCAAGATTCGCCCTATCGCAATTGTGTAAAAAACATTGAACGCACGCCATAAGGAAGCTCACTTACACGGCATCGTAAGGCTTGACCGGGAAAAGATGGTGGTAGCTTCTCGCAAGATGTGGAGAGCTCACAATCATCAAACCACAGATATCACAATCCGTAGGAACATCACAGACTTTGGATAGACATCGTGGGCAAAGGAAGCCTTCGCTTTTAAGTTCGGAATGGCATACACACAACGTTGGAGCGGTCGCGTCCGGGAGGCGGGTGGGGAATCCCATCATCATGAGGTCGGCGGCGGGATTGGAAGATCCAGTGCCTGCCCCGGCAACACGAGACGTTGCATGTTGTGCAGGAGGTGGGATGAGCTCGAATAAAAGATCTTTGAAGTGTCCTTCATTCATAGCCACCCCAAACTGACCTGCCCTTGGTTGGGTTGAGTGGTGAGGCGGTGATGAAGCTGAAATAAACTGCGGGATTTAAGACCCACCGCCTGTTTTGTTACAGAGCTCCCGGCAGACTTTCATCTCTGCGGCCAGAGCGACGACGGAGATGCGGATTTTGTTCTTTACACATGTGTCAATTGTATCGTGAATGTTTCCGGGATCGCATGTGGTCAACGACCCAAATATGATTAATATTTCACGAGATGAGTGGGTTGGAAGGTGACTAGGAGTTTTACAGTCAGTTGTAGAAAATGATATATGGGTAATGACACACTTCATACTGCTTCTGGCCATTTCAATTGCATTTTGGAGACTAGGTTCTCCAGTCGGCTCAAGTTTGTGTCGTTCAGCAATATATTTCAGTACGTCTTGTGGATTTCCTGTTTTTCGATAACGTTTGAGTGAAGTAAAGCATTTTTTGTGAAAGCACGCACCTGACATTTCTCCGATTCGTTCTCCAATGCCAGCCCTCATACCAACCACGCCAATCTGCCCCAGAGGATTCTGATCAAACCATTCCGCTATAAACTCTCGCGCATATTGGAGCATGAGGTCGAATCGTGTCGGTCTCATGTCTCTGTCCATCATCGACGCTGACAAGTCGAGGAGCAACACCAGATGTCGAATAATCGTACGTCGTATGGCAGCAGCTGGGGCAAGGAGGCTAAGGCTTGGATTAAGTAGAGTAAAAAACGAGGGCCGTTTGAACTACCGTCGCCGCCTCCCCCTTGCCATCAGCTCCTCAATAGAAGATTGTAAACTGCCAGCTTCGTCTTCTTGAACGGTGTCCCAAGAACGCGTATACGACGCTTCCCATGTGTATGCTTGCTGAAAATAGTCCGCAATTTATAACTCTGTTATTATACAACTATCCGCTCACTGTATCTTTCGCTTTTCCTTTGCCCTTGTCTGAACGCAGTTTATCCCCAGACTTTGCTTTAGCCTTGCCTTTACCCTTGGCGGAAGTGTTGAGATCGTCTTCCGGTAAGGAGATGTCCGAGTCCGAGTCGAATCCCATGACAAAATCGCGGTCCTTGCGTGGTGGCATGGCTGTGGTGGTCCTGAGTTATGTGCAGCAAGCCTACTTCAACTCTTTCATGAATTTCTTCAAGCTTGAAGGCAGGGGTCATCGTCCTTAGAACTAAACAAGGTCATACAACACGAACAACGTGACGAGAAGTGAGGCCTACGAAATTGAAAGCCTGCCACTGTGGGCAGCGTTCAGCAACGTTGCATTCGTGCTGTCTTCGTTTCCTTTCGCCGAGTCGAGCAGACGGGGGCAAATGCAACGTATCTTTCAACCCATGCATCAACTTCGACTCTTGGGCAGTCTGGTTCTACTGGCTCTTCTGTTACTTGTATCTCGGCGTTCTGAAGCATCAATCTACAATATACTTGGATTTTTTTCCAAGATAGAATTGCCACCACATGCCTCATCCACTATTGCGCGCTGTCGTCAATTAGACATGCAGGCGGGACCTTCGGATGACTTTTGGAGTCGTTCAGCCTCTGACCGTTTCGAACCAGGAACAAAACCCATACTGATTCAGGACGGAAAAATATGGACTGGCGGTGAGAATGGGACAGAAATCATCTGCGGAGATGTTCTTCTCGAAAAAGGTCTCATCAAGAGCATCAGCCGGTTTTCTGTCGAGTCCCTTCTGGCTTATGGGAGTGACATTGTCGTCGTTGACGCGAAGGGATCCTGGATTACCCCGGGCATCGTTGATGTTCATTCCCATTTGGGTGACGCCTCGTCTCCCGCCCTCTCTGGCGCAGTAGATGACAACTCTGGAAAGGGTACTATCCAGCCCTGGCTTCGAAGTCTTGACGGACTCAATACCCATGATGAATCATACCAGCTCTCTATCGCGGGTGGTGTGACCACGTCTTTGATTCTCCCAGGCTCAGCCAGTGCTATAGGTATGATTTTAGACACTTCCTCTTGAACCTGCTATACTTAGCTGGTCTGCTTTAGGTGGTCAGGCATTTGTGATGAAACTTCGCGAAACCAAAGAGCGTTCTCCGTCATCGATGTTGCTTGAACCCCCCTATCACATCAATTCTTCATTCCCAGATCCAAATCTCCCACCCAGGTGGCGTCACATGAAGTAAGAGTGATAGACTCGATCAAGCTGTTACTAACATTCGAAGTCACTTAGACATGCATGTGGTAAGTATCCATGCAATACCTGGTCCTCGTATGTTCATAAATTGCTGAGTTTACAGGCGAAAATCCTTGTACGTTTTCAATTATGTTTGCACCTGCCAGGACCTAATTTTTATTTTCAGCCGATGAGTACAATGACACGCGCATGGACACTATTTGGGAATTCAGAAAGGCGTATGTAGTTTGATTATTCTCCGACGAAAGACCAGAGAGTTGAATGCTCGTTCAAAGGTATAACAAGGCCACTCAAATCAAAGAACGGCAAGATGAATATTGCGCTCAAGCTCTATCTGGGAACTGGGAAGGACTTGGAGAATTTCCCGATGATCTGCAGTGGGAGGCTTTAGTTGATGTGGTTAGAGGCCGAGTAAAGGTTAGTCTGCGGCCGCTTAGAGTGAGGGCAAGATTTTTACTTGGTCGGGTCAGGTTAACACGCACTGTTATGAAGCTGTCGATTTAGATGGATTGGTCAGGGTATTGTCATCTTTTCCGATAGCGATTTTTCTGCTCTTACGTTCTTTGAAAGCTTTCCAACGAGTTCAAATTCCCGATTGCTGCTTTTCATCACGCCAGTGAAGCTTATCTGGTTCCGGACCTCCTGAAGAAAGCATACGGTAGCGCTCTATTGGAAACTGATTGTTTTGCTTTGACTGAAACTTTATTCCTCTAGGTCAAACACCTGCCGTAGCTCTATTTGCTACGAATGGCCGGTTCGTCGATCGTTTTTGTTCATACTAAAGCTGACCAGATTGTCGATTTAGATATAAACGCGAGGCATACAGGGCGTCTGAATTCGCTCCAAGAATTCTCGCAAAACACGGCATCACTGTGGTTATGAAGGTGAGCATTTTCTTCCGCCCGCGACGTTTTTCTGATCTTGTTTAGAGCGATCATCCAGTACTGAATTCGAGATACCTTCTATACGAAGCCCAACAGGCGTATTTTTACGGCCTTCCGGAAAACCTAGCTCTTGCCTCAGTGACCAGCAATTCCGCCAAAGTGATTGGTATGGATCACCGAATCGGGCACATCAAAGAGGGTATGTTCGGCTTGTTTGGCTAAATCTTTCTGAATGGCTGATAGATTGGCGGTAGGTTACGATGCAGGTAAGCCTTGTGCTTCATTGACCTTAGCACAACAATTCAGACAAGCAAGATCTCGTGATTTGGGACAGCCATCCGCTTGCCCTTGGTGCAACACCTTCTCAAGTCTTCATCGACGGCATACCGCAATTGGATTCGCCGTATGTTGTTCACAAGCCGAACCATTTCCAAGTCACCCCCAAAGTGCCTAACTTTGACAAGCAAGCCGACGAAGCAGTGGAGTACGAGGGCTTACCACCTTTGACTCCGACGAAGGCTCGACATGATACAACCATTTTCTTGAACGTCAAAGCGGTTTTCGAAAGAACCACGGGGGCCGTTCAACAAGTATTTTCGGCTCAGGATGAGGCGGAACTCGGTGTCGTTGTCACTCGCAATGGTTCTATCGTCTGCTCGGGGGAACGAGTCAGCTGTTACACCCCCGCGTTTTTCGGTGCCGATGCCCAGGTTGTTGACCTTGAAGGTGGATCTATCTCACCTGGCCTTGTCTCCTTTGGTTCCCCACTTGGTCTGCAGCATATAGATCTGGAGCCTTCGACCCAGGATGGTTATGTGTTCGATCCCTTTTCTCCAAAAGGTGTCCCTGAGATTGTGGGTGGCGACTATGCGCTTGTGCATGCTGTTGACGGTTTGGAGTATGGCAGCCGGGACGCCTTGTATGTTTATTACATTGTGCCCTAATAATGTGACTCACTGCGCAACAGATTAGCATACAGGGCGGGAGTAAGTTAGCTTACGCATTACTCATCATTTATCACATCTTAACATGACGGAAGGTGACAACCGGGATCACTGCCCCCAGTCATAAAGGGTTTTTCGCTGGTCTGGGGACCTCCTTTTCTCTTGGTGCTGCACATCGGCTAGAACCTGGCGCTGTTTTGACGGAGACTACCGCGGTTCATGTTTCTGTCAGGCACATAGGAACGCCCAGTGTGAGTACACAAATTGCTGTGCTACGTCGACTTCTTCTTGGTCCCCAAGAAGGAGCAGCAGGCTACTGGTTTAATAAGGTCAAAGAGGTAAGTACAGTTAATTCTGTTGTCTCAGACCTTCCTTTTCTCTGCTTCTTTAGGGTGAGATACCGCTTGTTGTGGAAGCCCACAGTGCAGATATAATCGCGACCTTGGCAATCTTGAAAAGTGAAGTGGAAGCGGAGACACGTAAAACTTTGAAGTTGACCATTACTGGTGGAACCGAAGCACATCTCCTTGCAAAAGAGCTCGCCGAAGCACATATTGGTGTTATCCTCTCGCCCTCACGACCGTTTCCATATGTTTGGGAGGATAGACGAATGTATGATGCTCCTCAATATCCCCTATAAAATTTAATTGTGTTCGGACAGCCTACCTGGACCGCCCATTACGAGAGACAGTGCAATCGTCAACTTGATTGAGAACGGCGTTGTCGTTGGCATTGGTTGCGAAGAAATTTGGTCTGCGCGTAATCTTCCTTTTGATGTTGCATGGGTATGTTCGCTGTTGTGTTATATGATTCCCCTTCCTTAATCATTGCATAGGCTGCTATCGAAGCAGGAGGAAGACTTTCGAGAGAACAGGCTTTTGCAATTGGTTCAACGAACATTGAGAAACTCCTTGGGAGCAAGGTTGATTCTGATAAAACGGACCTCGTTGCGACTCAGAGAGGAGATCTTCTAGATGGATCAAGGGTGGCTGCTGTGATATCGCCTACGCGTCAAGGAGTTTTTGTATTCAGCTGATTTTGAGTATGTAGTCATTTTTTTATAACCCATGGACCATTAGGCATGGCGGAGAAATCAGGGAGGATGGTATTGGCGTGTGGATCACGTGGGCGTGTATAATTGAATTTTGCAACAGCGCGCTTTTGACTCGACAACGAGCGCTGGCCACAGCTTTGCCGTTGGCAAAGCGCGTTTATTTTGGTGGCGATGGCCAAAAGCTCCAAAAAATTGACTGGCAATGCGACGAAGCCAATCACTGACTTTTTTAAACCCAAGTCTTTGTCTCAGTCATCCTCCCTGGCCACAGTTGCTTCCAACTCAACTGGACCTTCCTCAGAAGCAACCGTCAGTTCTATAGCATCCTCTCAGACCGTCTTATCTCAGTCTAGTTCCTCAACACACCCGACTCGCGTCACTCACATGCAGGTGAAGCTACAAAGTCACGTATCTGAAGACACCACTTCTCTTCGGAAAGGCTTACCGTCCCCTACGAAGCCTATGGTTCAAACGGTCGGCTCGTCAACCTCTTCTTTGAAACGTTCCCGTTCCCCGGACACGCAACCCCCAGGACTGAGCCCACTTCCATTGAGGCGTTTTCAAAAACCACTTCCTGAGCCATGTAATTCGCCCGCAAGGCGCAAGGCAAAATTTGACACAGATTCTGAACGAGAGCAGGATTCGGTAGTTCACGTCAAACGGATGGTACGTTCATTAGGGGTCCTCCTTGGATCGTTTTTCTGACACAGCGTCCCCATCAGCAAACCCCTCAATCTAAGAAGCGTCGCATTTCTTCACCCGGACCTTCCTCCCTTCATAGCTCAAGTAGCCTTGTCCCCAGCAGCCAATCCGATGAAGAAGAGCTGGCGCCTTCACGGTCCAAGGCTCGGAGCACAGATGTCAAGGCGGTCGACCATTGGAGGAAAGAGACCCTTCCCCATTCTCCGGACGTCGACAGCGACGACGATCGTGCTGCACAGACGGAAATCGACCCCTTACTCTCTTCGTCCCCCCTAACTTCTAGATTCACCTCACCGTTGACGGAGCCTGAGCATGACACCAACCTTCAGCGCCCAACGCCTGCTTCCCCTTTCAGCCCCGGTTTCGGTCACATCCCCACACCTCCATATACCGACCGTCATTCAAATGATGCCCCTATGCCGCCTTCGCCTATTGCTCTTGATCCCGCAACGAAGGCCGCTCAAATCATTGCGGATATCAAGGCCAGGGCCTACGCGGCGACGCTATTAAGCCCCGAAAGTACTCCCTCTCTTGAGTTCAAGGATGAATTATCGGATAGTAGCGACGATGAGATGCTTCCGTTTGTCCCTGTGCCAGCGAAGGAAAAAAGGTACTCATCCCGCCATCCATCTTGTTACGTTTGCTGACGCCATTGCAGTAAGACAAAACCCAGTGTTGATAATGTCGATTCAACAATCATGACACGTCCCACTCGATATCCACTCCGAGATCGCACCTCCTCGCCAGCCATTGGAGAAGGGGAATCACTTGAACAAAGCTCACGGGGATTGCGCACCATGCCCGCTGTATTTTTCAATGGAGCTCACAAGAAAGGGAAAGGAGCAGCCAAAAAGAAGCCTGCTTTCAACCCACTTGATAATTTTTTAAAGGAAAAAAGGCAAGCAGAGAAGGGCGGTAAAGGAGCTGAGGCCTTCCGTTGTGCTGAGAGCTTGGCCAGCATGCAGGGGAAAAATAATTTATTCGACGAAATGGCCGATGAGCAAGCTGAGAGCGCAGCCTTTCAGGCTGTGAAAGAACGTGATCAATGGCTCAACACCCCATTGAGCCCCGATAATAGCTTCACTTCCCTCGGTGCTATAACCCTGGTTGAAGAGGATAGGCGAAGACTATTCGGCGACAACGGCGGGAAGGCGATTATAGGTATTTTGGAAAGTGATAGGGTCTTGAAGGATCAAGAACGCGCCCACAAAAAGTTCAAGGGAGTACCGTTTTGGACAACGCAAGACTCAGTGGGCATGCTAGTTGATGAAACCTTTCCGACTTTCCAGTATGAAGGAAAAGATAGCATACTTCAGCTCTTTAAGTCTGCACTTGATCGTGGAGGTGCATAATTTCATCACCTCTCACTGAATTGTTGGCTAATTTTCTCATCCCTTTTACAAGACCTCGCACAAGCTTCACTCTTGCTTGACACCGGCTTTTTATTCAGCAGTAAAGTTGTGACGCAACCTCAAGTAACTACTTATCTGTGCAATCTTGGCAAGTGTCTCCTCCGTTTGGTTTATGCTACGTTTTGACATCAGGGTACATCAGCCCTTTCTACGAGTGATGCACCAATCCATGCAGCGGCGTTCCGTGCTCTGTTACGGTTATATTCTTCAAAACCAAATCCCCCTTGTGGGGTCACACTCTCTTGCATTTTAGGCGCTCTCCATCGCTTAGGAGCCGTGTCCTCCCCGATGTCTTCTATAGGATGGGCAACGGAGTCTTCCGTACACCCACCATCGATCGATTCAACAAGTCGCGAGGGAGCACTGTATCGTTTGGTAGAGCTAGTAGCTTCGTGTGCACGGTATGTTTATTCCTCATTGGCTACGACCTGAATTTTAACTGTCTGCTTTTTCAGATCTCAACAGCTAGTCGTGGAAGACATTCCAGACCTGGTAGCAGCATTGGTGTTACTAATCGCTACCGACCCTTCCACCTCTCTGCCGCTACAACGAGATATCACAACAGTGATAAACCAAATTTGCAACAGCATTGGCCCTGAGGGCGAGGTGTTCTCCGAGATTGTGAGCTAGAAAACACTCTTTCGAATATGAACTGAATTGTTGGTTTGTAGGAAGCTCGCATTTGTTCAAAGGTGTTAAATTGCATTTCAACGTGTCAGCCCATAAACATACCTGCTTTCCTTTTTGGCTGCCGGCACAGGTCGCTCCTTGCGAATTGCCCGGTACGCAGCCTTTTCCATTGTCACCGAGCAGGCAACCGTCACCCCAGTAAGTCCTTGAACTCAGATTTCTGAATTTTACCCTAATAAGTTTAAAGGCGCAGTATTCCGATCTACCTCCCATTTCTGAAATCCTCAATGCTCTCTTGCTCACGAGCTCGGACCAGTCAGGCATTTTCGATCTCCACGATGAGACTGATTACGTCAACCTGGGATTCTATGTCTACATTTTGAGTGTTGCCCTCTCGAACGTGAAGGGTTGGGCGCTTGAGGAGTGCGAGGAGTCGAGATCAAAGCCTCTTGGTCGTCATAGTCCAAACAAATTGGGCTCGGGAGAAGACAAACCCAAAACACCATTGCAAGTCCTCCTCTTGAGAGCCTGCATTCGGGCATCAGTAAGTGAAATTGTTGGGTACGAGACAACCAAATGGCTGATCGAATATCGTATAGGTGATACCCGCGCTGCGCACCTGGACCGTTCTCGGACCAAGGCAGCTGTTAAGGCATTGTCTGTGCGGATATATTACCAACGTGATGCCTGGATAAGAGGCAACACAAACAGCAATGGTAAACCCAAGATGAACCTTCGTCAATACTTTCCTACAAAAAGCTAGAGTAGCTTTGCTTTCTTTGAATAGCGGAATTGTTTGCTTTCTTCCTACACTAATATTATGTTATCCTAGTTTGCTTCGTACCCTCAAATTACACATTGTTAATCTCAAATGAATTCTGTATGATACTTAAGTGTTATGTTATGACCTGCAAGCCACAACCGTGCCGTTCTCTATGAGCAAGCCTCATGGTAGATGAAAAGGTTAACAAGTGAACCAAAAGTTAAGCAACCATTAAAATTATGACAACAGAGGGATTCGAACCCTCGCCCGTTAAGACTGGATATGCATTGAAGGCCTAATTCCAGCGCCTTAGACCACTCGGCCATGTTGCCCCTGTTACAGACTTATAGATGGAATATTCGATTCACCCTGGAAAGTTATATTAGTCTCAATCTCCAGCATGACAATCTCCTCCCTGTACGCTTCCCAAGCTCAATGGGTGTTTATGGTCTTACGACATACCTCCGCGAGAAAAAACGATTATTATCAACTAGCATTGAACTTACCGCCAGTTCTTCCACAAAAAACCCAACTTCAATTGTGGTAGATGGTTGGTCGTGAGTTCGCTATTTCTTTAGCGACTGAACAACGTAGCTAACGGTGATTAGGTTTATCTACGATGTGCACGACCACTCGAATCTTCCTTGGGTATACGGTGGAGAGTACTCTGAATTTGCAAACCTAGTAACGGCTGTCGTTGAAGCTTGGATCAAGGTAGGACTCAAGATTTACATTGTTTTTGATGGTCTGTATGCGACCGTAATGTGAACTCCTATATTTCGATTTAATCTTCGTACAAGGTGCACACCCCGAACTGAAGTTTCCGACAATCATTTCACGTTTAAGTGAATCGCACGTTCGACCATCGTTGCTCTTCTTTCGCACCTCCCCCGCAGCTCGTGCAACATCTCGATCGCTTCATGAAACCTGCATCATACCTCCGCTGTTATATGCAACATGCATCAATGCCCTCGAAAACCTTCGTAGTACAAACGATGCCCTAGAACTTCACTTTGCCGACGAGGAAGGTGACCCTTACGCTGTGGAATTGGCGGGCCGGGTGGGCGGCTACGTCGTTGGAAACGACTCTGACTTCGTCATCCTCCACACGGAAGGATACCTTGGGTATATACCACTGGCCGAAATGACGTGGCAAGCATCTGGGTTGGATGATATCCCAACTCTTGAAGACGAAGATGCTGAATTCCAAACTGTTAGGAAAAAATCTAAACGCAGGCCTACGAACAGTTCCACGGCGGGCAAAGGACTCTTACCGCCGGACACGGACGAAGAATTGATCCTATCTTTCATCACATACAATCCGGTGACGTTGGCGGACCATTTCAAGCTGCCCGTAACTCTCCTGCCCTTGCTGGGTGCTTTCGTGGGCAATGATTACTCAAAACAAACAGAGTCACATCGCCGCAATATTCAATCACTTTTCTTCGATAAGAAACTCTCTTCGTCTCAGCGGATTGATCATACCGCCGCTGTAATGCGTGCAGTACTATCTCCTGCCACTCCAAAACGCAAGTCGGCACACCCAGTTGGCAGCCCCATGGACCTCATCGATAGAACAGTCACCGCACTTTTGAGTCGATTGACTAATGCATTGGGATCAGGAGAAATCGATTCCATCATTGAGAAGGTCGTGGAAGCAACACTCCGATACGCATTGCTCAAATACTCTGGTGATATACCGGGAAAGGATGGGCTATGGCGTTCAGGCATTTGCGCCCTGCACCCTCCCGAGTCCTGTCGAATCTTACCCATGTTCTCCCAAAAGGTCATTACTCAACATCAGGATTCAGGGCAGGAGGATGCATCGTTATTCGCAATCCGTGAAAAATATCTTCAGTCATACCGAAGTGGTCTTTTCTCGCCCAAAAACATGGACGTCCTAAGTACGGGGACTTTTTGGCCCAGGCTTTTTCTTGAAAATCCAGACTTAGAGACAGTTGGCCGGAGCATTGGACGACCAATCCACATTTGGGTATATGCTATCCTAAACGACGCTGTCGGATTACCTGATGACATAGATGACGAGGACGAGGATGAGGATGAGCTCATTGATGTCGTGGAATCTGACGGAGAGGGCACAGACGGGGCGGATTACCTTGCTCCCCTCAAAGGTGAACTACGACGCCTTCACACCTCAGAAGATGAAGCTACGGAACCACCAGCTTCTATAGCGTCATCTGGTCGCCCCAATCGATCCCGTCCTGCTGTGGTGACAGAGTATCTAAGGCGAGGAGTTCGAATCGCTGAAGAGCTGGTCGAAGTGGTGCCTCTGCATGATCTTTTGCCAGGAATATCACTCTCTAGTTTTGCTTCCATTGACGCTCCTCCTCTGCTGTTAAGATCGCAGGACGATCGATTGACCGTTTTCCTCCGTGCTGTGGATTGCGATATACCATCCATTCGAGGGCTGTCTTCTCAGCACCTCGTTCCGGTTCTTGCTGTCCGTTGGATCGCCCGCACTCTCAGTCGTCGCGCTCAAGAAACGGGTAGCAAGGAACATGCAAAAGAAAAATGGACAATGAATGAAGCCCGCTGCTTCCTCGCCTCTTTTGCATGGTCAACTGCCCGTGAATCTGATAATCAGCGAGAGCCCCCACCCATCGTTGATCGCCATGTCCAACTCATGGCACAATACCTCATGGCTTTGGAAACCATCAGCCAGCTATCAGAAGTCCTTCTTCTTACGGAACGAGCACCCTCCACAGCTCACCTCTTTTCAGGGAAATTGTGTCATGAGTTTTTGACGCAGACACACCCTTTGGAAGATGCTGTCATCTCAAGTTCTCTTTGGGCCGTTGCTACTGAGGGTTTATCAGATGACTATCAAGAGGAGCGCCCCAAGAAGGCGAAGAAAACGAAGAAAGAGAGAGGGCCTGCACTGCCGTCATCCGCGAAGCCAACTACGGGTACAAGCTTGTTCGCGTTGTTGGGAGATCAAGAGGCCTGATGGGGTCCAGATTCATTTATTCTTGCTTAATTTGTGCCAAACTCGTTCATGATGTTTGTGATTCTGTTTTTAGAATCCTATGTGTTGTTCTGAGAAGGGATAATTCCAAGCATATAAGGTATCCGCGAGGTCGAACCTGAGCAGAAATCTTTATCACTGTCACCATCGAGATAGCGACCCACAGGTAAGAGCTGCGGCAATTGTCTCGTTTTGGCGCTAATCATAAATAAATTACTGTTGGGTGCACATTTTACAGCAGCTCGCGCAATACACGGCCAGCTAAGGGTTGTACATTATTCAACATGACTTGGATGTGAATCACGCAAGAGATTCGCGTGGGAGAGGACAGGAGAGCAAAATACACCTGAACACAGCAACACAGCCAAAATGGGCTTAAGCAATACACAAGCAATACACGCCAATATAGGACGGCCGACGCGCTGTTCTGTGTTGATTGTGGCTGTGGCACTGCAGTAACAGCCTCTAATCATTTAAAAGGGACCCACTACGTGTTTCAACGGAAAGATACCCCAATGGCTTTCACATACCGAAACAGCCCCGTCGTCCCCACCGACATCATCACCTACAAGCATGCCGGGAAACTTGTATACGTGAAGCCCGCGGAAAATTACGAGGTAAGCATCGAAAAACTCAACCCAACAGGAGAAACATACCCTAACAACCTACACAGCTAGCGCTTGACTTTGCTCAAAAAGAATTCCCAGAAGAGTTGGCACATATACCACGAGACAGAATAATGTTCACCATAAGTGTCAACGTCCAGGGAGAGCGGCGGCATGTGCGGATATCTGAGAGCGCGTGGACAGGGACCGTCGGACGCCTTTTGAGAGGGGAAGTCATCGATGTTGGTCTCAGACCAGATCCATCAGCAGTCATCCCGCCGCCTCAGTATCTCGAAATCCCATCGAAAGAACCGGCCGTTGCGCAGCCGAGATCTGTACGCCACTCGCGATCGACACCTTCGTCACGACAGCACTCGCCGACGCCATCGAGTCAGAGCGATAAAGGCGGCTCGACGAGGATACGGTCGTGGTTTGGCGGAAAATGATTTTCTTGAAAGAGACCCCATAGACACCTTGAATGCCTTATACCCCATTCTTCTACCTTTCGGCTTCATACCATCGTGTAGATTATATTCTTTGTATCATTCCTAGATAGCATTTTATTGTATGTACACTTGTCGTTATAGCGTGTTCTCGCACCAGAAGGCTGCGATGTATGATGATCCTTTCTCCTAGTTGATAGGTTAAGTCGCCGAAGTGGCCCCTTCAGTTCGCAGTGAATCGAAGGCACTGTTGCTTTGGGCCGAAAGTATCAACGGGGCCATACGCTGGCGAGTAGCGGAATGGTTCCTCGTATCATGTTCGACTGTGTCGTAAAAGAGCCTTGCTCCTGAAAGTAGCGTTATATTGCAGAAGGTTGTTGATATCGCGAACCCAGTCGTCCTCTTTCCCAGGACCGGCACCTTCGCTGTGTTTCATCTCCTCTGCATCTGTCGATGTGATGATAGATGATCGATTGATACATGGAACGGGGAAGGGCGAGGCCTGAACGTTGACTGATTCTCCTGGGTTGAGCACATGCGATGTTCGTCCATCCATGGACACCCCGGCTGGGGCTCGGCTGCGATCCCCTATCTAGGATCATAAAGAAGGTCATTCAAAGAAGATAAACTGTTGAAGAAGCATACCCTTAATGTGACTATGGAAGATGACGGGAAGACAAGTGGACGGAATGATAGGCTCCGTGGACAGATTGGGGTTAGGACCAAGGCGCTCAAGGATGGGTGGACAATGGGACCTCCAGCGGAAAGCGAGTAGGCAGTGGAGCCCGTTGGGGTGGACACGATGAGACCGTCAGACTAGAAAAGATGGTTGATCTTGGGTTTGAAATCAGGGTAGGAAAAAAGGCAAACCACTGCTTCTGTGAGATGCTGACCGTCGACAAAGATGTCGATTGTGTTCAAGTGGGGACTCGAGCCACGGTGGAGTGCGATCTCATTCATAACTTGCCAGTCTAAAGCACAATGAGTGACGGTTGTAAGATACGAGGTTGATGGTTTACACACCATCACCATCCTTCCCAATTTTTTCAAAGTCTTTATCGTAAAATGTGCAAGCCAAGCGCATGCGGTTCAGGATGGTTGCTTTTCCTGTAAAGACACTTTCGAGAGCTTTGGAAAAGTCATCAATGTCTACGTGGGATCATGGGTTGAATCGCGAACCAAGACGGGCTGAGGAAAGTCTCACGAAAAGGAAGCAGGAATCCCAATGTGCCCATCGAGAAACTCAATACAGGTGGAACCGCACCGGCGCTGAAGAGAGATGACGCGTGCAATATGGTGCCATCTCCGCCTAATGTCACAACCAAGTCTATTTTGGGGGAGTTGGGAGCTGGGGAGGATTCTGAGTTGGTTCGCAGGATTGAAAGGGGGAGATGAACGCACTTGATTGCCAGATTTCTGCTCCGTGCGGTATGTCAGACCTATTCTCGTGAAACACTCTTACTCCAGGGTAGGTGGCATGCACATGTCTGGAAAGCAACGTTCAAAGGGAGCATTGGGATGAAGTTGGGGACGCTGACTCGAGAAAGGCATCAATCGCGAGGATGACTGGCTGGGTACGAAGTTTGTTCACAATCAAAATCGTCTTTGGAGGGGTGTCCAGCTGTCGAGGCCTGTCTTGTGTCGCAGATCAACTTGTGAAGGGGGAAAAATACGAGGATAACGAACGTTTGGGGTTGATGTGAATCCAAAGAGAGAGACCTCGAACAAGCTCGCAACGGCAGACGAGGAATTAATGAATGCCTGGAGGTACACGGCCATAACGTATGCGAGGCAATTTTTGACGCTCTCGCCCAAACCATTTTGAGGTGGAGATTGAGTGGACTGTCAATATCACTACCAAAATGGTAGTCAGTGGCAAGAGCCTAGTCACATGACATATGTTTTCAACGGTTGTCGCGTCGAATTCCAACCCTGTTCGAACATATTCTTACCTTTCCTCGCCGTCGTCGTCGCCGTCGTTCTCGCCCATCCACATCTTCCATAATTTTTTATTGCACCGGTTACACATGCACCATCCGCTCTGATGCCCGACACAATCTTCCCAGAGAAACGAACTAGATCCCAAATCACACTACCTGATGACATTCTACAAGTATCCCAACGTTCACCTTTGAAGGATGCTCGGAGTGCTCTCAGAAATTATACTACACCGACAGATACGCGTATTCCGACCAAGGGACTATCCGATGATGCAACGGACGACGAACTACTTCTGTCGCCGCGCAAGGATGCTTCGAGCACACGCGTCCCTCACCGCTCCAAGCGTTCTGCTTCTCCTCCTCCAGAGAATGGCCAATCACCTCGCTCTTCCTTGGACGAGAGGGACTCCAAAAGGATCAAGCGTGACACCAGTCCCGAGAGAATCAACATGGAGAACACAGACAATATTCCACTACACCGAATCTTAACGCATGTACGCAACCACTCAGAGCCCAACTATACCAACCATTCATCTCGCAAATTGTTCAAGACCGCATCTAATAAGCCGGCATCCAGTGATACACATCCTTGCCCATCCACACCAGGACCCTCTGGCAAAGAAAGAGCTCAATCCGTGCCTCTTTTCTCTGCATCATACCCAATACCTCATATCGACCTCAAGAATCCGCCACCGTCACCCCATCGAATTCGCGCTCGCTCTCGTTCACCCTCAAAGGAAAGGGAGCCCAAACTCCGCATCACCTCGCTTACCCTGCCACCTATTCCAGATGAATCCTTGAAGGGCATGGAAGTTGATCTTCCCTCGGAAATTGAGCAGCAGAGACAGCCTCATTCGATCACTGGCTCGGAGAGTACTCTTGTTAATGATGCCTTCCCTACGCCCGATATCGTTGCGAGCTCTGCATCACCTGAAGCCGAGATTAGTCGGCCAGAACCTCCATCAACACCAGCTACTGGTCAAGGATATTTGCCTATAGACCATCTTTCACCATTAACGCCCCTACCAGTAACACCGCACTCATCGATACTTGCGGCTGATGCTGAAGATAGTTTTATGAGTCGCTCGGGTTGGGATTACTTGTCAGGCGGAGAGGTATGTTTGGTCAACTTTTCAATTCCTGATATTAACATTGGTATCAGGAGTCGGAGACAACGAATTCTCTACCCCCAAAGACTCTCTTACCACTGGAAGCCACTTTATCAGCTGCCCCCTCTCTAGTTGAAGGGGCTGCCCCCACTCGTCCCCCACAATCCGGTAATATGGGCCCTCCTGCCCGCATACCACCGAACAGAGAGAATCGTATAGCCGTCGGTGGGAACAGGACAGGAAAGGGCAATGCCTTGCTTGAACTGATGAAGGGACCCAAAGCAGCGGCTGGATCAAGCAAGACAAGTTCTTTTGCGAAGAAGGAGAGCAAAATGAAAGGCAAGGGAAAGCAAGAGGCGGAGAAGCCAAAATCAAATTTAAAGGCAAAAATGCGGCCCAAGCCAAAGGTCCAACCGAAACCAGTACCGCAATTTGTCCCTACTACTACTGATGAAGAAGCTGGCGACACCGAACCTGACGAGACGTGGAAGTTTGAAGCGGATTTGGCCATTCTGATGCCGCCATTACCGAGACTGGCCTCACCAGCTAAGGCGCGTCTCGAAAATGTTCCTGCGAACGAGTCTGAACCGGCTCCTGAGAACGTGGCTGAATTGGTTCTTGAAGATTCTGTACCCCTCGATGACCGACCTCAGGCAGTCGTGATTGAAAACGATGTAGAAAGCACCACGCGTTCAGCTCCAGAACTTGCCGCTCAGAAGCCGTTGGCCGAACAAGCTGATCCAGTAGATGTAGCCCAGGAGAAGCCCACCTCACATCCTAAAACTACCGCTCAGCCTCCTCCCAAACCAAGAATAAGCAAATTTCCGCTCGAGAAGAAGGTGGTGGCACCTGCGATTCCCAGGGCTTCTCGGGTAACAAGGAGCGTGTCGTCAAAGCAGCAAGGTGTGTATTCACTATGCCTTTTTCAGCGCAGTCCTGTTGACCCCTCGCAGCAACATCTTCGTCTAACTTGGTTCAGCAAAAGCTTTCTATGGCACCCCCATCCAGACCAGTGAAAAGAACTGCATCTGGTGCTGTTAAACCTCTTCCCCCACCACAAGACTCTGCAGTCTCCTCTTCAAGCCTTTCCGAAGTCCCAACGGACCCCATTAGTGATTTCCAACTACCTCCGGGATCACCAATGAAGTTGTGTTCGCCAGGAAAAAGTAAACCCAAGGTCATTGCGAGCTCCTCGACCCTCACACAGCCAACTCGATCGAGCGCTGCCAAGATGTCTCTGACCAAAACGCCAGGAAAGACCAGAACGTTTGTCAAGCCAGTTTCAACGCCTTCACCGACAAAACTTGCCAGGTCTGCATCCATGCTCTCATATCGACCAACATGTATGTATCTTTGGTATATCCTTGATAGATTGGGGTGCTCATTGATATGCTCTCTCAGCAGGGGGCGTGTCCCGTACATATTCAGTCAACTTGGAGCACAGTCGCACTGCTACAGGGGGTTCATCATTATCCACACTAGCCAGTGCCCTCGAAAAGCTTCGTATGCCACCACCTGCAAGGCCCAATACGACTATGGGGTTCAACAGAGAGAGCGAAAATAATTCTTTCGATGGCAAGATGATGAGCATGGATGATGGAGCTCTTGGCCGACCGTCGCTTGGAGTGGGAAGGCTAGAAAGTGGGGAACTCAAACGCTCTGCGACTGTGGGGTCATTGATGGCTGGCCCTTCGAAAAGGGCAGTTCCTCTCGCGGGCTTTTCAAAAGATGACAAAGCTTCCAAGCCAGTGCAGAAGCCTCTGTCAGCGGCAGGATTTGGGGCGCCGAGGCCACACCTTGGAGCTGGAGCCATTTTGCGGGGAGGGAGGCAGGATCCGTCCAACAAACCTCGCATATTTGGGTTTGGCGTAAGCGGCAGACGGGTTGTTCAAAAAGCGAGTCGGAAGACAAGTCTTCCCAGTGTCGTCGCTAGCCCCGTCAAAGGAGGAGACCAGGACCCCGATGCCACCATCCCCGACTATTCCATGCATGACGTTAGTGAATCAGCAGCAGATTCCTTGGGTGATGTCTTTATGGCGCCATCCTCCGAGCCAAAAATCTCCTCCGACAAAGGGAAAGGCAAGGAGAAAGACTCCACTGGTGACTTGTGGCTATCAAACGCTTCTCGAAGAGTTTCCATCGCTTCACAAGCACTTTCCCAATCTTTGAGCTCTCTGCCTCCACCGGGTTCAATGGGCCCCCCAGCAACACCTCCTGGTCGAAGGGGTGGTGTCAGAAGCTCAAGCAGCAGTTACCCATCGACTTCAGGGGCCTCCAGTGGTTCTCCAACCAACACATCTGGGACAAGATCAAGCGCCCGGATTGCGAAAGCCGTCGCTAGCGGAGCCGGAAGGAAAGCGGCTAGTGAGTCGCCTGCTGGCGCATCGACAAGTAGTGTACCGGATTCGTTGAAGATTTTGAAGGACTGCGTCATCTTTGTGGATGTTAGGACAGATGATGGTGATGAGGCTGGGTCGTTATTCGTCGAGATGTTGGAAAGCGTCGGTGCCAAGGTTTGTCTTTCTCAAAAAAAGTGTAGTTATGAGCTAACCAAACCACTTATCTTTCAGACTCTGACGAGGGTAGGCCAGACATGTACTCATGTCGTTTTCAAAAACGGATTGATGAGCACAGTTACGCGCCACAGGTCGGCCGACTTTCATCTTCATTATTTCGTCTATGCTAACTCGGGACTAGATTGCTTCGTGATCCTAAACCATTAGTCGTGGGAATCGCATGGGTAGTTGAATGCGTAGAGCAGCGTCAACGAGTTGACGAAACAAAGTTCCTTATTGACCTTGAGGAGGTTAACCTACTTGCAGGAAACAAGGTAAAGAGTTTACTCCATTATCATTTCACTTGAAGTTTAATATTCCCGACTAGCGCCGGCGTTCCATGTTACCAAAGCCTATCGTCCCATATGCAATGAGTGAGGTGGGTGCTCCTGATATGGAGCGTGATGGTGATGGCGACCAGTCTATGGATGGTTCTACTTCTTGTAAGTGTTATTTCCTCTCGTGTTTTCCTCATTGCCTTCCCTAACACCCTCTCATAAGCAATAACAATCGATGACGATCTCCCCCCTCTGGAAAGGGCTCGACGGCGCAAGAGTATGCTTGTTGGTCCTCGACCTTGATCCCAGTCCCAATTTACGAACATTCACGACTTTCTATGCTTACATACCTAACTTAACGAAAACGTCAAGCCAAATATCTATCTCTCAAAATTTGCTTTGTTTTGTCGCACTCGCATAATCGCACATGATATTGGCACCAAATTGTACAACGTGTTCTACAGATTCCAGATGTATTCCACTTAAAAAGCAACCCAATAGTTTCTCCTTCTTGCCTTTCCACGCCTTTGTGGGAAGTAGCTCTGGTGCGATATGACGAACTGATAACGAAGAGTCAGAAAATATTAGCGCGTTGAGGTGAAAAAACTCACCAAAGAGTTTCCCCAACGCTAAAGACATGGAAAGTAAGCAAACATAAGACAAGTGTCAGGCGCAAGATACTCCTTATCATTTCGAATGGCAGGTTGCATATGCCGAGGCACAATACGATCCTTCTTGTTATCCCGGGCGGCGTTACCGGCGAGTTCGAGAATCTCAGCAGCGAGGACTGCAGCAAGGTATACTAAAGAGAGGCGTCAGAAGAGGTAGCGGAAGCACTGAACGCCAGCTGCTAACCTTGGAGCGCAAGCACCGACGCGGAGTAGTTGCCCTTTTTCAACATACGATGTATACGGCTAGTCGTATGGGTTGTAAGAACTGGTAAAAGGATAACAAAGGGAAAGGAACGAACCGTGGACCCCCCGGCATCTCCTCCCCTTAATATGCCATTGAACGCCGTTTGTTGCTGGTCAGAAAGTTGTCGTAGTAGGAATCGACCCCTGCCATCCGGTTACGACGCAGGGCGGGTGGTTCATGGCTTTAACAGGCTGGGGTGAGAGACCGAGGAGGAAGTAAGATAGGGAGGGGACATACGTGTAGAATTTGGCCTCATGACAGTATGTATAGCTTGGACCAAAGGATGATCACCTTGAACGGAATCAGTACCCGTCATTGATATACTCAAATCCAAGTACTCACGAGACCCCAATCCCTACCGTTCACGCTCGCATGTATGCAATTAGGTTGTTGTTCAACGTTGATAGCGACTTTCGAAGGAAATCGAGCTGGGCAGGCAGCGCGGAAAGGAAAAAACCCTGGGCAGTAAAGTGACGAGGCGCGGGGGCAATTGAAAACTCTGGAATTGACCAATTTTCCTTCAGGTGTCCCGCCCTAATGGTCGTAAATACTGAAAATTAGCTGAATGCAAAAGCTCCTTGACGCATAGGCGATATCACAGCAGCCACCTAACACAACAGCGAACATACCCATGCAACATCAAAAGGAAGGTTACGTGCAGACCAGATTTCTCCGCGACCAATGCCAACGATGAGGCCGTTCTCATTCCAGTCAAACGATTGCGCTGTCTCTCGCAATGGGCGGTCCAGGAAGACTGTCCGAACATTAAAATTTTTATAGGGGAAATTGAGGAGCATCATACATTCGCCCATCCTCCCAAAAATAGATTTTTCCCTTTGTTTTCCCTTTCCTGTGAGCTCCATTGAGATTTACAGCGGGCATGGTGCGCAATCGATCCCCGTGAGCTTTGTTCAAGTGATTCTCCTTCTCCAATGGCTGGCGAGGAGGTGCGATCTCTGAGTGGAACCGAGTGGACACTGGAATCGCTTGTTGAATCGACATTATAAACGCTTGGTTTTGTCTTACTACAATGTCATCAGCAAACGTAACAAGATGGATGTCGTGATGAATACCTTTTTCCCTTCGCTGGCACAGGAACGAAGGGAAGCTCATCGTCACTACTATCCGATAACTCATCCTTGAACTCAAGAGGGGACTTTGGGACTTGATAGCGTCGCCGCGTAGGCCCTGGCCTTGATAACCGCAATGATTTGAGCGGCTTCGTTGCGGGAGCGAGAGCAATAGGCGAAGGTGGCCTCATCTGAATGGCAGTCGGTATATGGAGGTGTGGGGATGTGACCGAAACCGGGGCTGAAAGGGGAAGCAGGTGTTGAGCGCTGAAGGTTGGTGCCATGCTCAGCAGTCAACGGTGAGGTGACTCAGAAGGAGGAAGGGCCTCCTTCCTCCAATGGTCGACAGCCCTGACGTCCATGCTTCAAGCCTTGGACCGTAAAGGCGCCAGCTCTTCTTCATCGGATTGGCTTCTGGGAACAAGACTACAGCTATGAAGGAAGGAAAGTGCGGGTGAAGAAATGCGACGATTCCTTGATTGAGGGGTTTAAAGACCACACATGTGCCATCAAGTAGAACCCCTACCTAAACATTAGGCTGTTTCACAGTAGGCCAACTTAGGTCCCAACTTTCATCTCAACTTGATGGCCAACTTCAACAAAGTTGAGGAGGAAGTTGGCCAACTCTACCGTGAAACACCTTGAACTGCAGAAAACATAAAGTTGGGTTGATTTGGGCTCGGAAGGAATTCCGGATGCAGATTTCTGCCTATTTTGGATACGTGGGAAGTTGGAAGGTGAAGTTGGGCACCAAGTTGGGATCAAAGTTGGCTGCAAATCGGCGTCGGGACCACGATTTGCATCCCAACTTGATGAAGTTGGTCAAACTTTGTCCTTCCAACTTGGCAAAAGTTGCTCACCAAGTTGGGGATTAAGTTGGGACCTAAGTTGGCCTACTGTGAAACCCCCTATTGTGTCAAAATTTGCATTGCGCCTTTCTGGCGAATTACATGGCTCGAGAAGTGGTTTTTGGGAAGTGGGCTCAGTCCTGGGGGTTGCGTGTCCGGGGAGCACGAACGTTTCAAAGAGGAGGTTGACGAGACGACAGTTTGAACCATAGGCTTCGTAGGGGACAGCTCTTGTAACTGAGAATGCACCAGTTCAGGAGAGGATGCTATAAAACTGACAGTTGGTTCTTAGATTGGAAGGAACTAACAGTTAGGTCATGGGGATTCTCGTGGAGAGGTAGAAAATGTCAAATGATTATGTGCACGTATAGTAAGGTATAGAAGGACAAGAGGGGAGGGTATAGGTTGTACATGGACTTGGGAGGGCTCTTACATTACAGGGGAAGGCGTCGGCTGGAGTTGAGCTACGCCATCTTGGCTAATCTCCACCGGCGTCGAGGCAATCCTCCCATCCAATTCTTCTTCTATGCTGTGGGTAAAACATTCATAAAACATGAACTCAAAATCTGGATCTGTGGGCCTTGTATCGCTAAAAGACAGTGCGATGGCGAGGCTTTCCGTCAAGTGAGCACTGTGGTGTCCTTGTTGGCGGCAAGTCTCCAACTTCTGTTCGAATGCAAGTCCACTGACAGTGGTGCGAGGAGGTAAAAGCCGTGCTATGTTTGAGTGGATCCAGGTTTTTCGCGGACCCAAAGAAGTGTTGTAACCTCGGACAGAGAGGTAAGCATCTATGAGGATGCGCTGGGTGACGGGCTGAAGGGTTGCCAGCCTTGTTAACAACTTGTTTTGCTCGAAAACACGTTCTTGTCGTTCGCCTATTAGCTGACATTGCAGTTCTTCTACTTGGTTGTCAAGGCGTGCGATTTGGTCGCTAAGGCGTGTGAGGATCGCCTTGACGTTTAAAGACGGATCGCCTTGTAGGGTCGGACATTCAAATGTAACATTGTCTGTGCTTTGCGCGACATCTTCGTGTTTGCTAGGCGAGGGTGATAGGATTGCCAGTTGGTGTTGTTCAAACATTGATAGTTCAGCCATCGTGCGAGCGATACGAGCCAGATCGATGCGTTTAGTTGATGGTTGCAACGGAATTATTAAGTCTCGCTTGAGAAGTGTTTGTGTGACTGTGGTGTGTACAGCGCTCATCATAGTTTGTATGATAGGATAAGAGAGAGGTGTATGTTCGAGTAAGAAAGAAAGGAGGATGTAACTGTGACGTCACCTTGCCAGGTCGTAAATACGTACCAAGCAGGTACAAACAACGAGGCGGGCGATGGGCGTTGTTCCGAGTCTAGATAGAAGGACATGTTTCGGGACCGGTGTGAGCTTCGACGCCGCTTCTTTGTTACTGGTATATTTTAATTATTATGCAACACAGAACTGTTTCCCACTTTTACAATACTTATGGTGACCGGTAAACTTATATTTGATTTACATATCATTGAATGATAGCGATACAGATGGTGGCAATTGTTGTCGTCGTTGGGGGAATTCAAACAGGGATATAAGATGGGGGTGGGTATTGCAGTAAAGGTACCGGCGAAGGAGAAATATCGTTTGGAGTCGACGGGGGTGCTGCTTCGTAATAAGGAGGGGTGAACATAGTTTGGATTCGCCGCTCGTACTAGACGGTATTGCCCGGCAACGTTTAATGGTGCAAAGTACGATTCCGGCGGCAGCTAGGAAAACCGTCAAATGTACGTAAGCACAACAAGCGGGTGCTTGCCGCGACGCCGACGCGCTTGATATAAAGCCGATGGGGTATAACACTGGGGCGCTAGATAAATTCCATCACGTGAGCGAGTGAGCATCATGCGGCTGATGACAATAAAATACTAACTTGCTGCGTTTTTCGCTATGCGCGTCACAGCGTCATCAAAGTCATGATCTATTGCAAACAGTGTTTACTAGTGGGCCTGGAGTTGTTGGTGAGTCCCTGAGAAGGATGTCACACCACTTGAAATTTCTGGGCTCAAGGTAGAGAGATGAATGGGCTGAATAGTTTGACTTGACAAAGTGACGCTTTCCAGGTATTCTGTGAGCTTCGAGAAAAGCGACGTAAGGACCCTTCTCCCCCCAAACTTGATGACCAGGTTTATAGGTGAGTGATAGGCCAGATCCTGACCCCCAAAAGGCAATATTCTTTCGAGGTAGACATGGGTGCAGGAGACCGCCAAATGATTGGGGAGGTTGATTATACGTTAGCGCAAGATTGGCGATTTTATGAGGATTTTTATGGGGTATCGGTCGCAAAGGCAATCTTGGAATTGCAAAGGGCTTGTCATGAGGTCACTGCCATTCGACACCTCGGTCACAGGTTGCTGCCCTTCCCGAAGCTGCCAACATGAATCTTCGTGAATGGATGGAGATGTGTAAAGGCAAGAATTTTTTGACATGGCCGCACGATCACCTCAGTAAAAGTCTCTCTGATTGAGGCAGTGAGCCTTGCTTGTCCAGGGATAGTACTGTTGCTGTCTAGTTGGCTGACCCCTAGCCTTGTAGTCAGCATCCAGTTCTTGCATGCGTGGGTTGGGTCAATAAGGTCATAAAACCGTCTACTGACGTGTATAACATCATCACTATTTGCCTGTGGTGCTGGTTGTGTAGGTGGATATGCAACCCCTGGTAGCTGCTCCTGAGCTAGCTGATATTGTTGGACATGGGGTTGAGGCCGTTGCAGCTGTTGCAGACGTTGAAACAGTTGTTGGGCTTGCTGCTGCTGTTGCTGCTGTAACAGAAGAGCTGCGCCTGGTGAATGCGTAGGGTTGTTGGCATCGGTGCTGAATTGCGACTTACAGAGGCCGAGGTTGATTTTGTGGAAGATCGTGTTGCTGACTGCACGTTTCTGGCTCTAGATTGGCCAACAGAAAATGAGGTGTTGGCCATTGTGGTAAAGAGAAAAGACGAGTGAGAGACCCTGAAGTTTAGGCACTGTAACTGATGGAAGTTGAAGAGAATTGGAAGCTGGATCTCATTTATTAGAAAAGAATTTCATGTGAAAACAGGGAAGGCGCGCTTACACTGCATGTCGTTGAAAGACCGCTGGAAGTGAGGCGCTGACGTTGCAACAGTACCCACCCCCCAATTGTTCCTCATGCTCAAGAGGCGCAATAAAAGCCGACAACGACAATGCCAACGAATTCCTTCTCCGTTGCTCAATTAAATCAGGCAAGTCCTTTCCTCGTCGGCAGATCATCCCACCGTGCCAGTGCAGAATGCAGCTAGAAGGGTACCGGTGTGGGAAAGCCTATTCCAGTCGAGGAGGACGGTCGAGCCTCTAGGGCCGCAGAAGGTCGAAATCCCGACGCGCTGACAAAATATCAGACACTATCCCACAATGTGTAGTCTAACTTACCTGCCATACCACCAGGCACTCAAATACGACAAATTGAAGCATATAGAGAGTGAACAGGCGGCACCAGGATAAGAAGTAGAGTACAGTGGTGTCTCTGGCAAAGCGCGTTACTCACCATGATCCACTGCTGTTGGGTATCCAGCCTCACAAATTAATGTGTAGCACGGATACGTTCCAGATGCCCAGCCTCACTATACGTGGAGCTTATGACACTGGCAAGGAGTCATCGTCGCGGTCCTAGAACCATAAGAAGAAAATTGAAAAGGTGTGCTAGTCACATGACATATGACAGTCGCGTCAAATATTTCCAACAACAATAAGGTATGCTTACTTCTCCTCAATCACCCCGCTCTTCCTTGGACGAGAGAGACTCTAAAAGGATCAAGCGTCACCAGTCCCGAGAGAATCAACATTGAGAACACAGACATCATTCCACTACCCCGAACTTGAACGCATGTACCAACTATACCAACCATTCATCTCGCAAACTGTTCAAGACCGCTTCTAATAAGCCGGCATCCAGTGATACTCATCCTTGCCCACCCACACCAGGACCCTCAGGCAAAGAAAGAGCTCAATATGTGCCTCTTTTCTCTGCATCACACCGGGAATACCGAGTCATATCGACCTCAAGAATCCACCACCATCACCCCATCGAATCCGCGCTCGTTCTCGTTCTCCCTCAAAGGAAAGGGAACCCAAACTCCGCATCACCTCGCTTACCCTGCCACCAGTATTAGGCTCTAGTTAGGCTCTATTCCAGATGAATCTTTGAAGTGCATGAAAGTTAATGATCGCTCGGAAGCAGAGCAGCAAAGACAGCCTCATTTGTTGACTGGTTCGGAGAGTACTCCTGCTAATGATGCCTTCCCCACACCCGATATCGTTGTGAGCTCTGCATCACCTGAAGTCGAGGTCAATCGGCCAGAACCTCCGTCAACGCCAGCTACTGGTCAAGGATATTTGTCTCTAGACCATCTTTCACCATTGACGCCCATACCAGCGACACCACACCCATCGATACTTGCGGCTGATGCTGAGGATAGTTTCACGAGTCGGTCGGGTTGGGATTACTTGTCAGGTGGAGAGGTATGTTTGGTCAACTTTTCAATTCCTGATATTAACATTGGTATCAGGAGTCGGAGACAACGAATTCTCTACCCCCAAAGACTCTCTTACAACTGGAAGCCACTTTGCCAGCTGCCCCCCCCCCCCTCTGGTTGAAGGTGGTGCCCCCGCTCGTCCCTCACAATTCGGTAATATGGGCCCTCCTGCCCGCGTACCGCTGAACAGAGAGAATCGTATAGCCGTCGGTGGGAACAGGACAGGAAAGGGGAATGCCTTGCTCGAATTGATGAAGGGACAAGGCAAAGCTGCGGTTGGATCAAGCAAGGCAAGTTCCCTTGCAAAGAGAAGCCAAAATCAAATTTAAAGGCAAGAATGCGACCCAAGCCAAAGATCCAACCGAAACCAGTACCGCAATCTGTCCCTACTACTGCTGATGAAGGAGCTGGCGACACCGAATCTGACGAGACGTGGAAGTTTGAAGCAGATTTGACCATTTTGAAGCCGCCATTACCGAGACTGGCTTCACCAGCTGAGGCACGCCCAGAGGTTCCTGCGAACGAGGTTGAATCGGCTCCCGAGAACGTGGCTGAATTGGTTTTTGAAGATTCTGCACCACTCGATGACCGACCTCAGGACGTGATTGAAAGCAATGTAGAACAATCAGAAAGCACCGCGCCTTCAGCTCCAGAACTTGTTGCTCAGCGTGGGTCATCCGAACAAGCCGGTTCAGTATCTGTAGCCCAGGAGAAGCTCACCTCACATGCTAAAACTACCGCTCAGCCTCCTCTCAAGCCAAGAATAAGCAAATTTCCGCTCGGAAAGAAGGTAGTGGCACCAGCTAATCCCAGAGCTTCTCGGGTAACAAGGAGCGTGTCGTCAAAGCAGCAAGGTGTGTATTGACTATGCCTTTTTCAACACAGTCCTGTTGACCCCCCTCGCAGCGACATCTTCGTCTAACTTGGTTCAGCAAAAGCTTTCTATGGCACCCCCATCCAGACCAGTGAAAAGAACTGCATCTGGTGCCGTAAAACCTCTTCCTCAACCACAAGACTCTGCAGTCTCCTCTTCAAGTCTATCGGAAGTCCCAACGGACCCGATTAGTGATTATCAACTACCTCCGGGATCACCAATGAAATTGTGTTCCCCAGGGAAATTAAACCCAAGATCATTGCGAGTTCCTCGACCCTCAGACAGCCAACACGATAGAGCGTCGCCAAGATGTCTCTGACCAAAACGTCAGGAAAGACCAGAACGTTTGTCAAGCCAGCTTCAACACCGTCACCAACAAAAGTTGCTAGCTCTGCATCCATGCTCTCGTATCGACCCACATGTATGTATCTTTGATATATCCTTGGTAGATTGGGGTCAATATGCTCTCTCAGCAGGGGGCGTGTCCCATACATATTCAGTCAACTTGGAGCATAGTCACACTGCTACAGGAGGTCCATCATTATCCACGCTAGCCAGTGCCCTCGAAAAGCTTCGTATGCCTCCTCCTGCAAGGCCCAATAGGACTATGGGATTTAACAGAGACAGCGAGCATACTTCTTTCGATGGCAAGATGATGAGCATGGATGATGGCGCTCTCGGCCGACCGTCGCTAGGAGTGGGAAGGCCGAAAAGTGGGGAACTCAAACGCTCTGCGACTGTGGGGTCTTCGAAGGCTGGCCCTTCGAAAAGGGCAGTTCCTCTCGCGGGATTTTCAAAAGATGACAAAGCTTCCAAGCCAGTGCAGAAGCCTCTGTCAGCGCAGAAGCCTCTGTCAGCGCAGAAGCCTCTGTCAGCGGCAGGATTTGGGGCGCCAAGGCCACACCTTGGAGCTGGAGCCATTTTGCGGGGAGGAAAGCAGGATCTGTCCTACAAACCCTGCATATTTGGGTTTGGTGTAGGCGGCAGACGGGTTGTTCAAAAGCCGGGTCGGAAGACAAGTCTTCCCAGTGTCGTCGCTAGTCCCGTCAAAGAAGGAGAACAGGACCCCGATGCCAACGTCCCCGACCATTGCATGGATGACGTTGGTGTATCAGCAGCAGACTCCTCAGGTGATGTCTTTTTGTCGCCATACTCAGAGCCAAAAAGCTCCTCCGACGAAGGTCAAGGCAAGGAGAAAGACTCCACTGGTGACTCGTGGCTATCAAACGCTTCTCGAAGAGTTTCCATGGCTTCACAAGCACTTTCCCAATCTTTGATCTCTCTCTGCCTCCACCGGGTTCAATGGGCCCCCAGCAACACCTCCTGGTCGAAGGGGTGGTGTCAGAAGGTCAAGCAGCAGTTACCCATCCACTTCAGGGGCCTCGAGTGGTTCTCCAACCAACATATCTGGGACAAGATCAAGTGCCCGGATTGCGAAGGCCGTCGCTAGCGGATTGATGCAAGGAGGAAAGAAAGCGGCTAGTGAGTCGCCGGGTGGCGCATCGACAAGTATATACCGGGTTCGCTGAAGATTCTGAAGGACTGCGTCATCTTTGTGGATGTTAGGACAGATGATGGTGATGAGGCTGGGTCGTTATTCGTCGAGATGTTGGAAAGCGTCGGTGCCAAGGTTTGTCTTTCTCAGAAAAAGTGTAGTTATGAGCTAACCAAACCACTTATTTTCCAGACTCTGACGAGGGTAGGCCAGACATGTACTCATTTCGTTTTCAAAAACGGATTGATAAGCACAGTTACGCGCCACAGGTCGGCTGATCTTCAACTTCATTTCCTCGTCTGTGCTAATTCAGGACTAGATTACTTCGTGATCCTAAATCATTAGTCGTGGGAATCGCATAGGTGGTTGAATGCGTAGAGCAGCGTCAACGAGTTGACGAAACAAAGTTCCTTATTGACCTTGAGGAGGTTAACCTACTTGCAGGAAACAAGGTAAAGAATTTACTCCATTATTTCACTTGAAGTTAATATTCCCAACTAGCGCCAGCGTTCCATGTTGCCAAAACCTATAGTCCCATATACAATGAGTGAGGTGGGTGCTCCTGATAGGGAGCGTGATGGTGATGGCGACCAGTCTATGGATGGTTCTACTTCTTGTAAGTGTTATCTCCTCTCGTGTTTCCCTCATTACCTTCCCTAACGATCTCTCGTTAGCAATGACAATCGATGACGATCTTCCCCCTCTGGAAAGGGCTCGACGGCGCAAGAGTATGCTTGTTGGTCCTCGACCCTGACTTCAGTCCTAATTTACGAACATCACGACTTTCTATGCTTACATACCCAACTTAACGAAAACGTCAAGCCAAATATCTATCTCTCAAAATTTGATTTGTTTTGTCGCACTCGCATAATCGCACATGATATTGGCACCAAATTGTACAACGTGTTCTACAGATTCCAGATGTATTCCACTTTTTCCAAAAATCCCTACATACATGTTGCCTGGATATGTGAGTGATAGATATAAGACGACGTATCGGGTATCGCGCGGATGGGACTTGGCGGGATTGGTCCCTAATCTATCTGTTCTGGGACTGCGAAGCCCTTCATTGCCTGAGCTCAGAAACTACCTACGTTTGTGATGCGCTCGATTTGGCTGAAGCCTACTCTTTGCGAACACATCCACCTGGCAACAAAAATCGGAATTTCTCCGCGTTTTCAAGGAGGTAACGAGGGAGTCCGACGGCGGACGTCAAACTAAAAAATTGTTAAATTTGAATTCACGTAGTAGAGTTCGATGACTCACGGATCGAGGCTCATTTGGGAGAACAAATCAAGGTACTAGAAAAAGGAAAGCATCTTGAGGATTAATCATAATGATGTTGTGAAGTGGAAGCTTACACTGTACGCCTCTGGCAGCATTCCGAAGATGTCTTTTCCCTTGCAAATGGTATTCTGGATCCGTTTGGGATCCAGAAGGTCTATGCGACCACCAATGCGATCTGCATGAGAGAAACCCCGCATCTTGACGACGTATTCAGGGATAGTCCTGAAGCAGTAGCTACAATGCCAGCCTGAATCGGCGAGGACGCGTTCACCGCTCTTCGAATGCCGATAGAAGCTGTCGGAATTCCACAGATTGGCGCTGGCGCGCCAGCTTGATAGGCCTAGATACCACTCGAAACTGTGTTACTTAGCGATTGTGTTTATCAGGATGGTCAAAACAAAAAAAACTAACCTGTATAAGAAGTTCCGTAGTTGTAGATGAATGGATGTTCCAAAATCGCAGGCTTTAAGAAGCTCGACGGTATGTTGTGAGGGTATCTCGTCAATGTCGGACATCAGCACCACACTCTGTGTTCCAGAAGGAAACCCGCCGATATGGGAACGAAGGAGAGTTGTCATGGTATTTCGTGTGTGTGCTTCGGAGTCCCAAGCAGACTGGCCTGGTTGTAACGGGTATCCTGGCAAACTAGATGCTTGGTTCAGAGAGTGGCTGGCGCGAACGACTAAGAGTCAACTCACAAGCGGTATATAATCTTCCGCTCGAATTTGGCGTATCTGGCACGGTTCTTGGCAAAATACGTCTCTTTTGGAAGGCCAGTGAAAGTCGCGTTTGATTCAACGATGAGAAAGTAGTCAACGACAGCGTCCAATTCGTTCATGCGTATCTCCAACAAATCCAGTTCGCTGCTCATGAGCACGGCGTCAAGCACCCTGACGTTGTTCCTTCTTTCCTCCCAACCGTGTAATTGGCATGTATGGGCATCTGCTTTCAAGCCTTCAGCATGATAATGGGGTATAATATCTTTTGGTCCAGAATCAGAGTCCCACAGTGGTCGGGTAGCATAAGATAACGCGTTCCTGAGCTGGTATTGGTTTTGGACGATGAGGTATAATATCACAGTGCAGAACAAGAAGGAAAAGAGGAGGATAACATTGGACCGTGTGCGACGTATGATGGGTGCCATTGTGGGTTTTGGGTATCAGCGACGAGCATTCAATGCTTGAAGCAATCTCAAAGGGACCAGGTGTTGTGCCAGCAACAAGCCTGTAGAAGCAGTGAACCCATTATCTAATCACATTACAGGTTTCTTCTCAACATTTGCGATTCGTCTTCCCTATGGCGAACCCCTCCCCGTGGCCACTGTTTACAACTCAAAGACCTCCAAACCTTTCCGCTATGCTTGATACGACATGCTTTAGCACCACTGACTTCGACGACTTCGACGATTCTCAAGTTGTTTCCCAGGACCACCCGATGCCGTTGCTATCCAATCCTGTCAATCCTGCCAACGCCTTTGCTATCCAATCCTTTCAGAATGTGCTTGATTTACGAGCGCGGTACAACCACCCCATCTTCCCTTCGCCGACTTTCCTTACCACTCTCATTCAGCAAGAGCGTTTTAAAGAGTACATCTCGAATAAATTTGGTTCCCCTGATCTCCGCCTAAGAGAAGTATCCATTACTACCAACCAAGAGCCGCTTCACAACATTCCCTACACTGTTCAAATTGCCACAACCCAGTGGGTCCGTAAGGCGATTTTCCCTGATGAGGCGCTCCCAGTACCATTCAACGATAGATCCCTCAATAACATCCCAGAGTGTTGGGACAAGTTGGTGCAGCGATTTACTAACTTTCCGCATGCCTTGGGGGAGCATGCCATCCTGGACTGGCTTAACCACTTGTCGCACACCCTCGGAATACAGCATGGTCTAGTTAAGCCGGAGGATTCTGATGAAGTTTTGAGTGACTATGCTGGCATGGATGTTGAAACTGACAAAGTTGGTGGTGTTGACGAAATTGACGGCGGTGTTGATGAAGAATGTGTTCGTCTCCAGCAGGGTCTCGCACAGGATGACGCCTAGCGGGGGTAATCGTCTTGACAAGCCTGATATCATTCTCATTAATCGCAACATCCACCAATTAGTCAAGGTTGGTGAACGTCGGCCCCAATGGCACCATGTTGAGGCAATTGTGGAAGTATCGTTATTTGCCTCCCGTGAAAGCATGTTACAGCAGATTCTCAAGAAATCGGCCCTTATGTTTGAGGCCCAGCCATTCCGTCGCTTTGTTCTGGCTCTTGCTTTGCGAGGCTGCAGTCCTATTGCCAACGTGGAGTTTTCATTCATATTGGTTGATTGAGCTGGTGTCTGTTTGACTGGCTGGACTGGCATTGCTGGGAGTGAGGCTATCAGCCTTGCATGCATCGCATTCGCACTCTCCTATGCTCGCCCAGAGGTCCTTGGCATTGACACCTCAATGACAGTAGACTTCTTCTCGGGGAATGTCTCCAAGATCAGAGTTCAAGATCAGGAGTTTAGTGTTATCAAGCACATATACTCTTCTACCACCCTCTTTGGCCGTGGCACCCATACCTTCCTTGTCCGAGACAAGGATGGGAACTCCCACATCCTCAAGGACGCTTGGCTTATCGCTAATCAGGGAATGTCTGAAATAGACATTCTATCATCTATCAGTGACAAGCTCCGGGCAGACTTGAGTCCAGATGCTCAGAAATTTCATTCAATACATCCTCGATTTATTGTGGGTGAGGAGATTGGGGACTCTACCCAGAAACAAAGAGGAAGACTGCCTGACCCACCCCTAGAACACCTCCACCGTCGGGTAGTGACTGGTCCTGTTGGGGACACCTTAACCTCTTTCCGCTCTCGTGAAGAACTTGTCAAAGTGCTCCTGGACTGTGTTGATTGTAAGTCTAGTGTTCAATATCAAAGCTATGTACAAAGCTATGTACTTATCCAATAGTTTTTCAGGGCTTGAATTTCTGCACAAAAAATGCGAAATGGTTCATGGTGACATCAGTGTCAATAACATAGTAATTTACCGCTCTCCCCTCCCACACTCTCCCCCAAAGGATCAGCCATTGGTGCGCACTACTCAGGCCAGTGTGGTGACAACACACGCAGCATTCATGCCTGCTCCGACAGAAGGGGTAATGGAAGATCTTCCAGTTTCTGGCATTGTTATTGACTATGACTATGCTCGTAAAATTGGCACCACCACAGGGAAGATAACGGTGCGTCCACATCATTCCCAAGATTGTTAATTCCTGATATTCATTTTGCTTTAGGGCACCTTGCCTTTCATGTCGCTTGCCTCATTAGACAAAAATAACCATGGAAGCTATGTCCATAATCCAGCTCATGACCTTGAATCGCTTCTCTACACAGCTCTTGGCATTGTCACCTTCACCTCAGGACCCTGTGGCCAACTCCGTTCACCCAATGACCATGTTCCTCTGGCACGGTGGTACAACCAGATCGATATTGAGCAGCTACGCAAGGATAAAGCGATCGATTTGATGCACTGTGACTCAGAGATCATCAAATACATCCCTGATTATTGGCAGCCCTTCTTGCCTTACCTTTCTCGTCTTGTCAAGGCTACATGACCTCAATCAAACCCCTTTTCCGATCATGCTGCTGGCACCCACAGTGCGTATAGGGAGATCCTCAAAGAGGCACTTACAGATCTCTCTAATCATCCCGAAACCAAGTGTAGTTATGCTCGCATCACTCTGCCCATGAGGCGTACCCAATCTCAGGCTATGGTGTCAGCAGATTTCCCTACGAAGTTCGTTGAGGAGATCATGCCTAACATCATCCTCAACTCTCTTCCATCAAGCCTCTTATAATGTAGAAAGACTCTGTTGACATATCTTTCTAGCCCATATGTTTTCGCAATGTTTTCATGTTGTGTCTTGCCCCTTGTTGTCAATAGCTTTGATTGCATTCCGTGTACATATATCTTCTTCGCCATCGCAAATACCATCCAAAAGTTGTTACATTGATCTGACACGACCGCACAGGAAACGGGCGGCACTCCAGCGCATAATAAATAACTTGTGTAGAAGAGGTATCTACCAAAGTATAACCACGACTTGTTCAAATCATACCAGGTCCCGTATTTATTATAAGAGGCGTCAACATTCGGCGTCGTCGTTCTTCTGACGAAGAACCGTTCTGTAACTGCGACTTAGGAGCTGGGACCATCAAGAATGGAACCTGTACGTTGGGTCAATATCGACTTCAAATGAGGACAAATGGCGGAGAAGACATACACCGATGTGGGCCATAAACTTGTTCATGTCTTGTGCATGGGAGGTCGCTTCGTCGTCAGAGTCCTCAGTAGCAGATCTAGGTGAGGTCACTGAAGAACCTGACGTCTTGTTCTTGAGCGGCGTCTTTGGTTTCGCTTCCTCCTTGATTGGAGAAAGCATAGGACTATCTAAGCCATAGTCTCTCAGCAGCGCCCTTGCGGCGTCTGGGCCAAGCGCGAACAATGATTTGAGGTCACGAGGGAAAAGTGCTGAAGGTGTTGGGGGAGCAGTGTATGTTCTAAACGTCGTCCTTACCGGCGTGGCTACCGGTGCCTTTGGGATGGACGAAAACGGTGTAGGGGTGTCGCTCATTGTACCGCCTGGTGAGGAGGTCCTGATGACGATGGGTGGTGCTTTCGGTAAAGCAGGACTATTGATCGCGTCCGTTGGAAGATTCCCTGAAATAGAAACGGGGGGCGCTTTGGGTAAAGCAGGACTATTGATCGTTGAACCGCCAGACGAAACGGTCCTGATGAGAGCGGATGCTGGTGTTTTCAGCAAACCTGGGCTGCTCTTTGTTGAGCCACCAGCCGAGACGCTTCTTGTGATAGCAGATGCCGGAGGCTTGGAATATGATGTAAAGGGCATGGGGCTGTTGATTGCCGACCCGCCAGAGGCGGTCCTCAGCATGGGCATCGGAGATTGCTCAGGGGTGGGCAGGGGACGAAGAAGTGGGCGAAGGGGCGCAGTCAGAGAGGGAGATTGCAAACTTGCATTATAGCGGCGAGCTTCTCTGGAAGAAGGTTCAGACATGAATGCGAAGGAAGAGAGGGGGGGTACGAACGTGTTGTGTAAATCCGTCTTGACTTCTAATATGTGTCGTCTGTGACCAATGACTTCAGGACGGAGATTCTCGGAGATTTGGATTGAGAGCTGGTGCAAGATAAGTCAGGGCAGACGAGACAGCAGCTTGACGGTGGTCCTTGCCTCGTGACGAACTCTTTCCTCGATCACGGTTGAAACCGAATCTTGTATCATGGCGTACGCCTCCGCTCTCAGTCGTTCTCTCAATGCTTCTTTGACCTTGACCTTGAGGTCGCTCCGTACGTCCTCAAGCTCTTTCGTCTGCCTTGCAATTTGTTCGGACAAGGTCGATCGAATTTGACGTAGCTGACAACGTCACGATTCACAACTAATATTCAAATCTATTAGAAGTATACTGACCTGCTCAGTTGCCTTGATGTCAACACCAAGAGAAAGCATCCTCTCTGTCTGAGTTTCGAGGCGGTCAAAAGTGTTAGTTAAATTGGAGAGAGTATGTTTCATCGTCGCAAAAAATTCGGCCATCGCGACAACGTCTTTAGACATTCCGCCAGCGGCTAGAAGTTCCAACCCAATCGCCTTGAGTCCCTGAGAATCCGGAAGGCTGATAGATGGTGTATGATCAGGGGTCGCTCTAGGTCGCCCTGACGGAGCGCGCGAGTGAACTTCCGGGGTGGGTGGAATAACAATAAAGGGAGGTTTCGGTTTCAAAGTTGTCGGAGTGTTTTTCTGGGTAGATTGTTGTTTCTTCTTGACAGGCATTGAGGAAACGTAGAAATCAGCAAAGGATGGATTGAGCTCTGATAAGAGAATTTATGTTGCCTCGAGCAATGCACGCTGCGCATCGTGAGTTGCTTGCGGTATTGGTGGAGACAAGGTGCTGCTGAACGCACGCGACAGGCGCATGTCGATTGGCTTGGTGGCTGAAGGTGACAATTGAATTGTGAGGAAGTCACACGGCAATTCTGGCCCGAATTAGCGGTCTTTCTCATGCCGCCGAAAACACTTCTAACCTTGGGTATACCAGAGGTATACTCTTAGAAAATTTGGAATCACACTCTGGAGTCCTCGAAATCGTGTGCTTTACATGTCCATGATCTTGTGGCATAACAAAGTTGCCAATAATCTTTTGTCCACTGCAATACATAGCCCGCCCCCGGCAAGAAAGCGGATGGATCCCGAATCTTCCATTTAGTTTCTTACTTTGCGTGGACATTTCTGTACTTGTATGGGACGGAACACTCGACGAGAGTCTCTCAACCTACCTGCTATGTCAACACAGACGTGTCGAAGCCTTTGCAATGCATTACACGCTGATTACGATGCAAAGGACAGCCTTTTTCGAGGTGGTTTACGCATGGTATTCAAGCGAAGCCAGGGAAGCAGTGTAGCAAGTCCGACAGCTATTCGTCTTCTTCACGCTCTATTAATGTGGATTATACAGCTCTTTCAAAGATAAAGAAGGCCGGAAGAAGATTCTTGGAGTTTGAGCATATGGGAGACCTTGCACTGGAGATTCGGAAACGCCTGAGCCTTTTAGATGAGCATCGACGTACTTAGAAGCAGTGGTTGAAAAAAGGAAGTTAACAACATTTTTGGATGTGGAAATTATAACACTGGGGGGATAAGTAAGTAAGAGAGTAAGGTATGTAAACTACATAATATATATCAAAGGATCGGAAAGGTGAAGGTCAAAACACCAACAACGGGCCTTGGGAGGAGTAGTGAAAGTTAGAATAAATAGACGATGGCCACAGGGCGGGGAATATTAAAGTTACATATCAGTTTAACATAAATCAAGGACGGACCGAAATAAGACCAAAAAGTGAAACAGGAAAGAGCGTGATGAAGTCTGGGGGCGGGCAACCAGAGAATGGAGTGTGTGAACGACAGAGGGAGTTGGACAGCGATAGCAAAGAGAGCGGGTGAGTTTATTGTTGTAGGGGAATCCGCCAAGAGAGAGAGAGAGGAAGACTGCTGGTATTGGGAGGACCATTATTGGAAACAGAATGTACAAGGCAGCAAGGAAGAGATGTAGAGACAAGATGGGACTTTGATGTGCCATTCCGGTTTAAGTTATGAATATGTGATAAAGCCTTCAGAGTTTTGAATGCTATTTTCGAGGGGGGAGACGCCCAGAGAATCCCCGTATGCGTAAAGGTGCTGTGAGCCAGGCGGGCAGTGATCGTACTCCAGTTGACGGTGTGCTTGAATTTCACCGTACGCTTCAGCCACCAGAGACGAGTACGTGGTATAGTGAGTCCGAGGCTGAGGTGCCTCGGTCTCTGTTTGATATATCCCATGCGCAGGTGACGAATCTTGTTCATGCGTAAGAGTCTCTCGAGCGGCGGCTGCAGGAGAAGACAGCTGGCCATAAATGGTGTAGTGGTCTTGCCTATTCCGTCCTCCCTAATCCAAAGAAGGCAACTGTGTTAAAAAAGAAGTTACTGTGATATCAAACGTTAAGTCGCACCTGATTGGGTTGGCTCAAGGCGTAGGCCAGCTCACTCGACTGAGAGATGGGGACAGCCGACGGAGGTGCATCTTGAGCATGAGGGCTTCCACCGGCCGAAATGGTTGACGTGGGAGAAGGATATGACAGATGTGGCTGATCGTTTAGTTCAGCGATGGCGACAAGCTCACCCCCATTGGTTCTCGAAAGGTTATAATCATCGTGGGGTGAGTATGATCCCAATCCCAGGGTGCGGTGTTCTGTTAACCCTGTCTGGGGATTAACATCGAGGCCAGACATCATGCCCAAAAATTGGCCCGAAGCGCTGTAGTTTGCACTTAGTACTCGATCTATCAAATTGTCATGACAACTTACCAAGAGTCTCGCCTGACATGCAGATCTGGGGTGGGGACCTGCTCCACTCCAGGACCACCAATTTCCGCATAGTAAGAGCTAGCCTCGCTTGCAATGGACACTGTTGAGCCAAACCGCGAGTATGAGTTGTAAGAGGAAGAAACGCCCTCTTCGTCATCTTCTCCAGTGAAAGAGAAGGATCGCAATGAATCTGGAGAGTTGCGTTCACTGTCCCCAGAGCTCGGGGACGCCATCGACGGTGTACTGGCCGCGCCAAATGAAAAGTTGGGAGACGGCAGTGGTCCAGGAATGGGGGATGCGATAGTCCTGGAAGTGACAGTGTACAGAGAATGATCTGGCAAAGATGCTCGAACCGCAAGATATGGCGAAATGGCCGCGGGCGACGGGGAAGATGGTCCCCTTGGCGGGAAGCGAGAAGCTCGAGAGTCCATAGATGAATGGCGAACATTTACGTGGGGTGAAGGATAATATGGCAGCCCGTGTCTCTGAGTTTGATAGCCATATGGCACGCGACTCAGCTGGTGATGACGACCAGGCGAAGCCACCCCAAAACGCGGGCCAAACACCGCACCGTTCTTAGCCCTTGCCAGAGGGGCGTAAGGATTGGATGCGAGGCGTTGCAGGCTGGCATCCACAGATCGGCGTCTTGCCAAGGGATCGTGCCAATCCACAGACGGTTCACTTGATTCATCGTCCTGAGGGAGTGCATGCACAGGAAGAGATCCTCTGCGTTGAGCGTAGATGTTGTTTCCAAGAAAGAGGTCAGGTCGCAGTTGGCTAGTGCCGCTTTCCGGAGGCGGCTCGACTGGCGAGTTCTGCCACGCTGGACTAGCTGGGTCGGTGATAAGGTGTAATTGAGGTGGCGAGGGAACGGCAGACGAAGATCCTTGGGATGACGCGTCCGTTGAGTCCTCCCCTCGAGTGGGATTAGCATTGCTTTCGCCAGAGGAATCGGGTGAGGGGGGTTCATCACTGCAAAAGCTGGGCGATGAAGAATCTTCCTTCTTAGGGATATCAACCTCTGATTTGGTGTTTTTCTCGATCGTTTGTGTCTTTGGGGCGGAGGATTTCGTTGCCTTTACTTTTTCTTTCGCCCGGCTGTGTAAAAAGAACAAAGGGTCAATCGAAAGGGATCAGTAGGCACGAGGCCATTACCCACCGATTTTGAAACCACACCTAGAACGCGCGCAAAAGTTGAGGACAGGGTAGAAGGAAGAAAGTAAAGAAAACGGACCTGTACGCCTCTCGCTGTCATATCCAGCTGTGCAGCCAGCTCTGTGCGCAAGGAAGCATTTGGCTTTGTGTCGCGTTTGAAGACGGTTTCGAGGACTTTGAGCTGAGCGCTGGTTGTGCGTTTCCTGTGCTTGACTTCGTTGGGGGTATAAGGATAGAAAGCGCGAAAATCCACGGCGGCTGGATCGAGGTTGTATGGGGAGGTATTTCCGTTTGGCATGGGGTTGTGGAAGACAAGATACGGGGACTCTTGCTGGACGGGGAAAGAAAGAGAGTGTGTATCTGCAAGGGATTGGCGGGAAAGCATGTTAAGTATACAAGTAAAAAGTCACGAGCAGAACATAGAAGAGTTGGAAAGCGAAAAGAACGCTGGCTAACGGGGCTCACCTGAGTAAGTATTCAGGGTCCCTTGTTTGGCTCAGTTCAGTTCACACACTCCCTCAACATCTCCATCAGAACAAGAAACACGCCCTCGAATTCAAACAAAGGTTGCAGTAATAATAAAAAAAGAGTATCTATTACATATATACACTACCCAATGTCCCAAGTCAGCTGAGTTTTTTGGTATTATTTAAGGCCCGAGATCCATAGCATCCTCGCTTCGTCGGCCCAGTATTTCTTCTAAAAAGCCACTAGGCACACTCGCAAGCGGGGATGCAGCAAACACATTTGCCCCCGTTGCCCTGGCTGCCTCATACACCTCATCCATCTTCATCCGCGCCCGAGAAACGATGGGGTGGAGACAGATGGCATGAACACTGATTCGGTGTGATGGATCAGTGCGCATCATACGTCTAATGAGATCGAGAAGCTCGGGACTATCATTCAGATCCACTTGCGAGAAGTCTTCACGCCGCAGCCGTTGCCAAGCGTCACCTCTAATCCACCACCGACACAATCAGCACAACTGGAACGGAAAAACGGACCGGAAATCACTCACTGATCAGGGACCATTATGTTACAAGCAGTTTCCAAGATTGTCAACCCAAAACTAGAATTGAACCCGAAGTAAGAAAACCAACACAAACACCGTCTAAACCGTGGGACTTGCCTGAACACATCAGCAGCTTTGCCATATTTCCCTTGGAGCACCTCCGGCGCTAAGTACAGTTTATCCCCTTCGCGTTCGAACCCATTCCCAACGTCGGGGCCAGTAGGTCTTGGCCACAAGGACGCCATGCCAAAGTCACCAATCTTGAACCGACCATCCTTCGTCACGAAAACATTGGAGGGTTTGAGGTCAAGGTGAATGACACCAGCATCATGAATGAATCGAAGGCCCTATTGTGAGAAGTGTTCAGACGCTGATAAGAGGGAGGCGAAGCAAATATAGAACTTACGTTAGCGAGATCCACGATGATTTTCCATACTCGCGCTTCGTCCAACCGCGGAAAGACACGTCCATATTCCCACAGGAAGTGTGCCAAGTTCCCCGATTCGCACAATTCTGTGCGAATAAAGAGACACTCGTCCTCTTCCCAGCTGTCAATGTACGACAAGACATTGGGATGGCCACCTCCGTCTACAGCTGCTTGCGATAGATGCTTCAAAATGTCCACCTCTTCTCTCAAGCGTAGCCTGTCCAAAAAGATAACGGTTAGCTCCAATCATCACAAGAAATTTTAAAAAAGAAGACCACATGAACAAGGAACCATCACTCACCGATGCCTGGCGCCCTCAAACTTTTTGGACTTTTTGATGGCGTAGACCTCAGTGTCGTCACCACTCTTACATTGCACCTTGATAACTTGACCAAACTCTCCTCTCCCCACCTCATCCACCTCGACGAAATCTCGGTCAAATCGCCCTGGCTGTTCCTCTCCAAATAGTTCCGACAATCGTCGGCCGCCAAGACAAGGCCTAGGAATCTGATGACGCACTCCGATAAGAGAAGTATTCCGTGTTCCGTTTGTTGGGGAATTGAGAGTAGCCCCGGAACTCGTTGATGAACCTGATGCGGATCGTTCGGAAGGAGTATGGAGTGATGAATCGAAGAAAACGGGTATGCGAGGTTTTGGTAGATGCCAATCTGAAAATGAAAAATAAATAAATGTTCAAGACAATTTCAAATACTGCGTACCTGCTCCCTTCTGCCTCGTTGGGGTGTTCGATAAGGAAGTCGATTCACTGCTGCTAGAAAAGGCTCCGCTGCTACTCCTACGCGTCAACCATCTGTTCCGTGGAAGGGCTGATATGGGGCCTTTGCCCGGAGGGAGCCCAATCCCAAGATTTGTGTATTTGCCATCCTTGCGCGTGCTCGGACTCTCTTCCTCGCCTTCAGAATCCGTGCTTTGGTCAGAGAACGTCTTGTTGCCCTTTTTTCCTAGCGCAGGGAACGCCGCAGGGAGACTCTTGCGAGGGACCTTTTTAAAGTCACAATCATCCCGAAGGCCAACTTTCGACGCGACTGCACTCTGCCAGGGCCTGTCAGGTCCAAGGTAACTCATCCTGACCTTTTTTACAGGCGTGCCAGGTACTCTTTTTGTTGGCTGGTGGGGTCCCTTGGAAGCAGCAGCGAGGGTACGAATGATAAAGTCATCGACATCCATGCCACCCTCCACGGTATTGGGGTGGTTATCCGCGCCCTTGACGGCAGGCCATCCTGAATGTCCTTCAGGTCCAAAAACTGGCGTAATCAAACCGTCATCAGAGCAAAGTGAACTAGCACTCGTCGACGCATTGGGCATGACATGGAGAAAGCCTCCTCCTCCTACACTTGAACCATTGGAGGACATCTCGTCGTCGTCGCTCATGGCGATTCCAGAATCTCTGAGAGAGTATTTCACTGGTAGTGAGGCTTTACGTTCCGGAGACGGAGTGCCTTTAGTCACACTGAATACGAAAGACGAGTCTCTTCGCCCAGCTCCAAAGAACAAATCTTCCTCGTCCATTTCAGCAGAGTGACGCGAGTTGCCTCCAGGAAGAGCCAGAGGTGAAGATCGCGGCGAAGGGGTCATAGACCGTGACTGCATGCGGTTCCAGGCCTGCCTGTTGCTTCCTAGGCCAGCATAACTGTGACGGTTGATATTCTTCGCACGGGTGGGGGATGAGTGTGAGGGTCGCTGCGAGGATGAAGAGGTATTGGTTCTTCCGCGAGCTGTCGGTGCAGAGGTAGACGGTTGAGGGATAGACGGTCCAAAGAAGAGGGTGGCCGAGCTCAAACTTTCCAAGCGATTTAACGGTTTACGTGTTGGGACAAGTTGCAACTTGGGTGGGTGAAATTGAGAAGCACCACCGCTGACACGACGTCGGGGAAGAGGAGAACCCATGTCAGATGGCGATGATGCGGGAGAAACCCGTCCTCGGTACGAAGAAGTTGAGGGGAAAGCGACGGGACCACTGTATCGTGGTCGGTTCTTGTTGACTCCTGCAGCCTTCTGCGTGGTACGGTTAAAAGTAGGTTTATGAAATCCCCCTGAACTCCTTACCGGGCCTGGTGATTGATTTGGTGAGCGAAGAGATTGCTCAAGAAGCTCTGCAGACAGAGGCCGTGATCGTGCGCGTCGCTTCACGATATGTCCGCCTGGGGAGATGGCTTCCGCAACTTCCTCTTTTTCCTTGCCCTTGTAAACCAACGGCTCATGCCTGGATGTCCTCTCTCCCATCCTTCCCTTTGGCCTGAAATTTTCCAAAAACAAAGCGTCTTCGTCTTCATCCATCTCACATCCTGAATCATGATCTAGGCCATCGAATTCGTCCATGGCATCGTTTATCTTGAGCCTAGTCAACGTTGCCGTCTGCTTCTTCAGGTAGGCCTCCGTCTCCGCTTTAGTTTGGGGAGTGCGGGCTGCGGACCTTGTACCAGAAAGGGGGGCAAGTCGGTCAAAGGGAAGAGTCTTGATGGGATCATCATCTAAAGGTGCGGATGCCACTTTAAGCAGAGAAGGGCTATGCGGACGGAGAGGGGTAGAGTGTGGCGTGGACTTGCGTTTGGTACCCACACCGACTCGTGAAGTGGGAGTAAGAGTATTGAGGGGGGTAAAAGTGATTGGTGCTGTGTTGAGGTGTTTCACGGCAAGAGCCGACCGACTTGGGGTGCGCAGCAACTTCTTGACGGGAGTAAGAAGAGGTTGAGAGGAAGGAGGAAAAAATGGTGTGATCTGGGGCGATGCAGAGGCTAAGAAAATGGAGCCTTCGTCGTCGTCCGCCGAGATGGGCTGGGGGTGTTTCGTGTAGATGTTGGAATTATGCGCCTGCGCAGGAGACTTGTAGGGAGATTGCAAGAAGAGGTCATCAGAGTCGAGGTCACTAGAAGAAGGCTGATTAGCAAAAAGAGGTCGCCGTCTAAGAGGGGAAGGTGTGAGCATGGGAGAATCATAGGAAGGCGAGTCTGAGCAGAGGGTTGGGGGCATAAAATGGCGTTGATATGAGGAAGGCATGGGTTGATCATACGAGTGTTTACGATGGGTAAAGTGCTTGGTAGGCGGGGTGGACACGAGCATAATGATTTAAAGAGGGGTGGTGTAGGTGTGGGCGTGTGTGGAACGCGTGTCAAACTGTTTGGGCGCTTAACGACGCGGATGTGGTGGTGGGTAGCGTAGTTTGAGGGTGTTTACGAGTCTGCGACAACGAGGGCGTCGTTGTTTTTTGAGTCGTGGGCGTCGTGAGCAGCGATGAAGAAAAGAATTGGGGTGGGGAGAAATAAATAAATGCAAGGAGGGCAAGGCATCTTTTGAATCACACGCAGGCATGTCAACAAGGTCATGTGATCGCGTTGTGATTCATAGTTTGTTTTCAGCCCTGCAGCAACTGCGAGTGATACCACCTATTGTTGAATATTCTCCCAATTCTTGTTCTCCAAGTGATATCCTGACTCTTTTCACGTCGTATCCTCGTCATTTGTCGGCACCGATTACAACCAATTTCCCACTCATTGTTGTCGCACACGGGCAAAGCGTTAGCGGACAACCATTTCAAACCGTCACATATTCACGTCCATTGTCGTCACCCCAACATTATCCTCGTTCTCCCATGGGAAGCCTTATCCCAGGGCGCGCCATTGTTTGTGTTGATCCCGCATAGTTACATGGTTACAACTGCAAACGGCAGTACCAGACCAAATCACGTAGATCTCTTCAATTCCTCGAATCAACCCTGGTACTATCTCAGTTGATGTATCTGCTTGAATCTGAATTCTGATGGTTGAACTACCCCTTGAGCACATACATACTTATACATCCAGCTTACATCTGCAGTCGCACGGACAACTTGCAAAATCAGGCGTTTAGCTAACCGAACTAATCCTGGGCGGGCCAATCAAGACGAGACACGTTTTATGGGAGTGAGAAGGCGCTTGAAATGCCATGAATTTTCCAGTAAGTACTTGAGTACGAAAATTCCAAGTGAGAGGATTCCAGAAACTGCCTCTTTCCATCGGGAGAGTAAGGAACATCAAATCTTTTCCTCTCCACACTTCCAACCCGGGTCCACCTTTCTCTCACACAAAACATGGATATCTCGTGAGTTCACGTACCCTACCTTCTACATTGTTCAGAGTATTAAAGCCAGATACTAGTTCCATCTTGCAAGGAGGTTACCAACACCCCCTCTCGCGCTCATGGCAAGCTCGCCGACACCTCACAAAGTCCATGTTCATGTACCCCATCTTCATTACTGACGACCCTAACGCGAGCGTCATCATCCCGAGTCTTCCCGGGCAGCGTCGATGGGGTGTCAACAAGCTTGAAGAGTTCCTCGGGCCCCTGGTCAAGAAAGGATTGGAAAGCGTTATCCTGTTCGGAGTTCCTCTCAACTGCCAAAAGGTGCGTAAACTTATCGTTCAGATGTAAATTGTGTGTTGAGGACAATAACAGGACATGCAAGGAACTCCCGCAGACGACCCAACTGGCCCCGTCATCCTCGCAATCAAAAAACTCCGCGAGCTCTTTCCCACATTATACATCGCCTGCGACGTCTGCCTTTGCGAATACACCGACCACGGGCACTGCGGTCTTCTCCACGGAGACGGCACCATCGACACTGCGCCATCCGTCCAACGCATTGCCGAGGTTGCCGTCAACTACGCCAAGGCCGGCGCGCATTGCGTCGCACCAAGCGACATGATGGATGGGCGTATTAAAGCTATCAAGCGTGGTTTAATTGATGCTGGGTACGGCAATAAATGCACGCTAATGGCGTATTCAGCAAAATTCGCGAGCTCCTTGTATGGTCCCTTTAGGTGCGGTCACCCATCCTCGTCTTCTGCCGCAAGGTTGGCGTTAATCTTGGTGACAGGGACGCTGCGGGAAGCGCACCCTCTTTTGGCAACCGTAAATGCTATCAGCTCCCTCCGACCGGCCGTGGTCTCGCCCGCAGAGCCATCGTCAGTCATTCTCCATAGACATCGGTTTTTTCCCACTCACGTTTTTTATTATGGTACAGCAACGAGACGCGGCGGAAGGCGCTGATATCATCATGGTCAAACCAGCTCTGCCGTACCTTGACATCATCGCAGATGCAGCACAAATTGCACCAGACCACCCTTTAGCGTGTTACCAAGTGAGCGGAGAATTCGCTATGATACACGCCGGCGCCGCTGCTGGAGTGTATGACCTGAAAACTATGGCGTTCGAAAGTGTGGAGAGCATGGTTCGCGCAGGTGTGTATCAGTGATTTACACTGGTGAATCATATTCTGAACAGATTGTAGGGGCAACGCTAATCCTATCCTATTTCACGCCCGAGTTTCTGGAATGGTTGTAAAAGATATAGATGTAAAAAAGCAGTAACTACGTGTATACCTGACGTGTTCAAGACGTGTTGCAAAAATGTAACTTGTATTAGAAAGTGATGTCACGTATTTTACGCTCTCCTCCAGCCGTCGTCATCGTCATGACCGACGTCCGACACGCTGCTTTCGCCGCCATCTCCATCATCCTCCTCCTCGGCACAATCTACTCCGTCGCGTTCAACACATTCCTCGACACCTCCAACGCCCTCATAACGCACCTCCCTCACCCACTCAGCCACACCCACTACTTTGCCTCTAAATCCAACGTCCTCAACGTCTACTTTATCAAGAAAGTATGGGCATGGACCACAGCCGCTTTCCTCTTCTCCTGGTTCACTAGTCCCCCGCAAGTAAAGGCGCCCACCCGCCTGATCAAATATCTCACCCTCACCTCCATCTGGCTCGTATTCACGGCATGGTTCTTCGGCCCCCCGCTCCTCGACCGCGTCATCGTAGCCTCAGGCGGACAATGCGTCATCCCAATGCCAACTGGCGATCCTATCGTCGTCCCTAACGACTACTGCTTCGAAAAGTCAACTATCAGCGCCTCGTCCCATCCCCAGCTCTTCGAATTGTGGGCACCACCACCACCAGAATGGCGTGGGGGCGTACCGCGGCTTAGGAGGGGCCACGATATATCAGGCCATATCTTCATGTTAACCATCTCTACCCTCTTCCTCGCCGATCAGTTGCGGCCGTCGTTCAAGATTCGTGTGTGGTCGATGCTTCATGGTTGGGCTGTTGCCTTCAATGTAGCTTTGATCGGCATCTGGTTGCTTGCGACATACACCACGAGTGTCTACTTCCACAGCCCTCTGGAGAAGTTTACTGGCTACTGTAGGTCACCCTGTTTTCCTTGGTCTATATAACCCACTGATTTGAATTTCATTTAGTCCTGGGCGTAGCCTGTTTCGCGTTCACACAGTTGCCCATATTTGACAACAGTCAACAGACAGTACCGACTCAGGAACACTCCAATAGATCGCGCATAACGGTTGATAATTGAGTCAAGAGTCTATGAGTGGTGATTATCTACAGTAAATAATTTCAATAAAACCGGCTATGTACATCTAACGCGTCGGACCATTTCCTACAAAAGTATCCAAATAATTAAGCACCATACAGCTAAAGGAGGGTAAAAGACATTCAGTCCATCGATAATTGTATTCCACAAGATCCCCCTTCGATGCCTGGATCCAACGCTGAAATCAAGCAGCTCCCGAATATCCGCAAGGGAGTTCCAACCCGGTACACGAAGAGTAATACGACGCCTTCTCCCTGCAAGTACAAATGTCCTGGACCATGACAGTGATTTGCTCTTAGTCGAATGTCCTGGCGCCAAAATGAATCGCGAGATCGGTGGACGTGAAGATACTCCTCGATCCAGCCCCCCAAGGAGTTCAAATTCGTCTTCTTCCTTCGTGCGCCCGATATCCGACCACTCTTCGTCCTCGTAATGCCGGTGATTATCCCTCCGTGAAGCATACTGCGCTGGATGCATCGCGTCTTCATCGTCGTCTTCTTGTCTATCCGCAAACGTCAAGTGTGAAGGGCTCAGAAGAGGGGAACTAGCGAGGGGGGTGCCAGGACGAGAGGAAGCGCGAAGCGTCGGTCCCGTAGGGCCCTGTGGGTAGCGTAGTGTCGATGGGAGAGAATTTCGCGGACTGGGGCTTCCCGGCGTGTGTGGTGACCAAGTGGGTGACCCAAGGACTGAATCCTGAGCCATTGGACTGTTACGACCACTTGTGCTGCGCGGAGATGGAGATAGCGAAATGGGCTCTGGTCTCCAGCGGGTTTGAGAACGAACTCTTCGCAAGTTGGCCACAAAAAGTAGGAGGAAGGTCAGGATAGCAAGTGTTCCGTAGAAGGATGTGTATATTCTCGATTGATCGGGAAGAAAACAGGCAGTGTCTCCAAAAGATGCCTGACCCGGGAAGGTGCGTGTTGTGGGGTCAACGAGAGATAAGAGATGGAATCCTGGTCTACGAATGTGGACCGACATGGAAAATGACTTGATAGTGACTTCCCGAATTGGGGTGGTTGTCATTGAAATACTTGGGACATTTGAAGTGTGGGTATAATCACAATAATCACGATTGTCACCACTACAGATAAAAGCGTGAGAAAAACAGGTTGGTATGGAGAAATGTGTAGTACAAACCTGAAGACTATTGAGGGTTGGAGAGTCTCCAGTAAAAAATGTGTGGTTTGTTTTCCCAACATGCTTTGGTATCCATGACCAACGTCCCTGCGAATCGTTCCACGTTCTCTGAGGGGACCACACGATGCAGACGTAGATCGTGCTAGTGGTATGTGACTGAGCAGAATAACGGGGTGATCGGCTAAGGAAGTTATCGATATAACTCTTTAAAAGAGCAAAGATACACATACCAATCGCGGCTTGTTTCACAAAAGAGATCGGTCCATCTTCAATGGGAGTCCATCGATCAAATGATATTCCGCGACCAGAACGCTGATAATCCTCGTCCACTAGACCTGGTGCATCTAAACCAACAAACGTGTGATTTTGTATACGGAAATGTTGATTGACAGGCCCGAATGCCTTTGTATAGTAGCCGCGGACATTTTTTGCAAGAGAGCCAAGTTGGCCCATGCTAATGTGGTATTCAAGTATGAGCGAAGAGATGAGTAGGAAGGAAGCTCACCTGACGTCGTTATTTCCTGGAATGTAGTAAACAGGCACAGAATGATCTGTCGCAAAGATTGACTTGAACCTTCGAACGGCTTGCTCGTATCTGACGCCATCAGCATCACAGCAAGCATAGATAACAAAATGCGACGAACTCTGCTTCATTTCTGGCGATCTTTCCATTCGCCAGCATGTCTCCCAGGAAGATGATTGCATGTGGTTTGAGACGCGACGTGACGAACCAACTCTTTTTCAAGTTCAGATGGAAGAGGAATCGTCGAGATGGGCCCAGCCATGAATTCCCGTGCCCATGCGAGGAAGGGTAGTCCACTTGCGTATCGGATAAGAGTAAGACACGTGTAGGCTTCTGGGGGGTCTGCGAGATGCCAGAGAGGGTGAGTGAGTGGTAAAGACAGAGGAATCACGGCATTGCTCACTAATTGATCATCACCCTCAAAGGGCCAGTGGCATGCTGATAGGCTCCAGAAAAACGCGCCTAGTTCACCCCAAATAACGAGAACGATCCAGATAAGCCGTAGGGCATTTGTTCGCAGTGTTTCGGAGTAAAGATGGCTGGACCGAGCGGAAGAAGGGTTGAACTGCTTCATGAATCAATATTCATGGAACCTGAATGATATCAATATTATGGCAGGATAAAAGCTTCGGACGCGCGCTCACAAGGTGGTCTGAATGTGCTGGCAAGTTGGTTTGACAGCGCGCCCCTAAGCTGCACAATGAAATCTTGTTTACCATCAACATCGCAACCAAACTTTGATTTATTTCATTTAGACCTACTCTTGACCTACTCCACCTTGGCACTCAACTCAACTCCATCGCCTTCTCCTCAGCAGGCGTTACAAAAACGAAAAAGCCCACGTCGAGCCGCGATGTTTTTTTTTTCGCTCAAGCTCACGAACAGCTTGGATGGAATTGTCTAAACCTTGATGGCGTTGATGTGGATGTCGTTTAGTGTATGATACATTTATAGCTGGAACAACTCACCGAGCCTGAGATGCCACCTTAGTTTTAAATTCTTTTCGCAGCGATCTACATACTGAACACTAATTATAATCTTCACTCTTACGCTATAAAACGCGCGCGCATGTACTAAGTATACTACTCATCTCTGTTGTAGACTGCAGTAGAGCTCGCCACATTTTTCTCACTGCAAAAATTATAGCGTGTGTCCATTCTCCCAACTTCGGTAGATAAAAATAGGTTCAGTCATGATATTGAAGCTGAAGCTTATGAGCTACTACAGTAGAGTAACCGCGTCTGATATAATTACGACAATCTGACGTCCAGAATAGTGTACATACATAAAACAAAAACCATATCACTCCCAGTCACTATCTCCATCGTCTGAAGGGGTATTTGTCTTGGATGGTTCACCAGCGACACTTACGTTTGCAGAAGAAACAACGTCAAATCCATCTTCGCTGCTCAATCGTGGGCTCGAGGTCGTCCCTGTGAGTAACTGTGAAGCCGGAGGCGAAAGTTCACCATTAGGGAGCTTCGTTGGAGCTTTGAAGGTCGCCGTCGATTGAATCGCAGGTGTAGGGGCATCATCTTCGTTGTCTTCCCAACTGAAATCGTCTTCGGTGTCATCCGACGACACTGAGCAACAAAACGAGATCAGTAATGTGAGCATCACGCAGAGTATTCGCAATACCTGCAACAAGAGCTTTCCGCTTCTCCTCCTCTTGTCGTATTTGATGAACACGGAAGAAGTATCGCGACCAAAAGACTGATCTCGTCATGACGGACGGAACTAGAAGTCAAACATAGCAAATCAGTGAAAAGACAAGAACATGAAGGAATGAGGAAATTCATACCTAACGTGTCTTGCAGATCTTTCAGAGCCTGGCCGTCATGAGGCTCATCTAGCGCCTCAGAAACCTTAGCTCCCCACTCCGCGCCCTCAATCCCACCTTCTTTCGGCTCCACCTCCGCCTCAAGCCACGCACGGTATTTCTCTTTAGCTTCCGCCTCGGGGTCGTGTGATATGATAGAAGGGTCGCGTTGTAGTCTTCTCAAAAGTGCCTCAGCACGAGTAGCCACAGCCCGCTGAGTATCTCCAGACTGTCGAGGCTGCGAGTCGAATACAACAGTTGATAATTCCGAGGTCGATGCCTCCGACGGCAACATCCACATATCCGTCCCATCCCAAACCAATGCCGTCGACGCCGTGCCTCCCGCAGAGGTTCCGACTTGTTCAGGTGGTATGACCTTCACTGCGTCTTTCAAGACCTCTCCAGCCTCTTTATAAGCTTCGCGCAGTAACGCCTCACTTTTGTGCACGTATTCTTCAGCCTGGGCGCGCGTGACACCTTGGACGCGCTGGAATTCTGTAAGGAGGTTTGAGCGTATGCCAGCAAAATCAACGTTGTCCGTAGCATGTTTAAGAGACTCGGGGATTGTGCTGTTTACAGTTGCGACGATATTGGGAGGTAAGGCAGATTGGAGACGTGAAAACAGGGATGCTTGTGGGAGACTTGAAGACGAAGGGTCGTCCTCATGGATGGCCCGTTCTTCTGGCAAACTGCCCTCCGCGTCGTTGGAAGGCCCCTCTACATCCCTTGAGCTCGTCGATGCTGCTTCCCCTCGTTCAGTCGAGGCAGCATCAGGAACGGCAGCAGCATCGGTCGTGAGCTTGCTCAGTTCCTTCTGAGCCTGCATCACGACCTCACCAAAGTCCTTTCGCGCTACCTCCAATACGGTTTGGCTCTGAGAAGATATCAGTGTCGTTCATTGGCGGTCAGAGCTATCAGCGTTGGCTGACCTGTTTCCTGAAACCTCCCCAGAAACGGCCGAGTTGGCCAATTACCTGATTGACTTCCTCATTGAGACTCGGTTGTTCTGGCGCACTAGTAGGTTGTGGTGTCGGAGATCGAGTTATGTCGTAAGTATCCAAAAAGTTCATGGTTTGACGAACTGTTCAGATCTGCTGAGAGTTGTAAAGCAAAGTTGTCAACGACAACGGGTAACATGATCAACGTCGTCGTTACTGCCACAACCATCTCAAGTTCGAACTGAATATTTTACAAAAGATGACATTGAAGCGTAACTATAGCACAAATACAAGGATCGAGTGAATAATCAGAAAAGAAGTCATATCCAGGTCTCTCATAATCAAGCGGTAGCAGCAACCTGGGTTGGCTTGTGTGTAGCGAGGGGGAAGTCAAGAATCGGCTTCACAATGGCTTCAGATGTATAGCCATGCTGCAATTTATGGGCCCTGCATTCCGAAACGAAGTCCGTGAACATCTATCGCAAGTCGTAAGTTCAGTGTCCACAGCTAATCAAGAGATATCAAGCTTACTTCGATTGTATCAAGAGGGCCACCAGCACTCTCGGGATGGAACTGAACGCCCCAAACTTTCTTTCCAGAATCAACGGTTGACTTAATGCCTTCCACAGATGAGTCATTGCAGTTGATGAAGAACGGCTCCCAACCCTGAGGGAAGGGGTCGTGGAGCTTCAGAGCATACTGATGGTTTTGGCTACGAAAGAGCGGATCAATGGAATGGTCATATTAATAGGGATGCAACAGAGTTCATACCTCGTCACGTAAACGCGCCCAGCCTTGATAGATCCGGCAGAGGCCAGCGCCAGTACAGGCTGGTTGTGACCACGGTTGCCAAAGGTCATCCGGTAGGCATCCAAACCAGCGGCCATCCCAATAATTTGGTGGCCCATGCAGATCCCGAAGATGGGCTTGTCCCACTCCTCCAAGGTTTGACGCAATTTGAGTGCAGCCTCCATGCAGTGACCTGGATCACCTGGCCCATTAGTTAAAAATAGACCATCAAACTGGTCTCTAATGGAGTTAAAGTCGTAGTTCCAGGGCAACACAGTGACAGCAGCGTCTCGCCTGACCAGAGAACGAAGAATGTTGGCCTTGGCGCCGAAATCGAGGACAGCAATCTTGATGCTGCCGGTAGGGTTCAGCTGATATGGAGCCTTGGTCGAGATCTGGTCAACGAGGTTCTCAAGAGAAGGGTCCCAGTACTCGTGATCTTGTGGAGCGGGAAGAAGTGTGTCTGTGCCGATAGCAACACGACCCAACGTGGTGCCTTGGTCACGAAGCAGTCTGGTGATGGCCCGAGTATCGACACCAGTAATCCCTGGAACATTGTGGTTTTTGCACCAAGACGCAAGAGACTGAACGGCGGTGTAGTGCGAAAATTTCTCGGCGACGTCGCCGACAATGACAGCAGCGCACTGGACACCTTGGGATTCGAGGATAACACCAACATCTTTAGAGTCAAAAGGCGCTGTGTTGGCTGGGACACCATAGTTTCCAATCATTGGTGTGGTGAACACCAAGATTTGACCGCGGTAGGACGGGTCCGTCATGGACTCCGTGTCTGCGACACGAAAAGGATTAGACACGATATATCAGGTTTGAAAAATTTTACAAACATGATGTGATGGACGTGGAGAAGACGGTCTCGCCATAAATACTTTTTGGAGCGCCGAATGACGTTCCCTTGAAGGACTGACCCGATTTCAGGTGAAGTGTGGCTGGTGTGGCAAAGCCCGGGTTGGCATGGGTAGCCAAACCCCGAGAGAGTTGATGGATGCGGATTAATTGACGAGCGAACATGATGACAGTTGCACAGATATTCAAAGATTCAAGAGGGAAAACACGAGGTCACTGAGGTAACTGTAAAATGGTGAGCAAAGAGGGCGACGACGGTGAACAACGACGACGTACTCGTCTCTGGTATTCTGAGTGAAGAGCATATACGGAGGACTTGAACAGTCCCAAGTGTGGAGGCGGTGGAAAGATGAAAAAGAGTCAGAATCAATTTTTTTTGACATAAATAGCCCACGATCAGTTGCTTAGGTAATCCATGCCAATCTTTAGTCGATCAATCTACACTGCTTCATCTCAATATTGGTCGTTTGAAGATGGAGCTTTTCAGTGATACCGCCCCAAAGTGAGACCTAACGGACTTGCCGCCTTCGTTTGCAACATTTAACCTCTGAAATAGAACCGCAGAGAACTTCAGGCAGCTGTGCACAGGGGAATACAGGTCCGTATCTGTTCGCTTTGCTGCAATCAGCGAAGGGACTTACAAGAGTCTAGAGTGAATTCGCGTCCACAAGGGTATAGAAATGCAACGTTTCACAGGTTTGTCTGTTCTATGAGACCTCTTGGATACCCTTGCTTGCTGACGCCGATATGTTGATTGGAATGAATTGAATCCTGAACTGTAGAGTGTAGGCCCGCCTGTATTCCTCAGCTTCGGCGTCGACTCATCCGCACTCTCTTAGTGTTACAAATTCCATGTGTCAAGACAATGCTGTTTCCGCCATTGCGCGGGTGTCTGTTTATATTGAAGTTTTCAAGTGGTGACTTTTTGAAGGGAGATCGGACAGGTTCATTTTCGACATATGGCGATAAATTTCCCGTATGTTGCGTCGTTGCTTGAGAAAGCCGTTAACCGCTGACCTTCTAGGTTTGATGAAGGACGAGAACTTTCAGGAAAAGCATACTGGCCCAGGTCTTTTGTCGATGGCATGGTTACCTTACCCGCATCTCGTTATGGTTGTTTTATCCCTTTGTACGCCAATTCCGGACCCAATACCAATGGATGCCAATACTTCTCCAAAACCTTCATAATGCGAATTCATCTGACGAAACTTTGACAGTTCTTCATCACGACCCCCAAGTGTGATTTCCTTGACGGTTTGTAACGTCATCGATGGAATGCTCACATCGAGAAAGATCGAAAATGTAGCTACGGGTCTAAACAACCGACCCAAAATTGGTTGTCAAGATTACCGTCCTCACTCATTCTAGAAGTACGTCTACTGAAGGAAACTGGCAGAATGTGGGGAAATGTAACATTGTCGATGACAGGTAATGTAGGTTTGAGCTAGGGACAGCATTCAAACCCCGAAAATTGTCAAGAGGAGGTCGACTGAAGATCCCGCCATTATAGCGCGAAAGTCCATCATCCTCGGATTCCTCGGTCTCTTGATGATGCTTCAAGGCGACTCTCCCTCTCATGTCCATACCTCCTATACAACTTTGCGCTTGTTTATGGCTGCGTTACCGGAAGGGATCATTTCAATCTTACCACCCGTGAAATTTCTTCACTTTTCTTGAATAAGTGGAGCAAAGAAGGCGCGTGCCGCACCGCCTGTTCGCTCAAATTGAAAGACCAACGTTCCTCGCTTCGGGAACGAACTCCAAGCCTTACGAAATCGATAGCAGGCGAGTCTTCGCACGCTCAAGCCACAGCTCGAGCAATTCGACTCGAGGAAAACGCTGAGCTTGTCAAAGTGCGAGCCGGCGGCGAGGGAGGCCCGTAGTTGGGGGGTGGCTATTGGGGGGGGTCTCCAGGCGCAACAAACCTGACATGCAATTCGCTGGGCAACCAAGCACTCAGGCATCATGAGTCATGATCACCCCTTAGCACCATGCTTTCTTAGGCAATTCAAACACGCCATCCGCTTCCTTCTTCTTGTCTTCACGCCTCGTTCTGGCAGCCGAGGGTTCGTGACCCACTAGGAAATCATTCAAGTAGCATCTGTCCTGGTCGCACGCCAGATCGGCTTAGGAGGCCGGGGAATTAGGCTGACAGCCTTTGTCGCCCGCCCGTACAGAGCTCGCAGTGTGAGTCCCTTGTTGTATGTCGTCCGCAACGGTCAAGTGCGTAGCTTTCACAGAATCCTGAATCCCAGCGTGCGTTGAGCGTGCGCTTGAAGATAAAAATCAGGGCTGAAGTTTTGCGAGTGTAAGCCTAGGTAAGCAGTGACAGCAAGCAGTGAGCTTCACTCCAGTACTAACCTGGGGTAGTAACCCCGTTGTCAACAACAGTCCCCGGACCATTGTTCCCATTTATGTCCGCGTACTGCCAGGAGCCCGTGGGGTATATAGAATTTAGAGCGAGGACATGCTAGCAGTTAGAGACGTAAGAGGGTGTCAACTCCAACCTTACGTGATGCCGTTTTCTGGATGCGAAATAGGTCAGAATGTCAAGTTGGAATTGTAACGCACAGTGAGTGTACCCACAGACATCAGAGTTGTTATGAACAATTGCAATTATTCATACGTTCTTTCATTTCATCAGGGAGCTTGAATCGATCTTTTAAGTCGCACTGCACATTGGTGTGCATCGAATGTTGTGGGAGCTCAGACTTCAAGGAATTAGGTTGACAGAAATGGAAGTTGGAACAAGAAATGATGCTGAAGCGAGTCTCGCTCACGAGGAGGTACTAATTAAACATGATATACATTGGGTTATACAATATAAGAAAGTCTGACAATGTTGTTTGGCAGAATGTTGAGAGCCCCCGAAAACCCGATGCTTGAGTTGTGCTTGAGCGCGATTAGGACTTGTTATCTACATCTATGTTTGGTGCAAGTCCCCCATGTTTGTCCGCCTTGCACCCCAGTTGGGTGAGGGATTTCTGAACGTTGAGCAGAGGTTGTATTTCAGAATCCTCGATGGTCGGACTGAATAGACCAGACAAGTGGTCCCTGAACTTCGAAAGTATTTCTAGCCGAGCCTCTTTCTTCACGCCTTCGCCTGGGATCCGGGATGTGCGATAAGCTTCGCACAATAAACGGCGACAGTTTTCCATAGCCACGCCATGCTTGAAGAAATTCGAAGGGAGTTGCCTGATGTAGCTTTCAAATTTCATCCCACTCTGTAAAACGGCCGCTCTTTGAGATCCACTTTCCGCCACTCCCCGACAGGGAAAGAGGGACACTGCTGTGTTGATTTGGTTGTTGACATCTTCGAGAACATACCCATTTGTGGTACTCCAAAAGAGAATCCATACACCAACCCACCACAGAGATTCTGCATCATGGATAATCGTGTGGGTAACATCTGCTTCGATTGGGCGTTTGGGTTGATATTCTAAGACTCGGGCATGAATATCAAGTGTGCCCTCTGACACGGCGCTGGGGAGGATCAGATATGTTTGAGTGTAGACTTCTACTGGCATGAAGTCCAAGGTCCCCTGATGTAACATTAATTTTGGGTGATGCTTGGTCTAAAATCACAGTTGAAGACTTACCATGCACATATTATAAACATTCTTGGCCTGAGCATCAGGTGTGATGGCATACTCAAGGTCACATAACTTTCCGCGGCCTTGATAGAAAAGTATGTTACCACCACTGATATCCCGGTGCACATAATCCTTCTTGGCCATGATTTCCAGTGCTATGCAATATCATATTTAGAGTGGGTTGGGGAGCATGTATGTAGTCTACACACCTTTTGTCATATCGATGAGAGCTTGGAAAGCATCCTGGAGAGACCGAATCTCATACATAGAAATTCCCACCTCCTTGAAGATGATACGATAGTGATTTTTCCAAGTATATTGTTTGTCCTCTTGCTGAACTCGGGCATTGGGCATGAAAGCACTACTTTGGGGGAGTCTGGAGGAGGCCCTTTCAGCAGAAATTATTTCTTCTTTGGGTTGATATACATCAAATCCCCGCATCATAACAGTCTTGGTATTGTCTTTCGTTCCAGCATCATCCACTTCGACAGTACCGTGGGCCTCGAGCGTCAAAAAAAAACTGCGTTCTTCATCCGTGCAGCCAGAGAGGATCTTGAGAAGAGTATCCCCCTCGACCGCTCGCTCATCGTCCACCCAACAATCCTTTAACGCAAACGATTCGCCCCTGGGGACACCTCCCACCACTTCCTTGACTTCGTAGACACGTGTTGCACAAGCATTAGCGCCAAACTCAAATATGTCTTTGACTGTGCGATAGGTTTTTTTGATAGAATTTCCAGCGGAATCTGTTCCTTTAACAGTGAAATCGAAGAAGATCTTATTGTCGGCATCCTTGAGGGCCTTGACGGTTGGATCGAAGCCGAGGTCGAGAGCGCTACCATATGAGAGGGCCGCAATCAATTGAATGTACTTGTCAGAATCCTTGAAATGAAAAGATTGAATATTACTCAACAATGCATTTTAATGGCTCACTTGTATAAAGTTGAACGGCACCGTATTGACGACAACAGAGCGCGATGCGAACCATACTCTTGTGGCGGTGTTTTCGATGGTGATGCCGAAGACGCACCTCCTGCGTGGGTCATTGCGAAGCATGTGGTGCAAACTCCAAGCCATTTTTTGGTCATCCTAAGCAGTAAGATAAGTGGAGAAATGCATTGAAAACCGAGTGACTTACATCTGCTTCAAATGCCTCATAGGTACCCTTCTTATACTCTTCCGCCCACACGATATCCATCCACCCGTGGCCGACATAGTGTCGTTGTTTTTTTTTCAGTTGTCCGTATCCATCCGGTTTGCTTTCGTTCTTGTTTCGCAACGACAGTGGGGTTTTTGAAGGATTGCTGACATACTCGGCTGTTGGTTGACGCCTGACACCACTGGTGAAAAGTGCGCTGCTAACAATGGCAGATTCAATATGTTTGATACCATCGTGAGCCATCGATTCGCGGAGCTCACTGTTTGCTGGTGGGTGTGTGAAGTGACTCCAGTGAAATCCATCCTGTCCCTGTTGGAGAACTTTGCTCTGAATCAAGTTCAACCTGGTGGCTTGCAAGTTGAGGTCAACCTGAGGAAGAATCCAGGAAAGCATTTGCTCAAAGGTGATCATGGGGATCGTGCGGCCAAGATCACCCATAATTGCGGGGCGGACTGTCGTTGAATCGAGACCCCGCGAAGGGGACGCAGGTCGAATATCTCTGTTGAATCGAGACCCCGCCCAGCGTGAAACGTTGTGTGCCCCTGAGGTGGCCGACGTGAAGAGCTTCCTTTGCTCCAAGGTAACCATGGGAATCATGCGGCCAAGACCACCCATAATTGAAGGGCGAGCTTTAGCAAACATTGGGAGCGGGTAACCTTGAGTCGAACGGCAATTGAGACATTGCGGGCAATATCTGATCAGAAACCCCCTTTCTGGCAAAAACTCAGATCTCCTGATCCCGTCCAACGCATAGGAGCCATCTGTGATATCCTGTTCCAAAGACGGGCGGGCAGGGCGATTTCCCCAGAATAAGCAATCATATTGGTTGGATTACTGTCCCACTAATAAAGGATATTACACCACCCACTGGCAAGCACAGGTCGAATGACCCTAACGCCGCTATTGAAGTCTCGCGGCCGCGTAATCGCGAAATCCCTGATAACTCGTCGTCTTCCGGGTGGTATCCTCCTGCTTGGAATCTTAAATTCGCCGCGCTAACACGAGCTGACGTTAGAGGGGATCCCTGAAAGATAATCGATAACCCTTACGGAATCTCCCTCTGTACCCTTTTCCTCTCGACTGCCCACTGCTGTAATTGTCGACTAATGTCTTATTTCTCTTCGTGGAACCCTAAGTCCGCCGCGGTAACGCGAGCTGCAATCCAGGGTTCCTCGTCGAAGATTCCTAGGGAGATTAGCGGTCGACCCGCCGCGTAGTCGGGGGCAGCAGTCTCCGCAATCGATATTCTTATCGCCCACATATGTCAGTCACTATGTCACGTACCAATGCTTTAGCGGCGGGCGAGCCCGCCCGGTCCCCGACTCTTTTTTTTTTTGGAGTGGGCGATAATCATGCTCAACGTTGAGTCTCCTTTTGAGGTCCTCTCAGTGATACATTGATAGTCACGTGTACATGATTATATAATGCTATTTTCAACAGCTCGTAAGCAGCACGCTTCATTCTACTTTACTCGGCCCGCTCTCCTCTCCTTGGGAATGTGCGTAGGTGTATCCTCATCCGAATCGGACTCCGTGTCCGACTCCTCAGACTCAGACTCCTTTCCTTTCCGACCATACGGGTCATTCGATGTATCTTTTGAGCTAGATAATTGTGAAGGTTGCATCTTGATGGGCGCTTGGAAAAGTTGTTGACTGGCGGTGATATCTGTCAGTCGTCGAAACGAATGTGACGCCATCTGTCTGGCCAATTGCGGTTTCACGACTGCAGCCACCTCTTCCTCGTCCTCGGAGTCGTTCGCTGATTCGGGGCCATGGCCCGTAGCCCACTGGGAGTAGGGGAATCCTGGCTGACTTTCCGTGAGGATGAACAAAGGTTCTTTCGTTGTCGACGGCCCCTTGTCTTGTGATGCAGGATCGCGCTCGGATTCTCTCGTGCTCTGCCCATTCGCGAATTTTGGGAACGGAGTTTGAGTACTCGGACTGGACTGCAGCTCATCTTCCATCATCATTGTTATATCCCCAACCACGGATGAATTATCGTTCAAAACTTCCCAAGTGTTCAACGACGCCTGCTCGGGGACGTCTGAGTCTTCGCCGTTAGTATCGGCATCGAAGGTGTTTGCTTCCTCTTGGTTGACATCGTTGGTCTTGCCTCTGCCTCTCGCACTGGCTTTGCTGGCCAGCTTTGAGCCTTTGAGGGCAGTCTTTGGTGGCACCTTTGCAGGCGTTTTGGCACGAGCTTTAGTAGTCGCAGAAGTTTTTGAGGAGGGTTTGGCTGGCGTTTTGCCAGGCAACATTGATGACTGAGGAGGATTTGGCACCGCGGCCGGACTTTCCCCCCCCTCCTCCTCTTCTTCTTGAGCTTGCGGATGAGGCTGACTGGCCATAGGTGGTTTGATCACTCTGGGAGTTAAAACAGGTATGGGGAGCTGTGTTAATGACCTCGTTGCAGTCCTGGTTCTCCTTGCGACGCTATCCTCATTTCCTTGTGGCGAAGGGCCATTACCCTCATGGATATTGCCCAGGAGCTTCATTGCCTTCGTCATTGGTGATGGAGCACCTGATTTTGCTAACAATTGTCTTGTTCGTGTTCTCATGCTCTGAGATAGCTTCGGCGTGGATTGTAAAGGCGGAATCTGACTGCTACCCATGATTGGGCTATGTGGAGCCTCGGGAGATTTAGGAGATTCGGCTGGTTCGATGGAATCATTCCGAGCGTTGCCTGCTGTTTCGATTGGTACAGGTACTGCGCTATCGCCTTCGTTTTTCTGACTCGCAACCGCGGTATCCGAATCATCGTCAGTCTGATGACGCTTAGAAGCTTGAGATTCAGGAGGCCGCTTGTCGATTGCTACCTTCAACACAGCAGTATCGTCCGCCAAGGCCTCACTGAAAGCAGCATCCCCCGTCTTGTCGATTTCTACAGATTCTCCCTGTCCGTCCACGTCCATGAAGGACCTATCCCCGTTGTCCGAACTCTCCGACGGGGAGCTGCGCCGTGGTTCGGAGGCGGTCGCATTCACGACGGGTGGTGAAATAGTTTGCCTTGGTGTGTCAACAGATTTGTTCGATTCCTCTTCCTCTTCCTCATCCTCGTCCGAAGACCCTGAACTCAGTCGTTTCCTTGAATGTTTGACTTTAACCACCACTTCCTCATCTTCAAGCAAACCCCCAGCTTTGCCCTCATCTCGTTCTTCCTCATCCTCACTCGTGTCAGTTGATGGGATATTGGCAGCCGTCAGAGAAACCCGAGGGCCGCGAATAATCGCTTCCAAATCAAGATCGGTGTAAGATACACTGCCAAGTGCAGATAACGCTCCGGGAACAGGCAAGTCTTTCAAAATAGATATCTTCTTGCCAGCTTGAGGCGGTTTTGCAACAGCGGCTACTTTGCTGGAACCTGAAAGGGAGGTCGAATCGTCAGAAATGACCTAATATTTCGTGTCAACAAAAGTTGACTCGACAAATAACAGAAAGGAACATCCATTCACTTTTGTTTTCGGCATTTTTGCTGTTTTGCGCTTCCTTTCAATCATCATCTTCAGTTCTCCAATGAGTTGAGATTGGTCCACCGAGGTGTCTTCCTGCAACTCTGCAAGGCGAGTCTCAAGAGCTTCTACGCCTCGTACAACGACGGGGCACTGAAACCTCAGATGCAGCGGACTTTCCTTGCATATTGGGCAACTCTGTGTTCCTGAAGATCGCTTTCTGGTCGGGGATTCCACACCGTTGGGCTGAATTTCAGTGGCTTTAATCCCCGGTGGCCTCGATGTCTTCCCTTTCACCACTGCATTCTCGGTTTCTTTGGGAGCGGTGGGTTCTTGCGCAGGCGTTTTTGATGCGACGGCGGGGGTGGTTGTTCTTCGTGAGGCTATTATTTTCTGAAGTGTAGCCATGGCATCCTTGTTGCCTGACCAGGTGTCAGGTGTAATCCAATATGACAGCATGAACCCACCTAAAGAAGTCTCCGTTTCCCGAGACGAACTCTTACTCTTCCCTGTACCACTTGACGTTTCGCCTGCTTGACTATTAACTGATGAGTCATTGAAGGGGCGCGTGTTGACTTACCTTCTGTCGTGTTATTCGTCTCTGATGCAGCGACTTTGTTCTCTAGACTCAGTCAGATGCCATAGAAAAAAGCACCTCTCTTACTACTTTGAGAAGAAGGCTCCAGAGTTGATTTATTGCGATTTATCGGTTTGACTTCCTTCTCGTTCTTGCCACGCTCTGCAATCGAGTTGGCAAAGATAAACCAGACAAACTATGAAAACATACTTTTCTTCGCACGAGGCTCTTCTGACGGTATCGGCAAATTTTTGTTCTTGTCTGAAGGTAGACGATGTGTCAGCTAAGAAAACGCAAGATGTGAAGTTAAGCTGACCTCCAGTCTGGGAAATGGCCTCAGCGAGCTTCTCCGCCAACGGGAGAGGGTTCACCGGACGGTGATCCACTCGTTCTGCTTCATCGCCGCTGACTTCGACAACAGCACTCGAGGTTTTTGACTTATTTTTTGACTTCTTGAGCTTTTCAGGTTTCGTTACATTTGAAGCTGCCTGGACATCTTGTGGTAATTCGCTGGTTGTTGCTTTTGGAGGTTCTGCTGATTTAGAAGCGGCCCCAGATGCTGTAGCGTCGTGGTCCGCAGCCTTAGTTTTCTTCTTCTTGGATTTCTCTGTCACAAATGTAGGAAAGTTATTCACAAGGGATTCACGCGCTGGGCTACCTTGGGGAGGCTCTGCTTCGGCTGAATCCTTTTTCCGTTTGCGCTTCTTTTCACCACCGGCACTTGCCTGTTCGACGCTCTTGTCCTGAGCCGAATCCGTTGTCGCCCCGGGTTCACAGGTAGCCTCAGAGCCATTTATGGGCACTGTGTCTTTGCTGATGGCTTTTTTCTTTACGCTTGACGCATCATTTCGAGAAATTTTGCGCTTTTTTGCTGATTTTTGGACTCTTGAAGTGGGTTCATTGTTGTCTTCGTCAGTCTGAGCGGCAGAAGCTACTACATCGGTCTTCTGCGGTGTCAGATAAGAACAAGGCAGATTCGTCGAAAGAATCACCTGTGAAGCGCCCGAGCGTTCTTGGGTAGTTACTGGGGCAATTGTAGGTTTCCCAACGGTCACTCGGACTACGATTACAGGCACAGCGTAGGTGGCAGCGGAAAAGGCATCAAAGTCATCATCTTAAAGGCCATGTCAGTCTTTAGAAGTTGAGTGTTCTCTAAACCGCTTACCATCCTCAAGGTCAACCGTCTTGCTATCACGCAGTTGGGCGAGGTGTAGAGGTATGTCTGAAGAATAGCCCATTTTCTTGCGAACGACCTGCTTCATCTCGTCCAAAGACTCCTCTAGCTCATCATAAGATTGTCAAGTATTACTGGAATAAGGGATTTCAATAACCTTTAAACAAGCGGTCGAATGTTCTGTCCGCAACGTCGTAGGTAATCCTGGGGTAGTCAATGTCGCGTTTTCGCTTTTTGCTCGCCTCCATAGCGGACGAAAGAAAGGAAATGGAGGACGATTGAGAAGGTTAGAGATTGTGGCTGGGAGAGTTGAGATTTGCGCTTCTCTAGTCGCGTCAATTGATTTCAAACAACAACAAATACCTTCAACTCCATACCTTTCGAGATCCTCACTAGCACCCGAGTCTCGTTCCTCACACTACCATGGCAGGCCCGCACGGTATCCGACATCCACTCAGCTCGTTATAAGCAATTTCTTGACGTTACATAGGTCCAGGATTTCACCCACATCTTCCCGGTGCAGGATACAACTTCTTAGCGAAGGCTCTTGGAGCTTCAATGTGGTTCTTCATTTTCTACCGGGCCAGGTGCGTTGACTTTTCAGTCAGTCCATGTTTGGGATGCTAATTCAATTCTCAGGCAAGATGGAGGAAAACTACTGGTACGCTTCATCACAATCTTGAGGTACATAGACGCACTCACTAACCTCTCACAGGGTATACATCCTTGGGATAGCCACGGCCATGGGCATGGCGCACATGAAGACCACCATTGATAGACCATCTTAGAACAGCAGTATAGAAACTTCCGAATTGAAATTTGGTCCACTTCGTCCTAGGGTCATTTTACTGTGCCTCTCGCCGCAGCGAATCCCACCGTCGATTCCGCATAAGCTTTCTGTTGTGGCGTCGATTGTTGAGCTTGAGCTTGAGCTTGAATTTTTTACCTCAACGCAACTGAGTTGTTCCCGCGTTTGGTAGAACAAATGATGGTTTCTTACTGTTCATCACGTTCCAACCTCCATGACATACTTGAACATGGCGATCGCTCTCAGAAGTCGCCTACTCGTCAACGTGCTGAGGTTATTTTGGATCGTAATCGCTCTGTGGTACGAGCTAGGGACCTTCATATCAGATAGCCGAAGGTGCAACTGGCCTGACGCGGTGTTTGCGGTGTCTCCCGTCAGTTCTTGCCACTTTCTCTCCACGAATTCCCAACTTACTCGCGCCGAACGGCCCACATCATTCTAAGAACAAACCGCATCCTTATCATGTCCTTGTCGTCGCCGACCCCCAAATTCTGGATCACCGTTCATACCCCGGGCGCGCACCATTTCTCACATATATATCGCGACTTGTGGTAGACCTGAATCTGCGCAAAAATTGGCGTGCGGCTCTATTGAAGCATCCAGATGCCGTCGTTTTCCTTGGAGACATGATGGACGGTGGACGGTTTAGCATGTCGGACGATGAGTACGTGTCCGACGTCACTTCTCATCCATCTTGCTCGTCTCTAATCTCTCAGTTCAGATATGAATCTTACTATCGCAGGTTCAAAAGTATCTTCAGATTAGATGCTGAAATTCCTCAGTACTTCATACCTGGAAATCATGACACTGGGTGCGTCTGGCGTCACTGAATGATTTTATCAAGCTGGACACCCTTTAACTTGATGTTGGCAGACTTGGTGCTTCTGGAGCTTTCTCGCCTCACGCCCGGTCTCGCTACCTCTCGCACTTTGGAGAGCTCAACTACGATCTGACGGTGGCCAACCATTCCCTCGTATTTGTGGATGCGCCTGGTTTCGTCGACGAAGACTATCAACGCCTAGCTGTGGGAAAAGGATACGACTCTTGGGAGCCAATTCCAGGAGGCCCAATTGAATACTTGACGAGTTTTGCTAAGGGTATGACCATCAGCCTATTCAGTGTACAGTCCCATTCATTGATCATTCTAGAAAAGACCACGCATCCCATCATTCTCTTCAGCCACATCCCGCTTTACAGACCAGACGGCAGGTCCTGCGGCCCTTTACGAGAAAAGGGAACAATACGCCCAGGTGTGGGCATTGGCTATCAGAACACATTGGGAAAAGAGGCCACAAAACGTTTGCTTGAGACGTTACGGCCAAAATTGATTTTGAGGTATCTCTTTTTCTTGACGCCTCATCACTCAACTCACTCTTCAAAACTTCAAGTGGGGACGATCACGATTATTGTGAATACATACACACGGTGCCGTCATCTCGTGGCCTTTTGGACAAAGCGCGAGAGATAACAGTCAAATCTCTCTCGATGGCCATGAACGTCCGGCGACCTGGATTCCAACTTCTGTCCCTGGCTCCTGATGCGCTGAGGGGGGACAATCCTGGCAATCCAACATATGCAGATACGGCGTGCCTTCTGCCTGATCAACTGGCGATATATCTGAATGTGTATATCCCCTTCCTAGTACTATCGCTGTTGACCCTGTTCATTTGCCATCTAATTCGTGGTTCATCCCTTCGAAGTAGGAAACTGCTCCGGTCGGGGGACCAGAGGATACCCGACATTGAGGATGGGGAATGCAAAGTCCATCCCTACGAACACATGCCGCGCGACTCATCGTACTCCCTACCTTTATCTACCCCCGCTTCTACCAACCAGTTCCACTGGTCGTGGACATTCGTTTTGGCGGGGAAGCGTCGCCGGCTCGCAATAAATCATCAATCCTGCATCGCCTTAGCCAGAACCTTGAGTTGCTGTGGTCGAAAGGAGAGTCCCCGAGAAAGACCACGCAGACTTGGGTGGTTTAGTGGCTTCATGCGGGACGTGAGAGACGTCGCGGTCTTTCCCTTGGCCATATTTATCCTTATGACGTGGTGGTTGTTCACATGGTGATGGACTAGACTTGGGGGGACTTTGTGGCTCTCTTTTTTGCACTGAGATATATATTGGGATGTTTTGTGAGATATAGTAAGTCCATTTTTGTGGTGACATTGCAGCTCCGTTACCCTGCCTTGATAGTACGGGATTGCCCACGATGTATGCCAGGCTCTTATGAGTTCTCCCACACAACTATCACATTGCTACTTTCACCTCATGCACGCGACGAAATGATATCGTCTTCCAAGCAAGACTTCGGTACTAAGTTCCTATCAGACTCCCACATCTTCGGTTATCGCTTCTTGTTCCCGTGCGTGGAGATTGGGAGATCAGCATGCTCGCCTTCTCGGTGCGAAGAACAACTTCTCACCATTTGAGGGGGAAAGTCACCTTTACCACCATGGTGCACAGGTGGTGGCAAGCGGCCCGAGTATCAAGCGCCAAGTTATCTTGCGATCCAACCCATAGGGGTGAAGAGACGCTATAATGTTCTCTAAGGATAGGTTCTCGTCCACCCAGGGGGGCAGGCTGCTGCTTTACTAAACAATGGCCGCAATAACCAGGACCAGGATGAGAATGTGCGATCGCCAGCGTATGGTCGTAACGGTGTGATACACACTTGGTGAATTGAGAGTTGCCAACGCAGACGACATTGTTTGGTGTGGTCGTAAAGGTATTATCACCATTGTACCTTTCAGAGCTTTTGTCCACTCATCATTCAACGAAGTTCAGATGTGTTTGACTATCGGACAGCGACGATGTTGAATTTGGCCTCGGACACGCGTATTTTGTGGCTAGCCGCAAACATCCAACTCGAATGACGAACGATGTCCCTCATTCATGTTCAATCGGTTGTCCCTGATGTATGTGACGTACGGGAGAACGTGGAAGCTGCCACCATCTTTTGACAGCTTTTGACTCAACGTTCTTAGGGGCCCCTGCATTGCTTGCAACGTGCATATACGTCCTAGTCTTTGTCATTATCGAATGCGCTGTGATCATCTTGCATCGTGGACGACGTCTAAAACGCGAGGAAGAATAGATCTTGACGTCTATCATTATTAAAATCAATGCGTCGCTCGCCCTACAGGTTCACTATGACGCTTAATTGCCGTCCTCGTACAGCCTCGTACATGCCCCCATCGTCCGATCGTTCTTGTGGATTCAATCTTATTGCCTAAATCGGGTCCTGAGGAATGGGTTCAACTCGTGTTGAGGACGGAGGCACGACGGAATTCAGATGGAAAGCTGGTAGAGTGCCATGTCTGTACTAAGTAAAGCTGCGATCCCGCCTGCACTCAACTGATCACAGTACTAGCTTCTCATGCCATCGATCCAGAAGTCTTACATCGCAGAATTCAGGGGTCCTCTGCGTCGTTGTATGACTTACTGCTTACGAAGACGAAAAGGCGACTCGAAGGGCACTTGACAATTCTTGAAGCTTCTGCTATCGGCGTCTATCTAGCACTAGATAACCAAATAGCAAGAGGCAATTCTAATCACGAATTGTTAGGAAGTTCACAATGTGGCTTGCACAACCCTTTGGATGGGAAGACTCACTGCTACAAGATATCAGTTGACTGGCTGCGGTGGCTGCGGGAGGGTTCAGTGAGGGCAATTTGCTAATCAAGGTTAGATTGTCTGCTTAATACCCAGCTTCCCTGGCTAATACACGACGCAAGATCTCCTCGTGTTCTCACTGACGCCAACCGCTATACTATCATGCCTTCAACTTGCACATCCAATTAAGATTCCTCGGCTAAAATCGACCGTTGCATCTCCAAGATAGTCGAGATTTTGTTCCGTCGAAACAGCAGGTGTTGCGTTCTTCAGCGAAGCATCGTCCTCATCACTTGGTTGCATTCATGATGGTGGTCCATAACAAGCTGTGATCGTCCTAGGATTGATTTTTCGAGCAGCCCCTTTAGCCTTCAACGTCCCATATGTAACCAAACGGTCCAAACCTCCCGTTCACGCGCTACCCAATTGATGATGGCCCCTGGGCTTTTTATAGACCGGCCGCCACCACTTTGCCAGCGCACAATGCAACAAGCCAAGCGCCGAGTTTTAGGTCAAGCCAAGGTTCCTTGCAAGGTTCGCTTCGAGCCGCGTTCAAGTTTCCCTGAGGCTTGAGCCTCTTTTGAAAGGCTCGAGGACGGAACGTGTATGGACAAGCGCCCATTTGTGCATATTAATAGCAGAGAATAAGCTGTGTAAAATAATGGCCATAAAGGGGAAATCAAAAATGGTGAAAGCCGGAGAGGAAGCGGGAAGGAGAGAAGAAACGGAATGGGCGGCAGAGAAGGGAGCGGGAGAGTGATGGGCTGCATGGCGATAAGAAGGTCTGGGACAGGGATTTATGTATCTGGATTTATGTTTGCTATGGCAGCTCGTTACCGTAACGCCGGATCGACGCCAGATCTATTCCAAATCGAAAGAACGCCCTAGAATTGTTGGATATAAAAGCTGCAAGTGGAAAGCAGCGGCAGCTAAGAGGCAGAAAGCTCGGCGAAGAAAGGGTTGCACCCTTTGGCTGCAATTGCAGCAGCGGAGACTTGCGGTGAATGCATGCACGTTTGTGCGACCGCCCTATAAAACCCAGGACATCCACTGTAAATCGCAAGTCCTGGCTTTGTGCCCCAATACGCGAGGAACTCTCCGTTTTCGAGTCGCCTCATTTAGATTACGAGCTACTCAAACGTCATCACCGCCAACGCCCTCCCCTAACACGCATAAATTCAGCCCCTCAGCTCATCTCTACAACCACAACCTCTCCCGTTCACATCCACAACCTCAAGTGAGTATCCCCCCAATTTCTTACCTGACTATATGCGCCTTACATCCTTACCATCAGCATGTCGAGCTCGTTGATGCCCCGCAGCGACTCCTTCAACGCACGCGTTCGCGGCACCAGCCACATTGATTTCAAAACGGCTACCACTGGCGTCGCCGCGAAGGCAATGCGCAATGAGATCAGCCGCCTCGTAGCCACCGTTGACGACCCCGCCACAAAAAAGGTACGTCCTAGGCCACGATCCCTCGCGATGTAGCCTTCTCATTGACGCGATAGGCGTTCGACACAGAGATGCAGTCCTTCTTCTATCTCTTCACCCGCTATCTCGCCGAGCGCGCAAAAAGCGTTGACCTGTATGTCATTCGACTTTGTTAGGAAGTAAAATCTTACATCAGTCATAGCGATTGGGATCGGATCAAGTCCCCCGCTGCAGATCAAATTGTTCCCTATGCAGACCTCCCCAAGCCAAAGGATACCAAGAATCTGAGCAAACTCGCTGTTCTCAAAGTCAATGGTGGTCTTGGAACATCCATGGGTGCGCGTTGCGCGCATATGATGGCCCCTATCTATATTCATCGATACCCTTTGTAGGCATGACCGGAGCCAAGAGTGCTCTGGAGGTCAAGGATGACATGACCTTCCTCGATCTGACCGTGAGGCAGATTGAGCATCTGAACACGACCAGCCGCGTCGATGTCCCCCTCATCCTCATGACCTCTTTCAACACGCATGATGATACCCTTCGCATCATCAAGAAATATGCGAACCAACAATTACGCATTACCACCTTCAATCAGTCCCGATACCCCAGGATCTTCAAAGAAACTCTGCTTCCATCCCCCAAGCGTGCTGACGACGACAAGAAGAACTGGTACCCCCCCGGTCACGGTGATTTGTACAATGCTCTCTTGCACTCCGGCGTCCTTGACCAACTACTGGCCGAGGGCAAGGAGTACCTCTTCGTGTCCAACTCAGACAATTTGGGAGCTGTGTATGACTTGCAAGCTTTTTCTATCATCAAGACGACTAAATCTTGTTTCCAGCGTCGATGAAAGCATCTTGCAACACATGATCGATACTAAAGCAGAGTTCCTCATGGAGGTGACGGACAAGACCAAAGCTGACATCAAGGTAAGTTCGGCACCTTGGTCAAGAACATCTTGAATGACGCATATAATAGGGTGGAACCTTGATTGGTTTGTTCTCCCTCTCGGACTACGCATATATGTCTAACTTTCTTTGAAAGATTATGATGGTTCAATCCGATTGCTTGAAATTGCTCAAGTTCCTTCAGAACACGTGGAGGATTTCAAATCAAGTAAGTAGAAACCGACAGTTTTCTTGAGCGTCACTGACGTGGTCTTCAACAGTTCGCAAGTTCAAGATCTTCAACACGAACAATCTGTGGATCAATTTGAAAGCCCTCAAGAATGTTATGGAGAACGAAGGCATGGAGTTGGAGATCATCATCAACCCCAAGACCACGGATGATGGTCATGCTGTTGTTCAGTTGGAGACTGCTGCTGGAGCTGCCATCAAGCACTTCAAGAACGCGCACGGTATTAACGTGCCCCGCAAGCGTTTCCTTCCTGTCAAGAGTTGCTCCGATCTCCTTCTCATCAAGAGCGACATTTATTCTCTTCAACATGGACAACTTGTCATCAACGAGCAGAGGATGTTTGAAACGACTCCCGTTATCAAGCTTGGAGACCACTTCAAGAAGGTAAGCGCATGCATGTATCTGTTTGTAAAACACATGGCTGACTCTCTCGTTGTATGTAGATCCAACAATTCCAGAAGCGGTTCAAGAAGATCCCTAAGATCTTGGAACTTGATCACTTGACTGTCACTGGAGACGTGTATTTTGGTCGCAATGTCACCCTTCGCGGAACCGTGATTGGTAGGTGAATTCTATGTATCCCGAGATATCTGCTGACGCGGTTCTTTCCGCAGTTGTTGCCAATGAGGGGCAGAGGATCGATATTCCAGACGGCTGCATTTTGGAGAACAGGCTGTTGTCAGGCAACTTGAACATGATTGTGAGCATGTCCTCCTTTCGGCTTTGTGACAGTGCTAAACCATCATCCTCAGGAGCTTTAATTTGAGGGAGTTTCGCGTTTAGAATGGATCCCAAGATGGCATCATGGACTTTTTCAGAAAATAACTTCGGACGATTTTGCGTGTCCTTGCCTGGGTTTTATTCTAGTGTGACTTTCCTTCAAATTTCATCTGGCGGCTGGATTTCGAGCTATGCCATTCGCTTTTGTTGTCTGCTCGTTGTCGTCAGGATGTGCCCCCTACTACATTACACTTGAAACCGCAATTATACCTGGAGCTTTGAGAGCATACAACCTTTTGAACCATTGATCGACTTATGAAAGTCGATGTCAAGACTGGTGCAGTGAAAACTTCATCCTCCAAGAAATCAATTCTGGCTGATGACCAAACCTGTCTTAAGTATGTACATGTAACTGACTGTTAAGGTACGATCCGGTGAAGCATAAGTAAGTATCCTCCTGTAGCACTACAGTTCCTAAATAATGGGTAGCTCAGTATTTTCGATTCTTCAGCCACAGCAAATCAGCTCACCGTCATCATCAGACCTCCAGAAATCAGGCCTAAAGGAGTTGAAGCTTCAGAAAGGGTCAAGAGGTGAATCGTGTAAAAACTACGCACGATTTTCTAACACACAGCCGTCGGGGATATCTAGCCTCTGGCCTTCACCCGCTACAACTGAAAAAGGAAAGCATTTTTGAGCGAGCGACCATGAAGGCAACATCGACTCGACTCACTAATTACGGTTCCCCGCAAGGTTACGTTACGCCCAAAGTACACGTCGCCCGTCACTGTGAGATGGTCAAGCTCCAACATTCGAGGGATATATCGAAGCCGTTTCTGGAATTGCTGGATCTGGGCACGAAGGTTTTCAGTCAAGTGCAGGAATGGTCACACAACTTGGGCTGGAAAAACCTTTTTAAAGTGGTCACCGAGTTTGATAACAGGCGTAGTGCCAAACATCCTTTGCTCGCTGAGGACAAGGCGACCATTCTGAGGAGAATAGAGATCGCTCTTGACGAGTAAGAGGTCCGAGCAGTTCTTGACGGGGAGGAAGCGACTGCGAGGCACGTTGATCCCATGCGAGTTCTTGAAATGTTTGATTGCGGAACCCACGGCGGTTTCCAGCTGCGATTACATCGATAAAGAGGTCTTGTGTAAATCGGTATATGTTTACCTGTAATGCTGAGCGGCCGTCTTCTGTCACCTTCTGTTTGGCGAAGACATTCAACTCCATCCCCTGTGTTTCCATTACACGCTTAAGAGCTAGGTTGGAATTTGTCAGTGAAGAAGGCAGTGTTGAACGTGATCTTCGTACCTTTGAGATTTACCCAGACGTTATTGGTGCTGAAGCTTTTGAACTTCTTGACTGGGAGAAAAGTGTGTTAAATACTTCAAAGTCGGCATCCCGCACACAAAACAAATACCAGATTCGAATTCTTCCAAGCATCCTAGTGGAACCTGAGCGATCTCGAGGAACTGAAGCGTTCCGTCATAATCTACAAAAAAAAGTGAGAACCTAGTGGGACTAGTCCACCAGAAATGTACCTATCAGCGTTCCGCCCTGGTAAGAAGAAAATGTTGAGTGTACTGTGGAGGAGAACGGATATAAGCAATACCAACCTTCACGTCGGCTTTTGTTCTGTTCGTCACTTCAACAAGAAATTCGGCTTCAGTCTCAACCATATGTCGTAATATCTTTGAATCAACACTGAGGGTAGCAGATACATGGTCATTGATGTGAACATGATTGTTGAGGCAATACTAACACAGCGCCGAGATTATCAGAATTTGAGACAAAAAGATATTCTTTTCCTTCTGTCAAGAGTTGATCTAATACACCGGAACGGTGTAATGCAAGATAAAGATCGCCGTGTCCGGGAGGATACCAGGCTTTCCGGTCATCGTCTACGCTCTTGGGTACCAGTAACAATGTGTCATTGTATATTTTTGGATACCGGGATTGATTGAAAGTTGTTATTCGCACTTGATGTTGGTTTGCATATTTCTTAACAATGCGGATGGTATCCTCCTGAGTGTTGAATGAAGTCATCAAGAGAAGAGGTACATCCACATGTTCGGTAGAGTTGAGATGTTTGATCTGCTGCACTGCAAGATCGAGAAATGTCATGTTATCTTTCACTTCAAGGGCGCTCTTTGCTCCAACCATCCCTGATAGATAGTAAATATTGTGATACGCTAAGGTTTCGCCCACTTACCCATCGTCGACCCTAGTCCGCCATTGACTCTCAGGACAGCGAGCTTTTTCAAAAGAACGTTGTCGCCAGCTTCAGGTAGCGTCTCGTAAGATACAATCTGTTCAGGACGCGGGGTAGAAACCTTCTGCCAATCTCTACACAAATGTCAGTGAATAACTCAACTCCAAAGCTTGTCGAGAAGAAAAAACTGACATGTTTTCGGCCGTAGGTTTCTGTGCTAAATATCTCGAGTAGAGGTGCAAAAACGACTGCATTTCGGAAATGAACAGCTTATGAACGGAACATCAAGTTCTTGCCTGATATTGTGAAAGAGAATAATCTGTTACCTTCTTGCTCGTTGGATATGGAATTGTGTTGACTAATCTGTCGAGTTCATCGCGCATGGACGCATTTGCTACACTTCCAGGCGTATTTGGGAAATTTTTTCTCTCGCGGCGACGAAAACGGCGAACAGGATAGTTGAAGAAAGGCATGTTGGACGAGAACCGAGGAGATACGGACGGTACCGTGCGGATTCACCGAGTTTTATCGGTTGCACACGCGTTTGGCGTGAGGCAAGTCGCAGCGCAACTGCGCGCTACGACGCCATGAGACTCGTGTTCGAGAAGCGCTTCTAACCCGAATAACTGTGCGCAGTTCGAGGTGGACATCTTGAGAAGATAGAACATAGGTTCATCTTCGTGTAATGCAAAATATGCGCATATATTTCTTCTACGACGACAACGACAATCAATTTAACGCTCGCGAAGTCGAAATCGACCACTTACAACGACAGTGGCCAGCAGAGGGCGTATTTCCTCGCGGAGAAGAGGAGTGAATATCGGCGGATGCCAATCTGAGATTGAAATTGAGCAAACCTTAATCTTTAGTATCATCACAAAACCTAACACGACCGTAGACCTCCATCCTCAAGACCGCTCGACATGGGCAAGTGCTGTCGGATCCCTAATCTTTCGGTTTGCTCACCGTATCGTAGGTATCTCTCGCTCTTCTCGGCATAAACGTTCGGAAACTGGCGCACAGCGCGCCCACTACCGCAAGAAGAGAAAGTTCGAGCTCGGTCGTCAACCCGCCAACACCAAGCTCGGCGCCAAGCGTGTGCACACCGTCCGTGTACGAGGAGGAAATCTGAAGTATCGTGCTCTTCGCCTTGACAGTGGTAACTTCGCCTGGGGCTCTGAGCAAATCACCCGCAAGACCAGGATTATCAGTGTGGTGGGTATCTCATTTTATGATCTATCAATGTGCGCTTCTTATGTTACGATTTAGGTCTACAATGCCTCGAACAACGAACTCGTCCGAACCAACACCCTCGTCAAAAGCGCCATCATTCAGATCGACGCTACCCCCTTCCGTCAGTGGTACGAGTCCCACGTACGTCGCGGTTTTACGTCCTCTGCTTTTGCAATCAGTAACACGCAAATTAGTATGCCCAACCCGTAACGAAGAAAGGCAAGACAACGATCGTTACCGATGCTGCCGCTGAGCCTACGAAGCTCTCAAATCACGCACAACGCAGTTTGGATGAGAAGAAGAAGGGTGCGCTATATCCAATTTTCTTTGACATCCCATTTTTTAACATAATATAACAGAGGCCAAGATCGACACATTGCTTGAATCTCAATTTGCTGCTGGTCGTCTCTATGCCGCCATCGCCAGCCGTCCAGGCCAATCTGGCCGTGCAGATGGGTACATTTTGGAGGGCAAGGAACTTGAGGTACTTCTTTTCGTCGTTGATTTTCTTTCAACAATTGTTGAACAATTTCATCACAGTTCTACCTGAGGAAACTCAGGACTGGCAAGCAAAAGCACGCACACGCATAAACTGGACGAGCTTCCGTTACGCGTCGCCGTTGTTGGACTGAGGTCAATATTTGGAACGATGTTCAGGCTGAATAGCACATTTGGCTTCTATGAGATCATGTCACTCCCGCTAAAAAAAATATATGCTCTCAACTATGTAATACGCTAGGATAAAGCCTTTGCCAAACAGCTGTCAACATAGAGTCATTGAGAGATCTTGAAGTTCAACGTCTTCTACCTCTGGTCGATTTCATCGTTGACCACGACGATGGCGCGTTTTTCTAACTGTCTTAACGTTATACACACCCGCTCACCGCGCAGAAATATAGCTCATATTCTCCGTCTTCAAAACTCTGACCGATCAGCAAGTGACAGTCGAACTAAAGAATGATCTCTCAATAACTGGCGTTCTAAAATCTGTCGACCAGTCTGTAGGCAGTTGACTCGCCGCTTTCGCATTTGTTTACAATGTTGCTCAGGTTCTTGAACATTCGTCTTGACAACATCAAGGTGTCAGATGAATCTCGACATCCGCACATGGTGGGCTTTTTTGAGGTGCGACGCTGTCTTTCTTTCTGATATTCAGACTTGTCAATAGATGGCGGTGAAAAACTGCTTCATTCGGGGATCCGTCGTCCGCTATGTCCAGCTGCCGGCAGAGCATGTTGATACTCAGTTGCTGGAGGATGCAACGCGGAGAGGTATGTCATGTAATTGGCAACTTCAGTCGGGAAATCGCTGATTTCAGATTCAGAGTCTCTGAGCCAAACAAAACGATAGTCTAAGTTGACAAAGGGCTAGAGACAGGGCTTGATAAAGCCAGACATGTGCATATTTTCAACAACATTGATTCCACCAATTAGAGCATTACAGATTCTTTGTCGATATGTGGCCTTTTTGAACACGATTGACCGTCGCAAGATCATGATTCAGGAGGGGGTTGCCTCCACACCTTTGCAGTACCATCGGCGCTTGCCGTCACCAATTCACCAGCATCTGTTGGATGATGTTCTGTCCATGTTATGACCTTGTGATGGGCCTTTGGGGGAGGATTGGGGGGTAGGACTTTTGCCTTTTGAATCGCTTAAAACAGAAATGAATCTGTGAGAAATGCTTGCTCACATCTACAAGATCCCATGCCCAAACCACACCCTTTTCATCACCACATATGACGGTGGCTTCGGCATGACCAAAGCATGCACGACAACGATAAGCTTCATTAACATGCCCGACAAACTCGTTGAGCATCTTGCCGTTGGTCATGTCCATAAGTCGAATATGGTTATCAAGTGTGGTGACTAGCAGCGTCTGGGTATCCTGTGTGGGCACGATGGAGGTGACGGGATCTACACATAAAGTTGCTTATCAGACCATTTCATAATGTAGAATGAAGTCCACGCACGGCCTATGAAATCTGAGCGTAACTCGCCCTTGCGAAGGTCATAAGTGCGAACATGACCGTCCACAGACCCGGTAACAATGAAAGTGGATCCCACATGAATAGTTTGCACCGCATCGCGGGCTTCTTCAAGAACTTGTATGGCCTGGCGAGATTGAGCGCTACAGTCAAAGTTATTTTCATCTGATTAACATGACTTAAAAACGCACCGGAGGTCCCAGAGACGAACTGTCGAATCATAGGATCCTAGCGGGCGTTAATTGGTTTCAGAGACCAACGAGTAATAAGTTTATGAGCTTACCGCTGGCTACAACGCTGGCATCCTCGTTGAACTCCACAACATGAATTTTGCCCATGTGCCCAGCTAGGCGCCTCGTAGTAGTGCCAGATGCAACATCCCACACAAAGACAGAGCGGTCGCCTCCAGATGAAGCGAACTTGGCATTATCATTTGACCTAGAAAGAATTCTAGATTTTAATTTCGAATGAAGGGGAAGAGATACATACACTGTAATTGAGAGAACCTCATAGCCATGAGCAGAAAATGTTTTTATTTCTGAGCCAAGATCGGCGTTCCACAGGCGAACAGTACGGTCTTGACCACCAGTCAAGATATATTTTGCAGAACCTTTTGCATAACGAGCAACATTTACAGCTCCTTTATGATTGTTCAAAACGACGTGGACGTTGCGCGCCACTGGTTGTGGCCCACGAGATGGAGCCATGAGAGAGGCGGAAGAATATCCAAATACTCGGGTTCAGCTCAACATCTACGTAAACTCAATCTGGCTTTGCTCACAACCATGTCGAAGCGCAATCTCTCTCCCGGCCTCTTGCCACCCACCAAGCGTTTACACACCTCCACAGGCCACCAACGACCAACCAATCGTCTCAATTTTGATAATTCACTTTATGACGAGCTTATCTTGTGTATTTTCTCACATCTCTCGTGGATAGACCTCTGTGCAGCACAAGCGACGAGCCGGAATTGGGCCAGACTGGCTACTGACAATGAAATATGGAGAAAGCTCTACCTCAGGACTTATGGTCGCGCACGTCTTCGTGGAACAAGGGGCTTCGTCGGACGTCCTGATGGACGGGACATTAAACCGTTGCCTGGGCGGGCGAAGCCGGAAGACCGTAAAGACTGGAGGCAGATGTTTCGTATTAGCACGAACTGGAGAAGAGGTAAGTTTACCTGTTTTTGTAGTCTTGCCATTGATTGACTAGATATTTGGTTAGGCCGATGCAATGTTGTACGGCTGAATTTGTTAACCCCATGTCAACATGATTTCGACAGGCCACACTGCATACATATGCTTCTAGCTGGCTCCTTGACTATCACATCATCTTCGAAGCCGTCTGAACATCCCAAAATCGATATCCGTGGACCCTCGGGTAATGACCATGCCGTACTTTGTGACTCGAGACTTCCCGGAGAATATAGCATTACCGCACTGGCTTTGGATCAATCCCCGCCAATATCCAGTTACATACGCTTTGCGGTTTTCCTATCCACCGGCGAATTTACTGTGTTTCAAATTTTGCACAACCAACCGATATCTCCAACTAGAAAGCTGGTTTACGTCCCTACTCAACAAAACGACAGGATCTCGCCCATTATTCAAGCTGTATACAATCATCCACTTCTTGTCACGCTCTCCCAATCATTTGCTCTCTGCATATATGATTTGTCATCAGATATTGCTCGACGCACGCAAACGCTGACCTCCTTCACGTCATTCCCGCCTTCCTCTCTTGTACTATCTACCCCAACGTCTACAACATACAAGCTCGTTTTGGCATATTCAATACCTGTCTACCCATCGCATTGGTCAGTCGGTGCGACCGAGCTTATTATATCAGCTGCTCAGGCTTCTCCTTTGTCTCCCCCTGCTCTCTCGTCATTCTCCGAACACCTCAAGCATCCGATTGCGGATGCGATGACCGTTATCTCAACGCGTACCACACGAGCTCTTGATGTACCATCTGGATGGATAGACGAGTACAAACTTCGACTCATGCGGGAGCAGTGGAATCGCAAAGTTTCTCAAGTCTCTGACACTCAAACAGATGGCAAATGGGTGGTATTGGCTCCAGAAGACCCTTCTGATCAAAGCAATCCATCTTGGCGCTCAAATACACATTCTACATCCTCGTCATCATCGGATTCCCCAACGTCAAAACTCGGCCCTTTGCGTTCACCCACAAGCTTACAACTCTATCGGCTCAGTCTACCGACGCAATCTGCGTCTATATCGGCCTCTCCCCCCAAGCTTACTTTCGTACGGACCTTGCATGGACCTTGCGGTCCTGTTGCCGCAATGGCACTCGCAGACGGTAGATGTGTCAGCCTGAGTCACAATGGTGCCATCTGGGTTTGGGATCTCGAAGGTGGAACGAGCGCAGAGGTTGCTGCTGGCGATGGTTCCGAGATAGGCAGCCTTTCTACGGCATCCAAAGGTACGGTGTCTTTTGATGAGAGACGGATCATCAGTGCCAGTGCGGGGAATATCGTGGCCCGAACATTTGACATATGATGAACAACATTGACGCCTCGTGGGCGGCGCGCGGTGCGTTGGTTCGACATAGACTGCTCCATTCAGCAGAGAACTACTGTTATCATTTCATCTAGTTGACGAGGAATCCTGATTTGTTTTATAGGTATATTTATATTGTCCGAGGACTATGTATTGATATCTTTATCTTACGGGACTGTTATTTTTCTTAAGGCCGTCTGCGTATCTCGTTCTGGTCACCAGACCGATGACATGACTCCCATCCACTCACGTTGTTCCCGCCACACCGCTGATTAACCAGAAAGTGAACGACTTGGGCGGGCCTAAGTATGTGGTGCCTGCACGTTTCTGTTGTTGTTGTCGGCCTGCCTTCTGCTTTCGGCCCGCACAAGCGATCTGACCGAATCACTCCGCTAAAAAGGCACCGCCAACAGCGCGCATGTCAGGCAGCCTGAGCAGAGTATCATCGATTGTGCGTCTTTCCTCGGAACTACAGTCTTGTTTTTGAACTGATTTTGCATCGTGCCGTGGTCGATTGTAGATCATCTTATCTCCTTGCACCTTGAAGTGCCAATCTATCTTGTTGACCGAGCCCTTGTGATCACACTTAAGATCCGTGGTACGTCATACTTTCCTCAAGTTCCCTTGTCTAATAGCCTTTTTACCAGTAGAGCCCTCACGAGCACGAGCCGAAATGGCAATGCACAGGAAGCTTTAGCCCGCATTGGAACGATTATCCACCTGCCAGCAAAATGAGTTGGAGAGCAACTATTACAATCTTAGTCTATCTGAATGGGCGTCGGATCGACCCGTTGCTTTTTCCAAGTAGGAGAGCGGGATCATACCACACAGCACTTTGAGGTATATAGAATCTTTATCTTACCTCGAAGCTCAAGTTTCCCCGCATTTTTTTGTCAGCCAACCCAAGCGTGGCGACGTCTAAAATCCTGGTTCCATTGATCGCTTCATCATTCCCCGTTGCGGTGCTGTTTCTAGCGCTCGATCATTTTCGAAGACATGGCCGCGAATCCCAATCACCGCCAGATAGCTGGACCTGATGGTGACTCGGGATCCCAGAACTCGAACCATATTGGGAGGCCGACATATATCACCTCTGGACAATTTCAAGGCCAGACGATTCGTGTTGAACTGGAGGAGCTGCAGAAGGCGGAGCGGGGCAGAAAGTATACTTACTGGGTTTGACCATCGTGTCGATGATGATTTATCGTCACCCAGGTATGCAAGAGTCGATCGGCGTCCACTCGATCCACCCCCTGCCGTCCTGCTCCGTGTGTTCGAAGTAAATCGCACAGATTCCGGAAGACAATGGGAGAGGGAAATCAAGCCCGAGTGAATACGGCATGCCATCTCATATTGAATGGTATCTGATGCGTTTTAATAGGAGCATAAGAAACATTGGAATCATGTGCACTGTCGATTTGTTTCCCGTTCCTGAATCTTTGCTTTCCTCTGACAGCTCATCTTCGACTTCACAATATTACCCGCGTGCTTCTATGTCCACTGGCGCGGACCCTCGATCGGCCGCACCGCTTACTTACTTCCCCTTACATCCGTACACAACTCAGGATGTCCACGCAGAAGAAGCGGCAATGGCTTCGTTTCACATTCCTCGAAGACAACCCCTGGTCCGACATTTGAACCCCAATGAAGTACCGAAGGATGTCGTGTTTCGGCTAGGAAATCACCTCGTCACGGAGTCGTCAAAGTTGACTCCGGCACTTGTCGGGGAAAAGTTCGTTGAACCTACCCTGGTCGAACACAAAGGGAAGAAAGCTCTGGTGTTTGTTTTTGGGGTAAACAAACCTCTAATATGATCAAGAATCGTGCTCTGATAATGTGGGTCCAAGGATCTTGCCATACAGCGCGAGGGCTCCTTCATATTGCGCTATCGTGCACTGGATATCTTCACTTTGAGCTCGGGGAGCAACCACCCTCCGATCCTGGCAGAGCTGTATGGGGGCTCTTTCAAGGTCTACTCGACCAGGGAATTCCCGGGCTTGGAACCTTCGACTGAGCTCACGAGGGTTTGTTTTCATTTCTTTATATCTGTGTTCAGATCTACGGTACTGAAGAAAACCCTGCCTTCCCCACTTAGAATTTTTCAAACCACGGAGTCCGCGTCACGTTACGAGATGCAGAACGCAAGTCGAAGAAAAGGCCTAATAGAGGCCCACCGATGTGAGCCCTGAAGGCCTGCCGAGCCCACTCAAGATATCAGTTTCAGCTTCAGTCTTCTTATGTTAACGAACTTCAATAATCCGAATCGTGCCCTCGCGTCACAATTTTAAATTTGGGTCTTGGTTAGTAATTCTTACCTTACTATAAAATAAGTAGTTGCTCTGTTTTTGTTTCTTCCTTGTGAATGCCACTAAATATGGCTGGCAACTGAGCTTGAATCTCTAGATCTTTTTTTTTTGTAAAGAAAAAAAAAACAAGGTTGTTTTGGTTATTTATTGAGGAGGGAACAGACAAACATTGAAACAAACGGTTTCGCGCGGCCAACACGTGGTGCAATCTGAATCTGTGTGGGGACCTCTTTTGATGTGAATGACCGCCACAAACTGAAATCCAACCCTGTTCCTTTCTGACGACCACCTCGTTCCGAAGTGCCGACGAGAATGCCACAGCAGCCTGACTCTGCGACCCCCACCAGGCTGTGCAGTATTAATGAATCGTTACTGGGGCAGAAACTCCGGATTGCGGGACGGTTTGGCTTGTGATTCTTTCTTGTTACTTCTAACTGACAGTAATTTGTTTTTCAAGAGTGCTTTCCTATGACGTTCTGACTGGTCTTTTCGTTCTCTTGGACAATGATAAAGCTGTTATGGTGGACGTTTCGATGGCGCTTGACGACAAATCGAAGCTGTGGGCGACTGAGCGGCTTAGCACGGTTATCGTTCTTGGACACTTGGAAAGGACAGAGGTAAAATTGACTTCGATGACAGCCAAGACGGAGGATGTTTGCTCATGATTCCGTTTGTCTGGAACCCTCGTGCTAGCAGGACCTTACTGTTCCTCAACTACCTCGAAGAATTCAGATCAATGGGCATCTTGTCATTCGTGCGCTCCTAGTGGTCCCTTGTATGGACTTGAACCTTGCTTTGTGGAATGCGGTGGTTGCAGAGGGAGAACGATCGTGATTGAATGAGGTTGGTGGGCGAACGATTCGCACAGTGGAGCTTCCAACGAATGCCATCAACATGCACGTTGTGATGCAGTACAGTGCTCGGTACAGTGTTGTATATTTATCGTCATTTCTGGAGACTCGGAAGTTGGAACCCTGAGGTGGCATACTTCAAATCTTGTTTGTATATATTATTCTTTAGCTGTTGGCAGAGTCGGGGACCCGCGCTTGCCCCGCTACTGGAACCCACTTATCGTCAATCCCGAAGACTCGGAACCCTGAGATGGCATGTCGGTGTCAGATGACGTCGATTGGGTGCCTCCCTCTTGGAAGCATGGTTCCGGTGGCTTGAGGGGTGTTGTGCGCCATGGCCATGGACGGCTGAGTGTGCCGCCACAGTGGTGGTGGCACCACGGCCACTGAGGGCAATAATGGCCACTGGGCGACGAGGCAAATTGTTGAAACGTTGAAGTGGCCGACCGGCGACTCAAATGATGGATTAGATTAGAGATCTCGGGATCCGATGACGATCGGAATTATCCTGAATTATCTAGTAAATATTCTGGACCCACAACTGTAGAAAGGAGGGGGTAGCGACGGAAAGAAAGAGGAAGTAAAGACTAGTAAAGAACAAAAAAGGCGGCAAGAGTAACAAAAGCGATAACAAAAGTAATGAGGACTCAGAAGGATTCCCACGGATGTAGGATTACCCTAAAAGGCAAGTGGCCTGCGTCGGGCGCACGACCATGATGCCTCGTTTATCCAGTTTATAACAGCTTATAACCCATTGACGCGTACCTCCCACCATCACCGCCAATAGCCCCGTCACTGCGAACACTCCCATCACCGATTTACCATCGCGATACCCGTCAAGCTTCCCCTCTTACCCCGAACCTTCACTGCTCCCACCATGTATTCCGACTGTGTCGCCTCCTCGTCGCGACATCCCCTTCACAGTCCCTCGGGGCCACCCAACCACTCATTCTCCTTCCCAACATCAAGCATCCGCAATGAAACTAGATTCATCCAGCAAGCCACCACCCTTCCGTCTTCATCATACAACACGCCTTCCACTCCCACCACACCTGCTCCCCCCCGCACAACTTTTTCAACGGCGGTGCCACAGCGAGTTCAAGTCTCGCCTGGTCTCTGGTTCGACGGGCAGCGTACCGTCCTTTGCGCTGCTCTACCAGAGGTGCAGCGAGTTCTCGCCACCGCGAGAAACACTCTAAAGCTGTCCCCCACATCCTCAGACGTCGTCTTTGCTCTAGCTGCATTGCACGTCTTTTATTCCCCGGGCGATCCAGCTCATTGGCTGTTTTGGAGTGATGAGCAGAAGAATAAGACTGCAGAAGTCGTTACCCGCATCTCATGCAAGTCAAACAGTCTTATCGCATCATCTGGTTCTTTTCAACTGACTTGCGTTTCACAGTGCATAACCCCCCTTTGATAACATCTCCCGTCGCATGGAACGGTACACCCGAGTACCTCTCAATTCTGGCTAACCACCACGGACCCACCTGGCGGCATGTTTTCGAGCCTAAGCCGTGGTTTACCATCATTGTTCCACCGAAAGCACCTACTCCCGTCAGGGTGCCCAATCTCCGAAAGCGCAAGGTTGCACCAGGCGCATTCCGCGAGCAATCGAAATCTCCGGCTATCGATGAGAGTGAGGAGGGGGACGAACCACCTCCCAAGAGGGTTAGGACAACCCGTCAGGTCACACCAGACAGGGCTGACTCTGCGGGATGCGCCAATGCGTTCGTAGAGGAAGAGAGTGCTCCAGTGAGACCAAGTCGAGCGAAGGCAAGGTCAAAAGTATCCACAGCCACTTCAACGACTCATCCACTGCTCGATCAGAGTCAGGACTTTGCACCAGCAACTCTTCCCGACGCGATGGTCGAAGATGACCCGCCCATTGACGAATTGCCAGCTACAAAACGAGCCAGTACCCGTAAGCGGCGCAAAATCAGCCCTGCATCCCGGTACCCACACGCCATCATCTCTTCCAGAGAAACGTCCTCTTCCCTGGGAGAAACTCTCATTCCCTCAAATACGTCTCATTCTTCTTCTCCTCCTCCAACGCATTCCCGAAATCGATCAACCTCAGAGGCGTCCGCAAAGACGGCCGTTGAATCGGATGAAAGGCGATCAATGTCTGTTTTATCATCGGAAACGGCAGTGGAAGCGTTGAGCTCCAAGAAGAGGAAGCCAACTGCATCCGTAAGTGAAGAAGCGAAAGAACTGGATGAAGGGACGCCGCCAGTGGACGCTGAGGAGGGGATGGTGACTCGCGGTCGAGCTTTACGCGCTCGGCCCAAGATCACACACGTGGATCCGTTGCTCGAGGCGGCGTGTGGAGTGACGAAACTCGACAAAGCTGCCACTGCTAAAGCGCCGCGGGCACGAAGGATAAAGGTATAGCGGCGCCTTGCCATAAACAACGGCCAATATTATAGGAAGGAAACTAAGGATATCTTGTTTATCTCTGCCAACCGGATTGTAGGATTGGGACTCAGAGGTCTCGCATCGCCAACATTGAAGCTTGTATCGCGAAAATAGAAAATGTATAGTACCGTCTTTTTTTTTTTTTTGTACATTTTGGATATGTAGGAATTTTTAGGATTTGAAGCGACTGGATATAATTATCGCTGGAACTCTTTCTTACGCGTGAATATCTCCGATTTTGTCTGGAAAAGGGTGTTGGACGCGTGATTTTAATTTTGAGAGTCCCACCACGTGACCGTACCTTCCCCTGTTCCGAAGCTCCACCACGCACACTCCACCTCTACCTCAGCTTACTCTTTGTCTTTTGACTGAACATTTGGGTAGATACTTGTACAGCGTAGCACCAAGCGCCTCATATGTCTCCTTGGACCAATGAGCATCGAGCACCGCCAACGTGGAGATATCGCCGACCTACTTGCACTTCCGACTTCGTTTCCTCCACACACACGTCAAAGCGAACTCCATGTACTCACGCCGCTAAGGTCGCTTCCCCTGTGGCTGAACCATATGACGCATTCTTAGTGGTCGAGAGTCTGTCAGGTGCGCTTCAGTTCCAGGACAGCCGTCAACTTGCGCGTTACGACAGACTTCAGTCCTCGAATGCCGACGCGAGTGCCGACGCGTTGAAGCGCAACTCATGTACTTATGGTTGGTTGTTTCGTTGCACCACACGTAGAAGTGCATCCTTTTCACCTCGTCAACGTTCGCTCCTCTGATAGAAAAGTATGTTCTCATTCCAAGTTTTCATTCCTTCCACTTCCCGAGGGTGACAGGTGGACCGATGGCAGGTGTTCCATCACGAGAAGAACATGACGGCGGGTATGACAAGTGAAAACGCCGACTGACATAAAAGGGTTTGCAACTCACACACTTTCTACCCCTCTGAAATTCTTTAGTCTACTTATCACCACAGGTTTTTCTATCTTTCCATCTGGATTCAGACTTCCGGCGTTGGTGATAGGCCTGCACGCTTTTCGTTCTCGATGAGGTGCAATGGACCTTGGTGCGCCAGACCTGGCGTAAGCCGGGTCCGATTTACTACCGACCCAACGTCCGCTCTGAACTGATGTTTAGCAGAACCACACAAGTGTTATCTATCTCTTCTCTGCACAACTTTAAGGATTTGGATGACCGTCTTTGGATTGAGGAACTCGGCGCCGTCTATACCGGAGTGGACTCCAAGCCTGAGTTGGACTCCGGGACTTCACCTCCGGTTTCAGGCAATGGGATGCCCTTGATTAACTGAAGCTATTTTGTTTCCGGAATCTACTATGCGCGGTTCGTGACTCCCGAATGGCCATCTTCTTCGACAAGTGGGGGGTCATGTTTCTTCCTCCACAATGAAAGCTGTCACTTTGGGCTTCTCTTGAATTAATTGGGGGTGCAAGCTCATAGTCAGGTGGTAAAGCCGTAAGCTAAATTTTCCATTTAGATCAGTCGCCCCAAAATGCGGAAGATCACTCTGAAAGTTGAAGAGAATTCTAGCTCTCTTCTATCAGTCGTATCTCCTAACCAAAGTAGCCGAGCAAACGTTTTGTAGACGTGAGAAGCATGTGCGTGCGCACATGGCGTGTGTCTCGACTCTCGATCTTCTTGGTCGATGAAAAGCTCGTGCATCCTCAGAAGGATGGGTTCCATGCAATCACTATCATGTCTGAGATCTGAATAATGAAGGTTTCCACTTTGTAGGAGGGTGCACCAAGAGGGCTAGGCTGGTGAATACTGGGGAAGGAGAATTCAAGTTGCACTGATTGGGAGTGTGATCTCAGATCGCAGTGCGACCCGGGACAGCGGCGTGATCGGATAAGATGAATATGAGGTGGTTTGGTGGTGCATGGCAGCCTCCTACCCATTCATTGCGCCGTGGTTGAGTCATCTGAGGGGTGAATGCAATGTTTTATCTAAGTGATTTGGGCAGATTAGTAATACTGATAAGAATGATCCGAGATAACACCGACAACTTTAAACTGCTCAACCACTGTGCAACGCCTGGCACAAAACATTTGTAAACAAATGGTGCCACAGCGCGGAGTCTCAAAACACGTCGCATTCAAGTTATGTCAGCACGCTTGGGCAACGCGCTACCCAAGCGCTATTACTCACCACCACCACAAAGCTTCCTCGTGAACACTCCAAGCATACCTAATAAATTTCATTTGACAATCTGGAGGTTGAAATATATTGGGTTGATGAAGAAGTTAGTGCATATACTTGTAATTGAATGGGTGGCCAGATGTATTTGTGAATCTTGTCTGCAGTCAGGTATCAGTAAAATAAATCTTTTCAAGTCAGTATTAAAAACATGACCCCAGAAGTTTGTTTATTGTCTTTCCTGCGACATAAATTGTCTTTGATCATCAGGTCAAATTTAGATGTACTACAATCATATGGACATCCGCTAAAATTCAAGCTAAAACTTCCTGTTCACAATATAACTTATTGGGTATGTTTGGAGTATTCACGAGGAAGCTTTGTGGTGGTGGTGAGTAATAGCGCTTGGGTAGCGCGTTGCCCAAGCGTGCTGACATAACTTGAATGCGACGTGTTTTGAGACTCCGCGCTGTGGCACCATTTGTTTACAAATGTTTTGTGCCAGGCGTTGCACAGTGGTTGAGCAGTTTAAAGTTGTCGGTGTTATCTCGGATCATTCTTATCAGTATTACTAATCTGCCCAAATCACTTAGATAAAACATTGCATTCACCCCTCAGATGACTCAACCACGGCGCAACGAATGGGTAGGAGGCTGGGTGCATGGATTGTAATTTGTAACGCAATAGCAGGCAATGTGTTGCCATTACTCTGAGTAGGAAGTGGTTTTGTGAATGGAATGAAAGTTGGAACACCTAAGCGTATGGGGACTGTGGGAGGGACTAGTATTCTGCGGTGATTTCCAGTCGGCAGGTAATCATAGCGGATTTGATATGAAATTTCCGAAGACCTAATAAAGAGTGTATGAACTTGTGCCTGGATTTAGACTAACCCCCAGACCAGGTACAAGAGAAATACTGAGAGATTTATTGTTGCAATTGTTCACTACGACGACAATAGGGAAGGGTACAAGCGCAGGCGAAAACGGGGAATCAAAATTTATGGAGGGGAACAACAGCTGCATTATAACTGTAGTGCAAGGATCATGTGTGGGTCTCTGGTGGACTTGAGGGCTCCGATGTCGGTGCGCGAAATGACCGGTTGTGTGTCAAATGATATAAACTGATGTGAGAGCAATGAAGAGAAAGAGAGGATTTATTGAGGAGTACCCATTGGATTTGCATAGGTAGGGTTATTGTTGCAGAGCATTTGTTGTAATACATACCACTGCGTTGTAAACGGTGGTCTTTGCTTCCGCCGTAACAGCGTGACAGACTTGAGTGACACCCATTTCTCATTTCATTATTGCGCGCCCTTCCCTTGTCCTCTCCCACCACCATCCTCCCCGAACTATGCGCCAGACGGGCCCCCCAGCACAGAATAGCATCCCCTCATCATCGGGCAAGCTCAGGAAACGGTGAGCTTCCAGTTCACACTGCCACCACACTATCTAACTCGTCCCCGACAGGAGATGGACCCGTGAAGAGCTGCTCAGAAGCCTTGAGGTCGGCTTTGTTCATTCCTCTACTCCACGCAGACCTTATTGACCTGTTGAAAAGTTGCTGGGAAATCTCTCTGCACCTTTGCCCCACACCCTGCCACATTCCCCTCCCGCATCTCGGTCCTCTTCGCCGGTCCCTGGCTTCAAGCGCAAAGCAGACTCTTCATCCGATCCAGACACTGCCAAGCGTCCCAGGACGAACTCTTTCTCTGACCGCCAGCGCCGCCAGCCTCTACCTCAACAGTCCCATCACTCTCACCATGAGCAGCCGCAACAGCCCCATCACCCTCATCCCACCCAACCCCCATCATCTCATCTCCGAGCAGCCTACTCTTCTACAAACCCTTCACGCCCAGAACCCTGTGAGGATGGCGAGGTCCGAGAAGAACCCATCATCGCTTCCTCTTCCGCATCAATGTCATCACAAGGCCCCGCCACAAACGTTCCCATCCGCCGCCCGAGAAAGGGAAAGCCATCCTTGCGTCATTTTGACAACTTACATGACAAGTACCACAGTGCTGGGCGAATGCTAAAGTATTCCGGTGATGCTCGTTTCTGGTCGACCTACTCTGCGACACACAAGGAATACAGACCACTGCCCGACCCGCCACCACCGGGTTCGTCGTACCATAAGCATGGTGGCTTGATTGCTCGCTTGGAACTCGTAGATGCGTTGGTTTGTTTCACATACTCAATGTGGAATAGGGACTACAGCCGCCGCTTTTGCAACAGCGATACATGGGGTACCATCGAAGCCTTCCTTGGCTGGTGCAAGCAGAAATGGCAAGCCGAAGAAGGCATCAGTGATGCGGAGAAGGCGTTTCTTGGATTGATGTAAGCTCAGTCATTAAAGTGTTTTATGCTCTCTCATAACATTGCTCGCAGTTGGATGATCGAGTCCTGTATACAAGGGCGGAAAGTGGTCTACTCCATGCGACAGAGTGTGGAAGCTGATGTGGACCATCTCGTGAATCGTGTCAAAGCTAAAATTGCGACCGCTGCGGAAATAGCTTTGAAGACTGGCCCCAGTCCAAAGTCGCAGCCCACGCCGCCAATGCTCCCTTCTCCAGCGAGCATCGCCGCGCCTAATAGCGCAAATTCAACGCCCACAAATCGAGATAGTGATACTCCCAATGTCTCTAGTGGTCGCCTGGACGCTGCACCGGCACAGCCTGCTACGGCTCGTCCACGTTTTTCGGGTCCCGCCCTCGTTCCAATTCCTCTGATACCCGAGTACCTCGTTAAAAGCCCCGACCCTATACCAGAGCATGTCATGCTAGCCATGGCCGCAGTCACGGATCCCGTTGGTCCAGTGTTTGTCCAGGACATGAAAGATGTTACCAATCGGTTGACATCGGCCGGCTGGTGCATGACTAATGGACAGGCAACCCTCAATCTTCCAGTCCTAAAGCGATGCTTTCCAACGACGTTCGCGCGAATAATATATACGTCCCTGTTGCCCACCGAGGAGCACGAACCTGATTTCGAGGACGAGGAGGGCGAGCTCTTTTGGCCTGGTCAGATTATCACAGGCGAAGGCCTTGGTTGGCTCTGCCTCATGGGAAAGGCGATGATCCTTGAGTTTGGCAAAGCCTATGATTACAAGGGACTGAACGGTGTAGTCCCGAAACCGGAGCAGGCTGAAGCTGGATCCGTTGGTCCGCCTCCTCAAGCGCAATATCGATCTAATGTGACACCTCAAGGACACCACCCACCCCCATCCCTGGCATACAAGTGGTAGCCTTGGTACAAGTGAGCATCTCTGACGTGAAAGTAAACGGCATAACTGCGCAAATGTATCTTTGATCTACTGCACAAACTCAGAGCACTCTCTCTTGCTGTTTGGAGCTCAAAATCTATGACCCGCAATCAAAAGTTGCATAACTGTCGACAAGCAACCAAAAGCCCCTTGTGCTGAAACCCCTTTTTTGGCGGCTCATATGAAGCCTCACTGGCCCTGAGCAACGCCACTTCATCCGAGATCTGATCATTCTACATATTTTCCGTCCCCCTCTGTAGCCCTAGACGCACACGCACGAAGCGACATGCAATTCCCAAAACAAACAATCGTGTTTCAACTCCTTGTATACCACATCCAATTACCCCTTCCCACCCACCCAAACAATCATCGGAACCTGCATTTCATATCCTCCTCCACCTGCCTATCTTTTTCAATTGCTGCTCTAAGTCCTGTTCTATCCCACTTTAACGAGATACACTTTTTTTAAAACTCCATTCCCGTGTTCTCGCTCTTGGAGGGATTGCAACTGTCTGATCAAAACAAAATCGATGACTTCCGCTTTGAAAGATAAGATCAAGTGACTGCAACGAGTCTCTGCAGCATGGGAAGGCGTCCACCCTCTTGCGTTGTTCGTTGATCGACAGCAAAACTTTATCGCTTCCTGAAGCTCTGGGAGTTCACGCACTTCTGCGCACCCTTATATACACCATCCATCCACTAATTCCACAATGGGAGGCCTCTTCACTTTATATTCAATCATATTCCACCAACTTACGTTACTTCCTGCGCCTCCTGCCGGACACACCAGCTTTCTTGCAACATACTTGGGCTTTTATTTTATATCTTATCTTTCAGTCGTTCAAAAGCATAAAGTAGCCTCTTCTTGTTTACCCTGCATCTGTTTGTCGTGTTGTAATTTGTTGCTCTGAAATCGAAATCAATCAATATCGAACGTAGGGTGTAAGGCTTCCGAATGGTCCCAGGTTACTCTTGTTGGACGGTGTTTTTCTTGTTGGAAGGTGATTTACAACCCCTAAGCCGGGTAAAAACCCAACAGAGAGCAACGTATCATCATCTCACAAGCTAAAAATGACCATAGCTGTCTCGCCATGGAGGGATGCGAGGTGCGCTCTCGATTGGGGCTTATTGCGCAGGAAGAACGATGGAGGATGTGTCCTTGGGGATCCATTTGGTTTTCAGAATTATTTGTTTTTTAGGAGCATAACGGTTTTGGCATGTAGTTAAACAGGCAGCATGGAGAAGTCATGAGTGGGCAAACATGCAATAAAGTCAAAAAAAGGTGACAATTGTAAAAGGCGTCGCTCCCCCCTTTGCTTGATGAACCAGCAGAACCAAAAACAAATACGGTAAATCACCGATTGGACTTGGCCACACGCTCGAGCTCGTCCTTTTTCTGTAAGTGATCATAGGTAAGTCGCTGCGCGATAGAGAGGGAGATAAACCAACCTTGATAGCATATGAGTTTGACGATCCCTTGGCGGCGTTGATAAGTTCGTCAGCCAGGCACTCAGCGATTGACTTGACGTTGCGGAAAGCGGATTCACGTGTCTATCAAGAAGAGTTAACAATTGAATCCGTGAACTGGCTGTGCAGTACGAACACCGATGGTAAGCAGGGAGATGGATTGGTTGACCCGGCGGAGGGGGGACACATCGACGGCCTGACGACGAACGGTACCCTGCGATCCGATACGGGTGGAATCCTCTCGGGGTCCAGTGTTGACGATGGCGTCGACCAGAACCTACAAATCCACGTAAATTTGTTATTCGGAAGCGAATGCAAAGCCAACGCACTTGAATGGGGTTCTGGTCGGTGAGGAGGTGGATGATTTCGAATGCGTGTGCAACAATGCGAACGGCCATGAGCTTCTTGCCGTTGTTGCGGCCCTTCATCATCAAGCTGTGTTCACGAAGCCAGTATTTAAGAAAATGAGTTTGCGCCCATTACAGAATGTGCGCACCTGTCAACCAATCGCTCGACAATGGGCATCTGCGCCTTCTTGAACTGCTTTTTGGCGTAACGACCAGCCGTGTGAGGGAGATAGACGGCATGGCGGACTTGGATGTAGTCCGTGAGGGAGATATCCTTCACCTCAACACTGAACGTTCATGACATCAACAGAGCTCTCCCATATCCTGCGATAGAACTTACTCCTGAGTATCCCACTTGCCGAAGAGTTTAACTTCTTGACCGAGCCTGGAGATGTCCTTGGGGAGAGTAGTGGCCATTTTGATAGGTCTTGAGGAGGATATGGAAACCGCGAAGGCCTTTAGCGTTGAAAAAAAGATGTTAGTTTGACGTCGAGCACAGTATTGAGCAACCCAATCTCACCCTCGAGCGTGTATTTGCACTTATTGTTCACACCAAAAATCAAGGTTTGAGGCGTCGTCGGCATTTCCCGGAAGACTGTATAGTTGCTCGCCTATTTCAGAAACCAAATTGCCTATTATATATGTATTCCCGTCTGTTTCTGGAACAGGCTTACAAGTTACAAGTAATATTACAGACCAATCGTTCTAAGTACAAAAGCTTCATGCTCCAGCGTCTGGAGGGGTATTCTCGTTCCCAATGTGCCCAGCCTTCACGTTGTGGGCGTTTCCGAGATCTTCGAATACGACCTTGGTATCTATGTTCCTTTCTGCCGTAGCCTTGACAAGCTCCATTCTCAACTCATGCTCCTTCTCAGCTCTCTCTTCTGCCTTTCTTCTGATACTGACCTCTCGCTTAATCTGATCCAATGCATACGTCTCCAATCGACGCGCATCGTCGCGCTCCTTTTCAAGTTCATCAAGTTTCCGTTGAAGCTTCCGGCGTAAATTTCGTTCATGTTCATTATCTTCCTCAAGCTTGCGTTTCACGTTCCGTACTTCTGAAAGGAGGAGCGCTTGATCATGATTTCGATCTCTCTGAGATTGGAGCTCGCGTTCAAGTACTCGATGTTGAGACAACGAAATTGAGTAGCCAGGCTTTGTAGGTATTGCACCAAATGGCTTCGTAGGGGTAGAAATTGAGGGTGTTCCGGGGGTGGTCGGCGAAACGGGAATCGGTACTTTCAATCGGCTGGCCAAGGGGCTAGTTGGAATGGATCGGCTGGCCGAGGGGCTAGTTGGAATGGACCTCGATGAGAGACGAGAAGAATCGGTTGCCATAGTTGACGTCGTTTGAGTGGGTGCAACGTTGAAAGGCTGCAATCGCGCCAACGTTCCTGGGGGAGGCGCACCCTCGCCGAAAACCCTCTGAAGCCATTTTTGTGCGGCTCGATAATGAACCGAAGCAGCAGCGGTGTCTTTCTTTTCCTTTGCTTTCTTGGCGAGTTCAACTTCGCAACCCGACAGCATTAGAAAAGCTGGTTTGAGGTCTTGCTCTGAAACGCCTCTTTTCATAAGTTCTGAAGTCCCAGATTTGTCGATAGAACCTATATGCGAGGCAGTTATGCACTCTTACCTGTGGTCATCGCATCCAGAACGCTTACGGCAGCTGGAGTGTTTGAAGAACGACGATAGTTTGCAGCTACGATCATCCAATTGCCCCTTTCGCTTTGTGTCAGCTTTAGGATATCTATAATTACCTGCGGATCTTGTTGGAGTTCTTGGAGGTCGAATGTGATAGCCCCGCCCGAAAGACTCATTGTGATGGTATTTGAAAAGGAAAGGGGAAAGGCTGAGGTAGACGGTGCCGCGTCAGTCGAAGAAACAACTACTGTTGGCGCCTGACTATTCAAATCGTCCTTGACATTGGTCACGGGAGTCAATAGTGGAGTGCTGGAACTAGGGTGGCGGGGCGTGACGTGCGCGTCGCCACCCCCGGTTCCACTTGACTTCGATGAACCTTGCATTGGCATAACTAGTGGTTTACTAGTATACGATGCTGCGTTGGAGAGGTTCCGATCTCTTGAAAATTCCAAGTGCATGACCCCAGAGGCCTCCGCTCTAACGACGGAGGTAGAACCGCGGCGTCGATCAAGGGTGTCCTTGGGTGCATTGGAGGTGCTTGTTCTGCGCGGTCGTCCATAAGAGTCAAAGTCAGAGGGATTTGTAGATCGATACTGTTTTATCAACTGAGGATTCGTGCTGATTGGGTAGACACGGATCCCTACACCGCCGAGCTCAAGACCTATTGCACGTTCGGCGTTTTCGATGTTCGTGAATTTCATAAAGTAAAGAGACGCTCCAGAGACACCAGCGTCATAGGGGTATAAGGAAGGTCTTCAGGATGGGCGGTTAAGCAGTAGAATCTTGATTACAGAACAGAGCCTTGCACCGCAGACGTACATTTCACCACATCGAGCGAAAATGCCGCGAATATTCAGAGGCTCTTTGGTGTGATTTTCCACTTTGAGGACAGTCTTGAGTAAATCCATAACCGAGGGTGACGGATGATGCGAAGTTATTTTTAGCGGTAGCAACGAAAAAGATGCGGATAATTGTACCGCCTCTACCAGAACCATGATCAAAACGAAACATACGCATCAGCGTAGAAAGGCGTAGAACTAGCATCTACTAGCATCGCAAAAATCAAGACGCAACGAATTCCATTCCATTTATTACCCCGAGACTCCGATCAAGCCGGGAAAAAGCTTGGCAAAAGGAGACGCCGAGTCCAATGCTGTCCAATGCTCCGATGACAACACATGGATGTGCCTTGTGCTGCGAGCGTGCCGCTTGACAACATATAAAGGAGGTTGCGGGGGCAACAACCCACTTCAAACCACCGTCCATCTTGTTCTGTTTTTTTAAAAATCATACCGACCGTCATGCCCATCCTTCGTGCTTTCGCTGTTATCTCGCTGGCTGCTTACGCTTCAGCTCAATCGTAAGTCAACACTCGAGGCAAATGAACTGTTTAATGACCCGTTATTCAGCCTATCATCGGCATGCACAACTGCATTGACGTCCGTTGCCCTTAATCCCGATGCCGCTGCTTGCCTGAGCCCTTCTTCACTAATTCCAATTGCTACTGGAGGCGCTAACAAATCCGTCGTCGCACCAATTAACAATTGGTTGACTGCCGTCTGTGGTGCACCGGCTTGCAGTAACGCAACCATTGCTGCGGTCGTGACAAACATCACCACTGGGTGCGCCACAGATTTGGCCGCTACGGGATTCACGTCTGATCTTACGCCAACCATTACTACTCTGGTGGAACAATATTACCCAACTGTGCGGCAGGTCATTTGCTTGAAAGAGTGAGTGCTCGATGTGAAAGGCCCTTCCCCTTGGCACTAACAACATTGTAGTGGAAGTACAAACTGCATCACTGAAACCCTTACCAACATTGAAGCCATTGTGGGCCCCCTCACTCTCACAAACATCCTCTCCATTGCGGCCAACCCTCCCAGCACCATTCCCACAAACATCACCTGCTCGAACTGTATAAAAGCGGCATATAACATTATTGCCAAGGACGTTCCTAGCATTGTTTCCGAAGCTGCGCCAGCTTTGCAATCACAATGTGGTGCCTCCTTCACGGGTGAGTTTGCGAAACGAACGTAATTTTCCGATGAACGCTAAGGCTTTAACAGATGGCGCTACGCCTTCGGGAATTAGTGAAAGTGCCACCAATGCCGCATTAGCCTCAACCAGCTCCAAAGCTGCCGCTGCTGGTTCAGTGGCCATGCTCTCCCAGGGACTTGTTGCGGGTCTTGCTGCGTCGGGTCTGGTCATTGGCTCAACCTTGTTCACCTTGCTGGCTTAAAATTATGAATTCGATTTACGTGGACTCTGGAATCCGATATTTCATGGATTTGTGGACGCTATAAGTACTGGATGACCGTGCCGCTATATATCTCCAAAGCAGTACTACATACGACGATACTTTAGATGCAGGAGGAATGTCTACAGAAAAAATGTCAGGATAGTAATAAATAACGTGAATCGTAGACGAGGGAACAAAGCCGATGTAATGAAGAAGAGAGAGGGGATGGTAATTGCACATTTTGAGGATCTTGGTAAGGATTGATCGATGATCAACTGTGCGTTGTAGAATTCCTCCGTTGAGTAAATTATTGAAGACAGACGTTCAATGGACCGCATAAATGCGAGGCACTGACCCTGAGTCACGTGTACAGGCTGGATATATCACAGAGGGGTGATTCTGGTGAACTGCCGCCGTGCATCCACTGGTATCAAGTGGCCTAACGCTTGCACATCATCTACAATTCCCAATACCCTCTCCATTTAGCATTTCCAAGCATCGTTGCACTCATGGCCTCACCTCTAACCCCAGCTAGAAGAACGTTCGACATCCCCAATACTGAGACTGGCCTCGCAGAATGGACCAGTAAGATCAAGGCGATGCAACGGCAAGTTGACGCAGATGAGGAAGCAGAACAAAAACGACTAGAAGAAGAGATTGCTGCATCAAGGAGGGCTCGTCTACGCAGAAGCCGCGGTAACACTCCTAGTGATAGTCCAAACATGTGTAAGTTCAACTTGAACTTGGTTCAGTACGTGACAATGAACTTACCTTCTTCTACTCACACGAAAGCCAGGGATTCAGATCGGCATAACCACTTGAGCGACGCCCCCGAGATCGATGAGCCAAAGTCGATTCCAAACCGACAGAATGATGCATTGCAGAAAATCATTAGCAATAATCATGTTTTCAATCCCGACAAAGGATCATCAGATACCTTGTCGACGCGACTCCCGACGGCGAAAAAGCCCGAATCTATATCTCTCGCTGCCTTTATGGGAGGTCGTGCGAGCGGACCCAAATTGAATCGCCATGCTCCTCAACAAGACGCTCATGATCCAACTCAGTTTGACCAACCAGATACAAGGGCACCACATCCGATTTTTGGAAAGGGAGGGGTGGCTATGCCTGGCATGGCTACGAAGAGTGGAACCCGGGAGAGCACACCTTCGGCTTCCAGTAAAGAGGACTCTGACCGATCCCGTCAATCAAGAGGCAGCTCAGCTTCCGCGACGTCTTCAACTGCTCAAAGATACGCCAACAAACCGTCCTTCTCGGAAAGTGAACCTCATCGGACGCCTGAAACAGTTATAACCCCCGCGGCTACGCGCTCAATGGAGAAGGAGAGCTCCAAACCCCCACGCGATAAGCTTCCAACAGCAAAGTTGTACGTGAAGGGACAGAGGGAGCCCGAGCAGCATGCGATCTCTGCACATAACGCTGGGATTCGGGAACGTACAACGAGCACTCCCATCGCTGCCCCAGCTGACAACTTAGGGGAATCTCCAACTGTGAGTGCCCGGCCTTTGGGAAGTGACGCTTTCTCGCGCACATCGAACCCTGTAGCGCCAAAATATACCCCTATGAGAGACCGTACCATCTCAACACCTTCCTACATGGCCAATGAGAGAGAGCCTATGATACCCAAAGAGCCTCGGCAAACTTTGATTCCTCAATCTTCGCGTCCATCTACTTTTACGCCACCCTCTCTGGCGAGACCAATTCTCCCGGAAGCTCGCTTGCCATCGCAAACGCCTGTAATTCCGGCCACACTGATCGCTTCTCCGGCCTTCCAAAGGTCCCAGCTTCAAAAGGACCCATCTCCGAGCATTAGTCGACTTCAGGGACGCGGCTTTGTTCAGAACATGGTGAAGGCCAGCGTTCAATTAGAACAGCAGTCGGGACCTTCTCCACCTGACAAACCTGACAAATCTCGGCCAGCGAATGGCGGACGGAAGAGTTCTGTGCTGGATCGTTGGCAACCTGGTACACAATCAAATTCTTCGCCCACTTCTTCCCCCATGACTTCACCTTCCCATCGGCAAGATGCTTTCCACTCTTCTCCAGTGAGAAGATTTACAACGACAAATAATAAGGATCTTCCCACTGAATTGCCACATATGCAAAAGCCAGTCCCAGCGCCTACATCTCTCAAATCTGTAGCATCTTTACCCTCCTTACTGAAGTCAGGGCCTTCAACCCCCATCAAACCTCTCACCCCCAGGACGCAGGAGATAATCAACAAGATGCCTCCTGAAGGTGATCTTGGCTCTGCTACCACTATGTTTGTCGTCAAACCTAGCAAATCTTCGACACGATTGCCAGCTGTTGACGAGCTGGGGGTGAAGCATACTGTAATTCCTACTTTTGGGAACCGTAAAGGCCAGTTTCGTGCTTCTCTGGAGACGGCAGCTTCATCAGGAAAGCCGTTGATTCATGTGCGTTAATCCTGGTAATGCTTTATGTCGGAATTTACTCACATTCATGTATTTTCTCTGGTCCTTTTCCCATCCGGATTATATCCCTACTACAATCATATTTTTTTGCATGCTTTCCTTCCTCCCTTGTTTGTGTGATAGCCGACGAAAGACAGAGCTCGAAAACCCAAGAAGTACAGCGCCCAAACTAGTTCAGAGCTTCCACAAAAGTCTTCGCCCTTATCTTGGATGCAGAGACCAGCTCAGGTGGCCATAGATGACAGTTTGCCTTCCGCAACACTTCCCTCAAGTTCGCCCTCCAGTGGGGGCTTTGCAATAAATGATGCCCCCATATCGCAGAAAAAGCAGCCATCTGCTGAAGCGATCTCTAAAGAACCCATCTCTGATTCAAAGGTTGCCCGTGCCACAAAGGAGTGGGCGAGAGCAGCTCAAGCCAAAACGAAAGAGGTAACGGATTCAGGGAATCTCTTAGCCGAATCTAGGTTGAAACCCTCGGGGATGCTCAAGCAACCCCTTCCAGGTATGGTACTCTCAACAGCACGAGTCGACGAGGCCAGTTCACCTCCCGAGCGCTCCCCACGATCGGTTTGGGCCGGGCCTGTCACTTCTAATCTCCCCCAGAACCCCCATGCTGAGTCCAGGTCCAAACCTTCAGGAATGCTCAAACAACCCCTACTAAACATAGCTCCCCCAACAGCGCCATTTGACGAGGCTAATTTCCCCCAACAGCGCTCCCCTCGACTGGATATCGCAAGGCCAGTCGCCTCAACCCCCATGGATGCGCGGGATAGTGGGGCCATTGTAAACGCATCTTCGAAACACAATCGCATCCCCAGTACAGGGAACCGCGCTACAGTTATGGATGTTGCTCAAGCACTTAGCGATCATCCAGCAGTGGTCGGAAGGCTGGATGTTTCACCAACTTCGATCGTTGTAGAGACTGCGTCAACATCAGTCATGGAGCCAATGAAGTCTCGCAGTACTATGCCGGCAGAGAAACGCAAATCTAGCTACGAGAGATACTCTGCTGTTGTTTTACCACCACTGAAAGAGGAGGCCACACCTACGTCATCTCCTTCTGGTACGTTATCTGGTATAAGTGCACCCTCCCTTCGCAATGAGTCAGTAAATGGCGGTGCCGACTCTGCGCGAGTCGGACAAGCGCAAAACGTTATTCATATAAGTGAGTTTTTCGCTCCTTCGAAGAGTATCGCTTGAATATATTGTGTAGATCACCAAGACGAGTCGCTACCCGAGGTTGACATTGCATCTTTAGCCAGACCACAGTTCCACACGTTATCACTGCCACCCGACACACAGACCATTTCGGTGGACGTAATTGTCATCAAAGGCGCCACGGCAAGTACTCTTTCGCAAAACTTGGACATTTTCTATGACACAGAGACATTGGCTGTTGTCAATCGTACAAAGTCGAAGAGTACTAGCTTGGCGTCGACGACAGTTTGGGCGTGGATAGGAAAACGAAGCCACTGGGGCGAGAAGGAGGAGAAGAAGCTACAAGAACTAGCGAAGCATTATGGAACAAGCCCTGTGCGTCTTCACTTTCGTCTGTCTTAATGACTGATTAAACTGGTACAGTCCCTTGTTTACCAAAACTCCGAACCGATTGAGTTAGTTTTCGCTCTGGGTGGGCGGCTGGCTGTTCGTCAGGTATGCTAAGCCTAGATAGACTTGCACCTCGGCACAGTCGTTAACTTTGTACAACTCAGGGAACTCGGACGCACTGGACACCCGAAAACACAACAATGCATTCGGTCAGATTGTCTCACGGCGTCATATTGATCGACGAGCACGAACTGGTACGATCGATAGCGTCCTGTAAATATTTAAACACTAAATGGGCGATGTTCACTCCAGAACGTTCGCAATCTGTGTTCTGGATTCTCCTACTGTCTCACAATCCTGGATACGGTATACGTATGGCATGGCTGTGGCTCAACTGATCTCGAGAGGAAGGCGGCCATCGAATATGCCGAAGGCCTTGTCAGGACATCGGCCCCGCCGGTGGAGCTCCTTGAGGGTGAGAACGATACCGATGAAATGTTCTGGATGATTCTCGGAGACGAACAATTCGCAAAAGCCGACTATTGGCAATGGAGAAAGACTTCCCCCGTCATTGATCCAAGCATCTGGAAGGTGGAGGCGAGCCGCAATAAGCATGCAGTCAGTCTATTATATTTTCGACGTTGAGTTACCACTGATCTTCCTGTGGTAGATAACACCTGTAGAGACCTTTTCGGAACGAAGCTTCAACCAGCAATCAGCTTATATCCTCGATTGTATATGGGAGTTGTTTGTGCTGGTGGGCACTGAAGCCCGAGATCGGAGGCAAGACATCAGGCTTGCGATAAATGTTGCCGTGGTATGTACTTTTCCTCCTCTTGTATTCGTCACATCTAACTGTGGTCTTTGTTCAGAAACTTGCGAAACGAGCAGCGTCGGAGCGACCATACAAACCTACAGTCCATGTTCTCGTACTTCCCTCGCAGCTGCCCCTCGACCTTCGGCTCAGTGTTCGTTGTTTGGATGAAGTTTTCTTGGTATCGTTTATCCCCTCTTTCGCTTTCGCGTTGCTCACCTCAGTGGTATAGAATAACGGTGAAGTACCGGATCATATGAATCTACTATCTTCTACTGAAGCCTCAAGTCATGTGAGTGATTATTCTGAACTGTTCTCATCGTCGTCTGACTTGCGTCAGTTGGATACTTATACTTGGGATCGAAGCGCTTTAAAAGACGAGGCCATGCTTCCGCTGGGTGTCGCTGTAACGGATATACCTTGATACCAACTCAATCCATTCTATATCTGTATAAGTTTTTGGATCATTCAAAGTATTTGGCGTAATCATAAACCAACGTGGGCGCATTACGGAGGGATATTAATTAGATAAGTTAGTAGGTATAGTATAATCAAGGCCACGGCTCCCAACTCTTAACCATACCACTTGTCAAGTTTTGTCCTTGCGGGGGGGCGTTGGGGTATCATGGACCTGGTAATGTTGAAAACTTCGATGGCTCGCTAAACACCGATCAATAAATTACCCTTGCGGGTCAAGTAAGCAAGACTGACGCTCCAGGTCGCCATATCAAACTCCAGAACCATCTGTTGTTTCTTCAAGCCGCCCTGATAATCTTCATCTGAGGGTGGTTCGCACATGTCTGGCAAAAAATAGATGAGGAGATTAATCAGATGGGGATGACATGAAGCCTACAGATCACGGGCTCTCCATCCTCAGTCTCAAAAGCAACCTTTCCGTCTCGTATTAGAAAAGAAAGGTAGAATATGTTCTCCACCGACTGCGCAAAATCTTTGGGATTAATGACGAATTTGAAAATGTTTATCTTCGATTCCTCCATTTGTTCCAAAATTCGCGTGAGCTGAATATACGTCGGCAACTAGACGTCGACAAAACTGGCAGACGTACTACGGCGACATTCTTCGTCGTTTCGTTTTCTGAGCGTTGAATATCCTCTTCCTTCAGTTCTTGAGGTTTTTGCTCCTCATCCTTGTTCTTTTCAAGCTTTGAACGCTTCACTTGTGCTCTTTTTTTCTGTTCAATGGACAGAGGGCCAAGCCTTTAAAGTGGAAAACAATGTGAGAAATCTGGCAGATAAGAGAGGGATTAATTGACATGAAACCCATCACGGGGACGCGTCTGCTCTTCGCAAGGGCTTTCCGTCCAATCCTATCCCAATCGAGGGGTGCTTCCCCGTCTCCATCTTCTCCATCATCGGAATCCTGGGGCAACGATTCCTCAAGTGGCTTACGACCGCCCATAAACGTTATTAATTTGGATACGAATTCGTCCACATCAAATGCACCAGAGCCTGATTTCATCGCTCGTGCTTTTTGAGCACCCATGTTAGACGCCATTAAAAGTAGATGCGAGTCCAAAGTCGCTTCTTGCGGCCCTTTGACTAATGAATGTGCTTCAGCGTGACCGAAAGGGGCAGGACTACCCCGTTCACACCTTTATCGAAGAGTTTGTCTGCTTGCCGCACTTGTTGAAGAAGTTCCTCCGCCGTGTAATCATTAGGGTTAGCCTGTTGCTCTTGGGATGTAATCAACTGGTGGAGGTCATAGAGACGGTGAAACCACATACCTTCGATTTTTCTGGTTAATGACCGGTAGTTCTGCCTCACGGCACGTTTCTCTTCAGGGTCTTGGTCTGGATCAAAGACCATCTCTGTGGAACTTTGAGGTCAGAAAGAGTGCAATCTGACGAGGAGGGGATTCGTCGCACCGGGTGACGCGTCCATCTCAATGTCAGGTATAGTAAAAGTGAAAATACGAGGTAGAGATACGTAAAAGTAAATTGGCACTAGTGGCGCGTTGGTGTTTGTTTGCGCAGATCGTTTCCGACGCGCCTGAATCAACGTAAGTAACTCCTTTTGCTTGACCCTCTGGCACCAAAAAGTCGTGTTCGCAAAACAATGAGTAGTCATGCAGTCGGGGTATCTCCTTCTTTCATCTAACCCTTTGCATCGTACTTATCTCTCGTAAAGTACAGCAAAAGTACGCGAGCTAAATGCCATGGTCCCGTGCCCTGCAAGGTTCGCGTCAACTTTACCCTAAATGTTTTGTGCTACAGCTACGGGTCATAGAATTCCTCCCTACCCATCGGAACTCTTCGCTACGGTGAAACCACAGTTGACGAATTCTCCCAAACTGTGGAATGGCGTCACTGGTAATATGTGATCTCTTTCTGTTTTTTTCTCGTTGCTGAATGGAAATCAGGGGATGCGTCACCCCAGCCATCCTCGAACGGCTCGCTATTGCCACAGTCAACAATATTACTGGTTTCCAGGATTTGAAGTTCGTTCACTTCTCATGCTATGAAGTTTTCTGTAAACCAAATCCTGTCTCTCCCAGGCCCTCAGACCAGCAAAAGATCCGACTAGCGATATCACTACGTCGTATCGATCCCGCAGATATTCCAGAAACAGCCAAAAGCAAAGCGCTCAACCCTGCAACACCAAATACTGGCTCTGGACCGACAAGTTTGAAGAGAAAGGCACCTCTCGAAGTTCAGCCAGTGGTGTCGCAGCATTCAGCGCCTGTTGTCTCCTTTCCATCTGCGTCTCAAGCAGTTGAGGAAGAAATCGAAGAAGATTCTGTGGACGAGGAGGCCAAGGACGAAATCTACTGCACCATGGCCACCAATGTTGTTGGCATACAATATTACAAAGGTTAGGAGTGATTTTCTGTCTCTGGATATCTTTGACGCTGTCTCAGGTTTGGTTGGTCCTGGGGAAGAAGTTCTCCTGGTTCGGGAACCTAATAATCCGTATGATAGGTAATATTGCCCTGTATGGCATTCCTTCGACTACTTAATGCCGACTAGGAACGCCATTCAAGTGAAAAATATAGGACATGTTCAAGTTGGTCATCTTCCTCGGAACGTTGCATCGAAATTGGCCACTCTCATGGACAGGCAACTGGTGACGGTTGAAGGAGTCGTCAACGACGGGAATCGCAAGTATCCATCAATTACAGTGGCGGGTTCTAGCTGATGTTTATCAAAAAGTTTCTGGTTCCAGGGGTTATACCCTCTCCTTGTGCGTGGCAAATTCAACGAGCCTTATTCTGCTGTCTGATAGGATAGATTCGTAGACGTTTGAAGATATTTGGCCCATCTGACAAAAGAAATTCCTTGGAGCCCCTTCTGGGATGGGCCACCCCTGGTCAGCGAGGGTTTCCATCTCGTCAAACCGCAACCAGCACCCCTGTTGTTCCTGCTTCGGTTGGCCGCACTCCTTCTGCTGCCGTTGGCCCTTCGCAACAGCGCAATCAAACGCCTGCTCAAAGGGAGGCGGCGCAGAAACAGCAGGAGGCATTGCAGAAAGCCGCTGAGTTGAGGCAGATGTTAAGCAGCCTAGAAAAAGTCGACGACGAGGGACGGCGCGGCTCGTTGCTTGACACACTCTGTTCCACCGATGATGTCCTGAGCCTTCCTTTGCACCCGAATCCACCTAGTTTGGAGACTGGCGAATTGACAGTAAACCTAATGCGACATCAGGCCAGTTCTGCTCTTCAAAAGCTCCATTTTTATGTTAACCACCCACACAGTTGCAAGCCTTGCAGTGGTGCATCGAGCGTGAAAACCCAGTTTTACCCAAGAAGGAGGGGGATAAGCCCGTCCAGTTCTGGCAGCTAAGGAAGAATGGTAGCTCCGTGAGTCTTTCATTTTTTACAGCAACCCTTGTTTATCTTCTTCGCGAAAGTCCTATTATTATAACAGTGAGTACGTCTTCGGAAAGATTAGGATGGTAGATTGACTTTGACCTTCAGTTGCGACTAAGACGCCGCAGACGGCCCCACCCGCCTTGGGAAGGGGAGCGTTATGCGCGGATGCAATGGCACGTTTTTATCTCTCAGTCTCCCGACAGAACTGATAGATTTTGCATCCTTATAGGGCTTGGTGGGTTGATTGCAGAACCTGTTGTGGTCGGGGCTAATAAATGAGTTGAATAGGGAAAAACTTTGACTATGATTTCTCTGATTATCGCCACAAAGAAGGACAACAATCCAGGTTTTTCCAAGACGACCTTAATTGGCGAGTTAATAGTTGAAATGTTCTACTGTTCATCATTGATGTTCCCCGCAGTTGCCCCACTTTCCGTGTTATCTAACTGGGATAAACAAATAAAAGATCATTGCACTCCCGGCACCTTGTCTACCTGTGTATATTATGACACTAATCGCTCGATGAGCTCTGCAGAACTTCACAAATTTGACGTGGTAATCACGACTTATCAAATTGTTGCCGGCGAACATGCGGACGCAACAAACACCGTGGCTCACAGCAAAAAGAAGAAAAAATTAGACCGTAGCTTATTTGAGGTTAACTGGAAGGTAAAGCCTCGAATGTTTCAATTCTGGACCGCCTGGGAATCATCGTTTGCAGAGGATCATTCTTGACGAAGGGCATGTTATTCGTAACCCCAAGACGAAGATGGCGAGGGCAGTTGTCGCACTGAACGCGGACAGACGTTGGGTTTTGACTGGAACACCTATTGTATGTATATTGCTCTTTTCGTATCTGAACGATTTATGACCGTTCACAGATCAACTCTCCAAGGGTCAGTCTTATCCCCGCCAATAGTATTATTTTGACAGCAGTTGCAGGATCTTGGATCCTTACTCACATTTCTTCAAATCTGTCGCCCATTGGACAATGAGGACTTTTACAAACGTCTTCTACTCAGGCCCCTCAAGAATGGAGAAGCTGCTGGGGTTGAGTTGCTTCGCGTTAGTTTTGACATCTTTCGCGTTAAAAACATGCCCTAATCACTGTCTCGTAGGCTCTAATGAGTCACATATGCATCCGTCGAACCAAAGAAGTCCGCAATTTCACTATTCTTATTCATTTTTCGTCCATTCATGTTTCTTAGATGCAAGACGCCAATGGTCTTCCTTTGATCCCCCTTCCACCTGTGTGTAGATGTTTTTTTTCTTTTTTGAAGTCGCAACTGAAGCTTTGCAGGTTGAAATGATCAAAGTGCCTGTTGCACTTAACGAGGAAGCTAGAGTGAGTGTCGCGTTTCTTCCCTCCTATTGGATCAGGACTTACGGGTTTTTTAGCGGCTCTACGACGAAGTCCAGCGCGTTTCACAACAACGATTTGAGAACTTCATAAACAGAGGCGCCAACGCTGTGGTAAACATACCTCCCCCGAGTTCTCGACCGATTTTGTCTTACCACTGCATCAGGTCCAATCCAACGTGCTTAGCATGTTAACTCGCATGCGACAAATCGCACTTCATCCTGGCCTTGTACCTCAGAATTACCTAGAAGAACTACGTAATGCAGAGGGGAATGATGGTACTCATATTCATGGAAAACCTTTATCGCCCGAGGAGAAATTGCGGCTCCAAGAACAGCTTGGGCAGGCCATTGAAGATTGTGAAGAATGTCCTATCTGTTTCAGTGTCTTGGACGATGCAAGAATAACGAATTGTGCGCACATGTTCTGTTTCCCTTGGTATGTTTGTTGCTTTCGAGGGAGTTATTTTGTTGAAATTCCGCATTTAGCATTACAGAGGTGATATCTCGGGATCCTAAGTGCCCAATGGTATGTCTAGACGTGCTTTCGCTTTGATCACGAGGGTAACGTAGTCAACAGGACCGCCGCCCACTCACACTCGGCGATCTGTATGAAAGGCTTCCTCCAACAGATCTTACTCAGAAACCCGTTCGAGTGGAACAAGAAGAGAATCCAGTTGGCATACGGGCAGGCTCATCTGCTAAAATAGATCAACTTATTCATTTATTGAAACTCACGCCAACGAATGAGAAATCACTCGTTTTCTCTCAATTTACATCATTCCTTGATAAAGTCAGTTCTTTAGTTTCAACTGCAACCCACTCGCTGAATCTCTTGTTTAGATTGCGGAGACGATGGATGAAGAAGGGTAGGTTTCAGTGGTTTTGTACGCTCATTAATTGATCCTGTCTCTAGAATACCATATGTCCGTTTTGATGGTCAGATGAGCGCGAAGAGGCGGCAAGAAACTCTCGCCAGCTTCTCTGTTCCGGCTGAAGACGCCGAACCAATCCAATCATCACAGGACACCACAACTTCTCGCAGAAAACGTGTTACCCGACGAGCTTCGCTGGACGATGATGATTTCCCCTTCGACAGCGATGATGACGACGACTTTGTCATGGAAGATGTAGCCAATGATGATGACGATGAAGACCTTTCTTTCGCGGGAAAGAAAGGAAAAGGGAAATCGAAGGCCACGGTGGGGAACAACAACACTAGACGAAGCAGCGGACTGGCATCTAAACGAAACCCTCGGGTCATGCTGATTTCCTTGAAGGCGGTATGTCCTACTTCGCCCCATACTCACATTTATCGATTGTAATTTCGTTCGTTTCAGGGCGCACTTGGTTTAAATTTAACAGGCAAGTGTATTTCAATCAGTCTGGGAGATTCCTCTCACATCCATTTTTGTTCAGTTGCGAATAATGTGTATCTGTGAGTCAGGTTTTATTCATCCTCAGTGAAGCCCAAATCTTACGGTTCGTGCCCTTATTAGGATGGATCCGTAAGTTAACTTTGTCGGTCGACATGCTGTTACTTATCCCCTTTCCTGCTTCACTTAGCTGGTGGCAGGTAGGAAAAAAAAATTGCAAGACTTCCTCCGTCGTGTTAATTTGGTCCATCTCTTTAGGAGGGCATTGAAAGCCAAGCAGTGGATAGAGTCAATCGTATTGGTCAGAAGAAGAACGTTCACGTTTACCAGCTTATTGCGGAGGACACGGTGGAAAGCAAAGTCCTTGAAATCCAAGAACGGAAAAAGCAGCTTATCGAACAGGTAGATTGAGCAAAATACCATCTTCCTGGCACTAATGTAATCGATTGTTGAATAGGCTTTCTCGGGAATCAAACGCACAGAAACCGTTCGCCAACAAAGAGAAGCTAGACTTCAAGGTAAGGGCACAATCTTTCAAAAGATCGCTCACCTTATGTTTCCACCTCAGACCTCGTCGAACTTTTTGGAATCAGGAGGCAGACAGCGAGTCAAGCTGCATGAGAATCAACAAACCGAGTTTACTGACACCTTTGCTGTAATGTTGCACATATTTTCTTTGGTAGCAAGCTACATGTACCTAATTCAGACATTATGTTGATAATTTTGAGTGGACTTCCACCGGTTGGCGGACGAGCCGACAGTCACCTGCTTACCTATTCATAAAATTTCATGCAAGTTGACGTTGAAGCTGCACTATCATCTACTATTATGTCACATTCCGACGTTGAGTTAGTATCTCCCTTTGGACGGATACGACTCGCCCCTCCAACTCCTCAAGAGGATGTAGCCGTTTCCATCCTCCGTTCCGATCCCATATCTCGGAAATATCTTCGCTTTATGCCGGAGCAGATCTCCGTCGCCGAAGTTGCAGCACGTCGAGAATCGCGCGCCAAAGATCCTCGCATCCTCGATCTCTACGCGTACATCGTAAACGAAGATGGTTCATCGCGCTTTGTGGGCTTGTCAGGGGTGTTCAATATTGACGAAGTAAATGGATCGTGCGAGGCTGGTATCCTCGTTTCTCCTGAACTACATGGGAAGGGCACTGCGACGGAGATTTTATATACATTGTTGAAATACGTATTTGAGGAACGGAAGTTTCACCGGACTACTTTCGAGACGGGGGTTGATAATGTCAACATGGGGGGTTGGTTGCAGAACGTTGCTGGAGTGAGGCTAGAAGCTGAACGAAAGGAGTGTTGGAAAGAAGGAGACGGGAAGTATACCGACGTGCATAGCTATGCTATTCTGGAATGGGAGTGGGCTGATAGGATCAAAGCAAGGCTGGAGGAGCGGATAAGAGCACGGGCATCGTCGTGAGCCTCGGCAGGAATACGAGTCTTACGACAGTATCACACAGACGCCTTTCCTCGAAACGCTGGTAAATGTTGGGTGGTGCGGGCGAATCCGATGTATCCATTTGATGCGTATTTTATTGAGGATGTTAATTACGATACTCGGTACAAATGACGGCAAGGTTGTTTATATGACCGGTTCGAAGATGGAATGAAGGTCGGAGTGCAAGGGTATCGAATAAAGCCTGTTACGCGTTGAACTGTCGTGGAAATATTGAGGACAATAGATCCTTGCAGACGAAGCGACAGGGACATACCGCGGTCAGATACGATTCTGCAACAATACGCGCACGAGCGTTTAAACTGAGCTTCATCTCACTAATTTCCTTGTCAACTTCCTCCATAAATCTATCACAGATGGTTAGTATGTGCGACCTATGTAAGCCCGCAAACGCAACTGGATGATAAAATCAACAATTTTGTGCTTGAGCATGGTTTCTGTATGAGTGTTTGTGATGAGGAAAGAAATGTCATAACCCTGTGTACGCGTCAGCCATCTTCCTCGTATCGCAGAGGAGGTCAAGCACCTGCACAGGTTTCCGCCGCAGCACGATGAAGCTCTCTGCTCTTTGCATCATGAACCTAGTAAATTTATGGCATAGAATTCTTTCAATCTCGTCGGCTTGTTTGATCTTGATGCTGAGACGGATAGAGTTGACGGATGATTCGATAAGGACGCGTTCATTCTCGTTACGCGATATCGTCAGAGGATTGAGTAGAACCTCCTTTGATGTTCTGCATGAGTTTAGCCATAGAGGCAGCGTGAAATGAGAAGAAGGGTATACCCTGTCTCAACCTCCGGTTTGTTGTGCCGTTCTACAACCTGTGATGCTCGTTAATGACCTGGTGTACGAATACAGAACCATTAATTACCTGTGACGAGAAGTTCTCGAGGGTGAGCGCCGCAGTGAGGGTTGACCTCACCGCCGCTAGGTAGGGCCGCAAAACATTTGACTGGGCTCGCTGTCAGCGCAAGAATTTCTCGTCGATATCCACGAAGCTCACCATCGTAAATCGGGTTTCATCTGAGTTGTAGATATGACCTCAACTGGTTTTGAGCGGAGCTTCGGCATTTGCCAGGTTCACGAAACGCGTTCAGGTAAAACTTTTTTCAGCATTCGCGCGCTCTCACCAGACGAACTACATCCTCAATGTCTATCGCAATCGGTCTTTGGTATGTAACGACGCGTCCTTCTGGATAGCTTATCCTCATTTTTCTTCAGGAGCTTGGCCTTGCAACCTGGAAAGCCTGAGCCCGTTATACCCCAAGCGGATGTTCAAATCACCAATGTAGCCCTCGGTGAGGAGCTCAAAGACACGACCGGAAGAACCGTCATCAAGTTCTCCTTTGAAAGCCCCATTCAAATGGACGACGAGGACGAGGATGAGGAAGAACCCACACCTGTCATTTCAACCACCGTTCTCTGCTCTCTGACCGCTGGAAAGGTATGTTCTTCAACTCGATGATTATTTTATTCTCACGAACCCAGTAGATTGAACAAGCTACGACCAACATCATTCTGGAAAAAGAGGAAGAATACTTATTCGAAGCCGTTGGCAAGAAGTCAGTCATCTCTCGCGCCACCAATTCTCATCTTTCACTTCTACAACTCTCGTTTCATACAGCACTGTCTACTTAACTGGAAACTATATCGGTGCGTCTCTTTTGTTTCTCGTTATTCCCTTTTGCCTGATATATGGTTTTAGATCAACCACTAAATCAGCCCCCCTTCGATGACGATTCTGACGAAGACTTGGATGATGAGGACGCTTATGATCTCCGAGAAGTCAGCTCTGACGTCGAAATGAACCCTGAAGATGTTGACGGGTTGGAAAGCGACGCAAGGCGAGTATGTTCTCGTCTTCACATCAGGCGTTGTTAAATGAAATCCTCTTTTATCAGCCGGTTTGAAGAAGTCAAGGAGGAGGAGGCTACCAAACCCCAAAAACGGCCTCGCGAATCCGACGCCGCTGACGGTGAAGCTCCGAAATTGAGTAAAGCTGAGAAGAAGAAGAACAAAAAGCAAAAGGCGGAAGGAGGTGCCGCAGTGCCCACTGGCGAAGAGACCAAGGACAAGAAAGAAGAGAAGAAGGAGGAGAAGGAGAAGAAGGAAAAAAAAGTAGCTGACGAACCTAAAGCGAAGGAGCTCCCTGGAGGCATCAAGATCAAAGATAGCAAGGTTGGCACTGGTCCCCAAGCGAAGAAGGGCAACACTGTCCTCATGCGATATATCGGAAAACTCCAAAACGGTAAAGTCTTCGACAAGAACGTCAAAGGCAAACCGGTATGTGTTCATATGACGAATTTCAACATTGCCCACCTCATACATCTCGTTCAGTTTACCTTCCACCTTGGCCAAGGCGAGGTCATTAAGGGTAAACTTGTTGGTTATTTATTAATATCTGGACTTACATGTGTCTTGGACAGGTTGGGACGAGGGCATCGTCGGAATGCAGGTGGGTGGCGAGCGGGTCCTCACGATCCCTCCTGCGATGGCGTACGGCAAGAAGGCTTCTGGTGCTATTCCAGCGAACTCTACTCTTACCTTTGGTATTCCCTATTCACCTAATACTAAAACGTAGATCTGACATACTTTTTTGCAGAGGTGAAGCTCATGGAGATTAAGTAAAGGACGTTTTGCTTTCCATGGTTGATCTAACTAGCACCTACATAAAAGTAAAATGCCTATGTAATTGAATCTGCTGTTGACTCAAGGTTTACACAAGTACTATCACGACCTAGTTTTGCAAATCGGCGCATTTCAGCACAACGAGAGCGCGTCTTGAACCGTTTAGACAATGTGAGCACTACATAATCGGACCATAGGAAGATAGTGGATAGAAATCCAGCGAGATTGAAATAACAATTAAGTACCTGGCTACCATCAACTACTTAGTTATCAAAGCCTCTCAACCAGAAATCGATTTCACAACAGCTGTATCATGTGATCACAACTGCCATGCGCAGCACTGGCCGCAACCGCAATTTTAGGGACCAATTAGCGACCGCCCACCTGTAGTCGGAGAAAATTCGCGTTTCTAAGATAATTTTCTATTCTTTGCACCAGGGTAATGCTCAGGGAGGGGTCAGAGAGGGGCGGGCGCTGCAGCGCCCAAGCAGCGCCCCTGGCCGGTGTGTTTGTTTGAAGTCGCGGTACTTTTAAATGTTGTAAACAAACAACACATCAGTATGTAAGGTGACAATCATGCAGAACCATATGCCATTTGCACCCAATCCTGCCCTCACTACTCAGGTCTAACGCCGCAAGATGACTGGCGTTCTGCTAGTTCTCGGTCTAAGCTTTATTTATGTTGCTCAAAAGTTGCTAGCTCACTGGCGTGCCGTCAAGTCGGTCGGGTTCGTAACCTATCTCGGCCTCCCTCTGGTGCTGACCGCAATTGGACCACAATATATAGAAATCATCCAGGCTACCGTACTCTCTTACCGATGAGCTCCATCGTCGATTATTTTCTTCCGAGATTGCCGGGTATTAACGCTGGTTCCAACCACTACTTCGTAACGAAGCACTCCAGTAAGTTTCTTTCATTGAATAGATCCAAATCAATTCTAACTCTCACGTCATGTAGTATTCGAGGAGGCAGGATGGGATATTCATACTGGGGTACCCGCTCGATCGCTCCGGAATTGTTTGTTATCTAATTATATTCCAGGTATCATTTTGGCCCAGCCCATCCACCTCCATCGTTCTCGGTGACGCCGCTGCCATCAAGGTAGAGAATATTCTAGTTCTTGCTAGAACCTGCGTACTAAACTGAAGAGCAGGAGGTCGGATCATCGCGTGCGCGTTTTCCGAAACCTGTCCAGCAATATGCCTCTTTGGCACTATATGGCCCTAACATCGTGGTTTCTGAGGGAGAACAATGGAAGAGATACAGGAAAATAGTAGCTCCAGCCTTCTCTGATGTGTGTAAAGAATTTTTGCTCTCGCCCTCGACTGACTCGTTCCCTCTTCAGCGCAATAATAAAATGGTGTGGAATGAAACAGCTCGGATTGTTAATGGCCTCTTTGAAACGGTCTGGGATGGAAGAGACGTTGTCACAGTTGACCATTGTCTTGATATTACACTCCCAGTAGGCTTACTTTTTCCCATTCACTACAAAACATTTCAAAGCAACCTTTATTTTTAGATTGCTTTATTTGTCATCGGTTCCGCAGGTGAGAAAAACCATTTCGTGTGGGTTCACCTAATGGTGAGCGTTGCATAGGATTCGGCAAGACTTTAGATTGGAAAGAGGAAGCAGTTTTACCTCCTGGACACAAAATTTCTTTCAAAGAATCACTCCACACCGTCACCACTCGCATCTTTCTCAGATTGGTCTGCCCTGATTGGATGCTGAATTTGACCGAGAGAGGACGGGAAACGCTGCAAGGTTTCAATGAATTGGGGGTACGTGCACCTCCCCCTTAGCGCCATTACCATATACCCATTTAAATAGGTTTATATGTCCGAGATGGTCAAAGAGCGTTTGACCGCTGAGAAAGTGGAACGCCATGATCTTTTTAGCAGTCTTCTGGCTTCGAATAACCATGAATTCGATGCCTCGATGCTCACCGAGGAAGAGCTTGTCGGTGTGTTATCTTTTAAAATGACTCTCGGGTACTCTGTCGTTTACACTATCCCAGGGAATATTTTCATTTTCTTGGTGGCTGGCCACGAGGTTCGTTTTAAAATCAATTTTTCTTCTTATCATATCAATGGTGTATGGCATCAAGACAACTGCCCATACATTGTGCTTTGCCTTCGCACTGCTTGCCCTGTATCAACAGGAACAGGAAACCCTATATCAACATATTAAATCTGTTCTTCCCGGAGACAAGCAGCCAGTGAGTTGTGAACACAACACTACAACCGTTCAGCTTAGAAGATGCTTAACAGGAGTATGAAGATATGTCGTTGCTGACCCATTCTATTGCGTGAGTCGTCGTACTTGTTGATATGATATCCGTCAACTCTGTCAATAGCGTCTTCTACGAAACGATGCGTCTTTTCCCTCCTGTGAGGACTTTATAAAACACCCCCAGATATCTTACTGATATTTTATTGATCAAGGTGATCGGCATCCCCAAATTCAGCGCTGAAGATACTGTACTGGAGGCTGGGAATATAAACGGCGAAAAAAAGACTGTTGTTGTTCCCAAGGGAGCGCGTGTTATTATCAGCGCTCCAGGCGTACACTACAACCGTAAGAAGCCTATGCCAAGGTAGCAGATTGTGGTCGAAGCTAACTTCAATTCAAGCACGTTATTGGGAAGACCCGCACGATTTCAAGCCATCCCGCTTCCTCAAAGATTGGCCACGCGATGCTTTCGTACCCTTCAGTGTTGGTCAGTGGGTTTTCTTCTTGCGTGTACACCCTGCAGCTTACAATATCCATTGTAAGGTGCTCGTGCTTGCATTGGCCGAAAGTATGTTTAAAATTTCCTCAACATATAACTCAATTAACCCTTGTAACTTTCCAGGTTTTCTGAAACGGAAGGCATCGCCGTCCTTACTATCCTCATTTCTAAGTATAAAATCACCGTTAAAGAAGAGCCGCAGTTTGCAGGAGAGACATTTGAACAGAAAAAAGCAAGACTTTTGAAATCGCGCCCGGGTATAACTTTGACGTAAGTTATGTGTTCGTTCCAAGTGTGTGCGGCGCAGCTGATAAGGATCCTTCGTCAGCCCCATTCGTGTCCCTCTGGTTTTCACTCGTCGCACTTAGCGATTGTGTATGTGCTTTAGCAAGTTTAGGCTATCTTTGATAGGGGAATTTATAGCAAGAACATGTTGTCCTATTCTTTGTACAAGATGTATACTCTTCGCGAGAGGAGAATCATTTAACAGTGGAAATATAGGGTTCATTACCCTGCCTTCTATTGGGACTCGAATGGCGTCAAATCCATACGTTTCCATCAGAGCCAGTACTAAGTGCGAAAGAGCGCTGTGGTGCATCTTCTGCGGTTCTCGTTTTGAGACAGCCGATAGTATCAAACTCCATGAACCAGCCATGGCATGTAGTTTGCTAGATGTGCGACAGGTATATATCCTTCCGAAAATAACACTGGCCCTTGGAATATTGTTCCCTAGGCCCATCTTCCGGGAACGACGGGATGGGAAGCTGACAACCCGCCATCAACTGCAATATTCTGACCATTCACATAACTTGAATCGTCTAGAAGGAAGAAGAAAGATTAGGCCTCGTTTGACCATAAGTAGATTGAATTACACACCTGATGCCAGAAACAACGCTGCGTTCGCAATTTCTGTTGTTATCGTTTTGAGCATGTCAACATGAATCAAAAGCAAGGTAATGATCGGTCTCACCCTCAGCTACACCAAATCGTCCCAAAGGATTGAGTTGGCCAATCTTCCCTGCAGTACCACGCGAGCGAGCAAAGTCGAAAGTGTCGCCTGTCATCCCTGTTTCAATGAGACCAGGGCAAATGGTGTTCACGCGGATGTCTGTCTTCTGAAGCTGATAGGCAGAGGTCTTCGCCAGTGAGTTCACCCTAGTGGGAGTTAAAAGGCGCACGAAAATGCAACAATGTGATTGAACGGAACCTACGCGGCTTTGCTTGCACTGTCTGTGGCAAAGTTAGCATCGTGGAGCCGTCGTGTAAAAATTTGCAACTCACAGTCAATGGTACCAGCTCCCGAGCGGATTCCGGCGACTATGCAACAAAGCCAACACAGTTAGCTTACGCCAACGGGCTAAAGATCCTTAGCCTACCAGATGCAGTCATTATGATGCTTCCACTGCTCATGTTCTTCCCTCTAGACGCATTTGTCTTTAACATGGCCGCCGACGCGTACTTGATGGCGAGGAAACAACTAGATGCGTAGTAAATACGAGTTGGTTGGTTGATGACGCTTTTGTCACGTACGAGAGCGCGTTTACTCTCATAGAATTCATGAACGTGTCTGCTGACGTATCCTGGAGGCCATTTCGAGAAGCAATCCCAGCCTTGGGGGAAATTAAAGGGGTGGGGACTTGAGAAGGACGGATTACACACGTTTGCAAAGAAGACGTCTAGTCTGCCTTCTTCTTGCAGGGCCTGTTCACAGACTCCTGAAATAGCACTTTCATCGGCTGCGTCGGCTTGGATGGTGGTGACCTATGAGCGTGATGGGTATGGCACAATAACGGTAAGAGAAAGAATCAACCTGGACGTCAGGGTACTTCCTTTGGATGGTTTCCTTCAGGTTGGGAAGGTTCGTAGGATCAAAGTCAATGAGATAAAGATGTTTTGCGCCTGCCCAAAACAATTCAACATGCACAGAGAACACGATTATGGGCATACGTACCCTCGTGAGCGAACAGGATCGACGCGGCACGCCTGAAACGGGAGCTCTGATCAAGAGAGCTTAACTTTCAACGGCTAAGCAACTAACCCAATTCCTTTCAACGATCCGACACCGGTAATGATGCAAACTTTGCCGCTGAGCTTCTCTCCTCGTCTCGTATTCTCAAGGTGAGCTTGTATCTTCTGGATTCGGGCTGTCGTGGCCTTGTAGTGTTCCTCGGCACTTGTATGTTGACTTTTGACTTTATCGTATGAGGACATGTTTGGGAGGAGAATAACTTGAGAATAACATAAACTGGCACCTTGAGAGTTCTAGCCCGGGGTCTGATGATACCGGGGCCGGTTCGCCATCAAGATACTTCAAAGATTAGATTAGATCGACGGCTATCCCTTGGCTACTCTGCTCAGATGTCAACCAAATCTCAGTTGGGTGCTACCATCCGTTAGTGGTGTCTAAAAACGATATATCGAGTCTCGACTTTGGAGTTCAACTGGTACTACCGCCAAACTACCGCACTACGGCCATAACTGACGTGGGAGAGATCGTGCGAACATAATTAGGACCCTGGGTCGTTTTTCAAACTAACCACCGGAATTCGACACACCCTGCCATTGCCCACCATTGCACACTTCAGTTGACAAAGTGACTACTACAGCGGACGTACACTTTTCGACAGGCGACGAGTACGAGATGGCCCCTATAGCTGGCTCTTCGTCCTCAGGTTTATCACACGATTACACTGAGGGCGCATCAGCGGTTGACATCGGCGATGCCTTGGCCAATTCTCGGCGTTCCCGACGCGACTCTCACCATAGCACTTACTACGACGCCGATGGCGAAGGAGCCATGTTCTCTGGCCCTGGACACACAGTCAACCCAAGCAGTGTTTCGCGCATGTCACACATTGAGCTGGGCAGAAAGAGTAGCGATCTTTGGTCCAAAACGCGGCGGAGGAGTCAGGATTCTAGTAGGCCAGCCCAAATGTCTCGTTCTAGAAGGAGTAGTGTGGATACTCAGGTATCGCGACAAAGTTTGGAAACGAGGAATCACGTAAACTCCGACGAGGAATCCTTACTGAGTGGTGATGATGAGCACAGCGCTGCACCAAGCAAAAGGAGACGGCGAAGAAAGTCTCTCTCTCCACCTGCTAGAACCACAGTTTTCGAAAATCTGGCTCATCTCTTCGGGAGAAGTGAAGCGTCGGGTGGCCGCCGACTTTCGATATCGCAGCGATCCTCTACCAGCAGAGCTTCGAGACGCAGCCAACGGTCTGACGCTGGTTCAGAACATGCCCTCGATGCAGATGATGATGAGGAGGAACGTTGGGGTTATTCTTCAGGTGAAGAAGATTCAGATGTCGATTCAATTCATTCCGTGGATGGTGGGCGAGACAACGCGTCGATTACCGCGAGCATGGAGTATGACTCTGATTCGCAAACCACTAGCCAAGGAATCCAGGCGTTACCCTTGCTCGAGTTTGACCCAGTTTTTGGCGGCGAGGCTCGTATTGATATGGAGATATCTTTTACCCTGGAGGATCCTCCACCAGTTGGGCCTCCCAGTCGACAAACGATTTATATCCCTGATGAAGATAGCACTATCCGTTTCGTTGGTTACGAAACTTTATTTTGGCGCGTTTGGATTTGGAGGGCTGGATGTCTCTTCTCCCTGGGTCTGTTAGCTCTCATAGGACACTGGTTTCCTCGTTTCTGGCTTCATTGGGTCACTCGCGAAGAACCATTTATTGAGGCTCACAATGGTTTCATTGTTGTCGAGGTGTGTCTTGCATAATCGTTGACGTTATTTTTCTCTGAATGCTTTTGCAGTCGGCCTACAGAGCTATCGCGCTGTTGCCTATTCGTGTTCTAAACTACCCCTACCATTTATCGACCGTCTTCTCCCAGACAATACCAATTCACCAAGGACTGGAGCTTCTTCCACCTTCCGATAAAGATTATAACGCAAACGATGGCATCATGAAACGCGTCTTAGTGGTAGATTATCGGTATACCCGGTTCGCCCTTGACCCAAGGACAGGGTTATTTAGCATGGTTAGGTTCGTAGGGGAGTTGCGGCCCTGTAAAGATGTTCTAATGGTGTTCTATCTAGGGACTGGAGGGATCAGTCATGGACCGCAGCGGCTTCTGTACACGGCGGTCTAGAGAACAAGACCACATCTCAACGTGCGATTTTATATGGAAAGAATGAGATTGAAATCGAAGGCAAATCGACAGTTTCACTTCTCGTCGACGAGGTTTGTTCTTCTTTAGCGTAAAGCCTGATCTCATGTCTTTGTAGATCATCCACCCGTTCTATGTTTTCCAAATCGCGAGTATCATCCTCTGGTCTTTGGACGACTACTATTATTACGCTTTCTGCATTGCTCTCATTTCCATCATCAGCATTCTATCGACATTAATAGAAACAAAAAAGGTACATGTCTGCGAGTGAGTTAAGACTTTTGCTCATCAGTATCTCATCTAGACTATTGCTCGCATAAGGGAGATGTCGAGACATTGGTGTAAAATGGAAACACTTAGAGACGGATCATGTAATTCATCTATTTTGTCCTCCGCTATTCATGCTTATAACAGGCGAGACAAGGGACGGAACGTAACTCCACGGATTTGGTACCCGGCGATGTCGTTAACCTCTCGACATCGAATTTTACCCTGATGCCTGCTGATCTATTCCTGTTGTCCGGGGACGCTATTGTTAATGAAAGCATGCTTACCGGCGAGAGTGTGCCCGTCAGTAAGGTTCCCATCAAAGATGATGATCTGGTTCGTTGGCGCGAGGACAAGAGGGAGAACTCAAAGAGCTTTCTGTACGGGGGCACTCGCGTGATTCGGATCCGTGGTGCTTTTACGCCGGAAGGACATGGTCGCCCTGCACTTGCTATGGTTGCCCGAACCGGTATTCACTGGTCACTATGCACTGAAATAACTCTCGAGCTCATGCCATTTTCAGGTTTTAACACGACAAAAGGCGCCTTGATTCGGTCTATGTTATTCCCCAAACCAATCGGATTCAAATTTTATCGTGATTCAGTCAGGTTCATTGGCGTTCTCGCCGGTATCGCTGGTGTTGGGTTTAGCTTCAGTGCTGTCCAATTCATCAGAATCGGGGTGAGAATTAGGTTGGGTTCCTGTTCTTACGACAATATCTAACGGACATTCAGTTGCCCTGGCAAACAATCGTGGTTCGTGCTCTGGACCTTATCACCGTTGTCGTTCCACCCGCTCTCCCAGCAACATTATCCATCGGCACAAGTTTCGCAATATCTCGACTGCGCAAGTTTGGTATATTTTGCATATCTCCGAGCAGGGTGAATGTGGCTGGCAAGATTAATGTATGCTGCTTCGACAAGACCGGAACGCTGACGGAAGATGGACTTGACGTTCTTGGAGTTCGAGGTTTAGAACGAAACATGAACCAGTTTGGCGAGCTGCTGGAGGATATACATGATCTGCCACTTGCGAGGGAGAAAGCTATGTTTCTACACGCCCTTGCATCGTGCCACTCCTTGAAGATGGTGAACGGAGAGGTGATCGGTGATCCCCTGGACGTTAAGATGTTTGAATTCACACGATGGACTTTGGAAGAAGGTCGAGTTGCAGGTACTGGCAACATCAAAGCAAAGGGAGCCATAATCGAACAGACGGCCTTAGTTCAAACAGTCGTCCGCCCTCCTGGGAGTGCCCAATTTCGTCTTGAAGATGCTCTAAAAGGTGCTTCACGGGTATGTGCACCAAAAATGATTCATGGAAATGGGGCTAATCTGCTTCAAGCATGCCCATTTCTTAGAACTCGGGGTCATCCGTACTTTCGACTTTGTCTCCTCTCTTCGGAGGATGAGCGTCGTTGTCAAGCGACTTAAGAGTAACAGCATGGAAATTTATGTCAAGGGCGCTCCGGAAGTTATGGCCGATATCTGTGACCGAGATTCCTGTAAGAAAGCTGCATATTGCTATCTTTTAAACACCTCACTCACATTTTGTGCACAGTTCCGCAGGATTACGAAGATCTTCTATCGTACTATACAAAACGTGGATATCGTGTCATAGCGATCGCAGGCAAGAGTATTGACGGGCTTTCTTGGCTCAAGGCACAGAGAATGAAGCGGTATTTATATCTGTGCTTACGTTGCTGCATTTCCATCGCTGATGTTGTGTCAGGGAACAAGCAGAATCGGGACTGCGATTCCTTGGCCTGGTTATATTTGAAAATAGGCTCAAGCCTGGGACTGCACCCGCTATTCAGGCGTTGCGTTCAGCGCATCTCGCATGCCGAATGATCACGGGTGACAACCCGCTTACTGCGGTCAGCGTAGCTAGGGAGTGTGGTCTCATAAATCAAGCTGCCCACGTCTTCACGCCTGTTTTCTTGAGAGGTTCGTTTTGCTCACATGATGTTCATCTATCCAACCACTTAACTGTGCTCAAAATTTTGTAGGCAACTCAACCATTCCAGCATCTTCACTAGAATGGTCATGCATGGACGATCCCCTTTGGAGACTTGATTCTTACAGTCTAAAACCCTTGGCCCCTCCTCAACATCATACCGTTGAAGCAGAGGAGCTCAACTACCAAGACTATTCACTTGTGATCACTGGAGATGTCTTCCGCTGGATGCTAAACTACGCACCTCTCGAGACGTTACAACGTGTAGGTTAATGAGTCAGATCTGCTCCCCGCGCCTTACCATGATTCTTCAGATGCTCGTGAAAACGCAAATATTCGCAAGGATGTCTCCAGACGAGAAAAATGAAGTGGTTGAAAGGTTACAAAGTCTAGGATACACCGTGCTTATGTGCGGAGATGGGGCGAACGATTGTGCAGCTCTGAAGGCGGCGGATGTAGGCATTTCACTTTCAGAAGCAGAGGCCAGCGTCGCAGCCCCCTTCACAAGTAGCACGCCTGATATTGGCTGCGTTCTTGAAGTCATCAAGGAGGGCCGTGCGGCGCTTGTGACGAGCTTCAGCTGTTTTAAGTATATGTAAGTCTCATGTCGACGCTCTATCCTATAGCTCATGATTGGTTTCAGGGCGTTATATTCCCTCATTCAGTTCACATCGGTCACCCTTCTGTACTCTTTCGCGTCCTCCTTGGGTGACTTTCAAGTTGAGTTCTAATCTCGTGGGTGGTTCGATTTGGGTAGCTGACGACCTTTTCTCTCAAGTTTTTGTACATCGATCTTTTCATCATCATACCTGTGGCCATCACCAGTAAGATTGCCTTCCTTTCCGTGGACTCTGTTTCAAATGTGTGGCTCAAACAGTGGGACGAACGCTACCATATCCCCGTGTATATCCAAAGAGGCCAACGGCCAATTTGGTATCGAAAAAAGTGCTTGCAAGCATCATCGGACAGATTGTGATTACGAGCGGTGTCCAACTGTGGGGCTATCTTTGGGTACGGCGACAAGAATGGTGAGTAGATCAATTGCTCCCTGATCCGTGACCCCAGTTTGATCCGGGCTTAGGTACACTCCTCCGCACTCAGATCCTACAGTGGACGCCGGAAACCACCTGGAATCAACCAATTATGAGAACTCTGTCTTATTTTTAATATCATGTTTCCAGTACATTCTTGTCGCGGCGGTATTCAGCATCGGGCCACCGTACCGTAAACCCATGTGGACGAATGGTACGATGAATTTGTTGCAATCACAGTACACCGCTGACTTTGTATCGATAGCTTGGCTAATGAGCTCCATGTGTCTTTTGTCGGCTTTCAATATTTGGGTACTTCTTGCACCTGCGAAAGTGGTATCCACACTATTGACGCTGATGCCGCTGCCTTTGGGAGCGCGATACACGCTGCTGATGGTGGCGGTGATCAATGTTGTGGTATCATTGTCTTTCGAGCGATGGGGAGCACAGAGTGTCAGTGATTTAATCGGAGCTGTAACGCTGTGGTTACACCGTGGTAGGCGGCGAGTACGTGAAGGGAAGGCGTACAAGGCAGTTGAGGGTGGTATGCGTTAGAGATAGGCTTTGTGATAATAGATTGTCGCGTGTGAAAGTAAAGTCACGAGTGAGTGGCTTCAATGTGGCCGGGACCCTTGCAACTCATTGACAACGTTCTTTTCTTAACCTTTTTCACTTTCTTCCTTTCTTCTCGCCATTCTTTGCCCAGAGGGCACTTCCAATCATTTAAATCATCTCGGTACTCGAACGCTGGGCCGTTTACATTTCACAAGCCCGCCAGATCGGTCTTGTCGCCGTCGCCATTGTCAAGATATCCGTCGCAGTCCAACATGTTTTCAAATCTGCGTCCAACCCGACTTTCATTTCTCGTTTGGTTCCACTGTCTGCTGCTGTTCTCGTTCCACGCCAATGCATCACCCTTCGTTACCCGCCAATCAGGATCTCCTCAAACCGTGACTACAAAACATACAACAGAGACGTGCGTCATTCTCGACTGCTTTGGTGGCATTTCTCACCTTATCTTAGTGCTGCTGGTGTGATGACTGAGACTTGCGTTATTGTCTTAACCCCGATTAAAGACGGGAACGGCAATGACGCCGTGCAGGTGGTTAAATCATGTACAATTAAGATGGAGCCGCCGAAGGATAATGGTGGTGGTAACGGTGGTGGATCCTCTTCTAGTACGTCTGTGACATCCTCCACGCCGCAAAGCTCCTCCCCGTCCACCACGATTGCTGCAACTACAACCTCGTCGTTCGCCAGCTCTTCGGCCTTCTCCTCCGTGGCCGCCCCTGCCACAACCTCCGCAGTCGCGTCAACTTCAGCACTACCCCCACCACCTGCATCGTCTTCTGCACCTGCGTCGTCTTCTGCGCCTGCATCCTCTTCTGCATCTGTATCATCCTCAGCGACGAGCTCTGTAGCAAGCCCCACCGAGTCCCCTGCTGTTTCAGTGAATGTGTGTATAAATAAACCTGTCTCCAGAACTATGCATTGATGAGTTTGTTGCAGGGGGTTTCAACAGTAGTGCCTTCCACCACCGCATTGCCAACTACTGCAGCACCTAGCCCCACGATCGTCGCGCCGGCTGTAACGAGTGCAACACCGCCGACGAACGCGCCCGCCAGCTCCTCAGCCTCTGGAACTGCAGTTTCTGCCGCCGCCGCCGAACAGGCATCAGCGTCAGCAGCTGGGGCGTTCACTCTCCCAGGGAAGAAACTTTCAGTCCTGCCCATCGGTCTTGGGGTGTTTGCGGGTATTTCTGTCATCGCTCTGATTGTGGTAGGATTGGTAACGTACGAGCGAACCAAGTACCGCAAGGCAAGTCTTTAAATTGCCGTCTTGAACTTGCGTACTCACGTCACACATTTCTCTTAGGCATTCAGGCAACGGAAACTAGCAGAAAGTGGCCAGGCCATGGGTTACGGTGGAATGGCATTGTAAATTTTTAGATTGATTTTTTTTTTTTCAGTTGTCGCGAGCGGCCACATTACTTACTTTAGGTACTCACTTTTCTCTCCAAGCGTTGTGTGGCATGGCCTCATTATACCCACATTATATTGATACATTGTATGGCATTGGTACAGTTGCGGACAACTAAAGTCAACAAATTTATAGATCGATTTATTGAGACCGGTAGGGATTTTTTTAAAGTCCGAAAACCATCGGAATAGGCAGGAATTGAGTAGATCTTTCAAATGGTACGAGCCGATTTCCCAAAAGTGAAGATTTGTCAGAAAAAAGGTCCAAATTTTTGGCGCAGGCCCAAAAAAATCGATAAAATCTCGAAAAAGTCATTTTTGGATAGATCTTGATGAGTACTGTCAGAATCCACCGAAAAAATAAAAATAAAATAGATCCTCCCCTTTGAAAAAAATTGCTATTATGCTGCCCAAACCTGGAGTAATAAACATTGCAACCTTGCACGCCTCCAAAATAACCCTTTCTTGACTTCCATTCCATCAGTGACATCATTTTCTCAAGCCATCAGACTGTCAGTGAGGGAGATGATGAGGAACTGATCACGAGATCTCAAGAGTCACACCTCATTGCACAAGAAAAATGAGGCAAGTGAAGCTGTGGATTCAGGAGAAGATATGGATATGCAGAGAGTAATTGGGATGAGCTTGATGAGCAGGATTTTTCTGAGAGACTGGCTGAGATGGCGATGTAGGATGCAAAAAAATTGGCTCAAAATTTTGGCGCAGCCAAAAACTCGTGGGAATAACATAAAAACATCATTTTTGAGCTCCTTTTGCCTGTCCAGTTTCAGATCTGTCATCAGATTTCCGTCAAAAAATCTGGTTCCTGAGATACTCAATTTGTTGACTTTAGTTGTCCGCAACTGTACAATGACACTAAAACGCGATCACGTGATTCCCTCGTTGAATAGAAATTGTTCAACCTTGAGCTTGACTACTTTTACGACCTCACGACACCAGCAAGGATTTCGCTGCCAACTTGTATTCATGGCTCAAACTGGTCTTTTGGAATGGGCCAACTTTGTTCGCCTCACCATGGCGAATGACCCTGGTCGCAAATGTTTTCAAGATCAAGTTCAAACATACGGTTTTCTATTCCTCGATGACTATCTCGACAACATCCTATCCGACGCGAAACAACAGTAAGCGTTGTCTCTTCTTTAAATCTTGACAATTTCGCTTAAGTTATGTGATTAGCCCACTCATCGAACTCGTCAAGACTCCTGGCCGCAAGAAGGCTATCGCCAGGAAGCCGAACATGACCTCAAAGTTGAACAACGTGGTCACATTGTCTTTAGCGGTGCGCCGTCAAGGTGTCTTGATACATCATAGTTCTGACGCCTGCTACAGGAGGAAGGTGGCGAGGAGAAGACCGAGCCACTAAACAGTTTCCACAAGGCACTCTTGATGGCGAAACCCACCCTGCCCTCAGAGCCTATCGATGTTCCGAACGCTACACCCCCTGTTTCAAACCAGCCAAGCTTTCATCATACAAACGATGCTCAGACGTCGTCACTTTCATCCACTGAACATGAACTTTCTCCAGATGAATCCGTCGCGTCTCCCGCCGTTTCTACAACACAGCCACAGGCTTCTTTCGAGCCTGCCGCCGAATCTTTCCCTTCCCCAGCGTTGAATTCGAACCAGAACAACTTGTCTGTAATTGCGGAAGACGATGAGATGGCAGAATACAGCCGCACATCGGTTCAAATGGGTCGTTTGGACGAATTCCCTTCACCTCCAGTTCATGCTCCAAGGAAGACACAAGAGATCGCAGAAACTGAGCAGTCTCTCGCATCTAATGCTGCACACGAGGTGGAGGAGCAAAGCAACTCGCTCACTGGCAGACCGAAGTCTAGCCAATTTACTCCGGAAGCTGAAGGCACACCAGCAGCCATCGACCCATCTCAGCCACATTCTCCATCTCCACCATATGTTCCAGCTGATACGCCTGTAACTCAAGTTGCGGGTCCTCAGCCAAAAGCATCGATGGAAAGCAACCACGAAACCCTGCGTCCAATTTCGCCGATCTCCTCTCGGAACGTTAAACAAGACGTGGAAATGGCTGCACCATTACCTGAAAGAGCGCCAAGCCTGCCAACGGATGTCAATGTCCTGGATGTCGCTGCGGTTGAAGTTTCGAGTGCTCCCTTGTCTGCCTTCCCCAGCCTTCCTGAGCCCACTATGATGTTACGCAAGTCAACTTATGCTCCTCGCGACCCATCCATGGGCAATGCATTAATCGGGGCTACGACTCCTGGTGCAGCCCTCGGTGGCAAACGTACATCGTGGTTAAAGAAAGCGAGAGAGGTCAAGGCGCTGGAAATGACCGGTGCAAAATCGACTACACAAGCGCCAGCGCCACCCTCTATCACCCCAGGCCATCAAACACATACTTCCGTATCTGCGCTACCACCTCCCGTGTTGAAGAGGAAAAGTGGAGATATCGCCACTCTTCCGGGGACGACTGGTCTTGAGGAAGAAGAAAGAAAGGCTAAAGTTGCAAAGACGGAGAATAGTGTTGATGTCTCCTCGCAGATTATTAGTCAGGGCGGCATTTTGGATCGCCTCAAGAAGACAGTCGAAGGGCTTGGAACTCAGGTTGGAAAGAGCTTTAATGGCGCCAGTAGTATTGCCAGCGCCTTGGCTGAAGCCCGAGCTGCAGCGGAAGCCAAGGTCATGGAGCGAAATCAAATTGAAGTCGACGGACATAGGGAGAATTCAAACCGCGAGAGCACAACAACGACGCCTCCACAGTCACCGCCTGCAACGAAAACTGCCACCACCACTGCCACATTTGCTCCTACAGGCACGGTCTTCAACAAACCCCCACCTGTTTTCGTCCCACCTTCTCATACTGCTACGACACGGCCTTTGCCAACTCCGCCTGCAACGAAAAGTTCTGCTTTCAATCCTCCTAGCGCCCCCACCTTTTCTCTATCCGCCCATCCGACATTGTCCAAGGCACCAGTACCTCTCAGCGCTCAGTCTACACTCGAAAGCATCAAATCGGACGCTGTCTTTGATGAAGAAGATGATGTCCCAGCGTGGGTTCCCAGTACCCAAGATACCGATTATTCCATGGGGTATGGCAGTCAATCCTTGCATGAAAGTCAGCACCAGCAGCAAGCTCCTGTGCTCGACGAGGACGATAGCTGGCCTATTGATGAGAAGCTTGCAGCTGGTGTGCAATGGTCATTTGGCGCGAGCAAGGAGGATAGCATGACTTGGAGCACGTTACCCTCGCAAAGCCAGAGAGGGACGGACACTGGGCATAGCAATCGGGCTCATACATCCCCGCTACTGAACCACCAAGTGGCGAGCACAAGTCGAAATATTCCCGGTGCATTCGAGGATGATATGAAAGACGAAGATGATCTCTTCGAGCGAGATGAAGAGCTTGAGGAGATCGTCTTGGGTCCTGGAAAGTCAACCGCAAGCCCTATTGAGGTAAATGTTACTTTTTGCTGAGTCTTCCTTTTCTGACTTCCTTTTTGCTAGTCACAAACACAGTCGCAATCGCAAGCACCAAGAAGTCAAAGTCAAATGTCGCTGGCATCATCCGCGTCATCACAATCGCAGACCGGTTTCTTTGGCCAAGCTTCGAAGATGATTAGCAGCGCATTAGGCACAAGCAAGAAAGCCAAGCCTGAGGTTAAGAAAGTTCTGCAGATGGCGGCGGTTGCAGCGAAGAAGGTTTGTTCGTTTCCGCTCCCTAGCACCCCGATATTGAGAATGGTTGTAGCAACAAGAGGAGGCCGATAAGAAGGCCGCGCGGTTGAAAGAAATGGACAATAGGCGCCAGCTTGCATTACAGAGGAAGGCAGAGGAAGAGAAGGCGAAGGCTGAAGAGGAAGAGCGAAAGTTGAAAGAGGAAGGTGACCGCCGAAAGAGAGAGCGAGAAGAACAAACCGATAAGAGGACGATCAAAGCTGGCGGGAGCAAGAAGGACGAGGACACGAGTAAGAAGCGCAAGGTTGAAGTTGAGAAGAAGCAAGAGCTCAAGAAACCTGCGCCAACGCCCAACTTCAAGAGTCAACTGAAACCAGCAATGAAGCAGCCTCCAGCCCTTGCATCTTCGACTGGATACAATGCTGGTGCTCCTTCGGCGACCAAGCCGACTGACGCTTCTAAAGGGGTCAAGGCACCTTCATCACTACAGAAAGGGAAAGGGAATGCAAAGGTTGTTACCAATGCACCAGCCATCGTGGACGATGATGATGTGGCACAGCCCTCACAGAAAATTCAGTCTCTGATGGCAGCGCGCGTCGACGCGCAACTCAAACAAAAGGCGGAACCCGTCGTTCCTAGCGAAAGCATCGAACTGCCAGATATCAATAGCGAATATTCTGATTCGGACGATGAAGATCGACCACGAACGTTCGACCCACCGAACTGGGCTCAGTCACCGGAGCTCAGGCAGGCGTTGGAGATGCAGAGCGGGATTAACCCTGATGATATATTTGGCGCGGTTAGGCCGCTGAAGATGGAGGAGATATTTAAGACGAAGACAAGCCGGTTCAGGGCCCGGACGAGTTCTGCGAACTGGACTGGGAGCGACCGGCTGACGGTGGAAGAGGAGAGAGAGTATGCGAGACGGATGGGATTCAGGTAGAGTGGAGATATTTATGATGTATTATGGTTGTATGCTATGTTAAGTTTCTATGTATCTTTGAAAACTGTTCATCATGCCGTCTGTGGACAAGCTCACGATTACTTTCCTTGTCGACAATTGCATAGAATGGCACGTTGGCGGTCTTGACCAGCTGTTTCCTACTAATGCCAGTCATAGGATGACCAAATTGCCCCCTGGTTTTACCCATGAACTCTCTCAGCACCTTCAACGGCATCCACCCGTTGATCAGGATAAAGGCGTTCCTATTCTCGATTTCAACAAGTTTTGTTGTGGTGGGTGTACCGCCGCCGAGTCCTGACCAGTGAATCAACTTAAATGTACGCCAGGCGCCCATGGTTTCTCTGCTCTCATAGTAAGGCTGTCTCTTTGCCACTTCAGTCGCATTCAAATCGCGCACTTAGGAAACATTCACCGACGGAGACACGACTCCTCACCTGACGCTCTTTGATACCGGCCCAGACTCTCAGTCGCTGGTTCGAAATATAACTGCAATGCAAATACCCGTCGAAAGCATCGAGCGCGTCATCACATCACATTGGCACAGCGACCACACGGGCGGCCTGCTTTCGTTTCTCGACTTGCGAAACCGCGCTGCTAATGAAACGGTTTCTCAAACTCGGTGTATCGTGGACGTCCATCCCAATCGTCCAATTTTACGAGGCATAGCCCCTGGCCCTTCGTTCGACAAAGTCATATGTGCCCTACCTCCTGATCCAACTTTTGAATTGATAGAACAGGCTGGTGGGATCGTGGAGAAGCATTCGGAGGGACATGCTGTTGCTGGTGGAACCGTCTGGGTGAGTGGCGAGATTCCGAGAGTTACTGAGTTTGAGGCTGGCATGCTGGGGGGCATGAGGTGGGAAGAGGAGGGAACTGGCCCTGGAAAATGGGTCAAAGAGCAGGTTCTTCGTTTCTTATACTGAGCTTCTGCCGCTTACCTATTTTTTATTATTAGCATATCATGGATGAGAGGTATGCTGCGATAGATGTGGCAGGCAAGGGTTTAGTCATCTTCAGCGCGTAAGTTCTTCTTTCTTTGCATCTCATCTCTCGAACTCAATTCACTCCCGTTAGCTGCTCACACGCTGGAATTGTAAATGTTATAAAAGATGCAATGACCACGTTTAACCGACCAATTCATATGGTGAATACTCGTTAAAATCAATCTTGTAAAAAACCCCTCTGAATCCCTTCAGGTCGTCGGTGGTCTGCACCTTGCAGGCTCAGAATTCGGTCCTCGAGTGCCCTCCACCGTCAAATTTCTATCTGACAAGCTCAGACCTGCACCAACTTACATTTTGCCAATGCACTGCTCCGGATTCCAAGCGAAATTAGCATTGGAAGCCGCCTTTGGTGAAGGATGCGTCCCTGCTGGAGTTGGACTCAAAGTCGAGGTCATAGGTAATCGAGAAGACGACAAGAACTTGTTTCCTCCGACCTTAAAACATGACTGAGCATCCTGTTTTGGTTTCCTCTTCGTTTGATTGCACAATTTGACAAGGAACAATTTCTTGCCGAACAAATAGAGAAGTCATCAATATCATGTCAAATTCGCGAGCCACCATTGCAACTTGTTGCTGATATCCAGCATTCTGTTTTCCAAGAGGAGTTCGGAGAACTCTGCCGTCAGGCGTTCCGGCACCAACTCTATTCCAACAGAACGTCTACATTCGATTATGTGTCTCGGTTGCCATGCTCTTTTCCCTGCGTCGAATCGGTCAATTTCTCCTTCCGAAAAACAGTGCCTTGTGACAGTACAATTTGACCTACGCATCTACAGGAGCTGATTGGCTCAGGCGACGGTCGGTGCACCAAAGTGGGGGATTATCTCTCGAATGGCAACTTCTCTAACATTTCGGTCTACCATTTATCAAGGCGGTGGGATTCGAGAAATGGCAAGCTAAGTTCTGACATTATTACACAGCTACTTTCATCCCCGCAGATTGGAGTGTGGCAAACCAGCTTCCCTCCTGAATAGCACCTCCCCATAGTTCTGCCTGTACCCATGCAGCAGTAGATCCTAACGCCGAGAACTGTGAAACTGCGAGACACGCTGAAAGATGAGTCTCATTACCTTTGACTAGCCCCAAGGGACCAGAACCAAAAATTCCCATCAACGGGCCAAGAAACCAAATTTCAGGAATTAGGAGTAAGGCGATGGATATGGCAAATGGGAGTACGGCAAAAAAGTTTCCTTCCTTGATAGCACGAGCAGCAGATATTAAGGCCGAGAACGTGAGATTGCGAGACATGTTATTGATGAGCAACCCTAAACCAAATATTCTCAACAACAGGTGAAAAAACCAAAGTTGAGGAAATAGGCCGGTTAGGAGCAAAGCGACATTGATGTAGAACTCAGGATTGTCTTGAATCGCGTTCACTCCAGAGTACATCAGCTTTTGGGATATATTCTAGGCAACTTAAATATCTCACCAGCAACGAGGATACCACGACTGAGCTTGGCTTCAATGATTTCAAAGGTCATTCGGGCATCGCCCTGTGACAATGAATGCCACAGACCACTAGTCTTGACAACGACATCATCGATGGATGCATTTAATTCCTCCATTGGTTTGTTGGCGATGGCGTCAACATCGTGTGCGACTACGCCGGCGAGGCGGGCAACCTCTTCACCAGCCGTATTGGCGAAACCCACATCCGCCTCGCTGGCCTCTTTGTTAGTTTCCACAACGTTCTCGCCAGCCACTTTGGCGAACTCCTCAACTTTTTCGCCGACCTCTTTGCTGAATTTAACAACTTTCTTCTCGGTATCCTTGGCTGATCGGCAAAAATGCAATCGGTTGAATTTCAAAGACGTGAAAGGGGAAGGCAACCCGAATAAAACTGACCGAAGTCAAGAACTGTGTGGCGTCAAAGATGAAGTACTTCGAACCTGGTCAACACTTACATGAATCCCAGCCGGCGCTGACTGATTGTACAATGGTCAAGAAGACCAGAATTGCGTGGATAAGAGAAATGCGCATTGTGACAATCGATATGGTCAACCGCGGCGAGTCTACCCGCGAGCGTCTATCTGCTTCGAAATTCGCCCACGATCTTCCCGAGAAAGTTCTCATAAGGCGATTATGATGAACTGGTCCAAAATAGGCATTCGTGAGTACCTTTTCTTTACCCGAATGCAGGAAGGCGAAGTTCTTCAAAATAAGCCAACCACAGGCTCATAGAAACAGTAGGTAAGTATCACATAGAACAATATATACCGTTCAGCATGGGGAGGAAAAGAACACCGGCTCAGCTTGGGCTCAGCCAAAGTAGCTCCATATCAAGTAGAAGCAAAAGAACTTGAAAACAGTTACACCCAAGAAGATGTCCATGTCCTGGGTACTTGATAAAACAACGCCAATTAGCGTGTCGTCGTCGGGCAGAATCAAAGATCAAACCTTCGTTTCTCAGTTCACCAATAACGCTACTACTCAAGCCCATGAGTCACATTTGCAGCGTCCAAAAGCCTTCTTTGCGTGCCTTTCAACATGTTTCGCTGGTCTTTTGAGTTCTCCAGTACGTCTCTACCCTGTGCGAGAAACTCATCCAGCCGGGTGTCCGTGTTTTTGAATGAAGGTATGCTCATCTAACGCTTGGTGCTCTCCGCCAGACCCTTTTTGTGGAGTGGGGAAACGACTTCGGGTTATTTTGGGTTGATCGCGGTGGATTTGTTGTCTTGAAACATCGTTGAGGGTGAGAGGGGCGTGGCAGATGTTGGCATCTTCGAGCAGTCTCGATCTTCGAGAAAAGTGATGTGAGCAACGAATATTAAAACTAGTGAATGAGGGTGGTACGCACTGCCCGTACTGCTCCCGCCTTTAGTTTCTCGAATTGATTTCGCATTTTGGTATAGTCGGTCCTGAACTTGAACACATGCCTACACGGGAATGAGACGCGAAGAACGTATTAACGCGAACGGCTCACATCTGGACCTTCTCCTGCTTTGCCATCAAATCATGATTCTGTGGCCCTGTGCATAGTGGACAAAGAAGCGGATATCTCGCCTAAGAGTAGACTGGCAACAGTCGTTGAAGCTTGAACAGTCGGTTTATCTTTTGAGGGGCCGAATTGGGCAAATCACCTAGTAACGTTGCGTGCGGGGTTATCTCCATTACGCAGGCGTTCAAGGTCGCATTAGAGTGAGTTTGTCTAGGTTTGTCTGCGGGGTTTTCAAGGATGCATATCAAAATGGGTATGTTTGTTTCAGTGGCGGGTGTAGTGGCTTCAGGGATCAAAGACTTGGATTTAGGCCTATACGCGCTGGAAGGCGAGCTGAAATTGAAGACCTGGGCGCTAGCAGGATGTGAGGAACACAATTTTTGAAGACGATAAGTTGGAGCCATCCATATGGATGGCTCTTGGTTAAGCCCTATGGGTGGCTCTTCGTTAAGTGCTCTGTATGTGCATCAGGTTACCAGCCTCGAAAGTCACGCTTCGCCCCGACTTGGTCGTGAGTCAGTTTTCACACCGAAAGCAAGGCTGGATGGAAGCAAAGGTGGAAAATTTTCAAGAAATTGTGCTCGTTGTAACAATACAATTTGGCCTACGCATCTAAAGGAGTTGAATCGTTCAGGCGACGGTCAGTGGACTGACGTAGGGGATTATTTCTCAAATGACAACTTACCTAACAGGTTCTACTATTTATCGACGCCATGGGATTCGAGAAATGGTGAGTTTTGGACATCATTACAGGGCCATTTTCATCCCCGCAGATTGGAGTATGGCAAACCAGCTCCCCTCCTTGATAGCACCTCCCCACAGTTGCCCCTGTAACCACGCAGCAGCAGATCCTAAGACCGAGGATTGTGAGACTGTGGGACATGGTGAAAAGATGAGTCTCGTTACCTTTGACTGGCCCCAAGGGACCAAAACCAAATAATCTCAACAACGGGCCAAGAAACCAGTTTTCAGGAATTAGGAGCAAAGCGATAGAGATGAATAAATCAGGATGGTTTATGATCAGGTTGACTACCGAGCACATCAGGGAAACATATTATAGGAAACCAAAATATCTCACCAGTGATGAGAATGACACTACTAAACGCGGGTTTGATGGTAGCAAAGCTCTTTCGGGCATCACTTTCTGACATATGCCACAAAGCGCTAACCGTGACAAACTCATCCTCCACCATGTCCAAGAAGCGACCCACTATTACAGCCCGGTCCTTATACGCAGCGGTCTGCAGTTCCGGGAGGGGTTCGTGAAACTCTGCCTTTAGGTCTTCAAACATGGACGCCATTTGGGCGGAGAACATGTCGAATATGCGATCGGAACTGACCCCATGTTCCTCTAGATCATCGTGCATGTCATATTCCATTGCTTGCACCTTGAAAACGACATCAGTGATGGATTCCTTGAACTCCACTATTGTCTTGTTGGCGACAGCGTCAACATCGTGTACAACCACGCCAGCGAGGCGGGCAACCTCTTCACCGACCACGTTGGCGAATCCCACAACCGTATGGCTGGCCTCTTTCTTGAATTCCACGGCTTTCACGCCGACCACTTTGGCGAAATGCTCAACATTCTTCTCAGTATCCTTGGCTGATAAATCAAATCGGTTGAATATCAAGGAAGTGAAAGGGAGGAGGCGACTCAAGTAAAACTGACCAAAACCAAGAACTGTGTGGTGTCAGAAATCAAATACTCTGAATTCCCGGTCAACACTTACATGAAAACCAGCCATCTAAAAACCCGGGGAGGGCGCTGACTGAGTGTAAAACGGTCAAGAGGACTAGAGTCGTGTGGATAAGAGAAATCCGCATTGCGACTATCGATGTGGTTGTTTTGGTCAACCGACGGTGAGGCTTGAACGTTTGAACGTTGAGGAGTCCACGCGCGAGCATCTGTCTGCTTCGAAATTCGCCCACGATCTCCCTGAGAAAGTTCACGTAAAGTTATGGACTCGATTCATCTAATCCAAAACAGGCATTCGTGAGTACTTTTCCTTTTACCTAAATGCAGGAAGGCTCACAAAGTTCTTGAAATAACCCAACCACAGGCTCATAAAAACATTAGCTATGTATTACACAGAAACAATATACCGTTCAGCAAGGAGAGGAAAAGAACACCAACTCAACCAAAGTAGCTCCATATCAAGTAGAAGCAAAAGAACGTGAAAACAGCTCCACCCAAAAAGATGTACATGTCCTGGGTACTTGAGAGACCAACGTCAATGAGCATGTCGTCGTTGAGCAGAATCAAAGATCATACCTTCGCTTCTCAATCCAGCCAATAACATTCCTACTCAAACCCAACGTATTTGCAGCGTCCAAAAGCCTTCTTTGCGTCCCTTTCAACATGTTCCGCTGGTCTTTTAGGTTCTCCAGCACCTCCCTACCCTGTGCGAGGAACTCATCCAGCCGGGTGTCCGTGTTTTGAATGAAGGTATGCTCATCCAACGCTCGGTGCTCTCGGCCAAACCCGTTTTGCGGAGTGGAGGCACGGAAGGGAGATTCTGAGACGACTTCGGGTTGTTCTGCGCGAAGCCCAGGATGTATGGTCGATCGTGGTGGGTTTGTCGTTTGGAAACGTCGTTGTCGTGTATCCGAAGGTGAGAGGGGCGTGGCGGATGTTGGAATGAGCTCGGCTCTTCGAGCAGTCTCATTCTTTGAGAAAAGTGAGGTGAGTATAACGAATATTGACAGTGGTGGGTGTGGGGGTACGCACTGCCTGTGCTGCTTCTGCCTTTAGTTTCTCAAATTGATTTCGCATTTCGGTATAGTCGGTTCTGAACTTGGACACACGCCTACATGGGAATGAGGAATGCGAAGAATGCATTAACACGCACGGCTCACATCTGGGCCTTCTCCTGCTTTGCCTTTATCATTTCGCGCTTTGCCATTGAATCGTAATCCTCAATGGTCCTATGCATGGCGGACAAAGAAGCGGATATCTGGCCTAAGAGCAGAATGGCGACAGTCCTTGAACAGTCAGTTTATTGCGTCTGAGGGGCAGAGGTGGGTTATTCACCTAGCAACGCTGCGGAATTGTCTCCATTACGCAGGCGTTCAAGGTCGCTTTGAAGTGAGTTTGTCTGGCGAACACCAGAGGTATACAACGAGTTCATAAGGTGGTCAGAGGGAAGAAGGTGTGTGACACGTGGTATGTGACTTATTATAGGACTCTGATAATATCAATGATATCTTCTACTTGTTGCCCTTTCTATGTGATTTAGCCTTTCGAGATGCCTTACCGCCCGCTAGTTCAGCTTTTTCTTTTCGTCTCCCTCGTTGTTTCGTTCTTTCAACCTTCCGCGCATCCTTTGTCTCATAACGTGTTTTTTTCTCTCTGACTTTCTTCTTTACAGAGTTAGGACGCGTTTTCGGTATCACGGGGTGTGGCTTTGAAGTAGAGACGGCGGGTATCGTTGTCGGTTCTGTTGGTGTAGTTGATGGACCGTGGATGAGGGTGTCCAAGTCAAAATCCTCCACGACAGTTACCGTCGCGAGAACTTCTTCATCCTCGTATTCTCGTTCTTGTTCTTTTGTTGAGGAGGACCCTTGTACACCTATCCACTCTTCCTCGTCATCAGACTGGCCAGCTGAGTACACGTTAGGGATGCGAAGGTCGTTCAAAATGCTCGAGGAATCGCACCGAAAATGGCGCCGTAAGCTTTTTCTACCTGTGCAGAATTCTCAGCTGCTTGTTCACGCAGCATTCGTCGTTGCTGAGAAACGTTTAAGACCGAGTTTTTGCAAAGACGTTGTGTAAGCACGTACCTCACGACGTGCCTCCAGACGCTCTTGCTTCTCTCTCTCCTTCGCCTTGCTCCTTGCCGCTTCCGCCTTTGCGAGTTTCCGCTTGTGAAAACCAGTCAAAAATTCTCTGGAAATGGAGATGAGCAGAATTCATGAGAAATTGCGGTGATGAGCACCTGCGTGCTTCATCGTCGAATAGGATTTCTTTTATCTGTTCGCGCTTGGCCTTTTTCTTTGCGGCGATGGCGTTGTGTGATTGAGTGAGGGTGTCAAGGTTGTTTCGCGGCATGAGCGCGGGACGGAGGACAATCGGGGATAAGCGTGATGTAAGTAATTCCAGGCTAATTCCAAAGTAATTCACTCTGTCCTCCTGTCTCTACTTCTCGCTCATATCTCTCCGATCCGACGGTTCCCTCTTTTGCCCACGTTCTTTACGATATTCCGCGATACCCTTTTATTTCTTCGCCCGCCATGTTCAACTATCTCGCCTATCCTTGGCAAAACCACCAGTTTCACCTCGTCCCCCAAAATCCTTATCCTGCCCCCCCTCCCCCACCTCCCATCCCTCATAAAGTGTGGATTTTGGACTGCAAATCATGCGATACATTTCTCACAAATCGCGGGATGAAGGTATAACAATCTACCGACATCACATCACCCATCATCTCACTTTTAGTTTCTAGGCCGTTTTACTTCTTCGTCCCAATGTATCGCTCTATTCCTCTGACGCCCTACCCGTCAACTGTTCTGCCCTCACAAACTCAAATTTTACGGCGGCGAAACCACCCTGTCGCCCAAATCCTTCCCCAGTTCCTGCCAGAACATGTGGATGTCTTACACAAACACTTCATTGCCATGGATGTGGAAACGCCGTTGGTTATATGATCGTCATACCAGTCAGTCGTTTTTTATTTGATTTGCATTGTCGCGATTTCATCATTTTTTTTCTAATAGTGTTCCCGCTGCACTTCCTCTATTACGGCAACGAACCGCGCGACTAATGGTCACCGCTTCGTCTTTCATGCAAGTGAAATTTCAGGCACCGAACGGCATTATATCCCAGATGAGCCAGGCGTGATTCCTTTTGATCCCCCCCTCATCGCGGTCCCCGCTTCCCCGATGGTCTCTACTTCTCAGCCTCTTGTCTACCCAACGCCGTACATGACATCTAGAGAGTCCTATTTTTCACGACATTTTCAAACCGCCCATCCCAGCGGGCCTTCTACCCCGTCAGTTCAGTCGGATTTCCTTCCAACGCCTCCTCTGGAGTTTGCGCACCCTGTAATCGCTTCTATGCACCAGGAACCGCATCCACATTCTGTCGGCTTAGATTATTCACACCGCCTGCCTCCGCAGCTCTATCTTCAGACTCGCCCGCCGCACAGATATCAGTCCCCCACTGGGCCCAACCCAATATTTTACCACCCCACGGCGTCCCGACCCACATCCCCTGATTCTTCTTCGTCCAGCGAGGGTAGCCCTTCTCTCACAAATCCGTCATTTCCTTACACGGATCAGAAGGAACGATCTTTACCGCGAACTCTGAAAGCCAATGACGTGCTTTTTTGGCATCATCTCGCTCGGAGTGGAGAGATACCCGCGGTTACGGAAGATGCGCGGGCGCGAGGACCCCCGCGTGAAGCTGCTGCCGACGCTAAGCCTGTCGGTCGAGTAATGTTTAACAGATGACCCACCTCCGAGGACTACAACTTGATCCACAAGGATTAAAATTCCGCCGAGACCACTGCTAAGTTATATTGTTATGCCACCCCTACGATTACCACCCTTGATGCCCTTCTTTTGTATATGAAAAATGCGCAGACTTCACAAGCTCGCCCCTTATCCCATTTCTATTGTACACTATTTCCCACTTAGAATATTTTTTAATGGCTAGGAATGTATGCACACCAAATGCACACAGCCAAAGTACTCGCAGTTTTTAAATGGGAGAGCTCTCTTCGAGGGAATTGTGTAGTAGCACATAGTACGTTGTAGACCATTGTAGAATGGAGTCAGGGGAACAAGAAAAGCACGGGCCCGCCTGATCGACCGAATCAAGCTTGACGCGGATGATGTAAGCACGGAGGGCTTGATAAAGAGCTGTGCTGCGCCAAACATCCCTCTTTCCACAACCACTACCATCTCCAACAACAACTGTGAGTGTCATCCCTTGCGCGATCCGTTCGCTTCATTAAACTCTTTCTTCTCGTTGTCAGCCGTAGCCACTATGTATGCTTGGTTCACTCTTTCTGCACACTGATGTTCCTAATGAGACCCGTTTAGCATGCAGATCTTCGTAAAGACCCTTACTGGCAAGACCATCACCCTCGAGGTGGAGTCCTCCGACACCATTGATAATGTCAAAGCCAAGATCCAAGACAAGGAAGGGTAAGCAGCATTTGGTTTTTGATGGCGGTCATTCGCTTATCGCCATGCAGGATCCCCCCTGATCAGCAACGTTTGATCTTCGCCGGCAAGCAGCTCGAGGACGGCCGCACCCTTTCGGACTATAATATCCAGAAGGAGTCTACTCTCCACCTTGTCCTTCGTCTACGTGGCGGTATGCAGATCTTTGTCAAGACCCTCACGGGTAAGACGATCACCCTCGAGGTCGAGTCTTCTGACACGATCGACAATGTGAAGGCCAAGATCCAGGACAAAGAAGGCATCCCTCCCGACCAGCAGCGTTTGATCTTCGCTGGCAAGCAGCTCGAGGACGGCCGCACCCTTTCTGATTACAATATCCAGAAGGAGTCCACCCTCCATCTCGTCCTCCGTCTCCGCGGTGGCATGCAGATTTTCGTCAAGACCCTCACCGGGAAGACAATCACCCTTGAAGTCGAATCTTCTGACACAATTGACAACGTGAAGGCCAAGATCCAAGACAAAGAGGGCATTCCACCCGACCAGCAGCGCTTGATCTTTGCTGGCAAGCAGCTTGAGGACGGACGCACCCTTTCTGATTATAACATTCAGAAGGAATCCACCCTCCATCTCGTTTTGCGTCTTCGCGGTGGTATGCAGATTTTCGTCAAGACTCTTACTGGGAAGACAATTACCCTTGAGGTTGAATCCTCTGACACAATCGACAACGTGAAGGCCAAGATCCAAGACAAGGAGGGCATTCCTCCCGACCAGCAGCGCTTGATCTTTGCTGGCAAGCAGCTTGAGGACGGACGCACCCTTTCTGATTACAACATCCAGAAGGAATCCACCCTCCACCTCGGTGCGTTTGATCAGGATATTAGCGAACTCACGCTCACTGTTCTCCACAGTTCTTCGTCTCCGTGGTGGTATGCAGATCTTCGTCAAGACTCTCACGGGTAAAACCATTACCCTCGAGGTGGAGTCGTCTGACACAATCGACAATGTCAAGGCGAAGATTCAGGACAAGGAGGGCATTCCACCTGACCAGCAGCGCCTCATCTTTGCTGGAAAGCAGCTTGAGGATGGGCGAACTCTTTCGGATTACAACATTCAGAAGGAGAGCACTCTGCACTTGGGTATGCTACACATTTGCTGTAAATGAATTCGAGACTGACGCTGGTTGTAGTGCTTCGTCTTCGTGGTGGATTGTAATTCTCTTGGGCATATTGTTGGTTAGGCATTGTTCGATCTGTATCATCTTACGCGTAGTCATGACGTCTGTACAATAAACGAGTATACAAGGATTTATTGTGGCAATTTCAGTTTGGTGTGGATCCAGTGCACACGGAAGAATATGCGCTCGCTTATGTAAACTGCACCATACTTTGGTGAGGCGGGTCTAAATAAAACGTCGTCCCAACACCCTCCAGCACGCCACCGCCATCCCCCAAGCAACGTTTGAACGAGCGTCGCTCCTCTCTTCACAGCTGCCTCGATGGCAGCTTCCTCTCATGTCTCTCCAGCGGCAGGCGCATTGATGTGGCGTCCTACAAAAATCATGAATATGCGCGACCTTTCCAAGGACGACGATTTCCTCAGCCACCTTCTCGTAGAAAAATTGGGCACAGGAACCGTTCCCCTCTTGGTTCACAAGATGGATTCGTCCAGGAGACTTCCAAAGACTGATGCTCAGGTGTTGATGCAAATTGTTCGACGCGTGTGTCCAGCCAGTTTATCACCTTTTTTTCGCGACTCATTTGCAATCTACGCGATTCCTACCTTTTGTTTGTATCTTGCAGCTCGTCATCACCAAAGGTCCGATTCACCAAGTCATTCGCCAGGCTGTCGACGAATTGCTCACGTATGTGGCGCCCTCACTTACCGCGCCTCGCGTGGGTCCCCGTCATACGTAGGCTTAGTGCTCCCCTCGTCACAGATTGCCCGCCATTCGCTACTATCTCAAGTCCTTCACTCAAAAACAGATCAATGCCTTCGCCACGTGAGGACTTACCACTCCAAATTCAATGTATATTGACGAACCTCTTCTGTTTCGTATCAGCCACGCCTCCCGCTACTTTGAGCTTTATCATCCATCGGGTTGCATTGAGATCGCTCATACCTCGCGGTACTCCCATCGCACTGGCAAGTCCGAACTTTGCATTCTCGCTACACGTTTCCTAGCCCCGGGCACTGTTATCACTGAACTCAAGGGCTCGATGGCCAACCTGACGGACGAGGAGGATAAAGAACTAAAGCGTACAGGCATAAAGCATTCAGACATCAGGAGGGACTTTAGTGTCATTCATTCAAAGTCTATGAAAAAGAACCACCTTTTTTTAGGACCTGCCCGATTTGTTAATGTGAGCACATTGTTCATGTTCTTCATATAGGTTTTTGTTTACCTTGACTACATGGCAGCACGATTGTGATAACAACTGTGAACTTTTTCGTGAAGGCCGGTACATTACCTTCAGAGTTCTCAGGCCGATCTCAATCGGCGAAGAAATAACCGCGCATTACGGTGACGGCTATTGTACGTGTTTCAGCACTTGTCTATTGACAATCGTTAATTTTGTGGCATCAGTCGGTCGGAGAAACCGACACTGTCTGTGTGAAACCTGCGAGAAGAATGGCAGAGGAGGATATGCTCCTGACCACACGGACGACGAGGCAGAACCAATCTCTGAGTCTAGCTCTGACTCCGACTCTGACTCTGATTCGGACACATCTACGAGCGATTCGGGCAGCGACATCGGAGAAGAGGAGGAGAGGCCACTTTTAAATCTCAATGAAAGGAGGACACGTCGCGGAGTATATGCGGTTTTCAGTCGCAAAGAAGATGACTCCGATGAGAGCGAGAACGAAGAGGATAATAAGGTACCACTGGCAAATGCGGAGGATATCCCTGCTGACGGAGAAATCGAGCTTACTGCTGAAGTCGATGCGGTATCTGAGTTAACCTCCCTTCCACCTTCAGCTCCCCCTTCTGATGCTCCCGACGCCATCCTTACAACTCCCTCATTTACACCTAACCCTAACCGCCTTTCCAGATCGTCCTCATCCCTCACCTCCTTGTCATCATCATCCACTGATCAACCTGGCAGTCCATCTAGTGCCAAATCCACCCCCTATAGGTCAATCATCTCAACCCGTCGTCAAAGTGCGAAGGAATGTGGAGCTGGGTCCATTTCTAGTGAAAAACAAACACCTTCGGATTCCGCGACCGTTCACGATAATTTAAGCACTCCCTCCAAGCATACTACCCGCTCTGTTTCTTCTGTGCTCCCTTCAGGAAAGCTGGACAAGGGCAAAGGCAAAGAGGTAGCTCCCGGAACCCCGACTTCAACACCTACCCCCAGTAAAAATCTGAAGGGCAATGCGTCTGTCAAAGATGACATAAAGATCAAGAAGGAAGAGCCAGAGAATCGGGTGTTGCGTTCGCGGCCCTCAGGACCTGGCGTCACCGAAGTTGTGAAAGGTCCTCCAGCGAAACGTGAGATGCCGAGAGGCCCTGATGGGAAATTATTGCCAGTTTGTTCGACTTGCTCCAACGTCCTTCCTGTCATACAAGTCGATTCCAAGATTGTTTGGGGGATGTCAATGGAAAATGGAAAGAAAAAAAAGCAGAAACAGGAATGTCCTAGGTATATCCGTAAATTTCGAAGTTTCTTTGTTTTTGCCTCATCACTTGTTGTAGGTGTCTTCGGCATTTTGCCATTTACAACCAGGCTTGGCCATCTCGCGTTCCTCCCGCGGGAACTATTCTTCTTCCCACTCCACGAGGCACGACTCCACTAGAAACGGTCACTAAGCGCGTGACACAGAAAGGACTGTCGGTTCTAGATCGCAAACTTGCTGCGGCAGCCTCAGCGTCGTCATCTTCTACACTCGGAAAATCGAAGAAGCGTGGCCGAGAAGGAAAAGATGAGGGGCCGCGCCCTACTAAGCAGCGCAAGACAGAGCGTGTGCAACCCCCTAATAAAGTAATAATTAAGGTGAAGAAAACGTCGGCCACAACTCCTACGAATGTCCCTCTACCCGCCGCTGACCAGGAGTCTCCTGTGAAACGCAAGCGCGGTCGTCCTCGCTTGACCTCGCCCAGATACCGACCTAAGCCGGGTAAGGTAGCAAAGCAACCAGTGGCGAATTCTGTCCAAATCAAAGTCGAGGAAAGGGCTACGGACCTCTCCAGTGAATCGCAGCCGAGGTTTACGAATGGGCGATTTGGAAAGAAAGACAAGTCTGGCGGGAGTGGTGAAGGGTCTGCTGCTGGTAGTAATGAACAGTCATCGGCCCGAGCAGAGCGCGCGAGCGAACGCGGCAAGGCGAAGGCAGGGCGGAAACAGGTGGGGCAGACACCCACCAAAGCCTCTGACTCGAAGAGCACATGGACTTCCCCGAGACGTAAGCGGCCCCATGACGATGTGGACGACTCTCCTAGGAAAAAGTCATCTCGCGAGACTCAGCATAGACCCGAGACACTAACCGGTGAGCCAGTGCAGAAAGTCCTGCCACGGCCAATATCGGGCTTCAGGGGTGGTAGATTGTTTTCTAATCCTAATCCCCTTCGCTTTGCTCTTCACGCGTGGGCTAGTCCTGTGGTGCTTGATGAATCATCCTCTTCGGAAGACGAGAAACCTCCTGTTACGCCAGAGGAAGATCTATCTCCTGCTGCAGAAATCGTTCTTCCCGGTGATGACTTGAATACCCCGTCGTTTTTTCCTCCTCCTGCGTTGCCTGCGCAACCTCCTTTGATATTCAAGCCCTCTCCTCTCAATTTTTCCGCACGCCGTTGGGTATCATTGTCCAAGTCAACTACTGCGAGTTTCAGCGACCCAAAGGGATCTTCCGAGGCAAGGAATGTAGAGGACGACGATACTTGGCAGGGTGTCTCGACCCGCATGAGAATGGAGAAGCATAAACGACTAAGGGTGGGGAGCAAAAGTGGGTATGTGTCCGACAAAGAGGTTAGCCTTTGGTTTCACCTACAATCTTGTGCGCTCGCTAACCAAAAAACATCTTGACAGGCTGACACCTCCGATAATGACTGTTTCAACCCTCCTTCGGATAGATATCCATCACCGCTCTCTGATGATGACGCGGGACGTTCTACACTGAAGCAATGCTATCCTGCGCTTCCGGTTCGGGAGTCAGCAATTGTCCACCGCGCAATCAATTTCAGTTGTCCACACCAGCCAGGAACTACTCCCAGTTTAATAAACGCGGGGTGGGACTCATCTGACCTGTCCGACGCATAAAAATATTTATGCTCTTGTGCCCTTCCGTTATTATTCAAAAAAAGACTCTTAACTCCTCATCTTGCAATGCTACTCATGACACTCAATATTTATCTTTATTCTTCCTCGCTGTTTCATTTCATGTGTAGATATCCTATCGATTAATTCCGCCACATAAAATCTTAATGTTGCCCTTTGTCTTGCATGGCTTCGAATCCACGACTGACTCCCACTTTCCTTTTCTACGGATGAATTCAACGATGAGATTCAACAGATGCTCTCTCAATTCCCTTGACCATCCGGTTTCAAGGAACTGCGGCCTGCCCTCAGTATCTCGTCTGTGGACAGCAAATTCACGGCGATGACAGAGCTGAAAGACACTGGAATCAGACATGAGTGGCTCCCCCATCGTGAAGCACTCACCAGGAATGGAGCATTTGTCGCTTTACTCTGTAGTTGTCCCATATTCCGAGCGCTGAGGGGTCGACAGGATCCCCACTTTCCAGGTCGATACCTACAACTCTGCCTTCTGCCTCCTCGTCCTGCAGATGCATTTAGGCCAAACTTGAATCACAAAATGAGGATGAAACCTTACCTGTAAAGCCACAACAGCATCTTGGACGTCAAAACCACCATTTTGAGCAAGTGTTTTTGGTATCACAAGAAGCGCATCTGCAAACGCCTGAACACCCATCTTGACCCTGCCCTTCGCGCTTTTCTTCACTGTCCCACTCAAATACGCCGAACATGAAACCTCAAAGGCTCCAGCTCCAGGAATCAGACACTCATCCTCAATGGCGTTTTTTACAGCGCGGAGACCGTCCCGGAGGGCATCTTGAATTTGTTGGATGGTATGAGCGTTGGGACCCTTGATCAAGAGGGTGACCGATTTAGGATCCTTGACTTCTTCGATGAAAGTATATTTCTCTTCGCCAAGAGCATGCTCGTAAACCAATCCCGCCCAACCAAGAATGGATGGTGTGAGATCATCCACGGAATTCTGTGCAATTCCCCCACAAACAAGTTGTAATCTGCACCATGGTAAGTCAACAACTAGGATAGGTTTCCTCAGAAACTTACCTCTCCATGTTTCTCCGCTTCGCCCTACGAAGGGCAAAGATGCCATTCTTGGCTAGAATATCAAGACTTAGAGGATCAATTCCTTTTTGATTGATGAGCACAAAGTTCTTCTTCTTCTCCTTGGAGTCCACAGCCTGGTCACATACAGCATTTTTGAGGTCGACGATTTTCTTGACTTTGGCGTCAACAAACTTTCGCTCCGATTCGACAAGTTTTTCACGTTGCTCAGCTGATGAATAGAAAAATCCAGAATTGACTTCGCTGTGAAACGTACTGAGCTACTGTGCATACTCATGTAATGGGTTTGGAACATACGTTTTCTCATACTCGAGGCTGACATTCAAGGTCAAGACAAACGCGTTTTCGACACGTTTGGGCATGTCGGGATGCCGCGCACCATGATCCAAGACGAGTCCCCGAATAAGCTGGGTTTCGGATGCCGTTCGATGCTGCATCTTCATGATCTCCACCATGTGAAGGTCAATCGGCTCTCGCCATTGGTCGCTCGCACCTAATTCGGATGAGGAAAACGCAGAAATAATCAAATAGAACACGGACCTTTTGAAGGGGCGGGGGGACGAATGGCAATAACTGAATCTACGACGTCTGCGGCCAATTGCCGGGCCAATGAGGTGCTCACTTTTGTTGCGAGTGACGTGTTTGCAATGTTGATGAGGGTGGGACGATCAAGCTTGACTGCAACTTTGAATTTATCCAAGAACTAGATAGAGTATTCAGTCAGAAAGACAAGTTTATGATAAGAATTTCGAATGAAACGCACTGCCAAAGCCTCCTTCTTTGCCAGGTCAAAACCCTCTCCGATCACAGTTGGATGTACACCTTCGGAAATGTATCGATCGGCCTGCTTCAACAGCTCTCCAACCAAGAGAACAACCGAAGTAGTTCCATCACCGACTTGGTCATCTTGAGCTACAGCCGTTCGAGCGATCATGGCTGCTGTGGGATTTTGGATCTGCATTTCGGATAGCAAGACTTTGCCGTCTTTCGTCATTTTAATTTGCCCAGCACCATCCACGAGCATTTTTAGTGTTCCTCTGGGCCCTAAATCGCGAATTAGTTCACAGAAACAAGTCCAGGTGCAAGTGGCGCGTCTAATCACCTAAGTTACCCTTGACCACTCCAGCAAGACCCATCGCTCCATTTGTATTGACCTACGACAATCAAAGATCGAGAAGCATGAAAGAAAAGACAAGTGCTGACCTGAAGCGCGGCTGCCCTTCTAATGCTCTCCGCCTTGGGGTTGATGAGCTCGATGCTGGACGACATGTTATAAGAATTCAGACGCGTTCAAAATATTTAGGTCGTGTTGGTTTTGAGGCGGCACTCTAAATTACGTACGTAACTACTGATAGTAAATAAATTCTCGATAAAATCCTGGTGTGCCAAGTTCGCAAACGGTCTGGATATGTTTGTCATCGCGGCAGGCCTGTACCCACAGTTGACATCTCAGATACTGTCAAGAAAGCGCGCAGCCAAGGCATCTACTAAACGGAAGCGACAAGCAAGAAGCTGCAGAAAGTGTGCCAATGGGACCGAATGTCGAGGGAGAAAGGAGGTATACCCGTTAATAGGGTCTTACTTGCGAAACCCCAAGAATCTGAGACTACCCCACGCTCACCAATACCATGCCGCCCAAGAGAAAGCGAAACGAGGAAGAGTCTGCAGCCAGAAAGCCTGACCTACGACGCAGCTCAGGCTCTTGTCCGCCGTCTTGTGACGCAGTTCGGCATCGACCCGACAGACTGCGTAGGTCCGTCCGACCTGCTTTCGCTTCTGAGATCTGGTTTTCTGACGATTCAATATAGATAATGATGTGGGAGCTGGCTTTTCTAAAGTCTCTTATGCGCAAGTCGCTCCTCTTGTCGGACTCAAACCATACTTAGGGCTGCAAGACATTTCGACCTTTGAAATCCACCGCTCTCGTATTCCAATCGAACTTTTCAAGACTATTGTAGCAGACATGGATGTCATGATGGTGCAATACGGTCCTCCTTATGTTCACAGGACGGAAGAGGCAAAATCGAGATTCTTCTCGCCGGTGGAGACGTTGTAACTCTCTCATGACTCGGAATCACACTGTGACCCGCAGGTTTTCAACCATCTTGTGAAGCAGTTTACCTTCATGTTCAGGAACAACCCAGAAGCTATCGTCGATGGTCGAATTGGTACGAGGGGTCGCATTGAATACCATTTCGAAGCATTTGGTGCGGTTGCAATTCTTTGCATCGAAATGAAGCTCGGAGTAGGAAATGAGGAGGAACGTTTAAAGGCGATTGCTCAGGTTATAGCAGAATGCAATGGTAAGCTTCATACGCTTGAAGGCAATTTCTGCTGCCAACCTCGACTGTAGGTTGTGACCTCAATAATGCCCAAGGCGCTTTTTCTCTCCCTATTCTCTGCATTCTGTCCGATGGATTAACCTTCGAATTCTTTAAATTCGAGAGAGACGGATCGGGTCCATCTTTTTTTCGTGGGTGTTTCCCTGGTGATCCAGAAGGCCTGCAGCGTGGCCTGAAATTACCCGACCCTCAGACAACGGACACTACCCTCCCTTTCGTCCTCCAACTTCGCGGCATATGCGAGACAATCTTCGACACGATGCTGAGCGCATATATTTCCGCCTTGTATGCATGTCGTGACCGATCCGCATTGGCGCGCAAGCAGAAGAGACCAAGTCTTGATGGATGGGATCAAGCACTGAAGTCCGCAGAAGATGCATTGGCGACATTCAGGAAAGCTGAGACTCAGCGCAAGGATGGCAATGTTGATTCCGCCGACATGAGTGTTTCAGAAGGACTTCGTCTACTCCATGAGAGGTATTATCTCCACTAATTTCCCCATTCCATCCGTCATTTACTCTGCCTCAGCACAGGAGCTGTGTCGACTGTCTATACGTCTAAGCTCTTCATGACTTTCTGGGATGAAGAGCAGGTTAAGAAAGCATGAGCTCTAGTCGTCTTCGTCTCTTCGATTGCAGAAATATGTTGTTGTTTTCCCTCCTTAGTCATTAATAGAACAGAACATCAATCGTCTTTAGTATGATGTAATAGTAATAGTAATAGCAGTGTCTGAGTGCCTCTACTACAAAGTCCGTTTAGACGGACTCCGAAGTTTGTAGGCGAGGGGGCGGCCATCGCCTGATGTGGTTAGCCACTAAATTGGTCGTAAATTCGCATTCCACCTCCTAACGCACATCCCTGCGTCATCTCTGTCAATGTTCGTGGCGATGCCGGAGTCCAAGCGTCGTGCACCGATATCTGTTGCTCTTTAGCTGAAGTCCTGGTTTCTCCCTCTCTTGTTTATTCTCCCCGATGGGTTCTTGTACTGGAATGCCATGTTCAGGTATGTATTGAATTGGAGGCACCACTGGCTTGGTCTTTCCGCCACTGCTCGTCGACCTCGCGTAACAAATGTAAGAGTCGTTTGATCGGTTTCGCATTGTAAGCAGGTCGCGTTTGATCATTGACCAGGTCGACCACACGTTGGTTCTCGTATCGACTTCCACCTTTTCCATACAAAGCAAGCAGATCGAGGGTTTCGGTACAATTTGAAGCATATTTCTTCTCTTCGTCTTCTATCCGAAGGGCCTGAAGGATATGAGACTGCGAAACCTGCGTCAGTCACTTCAGTGCAAGGGAATTGTAATAATTTACCTCTTCGATTTCATGGTGAACTGATTTGAAGGGCACGATTTCACCGACCCACTTGTCCATCATCCGCTGTACGAACTCGTACTGTTTCAGCACTTGTTGGCAATTCTGCGGCGCAGCCTTGGCTCTGAAAAACAAAGCCCAACCACTGTCCATTTGAAGGAGAGTGTCAGTGGCTTTAGAAACCAATTCATGCACCGTTTCCGGATCATCATCTTCGACGGGTGAGTCGTAGCATCGTTCAATTCGTTTACCCGGGGGTAATGCAGCAGAAACAGATGAGCGTCCCGTAGATGTGACCGTAGGTGACATGGAAACCTCCCGGGAAATGCCATATGTAGATGCGTGTTGCAAAGATTTACGTCCGTTATCGGGATGGCCATCGTAGTCGTCAAATGGTGATGGGCGTCGCTCCAGGGTGGAAGGTCCACGAGCTCTCTGTTCATTTCTTTCTCGAAATTGCTCTTTGACTGATAGTGGATTTCGGTGAAGGACTTCCATGTCTGCTGGTAATGGTGACGGTGCCCTGACTAGTTCCTTTGGAATTCTCGGAGGAAGAGGAGGGGCTCCAGGTGGCAAGAGCTGCGCAGCATCTTCAGTACACATGAACGAATCTTCCACAAGTTGCTGGTACTGACTGTCTCGATCACAACGTCCAGAGTTCGATCTGGATTTACAACAATGTTGGCTGAGATGAATTCGTCAATGTTATCAGCTGATACACGCAGAAAAAACTGTCGGTATTTTCCCCGTAAAGTGTACGCTTTTGCAGGGCCTTGAAGAAAGAATAGATCAGCTGTCTCGATCGGTCAAAAGAAAGACTTTGAAGCCAATTACCATCAATTCTGGCAGGGCCGGCTTGTAATTTCTCACTCTAAGCGGGAAAAAAAATCATTGAAGCATCTATCAAAAGCCATAAAAGCTACCCACGAGCTCTTTGGCATCGGCCCAATATCCATCTCGAGGATCTTCGGCCGGTCGAAGAGGTACTTTGACCTCGGCAAGTTGGTGATCTATCTCGCCACTCCTTATGTCTTGCATAAGAAGTGTAACCATGCGGAGAGGTTGTCGCGTAGGTTTTTTTCCTATTTCCGGACATTGAGGACAAATACAAATGCACAAACTTGAAAAAATTCACCAGGAGGGCTCGCAGGATCTGCCCTGTAGGGAGCGGGTGGGGGAGAAATGGGTGTGGGAGAAATGCTGCCCGCAGTGGATCTTTCTTGCTGATCTTCACGGGTATTTGTGCTGGGAGATCGAGTTTGCACAGATGCCCGCCTTGCCTCCGTAGCCGTAGGCGGGGACCTTGGCGTCCGTCCCTTCTGTACCTCGAGCGTATTTCCGCCTTCATAGTCGCGGCGGTAATACGAATTTGTGCCGAAGGATGTGGGTGAAGCAGATGAACTCGAAGGCCCGCTGAATGCCGCCAAATTTGCAGGAGGCATACCATGTCCAGTCATGATATCAATTGGTGGTGCTGGTGCTACGTTCGTCTGCAGCGCTTTGCCTTTCGAAGCGGAGATCTTGCTTCTTGAGGTCGAAGATTTGGCCCTAGTTGAACTTGATGACGCGTGCTCCTTTCTAGGACGTTGTGAGGAAGACGCTGTTATCGAAGCGACCGTTGACCTCGCGGCAGGAGGTTGGGATTCCTGTGGGGGGCCTTCTGAGGTATAGCGATACAACGATGAGTATGGCCCCTGGCCATGAGCCAACGGAGGGTCAAAATTTGGAGTAGGATCGTAAGCTTGCAGACGAAAACGACTTGTTTGACCTGAAAATTTGTCTCCCCTCTTCGCCCGTTTTGCAGCCCCTCCCGTTTTCTTTGTTTTTGAGGGCTTGGGATCCATCACCATACCAGGATTGGCAGGAACCTCTTGTCCAGGTAAAAAATAATTTTTCTTCGAAGCAACGGTTGGAAGCGATGCTTGGTACGTGCTAATACTAGGAGGAGCTTGTAGTGTCGCTGAGAAAGCCACAGCTTGACGGATAATGGGACGCTCCGGAGGTGGAGGCGTGTCATCGTCTGCCATGGGTGGCATTTCAGTATCCCCATCATCGGACGCGGGGGAGAAGGAGCGTTTCTGGGGCTAAAGATGTAATGTAAGGGAAATTAGTTAGATGATAACTCGAAGATATTAAACAAGGAGGGGTAGCTGCTTACGCGCCGTGGTGATGATTCCCTGCTGCTCCTGAACAAAAATAACGTGTTAAATTAGAAGTAGATTATCTTCCATCAAAGACTGACGAAGAATCGTTTTGCCTTCCTCTACCAATCTCTCCGTCGTAAGAGCTCGAACGCACCATGCCTTATGATGGGTATAAAATCGCGGGTTTATATGATAGGCTCTTCCCTTGCAAAGCCTACGTTTATAAATCTCTGGAGGTGGCTTGTATAGGGACGTGGAAGACCCACAAAGTACCCACAAAACGCCTCATGCAAGGTACTGGTAAGTAAGGTAGTAATTGTGGGCAAGATTGTGGGTGCTTTGTTGGTGCTTTGCTGTGCTGCTGCTTACGCGCTATCATGTCACGCGTTTAGCGCGGAGTTACCGCTCCGAGAACCGGTCATCAAGCAAGCAGTCACCGACTCAAGCCGACTCAGTGCTCACCGTAGCTCACGTTGCAATACATTTGGTTGGGTCCACAACCACCTACAATGGCATGTATATATTTGAAATCCATCCAATTCGGTATAGCACTGAGAATACAAGGTTTACTTTCTTTCTAGACGCTGGCTCCGTAGACCCTTTGTGCGTTGTCGCAAAATACAGCATCAATGAACTCTTTTTCCACAACAAGTTCTGTCAGAGATTCCCTTGCGATCTCGTACCAATCCCCTGCATTAGAAGGACCCCTCGAAGATGACGAAGGAGAAGATCCAAAAATGATACGCTGGTATCCGAACGCCTCCATTACAGGGGATACTAACGTTGTGGATAACAGTTTTAACATACGAAAACGAAGACAAGAGAATGACGTACGGTACATCTTGATCCTGCGTTTCCATTCTTTCAAGATCCTGACCTCGGCCTCTTCGACCGGACTGCCTGGGTAAGGCGTTTGCGGGGTTGGGGCATCCCAAGATGGCGGAAGAAATTTGATATAAACGTTTGGGAAGAGAGAGAGCGCAGCAATTTGCGACTGGAATGCAAGGTACTCAGGGTGGTTCATGAGTTTGACAATTGGCAAGTCAAGATCATGCGGGGGTGGAAGAATATTAGCTGACAGAGAGTTCAGCTGCAAGGTGTAATTGTGAATGGGTATGAACACATACAAAGGACAATCGGGGGTATCTTTGGCAACTCGGCAAGACTCTTGGTCAGGGTATCTTCAAAGCCTTCAAGAACAGCATCGGAAAGGATAGCTTGAATGTCGATATCGACGGGTCGATCGCGCTTGAGCGCCCATCGCAAGCCTTCGACGGCTGCGTCAGAGGCTCCTTTATAAGCAGTCGATAAAGAGGTTGGGAGGGATGTTAAGGTCAACACCGTCGCGAGGTTGGGCTCAGGGTTTTCCAGATCAAAGGGAACGATGACAGACGTAATCCGATCGCCATCTAATCTGGTGGACGAAACAATTTATTAGCTTAGCCACTCGTTTGGAAGTAAGGGCATCTTCTCACTCCTTTGAGACTTTCTCTAATTCCGCTGCAGTGAGCGACAAGACGATACCACGAGTGCGCGCAATCAGTGGCTGGCCAGCTTCTTTCCTCCACTGGGCTAGAGTAAGTTGAAGATCACCCTTGGAGACAACATTGGCATCGATAACAGCCTCAGGCTGAACGTCGCTCCCAGGAGGAGGTAGGAACGTCTCTGCCGTTCCCGAGTTGGGTGGGCTGAACGCAGAGAGGGGTAGCTTTGGAAGGGACTTTGGACCTCTGCGACGATGTGGTTGAGATGGTTCAGTCATGATGTGGGTAAGTTGTAGGGAGTATAATAGTAGCAGTCAGGAGTACAGAAATAAAGACAATGGCAACGGATGAAAGCTGATAATCAGTCGCGACGCCATCACAAATCCATCCTTATCCGGACACTAATTGGCGCTCCAACTAGCTAGCGACAAGCGAACGCCTACCGACGAAGACCACGCAGCGATGCGCTGTATCCGACGGTGGACTGGCCGTCGTCGTAATGGGGGTGATATACTGATTGTGTCCAGCGACGTGTTCTTTCGCTCTGTAGATCGCGTCAGTGCGCACAGTGAGAAAGAGAATTCGGACAATCAACTTACACTCTCGTCGCCCTCTGCCAGAAATTTATCAAAGGCTTCAAGAGCACTCCGTCGTTCTTCGTTCCGACCTTGTTCGCGGCCCTCGCGTAACCCTTCCTTCCTTCCAGTTTTCAACCCCTCCTCGGCTCCAACCCTTTTACCCTCCCTATATCCAGCAGTGTAACCCTCATCCCAACCTGCCGTTTGCCCATCATTAAAACTTTTCTTTATGGCCAATCTCTTCCCCTCTTCCCTACTCTCTTGCCGCGCCTCGAGATCTCGTAGCGCCGTCTGATACTTCCGAGACGACTCCCGAGCTCTGGCATCAGACTTTTCCATGTCTTCGTATTCTTGCCTCAGCATGTCCATATCGGACTGCAAGCGTCTGATATCTCGTCCAGCTGCTTCTAACTGCATTTGATATTTCCTTGACTCCTGCAGAAGCTGTACATTTTCATCCTCCAACTCTTGACGCGCTTTTTCGGCTGCAGTCGCTCTTCCTAAAGCCTCTTTCTCACGTCGTTCCGCAAACTGCACCCGCCCACATGCATCGTCTGCTCTTCGCACTTCTCGTTCAATTCTGTCCCGATCACTCGTCCCACGAAGTAACGATTTGAGCTGGTTAGCCTGTCTTTCCTCCTCCACGAGTTGGAGAGCAACAACGAGGGGCGAGGGGTGTGGAGACCGTGATGGCCGTCTGCCATGCTCTTTCTTGCTCGACGACTTTGAGCGCGAGCGCCTACTTGGTTCCCGGATAATCCGAATCAATGGGGTTCCAGGACAGGTTAAAGACTCGGTAACATTGACATCCCGAACCCTTGTAATAATATCGAAGCTGATGCAAGTCAAGGATCTGCGACAACTGAAGAACACAAGGAAAGGCACTTACTCTTCGACAGTCGCTTCCGGTACATCAGCGACCGACAGAGTAGGTGAAATTCTCGCAGGCATCAGTGGCAGTCACAATTTGGGAAATATAATATTGAAGACAACGTCTGTCTCTCTTTTGAATGCTTTCCGCCAGGCCGATTTGGATTTACTAGTGCAACGACACGATGCAGACATGTGTTGGGGTTGTAAGCCCTAGTCTACTGCAGACACGATCACCGTATCAAGCCACGACCGATAAGCATGTATACCACGTGACATGTTCGGCGATTTTATTCAGAACGTAATTTCGCGCGCCCGGTTGGAGGTCACACATCTATCGATATCTATCCCCTGTCGTGAATCGCGTAATCTCTTTCTTCATTTTTTTCTTCGATGCGTCCTTCGATCTTGGTGAATTTACGGAGCACTTTCAGGGTCCAACAATCATTCTGACAAGCAAAGCTACTGGACGCGAGCGAGATAAATACCTGCGCCATGTCTTCCTCAATTCGCCTCTCAAAATTTCTGGAGTTGTCTGCGCTGCACTTCGTAGCCAATGAATCTCAAACTCCTCTTGCTCGGTTTGGCCTCCTTTGGCATCGTCTTTTCAGCACCTGCTCAAACAATCTTGAGCCCAGGCGGGGTGATACCCGTATCGATAGCTCCGTTCTCCGCTTTCACTCAATTCTCCCGCGCAGCCTACTGCCGTCATTTGGAAAGCTGGAATTGTGGCGGTGTGTCTCAGCAAGTTTCTACCTCCACCAGTACCCTAACATTGTGCAGCCGCTTGTGATGCCCTTCCAGGTTTCATTCCTTCCATCGTTGGAGGGAATGGAAGAAATTTCCCAGCCTGTTAAGTTGTTTTTCCCGACAAACCAAGTGGATATCTAAACCCCCGAATTTCCTGTAGACTTCGTTGGATACTGGCCCGGTAACGATACCATTATTGTGGCGCACCAAGGAACTGACCCTACATCCCTGTCGGTATTTCATCTATAAGACTATTGACATCTGAATGACGCCTGACAGCCTCTCTCTTCTCGTTGATGGGAATGTAAGAAAAAGTAGCCTCGACCCAACTCTATTCCCTGGCGTTCCATTGAGCGTTCTCGTTCACTCGGGTTTCGCTAGGGCGCATGCGAGAAGTGCAAGTTCTGTCTTGTCGGAAGTCAAAAAGCTCATGAATGTAACGCGCACAAGGAGTGTCACCACAGTAGGTCTGCAAAAATCGATGTGGACAAATCAATCTAATCTCTTTTCGAGGTTGGCCATTCACTTGGGGGAGCATTGGCTGCACTCGATGCGCTGTTCCTGGCCTTGAATTTACCTTCCGGAAGTGAAGTGAGAGGCGTTACGTACGGAACGCCGCGCGTTGGCAATGCCGCTTTTGCCGAGCTTTTGGACTTCAACGTTAGAATCTTTATTTAATCGTTTTCGATGCGCCCTCACCCAACCTCGAAAGGTACCTGACTTTTTCCGAATCAATCACAGAAAAGGTAACATATATATGTCACCCGAACCTGCCAACCTTTTTATTTGCAGACCCGATCCCCATCGTCCCTGCTCAGTACTTAGGTTTTCGGCACCCTTCGGGCGAAATCCATATCGATAGAAAGAAAAATGCCGTTTTCTGCCCAGGTGTGCTCCCTTTGGATTGTTCATGGGAGCTTGTCGCTTATATGCACTATTCCTTTCAAAAGGTGCCGATAATACCGTTGACTCTGAATGCTCGAACCAGGTGGTGAAAAAAGTCGCCCTGGGACAGATCTTGCATCATGTGCGTCCAAAAACCTTGAACTCTGCAGCTGACGTCAACATTTCTACTGGTAGCTTGGGCCATATGATGGGATCCATATTGGAACACAAGCTTGCCACCACCACCATTAGAAGACAGAGGGAGACCGGACTTTCTTGGACAATGTAGAAATATTCATTGATCCCACAAAACGCCCTCCTGCCTGCTGTTTTTTTATCCTCCATCTTGCTCAACTTTTTTTTTCACAATCACGCCACTTCTGCACCTGACTTGCTTCTGACACACACATTGAAATTCTCACGTAGATGGTTCAGGGATGGCTTTATCGTGCGCTGCTTGGCTTGACGTCTATGCCTGCCGATGTCTTTAATAGGCGAATGGTTTGCAACTGCACTGCCTAAACAATGCATTCGACTCGATATACACGTGGCCACGAACACCTTTGGTACTTGAAACCAGCTGCAGCTCTTATCGTAAGGTTTTTTCTCTCTCGGACAGGATAAAGCATCTTTTCGCCTTGATCGTGTCCAAATGCAGGCGTTTGAATACAGGTCCAGTTACATTGACATCGAGTGCTCTTAATGACATCGAATCTGATCCAAGTGAGAGATCTGCGATAATTGAGGAAGACAAGGGAAAGCACCTTGCTCATCGGGATTCTGGTCCTTCGATTGAAGAACCCTTCTAGAATTCTGGGTACATTCATACAAGCGAATCTACAGGACGCGAGTGGGATAAATATCTGCACCGTATATTTTCCTACCGGATCCTTCCCTTGCTGAAGTCGTCCTCGTTGCCAATGAATTTCAAAGTCGTACTTTTTGCTTTGGCCTCCTTCGGCATCGTCTCTATAGCATCATTTCCCTCGACCTCGACCTCAAGCGCGGTGATCCCCATATCAATAAGCCAGTTCTCCCCCTTCACTCAATTCGCTCGCGCCGCCTATTGCCCTGGATTGCAACGCTGGAACTGTGGCCGTGTGTCCCAGTACATTTCTATCTTCAGCATTGCCCTGACCACATGCAGCCGCATGTGATGCCCTACCAGGTTTCATTCCCACCGTCGTCGGAGGAAATGGGAAAGATGTACCAGTTTGTAAGGCGTGCTCCCCCCAAAGCAAGTGGATATGTTAACCTGCAAACGCCCTGTAGTCTTCGTTGGATACTGGCCTGCTCAAGATAGTATCATTGTGGCACACGAAGGAACAAACCCTTTTCAATTGTTCGTACCTCACTTATATGCGCTGATTATTGAAATTTGAATATCGCCTCAGTCTCTCTCTCCTCGTGGACGCGGAATTCTCACATGAACCCCTTGACCCCACTCTATTTCCTGACGTTCCATCCAGCGTTCTCGTCCATGCAGGTTTTGGTAACGCACATAAAGCAACCGCAATTTCTATCCTAGCAGAAGTCAAAAGGCTTATAGCACAAACATCTTCAAAGAATGTCGTAACTGTAAAATCATTGAATCGATGTGGATGGACCGATTTTACCTCATTTCCAGATTGGACACTCGCTCGGGGGAGCGTTGGCCGAACTCGACGCGTTATTTTTAACGCTGAATCTACCATCCACAATCAAAGTCAAAGGCGTTACGTACGGAACCCCGCGCGTTGGCAATGCCCCTTTTGCGCAGCTTTTAGATTTCAAGGTCGATCTCTGTAAATAATTGTTTTTCGCTGCACCCTGACTCGAACTCGACGTTGTCAGGTGCCCGACTTTACACGAATCAATAACAAAAACGGTAGCGTTTATACATGGAAATGCATATTTTCGCCGAAACCGGCTGACCTTTTCATCATTTGCAGATCCAATCCCCATCGTACCACCTCCATTCCTAAATTATCATCACCCGAGTGGCGAAATTCACATTGACGCACACAATAATGCTGTCTCTTGCCCAGGTCCGTATCGTTTATAGGTTATGTGTGCTTGTCGTTTACGTGCACCATTTCTACGAATAGGCGCCGATAATACCGCTGACTCTGAATGCTCAAATCAGGTGGTGAGAAATGTCGCACAGGGAAATATACTCGATCATGTGTGTTTAAAAATCTCAAATTTACCACTTGCAGCCAACATTAACATTTTTTTGACGGTCAGCTTGGGCCATACGCTGGGATATATGTTGGAATTCAATCCTGCATCCTTTAGAAAAATATTAGTCTCGGACTTTTTTGGGCGATGTAAAAAGATTAATTGAATCTCATGAACGTGCTCTCGGCAACAACGTCCTCTTGGCAAGTTACAACTACGTCTATCTTCCATCTTACTCAAGCATATGATTTTTTATCTGATCTCAATCAAATCACTCTCGCTTCCGCCCCGCTTCTAACAGTTTCTAACGCACAGATGGAGACAGATGGCTACAGCTGGCTACAGATGGAGGCATCCCCGCATAGACCTTTGATGAAGATGGTTACCACGCCCCTGTTACCCCATACCCCGCACCCCGCACCCTACTTGGCTTCTGGTCGCTGTTGATATCTAAAAATAGGCAAGTCGTACACTTGCTACTGGATCCACGTGGCTCACAAACTGCCTTTGGTAAAACCGGAGTGCAGGATTCCTCCACGCAGAGTTTCATCGCTTTCATTTGATGTACACTAACAAACATTACTATCGACTCAATCATCCCAAGCACAGGTGGGTAGTTTACGACAGCCCTTCTGTGCCGTCTTACAATAGCTTACAATCCTCATGGTCGAAAGGTTCCTGGCTGTGCTGATGCGAAGCATGTGGATTTTTAGCCGTTTGGACAATGAACGACACAAGAATCTCGGGTGATTACTCGTGTGACCTGGTCCACGCAATCACAACGATCTGCGCAACGCCTCAAGACTACTCTCCCGTTATTTTCAGAGCGATAAGGTCGTCTCTATTATTAACCGCTATAATGAGGCCGCGGTACCATGCTGAAGCAAATTTTACGGCGACCTGATGACCTTTTTTTCAACGAGACTGAGATCGCTTGCCAGAGCTATAAACCACGCAAATTATGCAAGGGACGGTTATCACTCGTCGGTCCACTTGTACCCTTCAAATCTTTCCCAACTATCGCTGCCGACATGTTGCCATTTCTCTTTCTCCTTCCTTTCATTTCTCTCCTCAAAATTTCCGCAGCCGCACCAGCGCGCGCCCACCTTGAGGATCGGAGTGTCAGCGCCCTTTCCGCCGCTGACCTTGCCAGCCTCGCGCCATACACTCAGTTTGCCCGTGCCGCGTATTGCCCGACTAGCAAACTCAATGGGTGGAATTGTGGAAGTAAGTCATTCTTATTTTCTTTCTCTATGCCGACCAAAAGGTTGACATATTTAACAGCGATTTGTAAGGCCCTACCCGGTTTTCAGCCAACCCTCATTGGAGGGGATGGGAATGCCGTTCAAATTTGTCAGTGTCAATCTTATTTCGTTCTTCTCTAAAAGACCAACTCCATTTCCAGACTTCGTTGGGTTTTGGCCAGCTCAGAACACGATCGTCGTCGCTCATGAAGGCACAGATCCTACGAAATTGTACGTGGAGTCGGCCCACAGCATGATATGACCCTGACTCAACATTTAAATACTAGCATGTCCGTCCTCACTGATGTCAACATTCTCCTGTCCCCGCTTGATAATAAACTTTTCCCTGGAATTTCTTCGAGTGTTCAAGTCCACGCTGGATTCAGGGACGAGCATGCTTTAACTGCTGCGAAGATACTAGCCGAGGTCAAAAATCTGATGGCTTCCAAGAATACGCAAAGTATAACGCTTGTCAGTGTCCGAGTAGCCTTCTATTTATTGCTCGGACTGATCAGTTTTGTCGCTAGGTTGGACATTCTCTTGGCGGCGTGTTATCTACGCTCGACGGGATATACTTGAAGATGAATTTACCTGCGAGCACATCATTCAAGGTTGTCACTTATGGCTTGCCTCGTATCGGGAATCCAGCATTTGCCCAGCTTGTCAACTCCATGGTAAAATATTGTCCTTCGTGCCCAAGCATATAGATCAATCTCATCGTGTCCTAGCTTCCTGACCTTAGGCGTATAAACAGCCAAATGGGTATGTTGTTTCAGCTGTCGCATCTACCTCTGCCATCCTCACTTCGAATGCTCTTGCATAGACATTGTACCCATCGTTCCGGGAAGGTTCCTGGGCTATTCTCATCCTCATGGGGAAATCCATCTTATTTCTCCTGGGAATGCTGTTGCATGTTCTGGTAAGTGTCAGAGATGAAGTTATAACCAAATAATAGGCTCATTATTTTCCTAACTCTCAAAGGGGACGATGACGCCACCGACTCCCAGTGTCAAATCCAGTCTGTACCCAATGTGCTAGCCGGGAACATCTTAAATCATGTAAGTCTTCACCACGATATTGTCGTAGCGAGGAACGAACTCATAGCTTTTGAAAGTTGGGACCTTATGAGGGGCTTTACATTGGCACGATCTTCTGCGTCTGACGGATTAACTCAAGCACTGTAAATCAATACCTTTCTTGCGGCACAACTTTCTTTCTGTACCATCACTGTAGGATATGCAGTTGTAGGCAAGTTGTAGCACAATTGTACGCTATTGTACGATATGACGATTGCAGATCTCACAGATCTGTGATCGTGATCTGTAACGAGACTTGATCTGTTTTTTGCCGGACAGGATAACTTGCAAAGAACTGTCGCCGTACAAATCTGTTGGGAGGCTTGCGATTCCAAATTCAAGCCCCCCCTTTACATCAGACTCAGCCGTGAGACCAACAAGACACTCACAATTGCTCGTGGGCCTTAGATAACATATGTCCCTTGTCGCACTAAGTAATCAACTTGCCCTCTGGAATCAGAGGTTGTCCCAAGAAATAGTAGCGAGTTCTGGATGAGCTAACTAGAAGAAAGGTTGTCTGCCTCGACATGGAAGCCTCGCTGGTCGGCGAGGTCATGTTCATCCATCACCATCCATTATTCGCCTTGCTTCTAATTCCTCATCATCAACTGCACTCCCTGGCTCGGGTTCCACCTGAAATGCGGCCCAAATACTATCTCCTTCAGGCCCATCGACAACGAGCTCCAGTATATCTCTGGACATTTCTAGATGTTCCCCGGATGGTTTGATATTGATTGTTTAACTGGAGCATAATGACGTACCAGATAAAGTCTCCAGTTCATATCGCCCTTGACTATCAGCCCATTCGGGTGGGTCTGCATAGCTCAACCTCCCGAGGGTCACGATAAACATGTGGATAATATTACTAAAAACCCTGTTTGTTGCACGCTGGAGTTGATAGCGCAAATTAAGCGCGGGGTCTGTGCTGAACACGAGATGATGGATAAGAAAAAGCGTCTGGTTTGTTGTGCGAATGATGCTTGGAAAGAGGAATAGCGTTATTTCGTTACGACATCGTATATTAAGATAACTCACGACGCCGTTGCTTCCTGTGATGACATCAAGTGCTTGGCGTCTTCCCATAGAGGGGTGGTCAGTTCGGTCAGACACAACACAAGCGATGGCATAAGTGAATACGATTCCACGAGTATGGTGTGGGCGTCTAAATGCGAAATGGATAATTGTGCAAAGAATTGTAGAATTGATTTTTTTAGATCTCTTGACTAGAAAGCCGCGTTATGAGGAGATCGACAGGAAGAAAGTTGACATACGTCTGGGTCTTGTCGATCGAAATCGATCAAGTGTAAGCATAATCGCTCGACGTAGATACTTTTTTGCTCTTCGTCTTCCGTCCGTTCATCTAGTCTTCCAGAGCCAGGGTTGGACAGTAGCGATCGGAAAAGCACATGGTCTGTTGTATTGGTAAACGAAGAGGAACATCTCGAAAATGAGCACAATTTACGAGTAGAAAGAAGGGCTAAAAGTTTGCAAGCCTTGGCCAAGAGCCACGAAGGTTGTTTGGGATCAAGAATAGTCGTCATAGCCTCTTGGTGGCTAGGTATGGCCGCGAGACTATTACATGGCCCAGGATTCGTCAATTCGATGTGAGATATAGAAACTACTCACCTCGGAACAAGATCATCAGGGGTGTTGTGGCACAACGACTGCAGGAGGAGCAAAACCTCGTCAGCGAGGTCGTCTTTATGTATGTGGGTCGCCGATGGAGCTAGCTTCTTAACGATCAAAGTGCACAGGAAGTTAATAAAAGAGGAACGATCTTCCGGCTTTTCTTGATGTGAAAAGAAGGATACTGTGAATCCTGGCAAGGAATAGACGAGAACAGAAAGAAGGTTCAGCAAGCTTGCAAGTGGCAAAAGCTTGGAAGGACATTAGAACGGCGCATCGTGGGTGACGAAAAGTGGCACTCACCTGATCGGCAGTGCTTAGAATGGTGGCAATCATGAACAAAGATTGACATATGGCGTCCAATGAGAGGTTGTAATTACTGTCCGTGGATGTGTTTGCAACAGTTTGAAGAACCTTCGAGCAAGCGATAGCGTAATCTTCAGCTAGCCTGTCGGTCTCGACGACAGCGAGGGAAACACCAAGAAGCACTTGAAAAGTGATTTCCCCGAGTTTGGGACGAGCGTGCGTCAAAATTATCTGGCACAGCTACAGTGGGCGAATTTAGATTTTTTCAAATTTGATACGCGGAAAACCTGGACCTCAGCTTTCCAGTTTGTCGGACCAAGGAAGTTTAATTCTTCCAACGTCACTTCTCCCTCGCTATCTTCCGCCATAACGGCATCACCATCGTCATCCAAAACTCGGAGTGAAGTCGGAACTGTGTGGCCGGCAGGGGGTTGCACCACAGTATCAGTGTCTAGCATACGGTCAAAGTCATTTTGTTGGCGGAGAGGTGGTGGACTGCTGAAGCGTTGTGCATTACGCTGTGAGCGGCTTGGGGACCGTAAGTCATGAAAAAACGAATCATCATCTTCTGCCTTCGCCTTTCCCTTATTGGCACGAGACTTCGTTGGACGTAGAGGTGTGGATGCGGCAAAAGAATTCTGAAATCCGGGCAGCATTCCAGGTTTTTTCATTTTCGAAGGGGATAAGCGAGACCGACTCGGAGATTCCCTCAATGAAGGTAGGCGTTGCGGCTTCAAAGGTGTTTCTTGAGAAAAGCTTTTGGAGGGGCCCTGTTCATAATCGTTAGAATTCCAATTGCGCATCTGGACTGGTATAACTAAAGGAGTAGAGGGCGGTTCTCGAAGAATTTTCTTAGAACGGGAGGACATAGGAGGTTTACGAAGGGACGCTTCTAATTCGTGTTGCTGGTGAGGAGGTGAGAATTTCTCTGGTGCTGAGAGAGGTGCTCACTTTGAAGATGTACTGGGTTTTCAAGCTCTCCATCTCCTCCTTCAACTCTTTTTGCAATTGAACCCTCTTTGCATCAGCCTCATCTTTGGCCATTTTGAGCTTAGTTATCTGAGCTGAGTGATTTTGGGAGGTCTGAGCGGCCGAGAAGGTTAATCCATTGTGTAGCTGATACCAACCCAGCGTCTCACCTTTTCAATGGACTTCCTGAGGATGCTCACTTCGCCCTCCTTGGCTATCCTCGCATCTAACGCTTCCTTCAAAGCAGTTTGTATTCTGGTGTTTTCTTCGCGCAGCTGGAAATGATATTGTTTCGGTATCCAAAGACATTGAGATGCTGATGCTTGAATCCGACCTCGTCCAATTTTTTCTGATACTCTAACATTTGACCCTCGAGTGGGTGCGCAGCAGGTGCGAGTGACATAATGCCTGAGGGACTACTGGTCGTCCGTTTCGCTGACGACGCGATAGCTGATATGGGCTTTGTATGTTGATGGGATGAGAGTTGCCTTTGATTTTGTGAGAGGTGAACAGAAGGAAACCGCAAAGGCGGTACTTCTGCAGGTTGGTAAACCGCAGAGTTCGCTTCGTGGAGGTGGGCTGGAGCTAAGGGCGAGCCAACGGTAGAACGTTTCGCACCAGTGGGTTTGACGCCATACGTGCCATCTCCATGTAACGAAATCTCTGGTAAGTCGTCGAGATTGTCATGGGAAATCGTGCGTGCACCAATGCCTGGCTTCCAGCCGGTACTTGTCTTGAGCTTCTTAGTCACTGGAACAAGGCTACTAGATTGAGTAAGATACTTTTGTTCCTCCTGGTCCAAAATTGCAAGGGTTTGTTCATCGAAGATAAAGTCGTCTGGATAGTCGTCAGAGTCGTCCATATTTCCAAGTCAGAATGTTGCCAAGATCACCAAGGTTAAAGGATAAGTTGATTACATAAGATTCTTGATTGCATCTCGGTCCCTTCAACAGAGTGACTGGTACTCCACCCGCCATCGACGAGCCACATACAAGAGCGCCGACTTTCAATGGAATCGGCACAAAATGGAATTCAATCAAGGTTAGACGACGAGAGGGCTCGCCACGTCAGGCGGATCAAGCTGAAGGAGCTCAACGCCACTCATCGTCTACAAGGTATGCAACTTGCATACCGCGCTGGGACATATTCATAATATCAGGTTTTCCAATTAGAGTCGGAAAAATTAGACTCATCGTTAAAGCGCCATACCGCTCTTATCAAACGAATTCGTCAGTCAATGGCGGCAGACAACAAGGAGCAAATCTTGAAAGATATTGATTCTCTGTCGTTGGAGAAATATATCGACGAAATAGCTGGGGCTGTGGTCGAAGGTCTCTCGCGATGTAAGACCGAGAAAGACGTTTGGGGGGCAGTTGAGGTACATACTAAAATGCCCAATGCCCGAGGAGAGTGTCGATGACTGTTCTAGATCATCTCCCCTCTGCATCGCCGCTTTCCGAAGACGTTTACTCCCGAGTTTGTATCTGCGTTGTCCGTGGCCATCAGTCCACCCTCACGGGCGTCTCTGACCAGTATAGCACCAGAGCAGAGGGAGAAGGAAGACAACGCTAGGATTATACGTCAGCGTCCTATCCTTCGAGTTTGTTCAGAACTTGCTTTGGTTGGCATAATTAAGGACAGCTCAGAAAGGAGTGGCGCCGAGTGGGTCATGAAGGCGGTGAAAGATCTGGTATGTTTTGCTTGAGTGTGTGTCGCGGAGACTAACTCGGTATAAAGCTATCCAACGATCCCACCCTGTCATCTCTACCATTACTCACAACTTTTTTGAAGTCATATTCCCGGCCTTATCTCGGGGTGGTTGCACCTGCCACGCACAAACAAATTCCAAACAATTCCAACTCGCCAACAGACGACGAGGATGCGGGAGGCCAATTTCCGCCTATCTTTAAAGAAGAGGATGAGTTGGTCGAGCGTGATATACGTGACCGTTTCAAGCGTATGTGTGAAGGGTATTTTGATAACGTCTGCAAGAAATTGGTAATTGAGCATAAAGTAAGTTGTTTTATCGTCCGAATCCTCGATGCTCAATTGGAAAACTTAGCGGCTTCAAGAACAAGATAAACGAAATCATGAAGCCTATATTCGTTCCGGTGAAATCTTCGAAGATCGTCAGCAAGCCTACGAAAAAATGACGAAAGGCTACGAAAAGCTCTTGGCCAGTTGCCAGTCTTTGTCCGAACTGCTTTACCTTCCCCTTCCCTCGCTTCCCACGATGTCACAAAAATCGGATTCTATTCAGATCGGCGCGAATTCGAGTTCACTCCTGGGGGATACTGACGAAGTGATCATAACTGGCGGAAAGTGGGAAGACGAGGAGGAACGTCGATTTTTTGAAGATGTTCAGGACTTGAAAGACTTTGTTCCAAGCAGCGTTTTAGGGATCGATGATTCAAGCGACAGCGAAGAGGAGATTAGCAAGGAGAAGGAGAAAGAGAGGGTGGACCGGGAAAAGGACGAGGTAAGGAAGTTGGAAGAGGAATTAGAGAAACTCGCGGATGGTGGAAACGGGCCAAATATCAATGGCGGCAATGAAATCGCTGAATCCAAATTGGATGAAGGGGAAGAGTAAGGGTTACGCTCATCTGCTCACCGCACTCTCATCCTCCTCCTTGCATATAGCGCTACAACTCCGACAGCTGGAACGCCAAGAGCGACAACACCGCCACTTTCACCTCAACTCGCTCCTCAAGGCCCCTCTCAGTTATTGACAGCCCTTCTTGTTCGGCTTCCAGATGCTACCAACCGTGCTCTGATTGATCAAGCTGCGATTGATTTTGCTTTTCTGAACTCTAAGGCCGCGCGAAGGCGCCTTGTAAAGGTGCGTTGACCCACTTCCGCAAGGACCCGTTATCCAATTTAAATGCAGTTCATGTCGCAAGTGCCGAAGAATCGAACTGATCTTTTACCGCATTATTCACGACTTATTGCGACGCTAAATAAGTACATGCCGGATATTGGCACCGAGGTTGTAGCGACGGTCAGCGTTTCCTTTAGCGTCACCCGACTGTACCTCACGGTGTCCGGCAGCTCGACGAAGAATTCCGCTATCTTCAAAGGAAGAAAAATGTTCTGAAGGAGCTGGCAGAAGTCAGACTCAAAGTAAGTCTCATTCGCAGAACCCGTTGCTCTTTCTTCAACCCCAGACTAGAACATCATCTTTCTTTCAAACTTGACCAAATTCCGAATTGTACCCCCTCACGTTATTCTTCACATGTTCAAAGTCTGCTTGGATGATTTTTCGGGAACCAACGTGGAGAATATTGCTTTGCTATTAGAAGGATGTGGTAGATTTTTGCTTAGGAGTGAAGATACTAGCGAGAGATTCGGAACTATGGTACAGCATCCCCCCCTTCATACCGGATGAAACTGATCTCGAGGACAGTTGGAACTGATGAGGCGAAAACAAAGTATGCAGCATTTTGACCAACGTCAGTTGTTGTTGTTGGAGAACGCCTATTACCAGGTGAATAATCATGGTTAGTCTATAAAAACAGACAAATGACCTTTTCCAGTGTAATCCTCCTGAGCGGGCTCCAAGGCAGGAGAAGCTCCGAACCCCCATGGAACTTTTTATCCGCCATCTGATTTACGATGTTTTGGCCAAGAGGACCATTGACAAAGTTCTCAAATTAGTGCGTAAACTGGATTGGGAGAACGATGAGGTGCGGCGAATCCTCCACAAAGTGTTCACGAAGTCTTGGAAAATCAAATACGGTAACATCAGTCTGTTGGCTATGTTGACATACGATCTGCAAAGGTACCGACCAACCTTCGCCATTGCCGTGGTCGATCAAGTACTCGAAGACGTGCGAAGGGGTTTGGAACAAAATATCTACAGCACAAATCAGAGAAGAGTAGCAACCGTGAAATATCTCGGAGAGCTATATATCTATCGCCTCCTTAGCTCGGGAATCATTTTCGATACTCTCTGGTCTATTGTAACATTCGGCCATCGTGCGTATTTTCCATCAACTTGAAATTCATCTCTAATGGTGTACGCAGCTGACGGAAGACCACTCCCACATCAAGTAGTCCCTCTCGACATGCCCGACGATTTCTTCCGCGTTCGACTTGTCTGCGTCCTCCTGGATACCTGTGGGATGTGTTTTGACCGAGGAACGCAGAAGAAGAAATTGGACAATTTTTTGACTTTCTTCCAGGTAAGGCAGCTCCTCCTTGTCAGAAATTTATTTTGAGAAACTTTCCAGTATTATGTCCTATGCAAAGAGTCGTTGCCCATGGATGTGGACTTTATGCTCACAGACTCACTTGAGGCTGTCAGGCCCAAGTTAGAAATGGCAACAACTCTTGAGCAAGCGGCCATAGCAGTCGACGATATGTTTAATTCCACTTTTCAAACAACCGGTAAGGCATAACTTATCCAGGGAATGCTCTCATTGATAGCTAACTGAACGACTTAGGCAGTGGTGATGACAGCGGTGATGACAGTGGTGAAGAGGGTGAACGACGGGACGAAGAGCAGCAAGCCGAGGAGGAGGAGGAAGATCTTGGTGAACAAGACTCACCGGTTTGTCAATTCGCCGAGATTGAGACAACTTTGAGTAACACACTAAAACGCAGATGGACGAACGTGCCCCGTCGCCAGATCAGGAAATTGTCCTTTCGGCCAGCAATAGTTCGCAGGACAACCTTGGCCCCTCTGAAGAAGCTGACGCTGAATTTGCGAAAGAGCTCGCAAAATTAGTCACTGATAATTCAGCTGAATCACGAAAAGTGGACAAGAAGACTGCTTTGGCGCTTTGGGATTCGGCTGTCCTTCCTCCAGCTGCAAGAAAGAAGCGAACGGACGATGTTGACGACGATACGGCCGGTGATTCGGCTAACGGGCATAACATGACCAACTTCACAGTTATTACGAAACGTGGCAATAAGCAGCTGGTTTGTGGTCAGTTCTCAGTCAGTTCTTGGTCTTCACGTTATTTTTGGTAGATGCGTCAACTTGCTGTCCCGTCCGAATCGGCATTGGCTGTACACACTCGATCTGCACAATTACAAGACAAGGTCGAGCAACAACATTTGAAGCGACTCGTCCTCGATTATGAACAACGAGAAGAAGCTGAAGAGCTGAGAGGTCGGTTCTTCTCATAGTCGCAGAGCAGGATGCTTCATCTTTATCTTTATCATAGCGCTCGAAGCTCGCAATCGCGCTGGAGCCATCAAGATTCGATATGTTGGATAACACGCTCGCAGCCAACCTTGCATCACGTCCTTGTTGACCGTCTCCACTTGCATGAATGTGGTCAGCTGCCCCTCAGTGTGTCCACCTGTGCCCAAGGCCGTCGCTTCCTTCATGACAAGCTGCCCGGAATGGCTTTGCTTTGCCAGAAGAGCGAACTGCCTTGATATCGATGCGGGTCCCATTACCTGCCGTGCATTGGCTGCATCAATATGACGGCCAGATTCTGCGATGGAATAAAGAATGGAATTGTGGAACTGTGATCTGTACCTTCGACAATACTATGCATCATGAATATCATTACACTTTGGATGGAGACGGAGCTGAACCCTGAAGCGGGGGCAATGAAATATCATATGTATCCGAATTTGATGCTGGTTAGATGGCTTAATTAGGCTATAAATGACGCGACGACGCCAAGCCTCTCCCGACGTCAAGGTCAGCCCCACATTTTCAGCCCGCGACGCATCTTGTATACATGAGGCCGGGTCCTTGAACTCGCAATGTCCGACTCACCAGATGCAAACCCTCTCGAACCATTTGAACCAATTCAAACAACAACCTGTCTTCAAACCGCCAACAACCGCCGGCGAAAACTTAACCAATATTCACGAGGGATAAAAATTGGGAAAGGGAGACACGGAGACGTATATTTATGCAAAGATGACAATCACAACGGCCTCGAAGTTGTCCGTCATCGTCGCTTTTGTACCAACGTCGAGTCAGCTGAACTTCTTATACTTAGGCAGTCAAGGCTGTAAAGCGCAGCAACCCTCGCGACAAAATAAAACTCCTGCGCAAGAATTATCAACAAACGGAACAGTCTACGCATGACAAACATCCCCGGAGCAGCACGGAGAACAGCATCAGGAAGGAGATCGCCATCATGAGGAAATGTCGACACCCAAACCTGGTCCGATTGTTGGAAGTGATCGACGACCCCCGGCAGGAAAAAATCTACATAGGTAAGACACGTTGCTTGATTATCTTTACCTTCTAGTCTTTTCTTGAATGTCCCATGCTGTTTTTGTCAGGACCCCGTTTGCGTAATATATACTCTTGCCATTCAGTGACAACTTTTTTCCCCAGTAATGGAATACATTCCAGGAGGACCGGTGGAATGGACAGATTCCAATCAAGAGCCTATATTGACGTTGAGGCAAATACGATGTATCATGCGAGACGTGATTCTTGGCCTTGAATATTGTGCGCCGTCTCCTTGCTTATCATGAACAGTTGCTCAAGATGCATCCAGTACATCACCAAGGTATCATACATCGTGATATCAAACCCGCAAATATAATCTACACCACTGACCGCCAGTCGGTAAAGATTATTGACTTCGGCGTCGCTCACTTTTCACCACCTATCCACTGGAAGAAGACGCATGAGGGCACACGGGATGCTATCGAGGATGCTGCCCTCTTTCCCGATTCTGATCTCCTAAAAAGGATAGGAACCCCGTCTTTCCTCTCACCTGAGGTTGTTTGGTTTGCAGATGCTAACGTGGAATTTGCGTCCTCCGCGTCGTCGGAAACCTTCTCGCCAAGTTCGGCCGGAAGTCATTCGGCCACTACAATTGCTTTGACGGAACCCGTACCAAAAGAGCGACCGCCAATAACGAAGGCAATAGATATCTGGTCGCTTGCCATAACATTTTATTGCCTTCTTTTTGGGCATACGCCATTCAACGTCCCCACTTCGGCAAACGAAAACATACACCATAATGAGTTCATGCTCTATAAACAGATTTGCACCCAAGATTGGCCTCTGGACCCACACATGGGTGTTGAGCGTGTCAAAACGGGAGGGAGACGGCCAAAAGACTCAACGAGCGAAGGTTTTCTTATCGATCAATTGTTGGATGGAATGTTGCAGAAAAACCCAAGCAAAAGAATGTCTCTCGTCGAGCTCAAGGTCAGTCAGCCCCTTGACATCGGGCTTTCCACTGCTAATTGCGACCTGTGCGCAGAAGCACCCATGGTTTCTTTGTGACATTCCCGATGCCAAGGAATGGTTGCGGTCAACTTCACCAGGAGGAGATGAAGATTTATCTTCACTGACAAGTTGTCAATGGTTGAAAGACGTTAGTCGCAGGCTTTCGAGGATCGTTTCCATTTCTCGCTAGGCCGTTTGTTTCGCTGTTCCGTACTTGCATTCGTTTGTACCGCTACCACATGTACGTTCGTATATTGATACCCTCATGCTCATCCCTACAATTCTCCCGTTAGATTGCAAAATGTTATCTACATCCATATTTAGTCACCTGATCCACAACGTGGAGGCGCTACTTTGCTGGCAAAAAAAATGGACACATCGTCAACGCCTCCTCTCATCACCCTGTTCTTGAAAGACAATCCAATTACATTTTAAACGTCAACCATGTCCATGAAAGCGGTTAGTCATCTCCTATTTTCCCAAGAAACCCAAAAGTTTCTATAATCCGTTTAGATCGTCAAATGTAGATCCTCCTTCATATATTCAAGCTTGAACCCGATTCTAACAATGAAGCTCAGCTGTTATCTCTGGAGATTCCCTTATTTTACGTGGGCGTCCTGGACCTCAAGGTCAACCTCCAAAGGAAAGGTGTGCACCTTGTCACACGATCTTGGCCGGCTATGAGACTAACTGTTTGAACGATATTTGTAGGGTTCTACATCTTGCGGACTTGACAGCTCCTCGACCAGGGATATCTACAAGGGAGGATGAAGTGCGTGCTAATTGCGCTACAACCCCCTGATGCTGAGTACCCATTGTTAGCCATGGGCTTTTGAATCTCGCGAATTCCTTCGCGCGATGGCCGTAGGAAAAGAAATATCTTTTACCTCCATCCATTCTCTTCCATCTAACGATGATATCCCCCGCGATCTGGGGAGTGCAGAAATCAATGGAGTCGATTTAAGTTCGGAGCTTCTTAAGCATGGGTGGGCTAAACTGAAGGAAATCAAGCGAGAACCTACAGAAGAGGATCTGAGGAAAAGGGACATTGAAAACGAGGCAAGAACTGCGGGAAAAGGTATCTGGAATCCCCATGGTCAACAAGTGAGATGTCTTGATCTACCGGCGGGCTGCGTGTCTTAATTCCAAACGTAGGCACGCGTAGTCCATCACACCATGCCTGTTGATTCACAAGCCTTTGTTACCGAATGGAAGGGGAAACTGCTCGATGGTATGGTAGATTCCCCCTTCCCATACTCCCATTAATCTCGGTCTTTTAGCGATTGTCGAGCAGGTCAGGGATGGCACAACGCTCCGCGTCCGGTTGCTGATTCCTGACGGAGACCACCAAATGGTCAACATTGCTTTAGCAGGCGTACGTAGTGCAAAGGTTTCCACGAAGCAAGGCGAGCCATCTGAGCCCTGGGGTGAGGAGGTAAACTGCGGTCATATTTTGCATGTGGGCACGCGCTCATCTTCGTCATTGGTTTGACAGGCCAAATTCTTCACAGAATCCAGACTGCTTCAACGACCAGTTCGCGTGCAAATTCTCTCGCTCCCGACTACAACCGCAACGCCATTCCAATCCAGCGCAAACCCAACTGCGCCGCCTTCAGCTAGCATATTCATAGGGACTGGTTTGTGGTTAATGCTAGCCTCTTGAAATCCCCTGATTTTTGACTTCATTCAGTACTACACCCGGCCGGAAACGTCGCGGAATTCTTAGTGTCCGCTGGACTAGCTCGCGTCGTTGACTGGCATGCAGGTATGCTGGCGAGCAGTGGTGGCATGGAACGTCTGCGCGCTGCAGAAAAACATGCCAAGGAGCATCGCCTATGTCTATATGCCAACGCCCCCGTCCCCTCCTCGAACTCAGGTAAAGCGGATGGCGCCACGAGTAGCGGACACTCCCGGACTTTTGACGCGACTGTTGTCCGAGTGTGGAGTGGCGACCAAGTTTCTGTTGTCGAGAAAGATACGGGCAAAGAGCGTCGCTTGCAACTTAGCTCGACCAGGGGGCCAAAGTGAGTCCTCATTGTCTCCTTCAGTCCAGGTTCATTGAATTGATCGCCCCACCAGACTTTCGGATCCTCGTCAGGCGTATTATGCACAGGAAGCTAAGGAATTCCTTCGCAAGAAACTTATTGGCAAACACGTCAAAGTTCATGTCGACTTTGTTCGCCCTCGTGAGGGAGACTACGAAGAACGCGAATGCGCTACTATTCGCTATGGTGGCCAGAGCGCGTAGGTTTGGTATGCACCTGACACCACTTGATCATTAATTCTTGCCAGGAATATTGCTGAACAGCTCATTGAAAAAGGGTTGGCCAGTATCGTACGCCACAAACGCGACGACGAGGACCGCTCTCAGGATTATGATAAATTAATGGCAGCAGAGCAAATGTCAGTCTGGTTGTCAAAGTCGTCTTGATATACCCTAACACCCTGGCAGAGCCGTTGCCGAGACACGTGGGATTCACTCTGGGAAGGAAATTCCTGCGCCAAAACAACCTCTAAATATCTCAGAGGTCTGTATTCACTTCCCATCGATGAGCATATTTTGATGCTTTGTGTAGGCAGTCAACCGTGCAACTCAGTTCCTCAGCGGATTCAAACGATCAGGTAGAATACCAGCCGTCGTCGACTATGTTGCTGCGGGATCACGGTTCAAGTTTGTTCTTGAACTTGTCCTCCGAAATATCAAATACTGACATTAAACATAGAATTTTTCTACCAAAGGATAACCAGACTTTGACTCTAGTTCTCGGAGGTGAGGCTTGAGGGGTCAAACGACATTGAGCTTGTCTCTTATGCCACGCACAGGTATTCGGGCCCCCCGTACATCGCGCAGTCCTTCTGATAAAGGCGAACCTTTTGGTACTGAATCCGCTGATTTTGCTTCGCGGAGATATATGCAACGCGATATCGAATTTGAAGTCGATAGCATCGACAAATCTGGAGGGTTTATCGGAGCACTTTACTTCAATAAGACGGAAAACGTCGCAATCACACTGGTTAAGGAAGGACTCGCAACCGTTCACGACTTTTCGGCTGAAGGTCTTTCTTGGGCTCGTCAGCTCTACGATGCTGAGGTTAGACCATTCGTTCATCGAGGTAGCTGGGTAATCATTGTTATCATTAGAGCGAAGCCAAGGAAGCAAGGCGGAATGTTCGTCCATAACACTTCTCTCAAGAATTGACGTTTTATTTCCTGTAGATTTGGTCTGACTATGACCAAGAGGCCTCGAAGGCTGCCGAAGTCCCTGAGGACAAGAACGAAACCGGACCTCTGAAGTCTGAATATCTCGATGTGATCATCAGTGACGTGCGGACCAGGAATGGTTTTGGTTTCTCTGTTCAAATCCTGAACACAGAAGGTGAAAGGTTTAGAGGCCTCCGAATTCATTGTCTGATGTTATTTTGGCAGGCATTGCATCCCTCGAAAAGCTTATGCGCGATTTTTCTATACACCACAAATCACCAGTCGCAAGCCCGCCAGGCTTTGTGCCTAAAGGTGGCGATCTAGTTTCCGCCAAGTTCTCTGACGGTGCATGGTACCGAGCGAAAATTCGTCGTGCATCGCCCATCAAAAAGGAAGCAGAAGTAACCTTCATCGACTACGGTAATCAGGACACTGTGGCCTTTTCGAATATTCGGCCACTCGACCCCAAATTCCGTTCATTACCAGGCCAGGCACATGACGCACGATTAAGGTATTGAGCTGCCAATCAACAATGGGAGACGTTTAACAAGATTCATCTTTAGCTTCATCAAGTTTGCCTCGCCAGATAGCGACTACTATGCCGATGCGATCGACCGTTTCAGAATACTATGCGAAGGTCGAAAGCTTGTGGCCAATATTGACCACAAAGAAGGGTCTCTACTACATCTGCGACTCATGGACCCGACGGAATCTGCAAGCCGGGACCCACTTGCCTGTATCAACGCAGACCTACTGAGTGAAGGCCTCGCTTTGATAGATCGCAAAGGTTGCAAATATATTGCATCATATCCTCAGGTTACAAAAAAGCTCCAAGAATCTGTGGCCGTTGCGAAGCGAGATCGGGCTGGTATGTTTGAGTTTGGCGACGTCGAGGAAGACGAGTAGTTTCCCCGCTACATACTCGTGAAAGCAGACAGCAGCTGGGTAGTATTGGTTGAATGATGAATCCGGGGTATCCGCATGGGTGATAATTTACGGACTTAACCAGTGAAAACGCAAAAGACCTGCATTCTCGCAAATATCGTCTGAGGAGCATTTCAGTTGTCTATTGGGTGGGACTGCCACCTTAAGGCGAAGATTTTAACTCCGTTCGATGGGTTCAATTGAGGGTGTAAAATCCTGCATCACAAGGGTAAGTCTTTCCCGGCAATTTCGGGCCGTATCTCTTCATGGCTCTTCGACTCATGACATTCGACGCCTTGCACACTATCATCACCCCTCGCCTCCCAATTCACGTCCAATACTCTCAAATATTCTCTCCTTATTTAGGGAATTTGAATCCGGATTCCATCAAGCGGTCGTTTAAGGTGGGTACGTCGAAAATGTGCCTCCTTGACCACGTTGATCATTTAAGTACTCTCAACAGCGCTGAAAGATGTTCAAGAGGAGAATCCCTTATTTTCCGTTGGCGCTCAAGCTTGGTGGAGAGAGGTTATTCGGAGAACGGCGCTTGGGGCCGGCGCGGACGAGCAAGGTGAGAGACCTTCAATGCGAGCGCGCACTACGTTCCTCTGACGCCTCTCTTAGCCCTGAAAGAATCTCTCCACGAGATTGTACCCGCTCTCATGAGGCGTTTCAGCTCAAAAGAAGGGTACAAAGTGTTCGACGATGCTATTCCGACGAGTCAGTCAGTTGCAAGCTTCTCTTCCTTAATTTTTGAATGGCCATCCTCCTCGTTTAGTGTTGCATCTACACAGTCTTAGTATCCGTACTGCGATTGTGAGTAATGGTGACTCTCGCATACGTTTGTGATCCTTTGAGATTTTGTTCAATGTGGCTAATTTTTACGATATTGTGTAGGTGCTGTACTTCAGGATCTTAGTTTCCCCAAAGAGGTGCAACCTATACTTTTAAGTGAAGAAGAGGGAGTCGAGAAACCGTCCCGAGAAATCTTCATACGTGCTTTAGAGCGAGTTAACGCTATGGGAAGTGAAAAGGCTGCAATCTTACCTGAGCACTGCTTGCATGTCGGAGATGAGCTTAAAGCGTCAGTTAATGCCTGTTATCCTCTCGATTGAATCAGGCTGAAAAAGTAACTTTGCAGTGACTATTTTGGAGCTTTGAACGCTGGATTCAGGCCTTTGTTGCTTCGACGGGACGGACCTGACGGAGAGCATGCCCACAAGGAATTACATGAAACCTTACAGGACGTCGATGTTGTCAAGAGCTTGCATGCTGTTGTGAAGTACATAATATCGTGATATTTGGTCCGACGACCATCTGTACAATTATCCCATCAGGAAATGTAGTGAGTCGGGTATGGCTTGGGGGTGGAAGCCCAATATCAATGTCGCATAAGTACTCGACGAAGCGGTTGAAGTTGGTCTCCCGCATAACTCGCCTAGTCGATGAGGTCGTCCACATTCGATCGACCAATAATGATCTGTTCACCCTGCCTTGCAATATCCTCTACTCTATCGCCTAGTTTCAGAACGGTCCATCGCAGCACACGTGGGTCTCTGCGCATGATTCCGTTCAGAGTTTTTAGTGTCGCTGGGCTGGTATCGAAATGTAATGTCCAGTAGCTGTGGCGAAATGTAAATACATTTCGAATGAGAATCACCTCTGAAGGGGACTCACTCTCCGACACTGACATAGGGTCCCTGCCGTTTCATTCGTTGTGGGAGCGTTCTAGTTCCCCACGAATCAATTGAACGCACGACCCCGCCTACTGCCATAATGTGCATTGCAGACTGCCGTACGAGTTCCCGAATGTGTTTCTGCCAACAAAAAGTTAGGAGTAGGAGGATTTAACGGACGTGAACGAACATATTCTGGATAATGTTTTGTAATACATAGCATTTGATAGAGAGGCATGGCGAATCCGTGTCAATGAAGGCCAGTCAGAGAAGGTCAGAGAGTTGCCAAAAATTGCCACGTGAGCTCGGCGACTCAACGCGGTCACACTATGCTCGAGTCCCTCAACAGACTCAGTCACTTCTACCCCCACCCTCACTATCACTATTGATTCCTCGTTGCCCCATACTGCTGCATTCGACGACCACCTATCTAATGTACAAAATCAATTTCTCCATCTGCTTTCTCGGCCTACAACTGGAAACCACATGCTGTGCTAAAACGGAGGAATCATCCGAGTAGCTTTGCTTGGAGTATGGGAGTGTCGTAGATCGAACCAGGGAATTGACCAACCCATCAAGAAACGAAGGTAACACCAACAAAAGCAGAAGCACGATACCTTCGATGAATTCCCCCTGTCTCGGCGGGAGATCCCTTATTCACTTTTCAGCGGTTCCGTGTTCCCTTCAAACGGCGCAAGAGACGAAAACCATTCCTGTCACCGTTGAGCCACGGGCGTCTGATCATCTCCCCCATCGTATGTTATCCGAAAATCTTTCCATTCAGCCACAGATTAAGAGATAACATTTTTGGGAACAGATGGTAGGTCACCGCGCATCGTGACCTAACTTGATCAAATGATCAATCCAGCGAGACGGCCATTAAACTTCGCAGGTAGATTTGGGCCGCCGGTGACGTATAATGAGCTTCTCCCAACTCTTTTCATACACACCTGATGTGGTTTGATACGCAACGCAGGAACGTCTTCATTCGTTTGCGTGGATAATGTCTTTCATGTCTTTCCGTGAGATTCAGGGTGACTCTCCTTAAACGTTCTCAACGGACGGCGTCTTGCAAACAAGAGAGGCACACTTCAATGGGTTAGCACAAACGGAATCTCAGCCCTTTTCCTCTGGAAGAGACCATGGTTGCACCGTCATTACTAACGTTAATGCAACAAATTTACTACCTGTTCAACTTCGTTATAATCAACCTGACGACGAGCCTACCATCAGAAGCTCGACTACCAGATCCGCAAATCCTCGCACATCGTCTGCGGGAAGCAACTTCTCTATCAGCTTCTCTAATCCGGTGTTCTGCACTTTAATTCCTGCTCTAGACTAGGTATCCCCGGTCGTCTTTGACGTCAATTAAACACCTTAACCCGCAACACCCTATTCCGCCATCCAGAATCATTATAAACATTTATTTTGTCCTCAGCGGAAATTTCGTGTCACCGATTTCTTCTCATCATGTCATCCTCCAACTCTCAGCCACGCCTCAGCATCGATCTAGGAGCCCCAACTCTGAAAACCATTCCTACCGAAGTCGATATATCTCAACCGACTGGCCGAATCCATCCAGCGAGGCTCCAACATTCACCTTCATTGCCGAATATCTGGTTAGTTTATATCCCTTTTATAACCGACACCGTTTTAAGTCTTGCGACTTGCGTGGACCAATAGGTTTCCTCCTCATTCCGGTCCCATACCTCCCGAAATCATGAGCAAAGATTTTTTTCTTCGACCATCCACACCACCGGCCGCTACGACTGACGAGGATTTGCTGATCAAGCATTCCCCAACAATCTCGTCTATTCAACCCCCAAGACTCCGTGCAAAACATGTGCCCACCGAGCCACATGCCCACTTCGTCCTAGGTCCGGATTCCATCAAGCCCCAGCGCCGACGTCGCCGCGAACGCGAGCAACCTGTTTCTCTACTTACTCCGCCGTTGACGCCCTCTTCAAGCATCAGAACGACCACGAGTTTAGATTCCTCTGCAAGTCACCGAGAAAAGTTAAACAACGATAAAGACGACGCCGACACTTTCAGCGAAATTCGAGATCCCGACACAAAGTCGACGAGATTCTTGCTGGTGTGTGCACTTCTTTCTCGCGTTTCCGCTTCACTTCCCGTTAAAATCATTTTTGGCCATAATCTGTGATATCTTTGAACCTCTATTCACCGTGAACTTACAGCTCGGCAACGTAAACGATAAAGTCTCTCCGGATGTTCTAAAATCTGCGGTGGTCTCGGGGCTCTCAGCGTCTTTGAGCGATTCGCCCAACGCACATGTTTCTCGGTCCTACCATCCCGAAGATGGGCCCGTCAAAGGGGTTAACCATCGGTTCCAGAAGTCTAAAGGGATCGTACCTTTCATATTTAACGACATTCGGCTCGCTAGAGCTGCTAAAGAGTGTTTGTCTGTGCCAAGAAAGGGACCTCTGGAAGAATGTATCGGCAACGAAATACGAGAAGATGGCATTTGTTGGATTACAACACAGTTTCTGACAGTGGAGGAGTTGACTTCCGTACGTTTATGCCATGATCCTCCCATTGACGTGTTTCCTCAACGCGGGGCCTGCAGCTTATAGGAAATTCCTCTTACATTGAGTCAAGTGACGGTAGCTTTTACATCTCCGCTCGAGTGGATGCATCAGCCCCAGGGAAACAGTCAAATGTTGAGATTATAGTCGACAAAGAAAAGGGCAACCGCGACTCGAACAGAAACGCCATCAGTGTTGGAGCCATCCAAAACATTCTGAAATCATATGGCGACCTCTATTCCTTTTCCTTCGCACGCGAAGAGGTCGAAAAAGATGGAGTGAGTATTTCAATGCTTTCTTCTTCCTAAGCAAATTAACGTGATGTGAGTAGTCAGTGTCCAAGACGTTTCGTGTGGAGTACTATGATCTTAGGGAAGCGGACGACGCGTTTATTGCCCTAGATCAACAGACTATGTTTGGAATGAGAATCCACGTCTACGGCCGCAAGGTACAGAGTGATGATGTGTCGTATCAAATGCCTGGGTTGTCCATCGGACCAGCGGGTCAACAGTCGCAAATCCGGACGCAGTTTGGTCATACCGAGGGAGCGGAGCAAAACACTTCCGGGCCCACCCATGGCGCGCGATCCCCACAATATTTCTATACGTCTCCCGCGAATGGGGATTCACCCAATATTACAAAGACCCCCACTCTTACAAGAAACGTCCATGACGATGTCGTGGATGGGCATTCTTACCCATCACTTTACCAGCCGACAAACGAATCCCATAAACTTGAGGCCCAATCGACCCAGGATGGCACCATACTGCAGTGGGAGGCTGAACTCCGCCCTGACGCAACGACCGTGTGTTACACCCCCACGCAAGAATGTCGATATTGCCCGTCGCGAGGCCCGTCAATCATTCCATACTTTCCCCAACATACACCGCCGCCGAGTTTGACTTATTCGCACCCGCTCCCGGTTCCTCCTATCATCGTCAATCCACCTCCCACACCCACTGCCTTTGTTTACGAGCACGATTGTCAAAGCATTCAGCCTGTCATGCCTCACTGGGCCTTCGAGCAGGCAATGGCGCTTGCTGCAAGCAATGGCGTGTACTCAGGACTTGCCGGCTCTTTTATCCCTCGGCCATTCTGGTCTCCAGACATTTCTACTGGTTTCCTTCCTGCGCGGAGTGGCTTCTATCCCGGACACATACCCTCGCCTGATCCACGGCAAGTCGAGTATTTCCCCGTGACCACTGAGATGCAGGGAGCAGCTCTACTGGAGCCGCCCTTCCCCCATGGTCAACGTACATCTGCTCAACGATCACCTTCTCCGGTTACCCGTGTTACCTCCCTCCAGCAGGCAGCCTCAACCATAACCCATGCGACTGCTCCCAGCGGGACACCCGAGAGAAATCAGCTGAATCTAGACCGCATACAGGACGGGCAGGATACGCGAACAACCGTCATGATCAAGAATATTCCAAACAAGATGAGTGACAAGGATTTGGTTGCTTACATTGGAAAAGTTTGCCCCAAAAAAATCGACTTCTTGTATCTTCGTATGGATTTCCAAAATGGTCAGTCTTTTCGTCTAAAACGGAGTTGGAATTAACCTTCTTGTGCTACTTAGGATGCAATGTTGGTTATGCGTTCGTGAATTTTATTCGAGTTGAGGACCTTCTTGTTTTCGCTCAGAAAAAGCTGGGAGAGAGATGGTGGGTCAAGTTGTTGTCGTTCAATCGATTGTTTTGACGCCCTCGTCGTTTAGGAACATGTTCTCGAGCGAAAAAGTGCTTCAAATGTCATACGCCAACTACCAGTTCGTACTTTATCTTCGCCTAATATTTTTGTCTGACTCTATCATAGAGGAAAGGAGGCACTCGTGGAAAAATTTAAGAATTCTTGCATCATGGACGAGCGAGAGGCCTGGCGCCCCAAAATATTCTACTCTTCAGGGCCTGAACAAGGTCTCCCGGAACCTTTCCCGGCACCTACGCACATCCGTCGAAAGGAACGAAGCTCAATCAATCGCGGCGGACTCTTCACTCCAGGTGCTGGGAATGGATTACCCAGTCCCCAGCCCGGTCCGTTGCATGATCCTGACCGGCGTCATCAGGATAGCCACCGCTCGCAGCGACCCCAGCAAAGGGGTCGCGCCGTTCACGAAAACGCGTCGGATGCCAGTCGAAACGCCTGCAATCGCGATCCTCGATAGTGACTTTCTGATATCATTGAGTAGGATGGGCGTGATAAACGAGAAGTGTGCCTCCCCCCTTTTTAAATTCACCATACTGGTTATCGTTCTATTTTCCTTTACTTTACAAGTACTGCTGTGCCACCTGTATGCCTTCTGCTTTTAATTAATCGTGATTTTTTCGTGACCACCATGACTGACTGGGACGATTCTATGATTTCTTTGTTTCTCAGCGGGGATGAGGCCGACAAAGGGCCGGCCGGATGCGTTTTACATGTCGGCTATCGAGGTTACTACTATCTATTCTTGGAGCTAACCAAACAATTACCCGCAGTCATTTCACAACCGCTGCCTTCCCGCGCCTTCCCACTTGTTGCGTATATAGCCACACATTCCCAGTAAGGTTCTTTCCGCACACCCTGAGGCTCCAACTAAACAAAATCTCAAAGCGGAGCGTTTTGATAACTGGTCTATCGATACCTCGATAGCTGCATGATCATCAGCTACTACTAGTAGTTACACCGGGGAAGCCTTTGTATCGCCATCCCGACGTCACCAAGCTTCAAGAAAAGTGAATTCAAGCAGCTGCAACAATTGACGCTTATTCCTTCCATCCTGTCAACAACAGTTCGGAGATGCTGTCAACTACAGAATGGAGACCAACGATTTCTTGTAAGTATGACAACAATTAAATAATTCATCCCATCTCAGCCGTAGACGCCGAACAAAGTATGGTTGCTTCCTGGTTGCTCCTTCAGCCAACGTATGTCCGCCGCTTGTGTTTTGCCATGTTCTCATAATCACACCGTTCAAAACTCCATTGTCTTCATTGCTGTCATATCCCCACAGCGACATCAACTTCGGACTATTGTGCACCCACATAGCACGTTAAACTCAATCAATGCGATCGTCCAACCATTTCGTTCCTAGCCCAGATATAAATACCTGAGCTCACAAGGTCCCCTCCGCAAGTGCAGAAAAAGAAGAAGAAAAAAGAATGCATTTTGCGTTCACAGACCTCTCCATCGAGCTGGCTCTCGAGATCCTTCGTTTAGCGTCGGCACCCGTTATAGTGTCGGACGAAACGGCTTTCATTGGCAAATCCACAAAAACGTCGTACTACTCCACCGCCCTCGCCCTGGCCTCCGTCTCATATGCCATAAGGCAAGTAACGATGCCCTACCTCCTCCACACCGTCGTCCTCCGCTCTACCTCAAACGTACACGCGTTCATTAACGCCCTCCGCCTCCAAGAGGAATATAGCCAGTGCAGCAGCCGGCTCCAGCTTGATTACAAGATGATCGTGCGTCGGCTTTGGAGCACGGAGTGCTGGGACGGCGTCGTGGATGATCTTGCCCACAGCGGCACGGACTATACACTCCTCTATCCAATATTATCCGGGCTCGAGAGCCTAGGGCTGAATTTCAGGTCGTTATCGCTCTTATACAACGGACTCGCGCACGCCTCTGTGGATTTCGCGCAAGAGTGGAAGTGTCGACGCGTTACGCTGGCTGGGCCCATGGTGAGGTGGAAGCCATTGACGTCTACGCCCGAGGGGTTGGCGTTTTTAGGGCAAATTACGCATTTGACGCTTTGGATTCCCGAACATTCCACCTTTTCGGGGTTCCCTCCGCCTGCTTCTGAGAGTCCTGTTCCGCAATGGGTACAAAGTGCACCCTTTGTGTATATGCCAAACCTGACGCACTTTGCGTGCCCACTGGTTCTATGCGATGCGTCGTATAAATTCTCGCAGATGCTTGTGTACAGGGTACCGCCTGACTCTCACGACCCAGCGCTTCTTCATCGGTGGGTACTCGGTGGCGAGCCGTTAGTGCATGGCGTTGTTGTGCAGGCGGACGTTCCCCGCGCCAACAAAAAATCTTTTACGTACGGAGATTACTTTGACGACTCTAGTTGGGAGAGGGCTTACATTCAGGCGAGAAACGATTCTATTTGGAAAGAAGCGGAAGATCTTTTGTCTTGCAAATGATGAACAGTCGGTGTTGCTTGTAAAATGGCTTGGCGCCGCCGAGTGGTGTGATGTCCAGACCGAGGGCTTACATTCAGGCAAAAGATAAAGGAGTACAGTGAGGGGGCTACACTACTAAACGATTTTGGTATATAACACATGGGATTAACTCGATGACAAGATAGCATATAGAGGTACAAAAAGAAGGATACAGACTGTCAATTCAAACTCTGAAGCTTCATCCACTCTTTATCGTTCGCATTAAAATCAACACCCTTGCGCTTCCACCAGTCCCTGGCGTCCTCTCCACCGCCAATAGCGTCCTCCAGCGCCTCTTCGATATCGCACATGCGATATTGGATGGGAAGGCCCGATTTATCCCACCACTCGAGCACCTCTGGCCTGTTATGCCTCGTTGCGCCTGTGAGCGCTTCTTGGTCGAATATGAGCTGCAGACCACTTCCTAGCCACCATTGGAGGACTTCAACTTTGCCATGACAGCTTGCATGCTGTAAAGCATGGCGATCGTATTTAGGCTCGAGTTGCGAGGAAGCCCACCACTCGAGAACGTCAACATGCCCCGCTGTGCTCGCCATATCCATGACCCTGCCCATTTTCAGGGGGAGGCCGGATGCGTTGTGTTGCCTCTTCCACCAGTCCAGAACGGCGATCTGGTTTTTGGCACTTGCGTATTCGAGCGAGGCTTCGGTGTACTCAAAGGGGCGACCGCAGTTCAGCCACCAATCGAGGGAGACAACTTGGCCGTTGCGAGAGGCGCCATCGACGGCTTCTGCTACTGAGCCTGGGGCGGGTGGCGGTACGAGATCTGGATGTTGCTCGAAACCGTGTTTCCACCAGGATAAGACGGAAATGCGACCGTGGCGCGATGCTTTTATGGGGATGAGGTCGTTTTTGAAGATGGATAAGAATATTTTATGGTGTTGGGAGAGAAAGTACTCGAGGACGGCGACGTAGCCGAAGCGAATGGCCATGACTGCGCCTATTTTTGTAGGTGGGTTTTCGCTGGATGGATGCACTTTACGAATGGTAGGAACGTGGCCTGTGAGCATTGCGTGGTCAGTGCGTGATGCACGAGACCATTCGAGGGGTTGAGGGAGGGATGTAGGGACGCCAACTGCTCGAGCAAGCTCCCAATCGCCGACGTGGTCCATGATGTCTGCCATTATTTCTACGGGGAGATCAGGAGCTCTTGGGTGAATGCGAGGGTTTGAAGGGGTTGTTGGTTCTGGGTTGCGTTGGTCAGTTGAGCTTGAAAGGAAATGGTATGTATGATAGTCATGATTTGCAAGTCGTGAAGCGAGGTCTGCTGTTGAACCTGAAGTAGGGAGATTGCGTAAATTTAGAAATAGTAAGAGTTCCGAGTGAGTTAGACGTTGATAAGCTTTGTGAACTTGAGCAAGAGGTGACAGAGGCATTTTGAAAAGCAAAAGCAGTGCTATGACAATTTCAAATTCTATCTATGATATTATCCGCAACCTGCTAATGTGTGGTACCAATTCCTCCCAGGCATCAAAGTCAACTTCTACATATTCTTCTTCACCAATAATCAATGCTTCAAGGTAAAGCGCTGAATTTGTGTTGAGAATCCCAAATTTGCTCTTCAGATACAAAAACGCGTTCTGTTGTGCAACAATCAACGGCAGTCAATCCACGCTGGAACCCACACGTACCCTTCCAGACATCACCCCCATTCGTTTCCGTCCCAGCGCCATCACCCGATTTCCATATTCCACCATGATTGGCTTTGTCGTCGTCGTCGCAGTCGACGCCAACACAAGCGCCTCCAACACCTGCCCGATCCCAGCAGCAATGTCGTTTGGGGATGACACCAGATCAGCTAGTGGGCTTTGCGGTGTGGCGATAGACGTTTTCGAGGGAGAGCTGCTCATCGTGGTGGCTGCTGCTCGAGGATGCGATGCTGAATCGACATTTTCCCAAGCTCTGCCTTCTAGTAAATCGCTCGCACGCGTACTTCTTCCTGACGGCATCGATCCATTATGGGTCGACATTGACGATTCGTCTTGTCGTTTTGGCATCAAGGCCTACTTTGTGAACCAGCGCCCGTCAAAGGGCATCATTTTACCCACCCAGATTAAGGTTGCAATCTATATTTATTACATATCACCGTCATCCTAATCAGTCAGGTGCTACTCTCAGTTCTTACACCTTTGGTTTGCCTTTATAAGTGAGTCTCGAAAAACATTCCCCGACTGCCCACTGCTCACCTATGTGCATCAGGAATCGCTTGATATTCATCTCAGACTCCTCCGCCTCTACCAGCCCATAATCTTTCACAAGCTTCTTCGTCGCGTCATCTAGTAAGTCATCAATCGTCAACAAACCTCTCATCAAAACGGGTACGCTTCACACATACTGTCGTACGACAAAAGTGACCTCAAGTCAGCCGGGAAGTAATCGCTTCTCGTACCTTCAGACGTCAGCACGGTTGCCAGAGCCTCGTCCAGGTTCAGAATGTCGACGTTTGAATTGCTGATCCTCGACTCGCTAAACAACCCCTCATTCAGCTTGGTGTTTTCTAGGTTGGGCGTGCCACTTACGAATTGTGCAACGACGCCCTCACTTTCTCCAGCTGTTTCTTACCCTCTGCGGCTTGCTGTCTCAAAGGCACAGGGATGTATTCCACGATCTGCGAATCAACTTGTTCCTTGACCTGCTTCGCTATTTCGTCCCTCATCTGTTCCTTGATATGGACCCTATGGAGCAACATTATATCGGCCCTTGAACAAGAGCACCCGAACCTACGTCATGGTCTGCGAAATGTGAGCTCGGACGTCTTCTTGGATGTTCCTTCGTATCTCCTGGATTCCTGCGTCGTGCGTTTCCTCATGCTGCTGAAGCTCGCGCTGCAGGTTTTGGATTTCGCTCGTTGTGTCTGGCTAATGTCAACATTAGGCCTCAAGTTGACAAAAGAGACGACGATCTGACCACAGGGAGCTGCACTTGTCGAAACCCATCTGCTTGCTCGTTAAAAGTATTGAAAAGACCGCCACTACTCGACGAATTTTAACACCGGGAAATTAATATGCTAGCCGACGTACAGACTCGTCAACGTGCTCGTCATCTGGCCTAGGAGCTCAGTCATCTGGTTCTCGGGCGACTTGGCGACTTGGGGAGTCTGGCTCGTGGAGGACATTTTGTTGGAACGACGCGTGCGCATGCGTCACTTATATTGACGCAGCCTTACCGCCTCCTCGTGGCCCTCACGCGCAGAAAGTGATGCACGCATATATAATGTATATCTTAATCTATATATTATATACATACTATCAACCGAATCAAGCAGTCTTGAGTCAATGTCAGTCCCATTCGAATTTGGTGAGCTACAATCTTGGCTTCACCTTTGCAGCTGCGTGGTTCTTCCACTCAATGACGAGGTCCTTACCCTGTCCCGTCTTCAGGAAATCCCTCAGGTTCGTCAGCGCCCTTACTTCCATCTTGCGCTGCGAATCCTGATTCTCCGTGCCCATATGCGGCAACAGCGTGACTTGGGGGAATTCGAGAAGGCGGGGATTAACTTCAGGCTCGTTCGGGAACACGTCAAGACCCGCCGCTGATAGCTGCAACGCACACACAAGGAAGGGGGTTTAGTCATGTCACCCGCCAGATGGGAAGATTTAATTAGAATGCTCACATGTCCGTCCTCTAGCGCCCTGATCAGCGCCTCCTCATCGATAACCTTGCCCCGTGCCGTGTTGATGATAATCGCACCAGGCTTCAACGTCCGAATCATTTTTTCGCCCACCAGCCCCTCCGTTTCCTTTCGTAGGGGCACATGCACGCTAAGCACGTCCGTCTGCTTCAGCATCTCGTCCACATTTTCAAAGTATTCGCAATACGCAGGGGCGTCCGCGACCTTTCTGCGCGAGTGGTAGATCACGCGCATCGGGAACGATTGGACGAGTTCCGCCAAGCGCATCCCGATTCCGCCGAGCCCAAGGATGGCCAACGTCCGACCGGACACGTCGTGCGTTTTCGTGTTGAGCCCTGAGGGCTTCCACTTTAACGCGCGCAGGGATCGCTCAGCAATGGCGTATTGGCGGAGGGTGGAGATGATCAGATAGAGTGCTGTCGTGGCCGTGGCGTCGTCAACGGCACCAGGAGTATTTGAGAGGTAGATTCCTGATGGAAAACGATAACTTGTCAGCTGTTAGGCACAGTGGTCAATCGTGGGTGGCGGGGTGGCGCACCTCGAGCAATGCACGCGTGCACGTCAACCGGGTCGTACCCTGCACCGTTGTGCGCAATCCATTTCACGCTGGACGGTAGACCGTTGATGATCTCCTTGTCGAAGGCCCCAATTTTTTTCGCGGATTCGTTCTCGCGGTAGATACCTACGGCGCCTGCGTATTTTCCTGCAGGCTTGCAGTCTGCCAGGAAAGTCGCGCGGTCGGGGGCGTCGACGTACTATGCGGGTGTTAGACAGTGCTTTAAAAATCGTACGAGGTCATTGCCTACGATGATCTCTGCAATGTCCCCTAGTAGCTCCTTGACATCGTCGTGTGCCCAGACAATTGTGCCTACGCAACGGTTAAGAGACTGTCGAGGGATGAGTAGAGCCACTTACTGCAAATTAAAACTCGGGGAAGCATGTCGTGGATGTGCGGGGTGAATTACTGAGGACAACTAGTATAGTTTATGTAGGATTTAGAGCCGGTATATCCTTTCAACCGGAGGTGGGATACCTTAATTAGGGGGTCACCGGTCCGTTTAACCATCGGTCCGATCTTCCCGAACATTTTTACCATTACATTTTTACACTCAGCGTTGGTGTGGATCCACCAAGGAGGTCGCCTTCCCATCCAGAATGTGAGGCACTCTCATAGAATTCGTTCTTGATGTACATGTACTCGCAATTTTTTTAAAGAAGGGGCAAGGCTTAAGCGAAGCTAAGCGCCGTGCGCGCCAATGATCTCGCCAGTCTGACCTTTACAACTTTTCTTAAACCTTCGGACTTTCACAACATGATCAAAGTCAAAACCCGTGGCGTCCAGCTAAATTTCAAAAATATGTGGTGACCCTAATGAGCGTCAAGTCGGTATAAGGATAAAAGTCGGTTGTACAAGTCGTGATAATGATGTTCCTTTCCAATTAGCCTGATGGAGACAAGTAGGTAGACAACGATGAAGAGGGTTGTAGAGATAGTGATCGCATAATTTCGTTGGTCAAGGTCGGCCCTGCTTATGAATTGCAGCGAGGCCAATCGCTCCAACAGCAGCAGCATCATCAATAAACTCGACATGTCGGAAGACGTGGCCACGGTGGGCCAGATCATCCAGGATCATCTTTCGATACCGTTCAACCCCAGCCAAAGATCCACCAAGCGATATCACGCTTTCACCCGCTCTAACCAATCTAGGGGAGTTGTCTGTAGGTCCAGCAAGAAGCACAGCGATCTGAGAAGCAAGTGAGCTCGCGCATGCTTCAAGGATCCGCAGAGCAAGCCTATCGCCATCATCAAAGGCAGCTGCAAATACCAATGGACAGAGGGACGAAAGCCTCTTTTCGCGCGTCATGTCTTGCGGAAGTAGACTGGTTCTGGCGTTCGGCAGGGGATCTGGGAGGTAGACACCACCAAATATCTCCATAACGCTCTTCACCCCAAACCATTCCAAAACGCGATCTCTTAACTTGCTCTCAGGAGATGTAAGAGCCCCAATGGAAGTTTTCTCTTCCTCCATCAAGATCTGGCGTATTGTCTCCCTTCCAACATGGAATCCACCCCCTTCATCTCCAAGGATCCAACCCCAACCGCCCACGCGCGCAAGTTCTTCAATCACTCCGCCCTTCTCCACAAAACTGACGGCGTTTGAGCCAGTGCCAGCAATAACGGCGACAGCATGAGAGACATCTGGGTACATCCGAACAGGAGCGGCAAGAAGATGGGTATCATTCGTGATAAAGAGACGTGGACCAGCCGGGATGGCTAAGAGAGCCGAGAGGGAAGGAGTGATTTTGGCGATGGATGTGGGGGAGTCTGCACCAGAAACGCCAAACCACGCAGCAGAAAATGGAGAGCGGCTATCTGGGGGGAGTGTACTGGACTTGTTGGATACTTGGAGAGCGTTGCTGACGGTGTCTGCGACGGATGAGAGGAAAGCATCAGGAGATAGGTAGGTCAGGTTGGATGGACCTCCTGCAGCACGGCCCAATATTGAGCCCTCATCGTTGCAGATGACGGCGGACGTCTTGGTACCACCACAATCAACACAGAGATAAAGAGACATTGTAAAGGCTTGGGCAGACTACTGGTGTTTGTAGTTGCTATTACATAATAGCTACGCTTATGTGATAGCTACGCTTATGTGATAGCTATGCTTATGTTATAGCACGCTTATGTGATAGCAAGTGGCTGTGTAATCTCTCTTGCTTGTATACTTTTGCCCTCTCTGCGGCCTTCCACCACATTTTTACATCATGTAAAATAGAAGATACATTGAGATTATTGCGCAAATATAAGCTATTACAAAATTTCTATGTATTTTACTGTTCAATTTTCAACTACATCACAATATAACTGTTGGGACAAGAAATTCAACAGGGAAAGAATGTGATGGTCAATTTGACATTTGGATAATTGATCAGCTTTGAATATTAGCTGAAAAAATGTGAGATGAAGTGCCACAGTCATTTGAAATCAGAGGATAGGTAAATCATTCAATGTATGCCTAAACAAAAGAGGTTTCTGGGATTCTTCCCATTCCAGAAGAAATTAGATTCAAGTCAGCTATGCAACAACTATTGATGCCTGAGCCTTGGGTAAAAAAAATGGAACTGATACTTGGGATTGTGTCAAGGTACAAAATATGCTGTTATGTCCATCCTACTGTTGCAGAGAAACAGTTGTTTTTAAAGCTTATGTGTGAGTATCTAGCATTAATCAGGAGATCCTGACTGCAAAAAAAAGCTGTAATTGTACAGAATTGTAATCATGCGAAGGGAAATGAAAATGATATCTTCTACAAAATATATTCTGTAGTATGGCCTGTGAACATCAAAATGGAGGTGCTTCACATACAGCCCATCAAGCAAAGGATCAATTGCTCCCACCCAAATTTTTTAAAGTAATCCAGGGCTTTATCATTTGGATGTGGATAGTCATTTTCCTGAACCATCACAGGAGAGGATTAATTCAGCCCACACAATATCACTGCCAGCCCATTACAAAATACAGTTTAATTAGCTAATAAAAGGCCTGCACAAGATGTCCTAGAAATTTCAGCTCCCTAATTACCTTGAAAGAGAATCAGAGCAGGAAATGATGCTCTAGGCCAGAATTTGAGGGCAGTAGGGCAGATAAAATTTGCTGGAAAATCCCCAACAGAGTAGACTGTGATGGGGGGGATAGCAGGTATCCAAAGGCCCTGTCAGAATAAGGTTGGTAGGCCAGTTGTAGGTGGAGATGGAAAGATGGGTCAGTAGTTTATAGCTCATGATTGTAAGATAAGATAAGATAAGAAATATTCCTCTTTTTTTCGCTTTTTCCCTCTTTTTATTTTATTTTATTTTATTTTCTTCTGTAGCAACTACAAACACCAGTACCCTGCCAAGGCTTGCCCTAATTCTCCCACGATTTCACTATATAAACCTCTCACCAAACTTTCCTTTTTCCTTCGTGCGGCAGCACGGCCATTATATCCCCAATGTTGCTCATGACTTGCTCTTTCCATCTCGGTGGACTGTCTACGCTGTCGTTCGAGTGTCAGGCCGTGTTCTGAGCAATCCGGACGTCTTAGTACCCAATGTCGTCTCTTCTTTCTTTTGGGAGAGAGGATGGGTCGGTGGTTCCATACATTCTATTCTGTACCAGCTGTATAGTAACACTATTCTTATCATTGGTGTCTTGTCAACCTCATTATTCAATGCATTGTATATTTGCATAAGACGTCGTGATGGAAAACAAATTGAATGAAAATATGCAAAATTATATCAATGAAGCAAGGTACATTTGGACAGGCACATAGAGCATCGCAACATAACATCTTAAGAGCGTTCATCGCCTTACTCGCTTTCCGCAATGAGAGCAAGAATCATCCTGTGCGGAACGAAGTAAGTACGTCATCAAGATTGCTCAACAGCAACATACCTGTAGAGGTAGTAAAAGAAGGAGAGGAGGTAGAATCCAAGCTTGAAAAAAGTCTCCTTCTTGTGCCCTCCTAATGTCCGGAAGATTTCTGTCGCGTCGTACATATGATTTTTATTCCGGATTCTACAAAACAACGATCAGAACATGAACACGTCGCTTTGAAAAAAAAAAAGTACTTGTTGGCGTTGAATGCAACTAAAGGCGCGTTAAGGAGGAACGCTATCCATTGGCCCGACAGTAGGAATAACAAGGTGAGGAAAGCGTGCGCCGAGTTTTCTGGCAGGACGAACTGCAAGGGACGTCAGCGCTCAGCAAAACTCCCAAAACAGGTGAGTGAACCCACTTGATTTAGCTTGTTGCAAAGATCTATAGGATTGATGTAGTCGCATTCCAAATCCGAAAACATGATGATCTGCAGGGTAAAATGCGAGCCCGTCAACAAGATTGTATGTGGCGTGGAGGGTGTAGGGTGTAATGCGCGAGGTTGCAGCAACATACGTGCCCTAAAGGAAGCGGACTGGACTCACGAAAAACACCATGCAGAATAGAAGCCCGGCAGCCATAAGGACCGCAAATAGAAACAGCCAGCCTACGTCCAGACGCGGTGGGTTCCAACATTTTCAGGGGAATTGAGAATCGTGTGGTGTGGAGGAGAATAGAGCGTAGATGCAAGGTTGGAGTGGTTATAGGGAACAAAAGAAAAGTGCAATGATCAGAAACATACGCGCAAGGAGAGAAAAAAAGGAGACGCACCAGCCCCTCCCATATCGTTAGTCTTAAGTGAGTCGTAAAAGTTACAAGCCAAGGAAGAATGCAAAAAGGCCGCCGGAGGGAGCCTTTATCTAAAGAGGGACGAGGAAATAGCCTCTGTGTTGCGGAAGAACAAGAAAGAAGGTGAAGTTGCTCGTCAGCCTCAAATCCGGCTTTGCGACGTTGCGCGCACGTGTTCGGCTTGCTAACGAATGTCACGACTCATGTCACGCTCATGTTGCCCTTGAACATTTTATTGTACTAAGTAATCGTGCCAAAACAGAGTACATAGGTCCTCTCTGGCTTTAAGGTTATGTCCACGCCTCGTATTCCAACCCCGGTCATGGGTGCTGATACGTGTCGGGTGGGGGAGGAGGGAATCCTGCCTCCGGGTATATCCCCAGGGTCATGCATGATCGTGGAAACACGGTGGGTATCATTACTCGTTCTCAGCAACGAGAGCAACAATCATCCTGCATGACGAGTCAGACGACGACAAGGATGATGAGAAGTGAAGAACGAACCGGTAGAGATAGTAGAAGAAAGATAAGAGGTAAAATGCAAGCTTGAAATATGTTTCCTTTTGGTGCCCTGACAGCGAACGGAATATCTCTGTCGCATCGTACATGTGATTCTTCTTCATCACCCTTTGCTATATGTCAGTTCCCGAATTCCAACCCATAGAGGATATCCACGCACTTGTTGACGTTAAACGCTATCAAGGGCAAATTGAAAGCAAATGCTGTCCATTGTCCGAAGAGTAAAAATAGCAGGGCCAGAAAAGCGTGGGCAGCGTATTCTGGAAGCACAAACTGAAAAAGATGATAATCTACACGTTGAACAATGTGACGAAAAGGATACGAACCTGGTTAAGTTTGTTACACAGATCTATAGGATTGATGTAGTCGCTCTCCAAGTCCGAGAACATAATGACCTGTCGAGAACAAAAGTCACTTAATGGCAACATCTTGAATGTGAAAAAACTTGGAGCTGACGAAAAAGACCATGCCGAAGAGGAGGGCCGCCGAGTAGAGAACCGCGAAGAGGAATAGCCAACCTATCATCACATACATAGATGTCAGCACCAACAGTTTGTAAGTTCAAAGTTGCGCACCTGCTGCCATAATTTCTGTAGATCAAAGAAGGTGCAAAGGATTCCCTAAGGTTTCGCTGGCTCTGAGGTCGCTGTGCGGTGTGAGTGAGGATAAGCAGGGGGCTCCACATTGTCACACGTCACGGTCATTGCTCAAGCGCGCTGGCACGACATTGACTGACAAGGAGAGAAGGGAGTATAATAGATTAAGCATCTCCTAAAGAATGGAAGACTCAAGCCCAATAGTACAAAAAGGTAGCAACAGCGTCCGTCGGCCAAAACGGAAGAAAAGTATTACAGAACCAAGCGCTGCAAGCCAACCTCCCTCAACGTCTACCGCCGCCTCGTCGGCCACCTCGTCCACGACCACCGCCTCTTCGGTTACCACCACCGCCACGCGCTTCCGATTGACGTTGTGTGTAATCTGCCGGATTGGCTCCAGGGGGCGCAACTAGAACGTGTGCGCGTGGATCCTCCTTGATCAAAGAATCTGACCGCATTTTCCTGGAAAGAAATGAATGAAAGCGGAAAATTTGTCCAGAAAAGACTCACGAGCTGCTATCTCCATCGACATCCATCAGAATATCAACGCTTCCCTCCTCCCTTACAAGACCCAACCCATCTGCGCCTCCTAGCCTAGCTCCCAGCATAGTCCCCGCAGTTGTGTTCCCCACGATCCTCACAGAAAGAGTCTTCCCATCAGCAGGTTGATTGTGGAATTTTGTGACTGCGGCAGCGGCAGAGGTGGGTGTTTTGAATGTTAACCGAATCCGCACGTCTTCATTTCCAGCGGATACCAACTTGGCGGTGGTGATGGTCCCACAGCGTTTGAAAATGGCTGCCACATCCTCTGCAGTTGTCCCACTAACTAAACCGGATACCTCGACGACGTTGCCCTGCGAGGCGGAACTGGCGCCTTTGATGGATAGTTGTTCTGCCTGTATTGAGCCTGTCGCGTCCCGAAGGGCTTTTTGTGCGATGGAGTTGATATTTGCTTTGGGGGCGCTGGGTTGATTGGATAGTCGGGCTGAGAGTGAGTTGTGCTGCTCGAAGAGATCATGGGACCAATTGGCGTCGACGTCGCCTTTGGGGATGCGGTTGTTGCGGTTCTAGAGGAGCGATGTTGGTTACTGGAGCTGCTGTGAAGAAATGGCACACACATATGGAGCAGTGGGGCGACCTGGATGAGGTTTTGAACGAATAGGGCCAGTAGAAGTAGGAACGTTCATTCGCTCGAGTAGGGACGCCATTGTAAAAATAACAAGTAAGTGAGAGACTGGCAAATGTGACTGCTGGTGTGTGTGAGTGACGGTGAGTGTCACAACGTCACGTGGGTGACTGTTGAGTGTCATAGGACCTTTCCGGTTCAACCGGCTTCATTCCGACAGGGTGATGGATTCTCCCATTTCGTACTTAAGCTTGACGTCCTTCTCAACTTCTTTTTCCCATCACGTTCCCTACAATGGCCCCTAAAATATACACAGCTAGCGTTCCCCCTGTCTCCATCCCCAACCACTCAATATTCACCCACCTCTTCTCCAACTCTCCATACCCAGGAACTACTCCTGCTTTCATTGACGCGTCCTCCGGGACAACTCTCACACGCGATCAGCTTAAGCAACTCGCGTTCTCCCTTGGATACGCCCTACGAACTCACCCGAACTTGGCTACCAAACGCGGCGACACAGTACTAATCTACTCACAGAATTCTTTGGTCTGGCCAGTTGTAATCTTTGGTTCAGGTAAGTTAATGCCATGCCAAACAACCTTTTTTAATTCCCCACCTTAAAGTTGCTGCTGGATTAAGATGCACTCTCGCCAACAGCGCCTACAACGCTAGAGAGCTTGCTTTCCAATATCAAGATAGCGGAGCGAAAACCGTGTTTTCTAGCGAAGATGGCGTCGCCACAGTCCTCGAGATGTTCAAGCAACTCGGCTTGAGCAAGAGCGAGGCGGAGAAGAGGATCGTTCTCATGCCCAACGGTCTCCAATGGGCGGGCGGGCCTGCCGTCGCCGTTAAACCCGAGTTGGCAGGACTCTTACAAGTTCCCGACTTGCTGACTCTGGGTGCTTTAAAGGAGGAAGAGAAATTTGAAGGATCCCAAGCAAATGAGACTGTATATTTATGTTACAGTTCTGGTTCGTATACTTTCTCAAAAATCTACAATGGCTCCTGACGGGTTTTTCAGGAACAACCGGCAAACCAAAGGGTGTTGAGGTGAGAACATTGACATTTCTCTATTTGAATTTACGAATTTACGTTTTGCAGACCACCCACAAGAACATGGTGTCTGTTTTAGAGATGGTGGCCGAAATTTATCCAAAGCTAACCTTTGGCGTCGACGCAATGCTTGGTATACTGCCTTTCTACCATATATACGGTACGCACCTTCTTGACAGCCCCTCAACGCTGTCCTCACCTCACATTATATATATAGGGGCTGTCAAATTGCTTCACTTTCCTTTCCTTCATGGCATCCCAGTTGCCATCATGGCTCGTTTTGACCCTGTCCAATTCTGCGCAAACATCGAGCGATACAAGATCACTCACTCCCTCATCGTTCCCCCCGTCTTGGTCGTTCTTAATCGCCATCCAGGTATGGTGCCCTTTCTTCGTCAACTTCAGATCATTGATGTCACGGTCTCTTTTAGCGGTTGATCAATACGACATGTCTACATTGGAGGTTTTGCTTTCTGGCGCTGCGCCATTAGGTGCTGCGCTAACCAAACAGGTGAAAGCCTTGCCCCGAATAGAAAAGGTAGGTCCGTACAGCTGACTCTTTCATCAAGGTTAGAGAACGTCTGTTGTCCAAGAGAAAAGCAAACAAACCTCTGTATGTCATACAAGGTGAGCAAATTACCTTCTAGGCCACCGATGCAAGGTCACTTATCGCGCATCAGGCTACGGACTGACCGAAACCTCTCCTACGACACACGTACTTCAAACTCCTTACGCCATATCAAAGATGGGAAGCATCGGTACCATGCTGCCCAACCTAGAGGCTCGACTCGTAGTTGACGGTGACGGCGATGGCAATATCGACGCAGAGGAAGGTCAACCAGGAGAACTTTGGATTCGCGGTCCATCCGTCATGAAGGTAAGCAGCATCATTGAGATAATCAAGACTGGCGACCAAAGTCATGCGGCAGGGCTATCTCAACAATGTTGCCGCAACGAAAGACGCGATCACCCCAGACAGGTGGTTCAAGACGGGCGATATAGCGACCAGAGATCCAGAGGGTTTCTACTATATCGTTGACCGCCGAAAGGAACTTATCAAATACAAGGCAAGCTGAGCGATATACTAAGGTTTTTCAGATGCTTATTTTTGTTGAGCACAGGGTTTCCAAGGTATATTCAAACAAGAGTCATTGTTTGAAGCCTCGTAATTCTGTCCAACAGTTCCTCCTGCCGAGCTAGAGAGTGTCCTATTGACGCACCCCGAAATCGCAGACGCGGCCGTTATTGGCGTCGATAGCGTCAAAGAGGCCACGGAACTTCCAAGGTCTGCCCGCCCTTCGTGATCTTGACAACTCTCTGACTTGTCTTTATTTTTTTATAGGGCGTACGTTGTTGCCGCTCATCCTGAGAACGTCAAGACCGACTCTCAGAAAGCTGCTTTTGCAGAGGGCGTCAAGAAGTGGATTCAGCAAAAGGTGGCGAGGCACAAGTATTTACGCGGAGGTACGCCCAAAGCAACCTTGACTACGCCTCAGTGCTGATGGAATATGTTGCAGGCGTCGTCGTTATTGACGCTGTCCCTAAAAGGTTGGTTATTTTTTTGTTTCGTTCCGTGGGACTCGCTGATCGTCGTCTTATAGTGCTGCTGGTAAGATTCTTCGGCGAGAATTGCGTGACCAGGCAAAAGAGGAACTCAAAGGCGTCGATCCGAGTGACAATGTCAAGGCCAAGCTTTGATCACCCCCCTCTCAGCTTTGCTTATGATATAGGCCGTCGATATTTATTTTATCATCTCAAGTGCTTGATGTTAGTTAACGTGCTTGTGGGAGACGGTAGAGCCTTTCAGTTTGTCTGGCAAAGTCCAAAGTGGGATCTATTTTAATATATGTACCGTCAATAGACAATTTTTATCGCTTTCGCTTTATCAAAAGAATGCGTAGTAGCACGCTGTACAAGAACGCACAAGGCGGTCTCGGCTGAAGCGAACCGAGCATGCTTGCTTGATTGAACCTGACGAAATAGTTAGACACTGATTGAACGAAGGCAACACATGCAAAATGAAAAGTATCAGAAGTGTCAATGTTCTGGAGCCCGCCCCGTCGACCGTAGTCTAAGGTATTCTCCCTGAAGAAATTCAAAAAATCCAACACATCATAAGAGAGAAGGTAAATGATTAATTGCTCACCACTTTGTGTTTAGAAAACTCCGATAGGGTAGAACAACAAGGTTCCAGTAAGGAAAAAATATCAGAACTGTTGAGTGCTGAATGAGAGTGAGCCCCATTGAGTTGAAGACCTGGAAAGCCAGGTCGACAATCGTATAACTGTGTCTATGAGCAACGAACTGCTCGTCCTCCGATCAAACCACTCGAGCAATAGGCACGCTCGTATCTTTGCGCACCTACGCCGTCACCGAGAGGTCAACCATTGAATCAAGCAACAGAGTGGCTGAGATGGAGCAGGGCACCCGATAAGACTTTGGCCTTGCAAATCATTCTCGCCGTCCTCGACCAGTAACCGTCGTGCTTAGAGCCGGTCGCTTTCCGTTGTGTTGGACGAGGACACGCCCTGTATCTCCGGGGACTTTCCCCACAGCGGATAGAGAGAGCTAGAAGCTCCCTGTGCGTGAGCTGCGACAACGATTCTTCAAACAGCAACAGAATTGAATGGTGAACGAAGAAAAAAAAGAGAAGAAATTTATACGGAGTAAATTTGATCTCCGCTTCAAACCATAGCCACTGCCGTTTGTGATAACGCTCTGACTCCATACTTGAACCTGACTTGCACATATTATAACTACTCTTTGACTGCTCTATTTCTTTATGTCTACTGGCCCCGCCCAACCTGCTCCTCAACAACAACAGCAACAACGAGCTCGAAAACCACCATTCGCTGACTGGCCGACGATAAAGATCCTGACTCCACCACAAGGTATCTCTTTATCAATTCTGGGGTGATGTAGCTAGTTGACTGACTAGTATCGCCTAGGACGCTTCTCTCCCAAGATAGACGAGTGGTGTCTGACTTACTGTTCGCAGACAGTCAGCGGCAGAATTCACTCCAAAGAGCCAAACTGCCATTCGCTCTGTATCCGCAAGGTCTTTCCGCACGAAGTCCGCAACGTCATTTCATACAAGAAGCATCGAAACGTGGACACAGAGGGCAAGGCCAAGTACCCTTTACCTGCGGAAGGACAATCCACGAATCTCCCGCGTTATCTGGGTGGAAATGCTGCGGACGATGCGGAGGGTCGGCCGAAGGTGGTGCCGGGAGAAACTAAATACTGGGATGAAGGGTGGTATCTCTGGACGAGCAACAGTCGATCTGCTGCCCTCCAGAAAACAAACACGATGATGCTGGATTTGGAGCGACAACAGCAGCTCGTTGCTCAGCAGGAGCAGAGGCGAGAAGTCTGGCAGGACTACCAGGAGCATTTGAAACAGGCGGGAAGCGAAGGTGGAGAGCAAAACCAATCCAATGGCGGGAAGTGGTGGGGTCCAATAGTTCCTCCGAAGGCGGTACCGGATACTAGGTACGTTTCTTTGCACTGTTTCGGCGCTGTTTCCGATCTCATTCCTACTTAGCTTGCAGTCCCTTTTAATCCCATTGCCGCCAGACTTCCCCCCGTTTTGGGATAGAATTAACAAACTGCTCGCTCCTTCCCACCAAGCGTTGGGTATCCTTCGTGACAGTATTACATCCGGCGAACAAAAGGAATTTGCGCAACGAATCTGGGACAAGGCATGGACGGACGAGCCATTGCTTTTAGCTACCCGAACATTCAGTCGCGCTTACGAACGATGGAAAGAGAGGGATACGGCAGACGAGGACGATGACAAGAAGGACTCGCACTAGACATCATACTTACAACATGGATACCTCCTCGCAGAAGGCGGGGACTTCACGAATACATTACATATAGCGGTATTTGTATCACAATTGCTTCAGATAACAAGTTAATATACAGGGCAATGCACGAAATCTAACTGTCTCTTGAGTCTTGACGACGGTGCTCCTGACGCAACGAATCATTCCAACGCGTCGTAATAATAACTCGCTCCTTCGTCTAATTTCACTTTCCTAAGTTTAAAATCGTAGCACAGCTCATGGTCATTGGAAGAAGGAAGGTGGACCACATCGAAAGTATGGTTGAGGCCAAGGCTCGCGAAAAAAATGTTATTCAAGGGAAGTCCTGCCAAGTTGCTCATCTGTGATTGGTATCGGGAATTGTTTCAAAGGTTCCCTGAAAATCTAGTTCGTGAGCATTCTGACTTGTGAAATATTAATCTTACTCTCGAATATCCCAAACATCTTCACTGCTCTTATTCAAACGTCTGCCCGCCCACCACTCAGCCCGTCTGCGAATAAAAGCCTCATACTGTTCTTCAGGATGCATGGACTTCAAAGTCAGGCAGAACTTGAAATCTTCGAGCTTGGACGCGCATTCTGGTCTTTCGCCGTACCTGTATAGTGATTTTATCTGCGAGCGAATAACTGTGGTCGTGATTCAGTGTTGGTAGTGCTGGCACTAGAATGAGTTAAAACGAACCGCTACAAGAGAGATAGGTGTCAAAGATGGAGATGCATCCTGGGATGTCGTCGGGTGTTGGATGGACGAGGCGCAAGTAAGCCTCCTCCTGTTTTATAGCCTTCTTGAGGTCAAGCTTGGACATGCGGAGAGGCTTCTGATTCAAACAAGAACATACCTACGACGGTTATACACAACCAGTCTAGCCGGTAAGCTCAGGTAAACGTAGTTTTTCCTTAATTGTTCCGTATCTTTTTTTATTTCAAATTATACTATAGCTACTACTCCGAAGATCTCGCGCGTTTACGAGGGTCCCTTCCAACCCGAGTGCTCACGACAAACTGAGCATTTCAACACTCGTTATGCCTCACGCTTTCCGAAATCAGCCCTTGAAGGGCTTATACTTGACCTACCAGTTACTATCCACCCTTTTCATCAGATTCCCTCTCTGGGTCCTGCTTGGTCTTCCAAGGGCCCTTCGTCCAAGGAAAACATGGGACTTCAAACGCTCCTTAATGGTCAACGCCATTCGCCATCTTATGTCCATTTCTAACCAGTCCGTCAAGCGCAGAATGATTCTGACTGGGTCACTGACTAATTTTTTCAAGGACTGGACCATGGACAACTATTCCCAATCACTTGGCAATCACCCAAGGTGTCGGTATTAACGGCGTCTGGGTTGAAACTGCTGCCCATCTCATTACGGGAGACCTCGAGAAATGGGCAACAGTAGCAGGCGTATCATCCGTTCGCCTTCCCGGTTACTGGGTGCACAAGAAAGGATCTTCAATCAAGGTTGCTTCGCCTCCCCTATCAGGAGAGAAGATCGTGTACGCATTACACGGTGGAGCGTACATCGGTTTTTCTGCCCACCCCAAAGACCCCACCGCCAATATTGCGCATGGGATTTTGGAGCATGTTGACGCTGTTCAACGCGTTTTCTCCATTGAGTATCGTCTCTGTGTGGGAGCTCCTTTCGAAGTCGCGCACCCTTTCCCTACAGCTCTTATCGACGCACTAACAGGGTACAACTACCTCGTAAACGTCGTAGGCTTCTCTCCCGATGATATCATCATTGAAGGGGACTCGGCCGGCGGGAACCTCACCCAAGCCCTCACTCGCTATCTGACAGAGTACCAAGACTCGGCTGAAGTTAAACTTCCTGCTCCACCCAGCGCCATTATCCTTGTCTCTCCTTGGTCTGACGTGGGCGGGTCCCACTTGAAGATTGTCAACGGATCGGCAAGGAAATTCGGAAAATCAGATTACCTTGTTACTGGTTCTACCTACGCCACGGATGCCTTTGTCGGACCACATGGGCAAGAGTTTGCCGAAACCAGCCCCTACCTTTCCCCTGCGTCTCTTCACCCTTCCCTCCACGTCGACTTCAAAAAGTTCCCCAGGACGTTTATTGTGGGAGGAGGCGCTGAGGTCCTAATCGACCAGATCAGGACACTCAAGGACAGGATGATAAAGGATCTGGGTGAAGGCGACGGTGTGGACGTATCCGAAGGAAAAGTTCATTATCACGAAGTTCCAGATGGTATCCATGATTATTTACTCTTCCCGTGGCATGAGCCAGAAAGAAGTGATACCCTAAAGAAGATCAACAAATGGGTCTCTGCTTGAGAGGATTGAGTTGGCTCGCTGATCTTATACCCAAAGCCTGATTCTTCGGAGGCTCGTGGATTTACCAACATTTCAAGGGTTCAAGTAGTAAAGTAGCACAATGTCATTTGTACACGTAACGCAAACAGTCGACGGTTCATTGCTGCAAATACGCCACGCAGAAAATCCATGCGATCAGTATTGATCACAAGAGGTTGAATACATTATATGTACATGGTCCATGACGCTCTACGAGCTGCCGTCGGGTTTGGCGTAGTAGTTGGTACCAAAAAGACTGGAATCACTGTGAACAGTATCATTGCTTTTGTAGATCGAAAGAGGGATGTCTTCCTTGTACCCATGTGCGACCCTGTTCCCACCAGTCAATGGTTCATATTCCAAGCCCAGATTTTAAAAGCGTACTTTCGAAGAGGCGCAAGGTGCACAGCTTGGTCGCTGGGATCGCCAACAGGGGTGCCAAAGTCGATTTTTTCGATAGATTCTCGGCGATATGTGCGTGGAGCAGGAACCCTTGCGCTTCGCTTCTGTGATTGGAAAAGATATCTGGAAGATTGAATCGTTTCGAAGACAAAATCGGCTAGATACGATAAGTCGCGTTAGAGGTTATTAGCAATATTTGACTTACAGAGATTGATGCTGAATGTTTTTTCGAAGAAAGAAAAAACTTAGCTTGTTCTCAATTAGACGGTCAGAATATTCCGTACCTATCCAACAGTGCTCGCCACACGCTCGTGGCCGGAGTGCCGGGCGATCTTCTATACTCTTTTGAAGGATAGGCCCACCACATGAAAATAGCAAAAAACATCATCTAAAATGTGGTCAGAGGAGTGAAGAGAAGCTCGCTATAACCTAAACGAACTTCGATGCAAATCGTAAGGGCGTCCAAACCGTTCGCAATATTCGTTTCAGTCCAAAATTCGGTCGCTACAGAAAACTCGTTCAGCAAAGTTTGCGGTTTCTCAAGATGTAAACTGACCATGAATCACTCGACCTTCCATCGCGGTAAACTGTGGCAGCGTTTAAGAACGCTGTCATGGCAGGAAAGCTTCGAGACGCACGATAAAGCCTTGATAAAACGTAAACATGACAATGAGCTTGATAGCCAAGAACTTGGCGAGCGGTCGACGTCCTTTCAATTCTTCTTTTGTCAGCTCATAGAATAGAATTAACCCATACAAGGCAATGCTGGGATGAAAATCAAGTTAGGATGCGTTTATAAAATCGTTGGATGTAGCTCGAACCTGATGCTGACGAAGTCAATGGACTCCAGGTAAGCGTTCGCGTAATGTACGTTGAAGCCCTGAGTTTCGCAAAGAACGCCGAAAGCTTCACAGATGATACCAATAAGGGAGACCGCTAATTCAGTCGTTGTAAGTTGCACAGAAGAGTGAAGCTGTTGGTCGAGCTTGCCTGGTCGAACTACCACGTATTGAAGGACAGACCACTAGCGTCATATTGGCAAAACGTTTCACCACAAAAGAACGAGAATCACCTTGACAGCATACATGAAATAAGGCTATTCAGACAAATGAAGAATCAGCATTCAACTCGAACAATGCATGGAACCGGCAAAGGACCTTGGAGGGGCGAAATCTCCAGCAACAAAGCTTGAACCAATTAAGTGCGGCTCTCTGAGGGTTAATGGGCGCTACATACTGGTATGACGAGCCGCCTCTTCTCCTTGTTAGCCATAATATGTTCATGGTCACCTTGCTTGACATCCGCAACAAACTCGATGAGGAGCAAACTGGGATGCAAGCTCATCGTCAAGGGAAATCCGGAACCACAGGGATGCAAGGGTCTTACAGGAAAGCACTGAGAGTAATGGCCTATAACAAATACGACAGCTTTAGTTTTCAAGTTCATTGACGCATTGAAATATTTCTAACCTCGTAAACTGCAGACGATGAAAATTGGATCGCTCTATTATGGAAAACAGTCTTACTCACCAACTTGTATGAATGAATAGTACGTGTAAGACCGGAAGTATCGATATGAGAAAAAAGATATTATTGAGTAGACTGGCGGCATATAGAGGATGCGTAATCTAGAATATGTGAATCAATGATCGTGCCCGCAAAACGATGGTAACCTACATTTGTCGTTGATGTCTTCGATTCGTATAATTCCTGTAAAACAAGTAGTACCATGAAGGTATTTGTACAAGATACGCGTTAACATACCTACAATGAAGCCCAATCGAGATTATCGATATAAGTATTGTCTATCAACCAGATTGAATGCCTGGAGACTGTAGAATAAGGGGAAAAAATGTACCACAATGGTGAAGACGCCGGACACTAACCAACCGATCCTATGCGCGTCCCAGTGGACTCCATGAGGTGACCAAAACGAAGACTGGTCAATTATAGCGGTGTTCTCAGACGGGCATTTCGTCATTCTTGAGGCCTGTGGGTAGTTGTCTTGGTGAGGCCGGCGAGGTCAATTCCCTCTTATATATACTGCGGAAAGAAAAACCACGTGTAGCGGAGGAAGGTTGGTTTTCCCTGGGTTTACGGAGTACTGATGATGCAAACGGCGAAATGGACTTTTTCGAGTCCCCTACTGTGCGTATACGAAGAGAACCAGTTGGCAGCTGCTTTGACTGACGCCACTTTGAGTGGTTAAGGAGGTGAATATGGAGCTGGGTCCAGCTGAAAGTGGCCCTTGACATCATTTTCCGAGCGGCAAAGCTATTCAGTCCTTGACTCATTCCGTCATGTCATCTCAGGTAGCTGACAAAGCGTTTTTGACTCGGGCCGGAGCGAACCCGGTTCTCTTTCGTCAAGCAGAGAAAACTAATTCAAGCGATGTCGACCAATACCTTTGCCTCGCTGCGTGAAGAAAGAGTAATGAATAGAGTTTGTTTTCCTTAGATGACACTTGTGCAAGCTGGCGACTCATCCTGTCCAGCTCGGGGAAAGGATGAGCGAGTTCCACGAGTGGTTCAAACAAGAATGTCGGTATAACGTTCGTAACTCTTATCTCGCATCATCGAGGTGACTGACGCCAAGTATCAGTCAACACACTCTACGAGGTACTTAATAAATGCAACAATCTCAGCATGACCGTGTGCCACATCTTAGGTGGGCGAGCAGCTTGCAGATGGCTCCTTCTCCCGTCGTGGATTGTCTTTGTCTTCGTACCTGAACACTGGGGAGCAAATGAATCAGCGTGCGTAAAATACGTTTGTGAGCCCTTTGGAAAATCTTAATCCGATGCTACGAACTCGTAGATCTGACCATGCACCACACCATTGAGGAACAACATCTTTTCCCTATCCTGGCGCAAAAGATGCCCCAATTCGCCAAGGACAAGGATGGTGCACATTTAAGTTCACACAAAGGAATTCATGATGGTCTCACATTCTGAACATCCAAGAATTTCAACCATGAGGCTGATGTCTCGCGTAGGGCTTGAAAAGCTCTCTAGCTTACTTGCCAAGTGGCGCAAAAGCCCGTCGACTTATTCACCATCAGAGATGAGAAACTGTTTGGATGGTTTTAGGGAGGTTTTATTTCGCCATTTAGATGAGGAGGTAAGCAGTTCACACAGTCGTTGGTATATGCAGTTCTTCTATCATCAACAACAGGTTGCAGACTTGCGAGGTGAAAACTTGAAGAAATACTTTACACTCGAGGAGGTAGAAAGATTTCCAGTCTAACCAGCGCACAACCTTTCGCCGCTAGGTTTCTCTTCTTTTATGTTTACCAGTTGCAAAAAAGGGTTGTGAAGCTTGCCAGTGACGCAGAAAAGTTTAACCACCTGATCAAAATCAAACAGCGGGTTGAGAGCTTTGAGGTTTAAGTCTCCTAAACCAACTTGGCTTGACTTTCATCGTCGATGGGGTGCTTTCAACCACACAAGCCCCTTCGTCGCCACTAACGGATTCGTGGCTGTCGCTGGCTTGGCATCGTGCAGGAACCAGGGAGTGTGCTCCTTCCACAAACTTTTCCCAAATACCCTTGTATAGTGACCACCAGCGATTTTCTGTCTCCTCCCATGACATACGAATGCACCAAGCCACCAAAACGGCATTTAGAACCCAGGCCACCCCGACAATATAACGTGCTGGTGCGTTCGTGTTCTGGAAACACATGATGGAGAAAGCCAGTAAGAACGTTACCATGCTAGAAGAAATATATGAATGGAAAACGAAACGGTGCCAGGAAGCAACACACCCCCACATAAGCAATGCGTACGGAAGGCTATACATAATTGAGAGTGTTTCAAGGCCGCGAGTCGGATGGTTTCTTTTAGAGAGGAACGAATACTGTGCAGATCTGATTGGAGACATACTTGAAGAAGACGCGAAAAAGAACATACCACTTCTTCAACAGTCGCACGTTCTCGGGTTTGGTGTTGGCGACATAGGAGAAGCCCAAGCATGATACTTGCAACACTAGTGACAATGGACAAGAAGCTTGCGATTTCAACAGGAGAGCCTTGGAGCGTAACGGTCGGATCGTTGCTAGGAATAGCCAAAAATGCAACATTTGCATTCAGTAGAATAGAGGCCTATGCGAAACTTTGTTAAGGGTCCAGTGGCAAACGGGGAAGAAAGAGGTACATAGACGGTATGTCCCATCCATTCTTGGTTGAGCTTGTTGAATAATTCGGTCCAGCAATGCAAGGCGGTGAGCTTATCCACCCATAATTCCTCCATCGTCATGAGATGCACGTCAGGAGCGCAGAACAAGATAGGGGATAAAATTCTGAAAAGATAGGACGTGGGCTTGCTGCTTGGGGGCCGACCATGGATTGATTGTTTTCGTGAAAGCCGTGCACCGCGTTGACCGTAGAAATTACGGAAACGATCTTCCCCTGTTATATGGTAACGTCAGTATCAGACACAGGGTCTTGAAGTAAGACCCCCAAACTAACAGAAGAGGCCCATGAATCGACCTATCGCCAGGGTGTAAGAATTGAGGATAAAGTACTTCATGCCACTGACCGACAAACCACGTGGAACAATTTTCTCCTTGATTCATGGCGGCTGAAAAGAGCGGCGTTTACAAGGAGGAATATAAGTGCAAAAGAAAAAAAGAGAACCTTTAGCGTCATTCACAATTCCCATCATGCCTCTAAGTTTTTCTGGAGTTAAATTAATCGTCGACTCCTCGGACGTGAGGAGGTCTACGATTCTCCGTCAGCGTTATAACAATCAGACTCAAAGCGATGCAAAATGCCTGTCTGAGCATCCCTGATGACATCCGTCAACAGATTCATGACTTCGGAGGTGGAGCGTATAACATTGGGAAACAATGACCAATGGTTCCTGTATATGTGTAAATAAAAATTGTTTTGAGCTTTTCAGTTTCAGAATTCACCAGTATTGACACTGCAATTGAAGTTCTGGATGTGAAGAATGAGCTGATTTGGCTTTAAGTGATGACAACGATGTGGACTCGCCGACATGAGAGGGAGACAAGTCTCCCTTGACTTCGTTCAGAAATTCGCTGACGCTATATGACTCTAACCAGAATAGCAAGCGGCTCGAATGCTGAACAAAATAATATCCACACCACCACTCGCCATCTGCATGGACAACGTCTAAAACGAGATCGACATCATTGCTCTTTTCCAAGTTACGAGACCGAACAAATTCATCAATTTGCGTGATAAATTCAGTCAGAACCCGGAAAATTTCACGATCATAGAGCCAGGCGTCCGTAACGATTCTCTGGTAGAGTGGTGGAAGTCAAATTACGTATTATTGCAAGTTTGAACCATACCTGTTCTCTATTCCAGAAAAAAGGCCCGCCTTCTGGGTGGATGAATTGCTCCCATCCCGCGGGTAGCTCACCGCTGTATTAGAGATAGACTTGAGTTCCATCTTACGTTGACACTAGAATCAACTCACTCAGAGAAATCGTGTTGCAACGGCTTTAACTTGTGACGCGGGGATTTGTCCGGATCACTACACGGGTTAAGTGAGAAATAGTGATAACGACAATAACGGTGCCACATACTACACCCACTCCCGCTTGTACCGTGGCAACTTGGATGGCATTGTGGGGTAGATGACTGCGGCTATTTCAGACTTGGATGTCAAAGATAGGTTCGTGATCATTTCGGGCGTATGATTTATGGATTGGAAATCGGCGTATTGAATGGAGTAGTTATCTGCGATATCTTCAGTCAGTGTCGTATCCGACTCTTCAGGCTCATCCGCCCAAACGCCTGTAGAAAACTCTGTCGCTCGACTGTCGAAGTTAAGAGAGTTCGAGCCAAGGTAAGCCTCATGAGTCTGTCTTGTGAAATTCAGACCAAATGGAAGGGTCGATGGTGCGACCCAACATGATTCTCCTAGTGGGACGGTCTTAGTCCCTCCATTTTTGCGGTGTGGAAGAGTTTGGCCAGAGCCCGGTCGACGCGGACGCCGCTTTATATGACCCAGAATAAAACTCCAGAATTTATTCCAAAATGATGAGGCGGAGTTCAGGATTCGGTTACGCAATAGAGCAGTTATGCGGCGAAGGAGGTGCTGTATGGTTTTGTTCGTCATGTTCGAGTCACTGACAGTGAAAGAGTGAGAAAATCTGCGTGCAGCTCATGCCAAACAGCAGGTCCACAGCAGTCGGAGATATGTCGCCCAAGCTCCACCACGTTCTCAAACAGGAAGCCCATTCTGAGTTATTCACAGCAATCCACAGCATTTGGAGGTCATGCACTGGCCGCAAAGGTCATGAGAGGCGAGTTGCTTACTAAGCAACCAGAAGGGCTTCAAGCAAGCTTCAAGTCCAAGTCGAGTCCAAGTCAACACTACTTAGTACTTTCGAGTGATTGAGGGCAACGAACAAGGCGACATCGAAGAATTCACGATTCTGATTTTGTCTTGCTAGTCTTTGGTTCCCGTCTCTCAACACTGTTCTTAAATCCTTCTAGATCTTTCAGCTCTGATTCCGAGTCTTTTGCTCTGGTCTTGTCTGCATGCCAATGCTTCGCTGTGGATATGTTGCGCTTTGTTTGACTCTGATTTAATTCTCTTTGCCCTCCGCCGTTTATGCTGTCTATGCGCTATGTTTCTGGAGGTTTGACACAACACTGAGCTACCCCCAATCTCTTGATAATGGGCAACGCATACTCGGCTCCCCGACCCACAAAGAGACGTACGACGAATCACAGTAACCCAGCTTCTGTTTCTTGCATTAGTTTAGGCTGCCTATCGGTGCACTCTTCTATCGACGGCTCGTCGCAGGACACCACTTGCCTCGTCGAGAAACAAAATGTCATCGTCAGGGAGAAAGACCAACTATTTCCCTTTGCCTACACCCCATATCCGCCCATAGTTCTCGATAAATTAGAGTACGAGAACTTTCTCCGCCAATATCCTGGTCTGTCCCAATCCCTGCACGTGGGTAACAAGCTGATCAGTAGCAGAGTACGCGCTAACATGGATTTTGGATACCCTCCGCCGAACTGATTATGAAAGGCTAGAACACAGTGGCGAAACCTTCGTAGATTATATGGGCGGCGCGCTCTATCCGGAAAGTTTGATCAGGGTTCATACCGACTTCCTCAGTCGCAACATTCTTGGGAATACACATTCGGTCAACAACAGGTACTGTTCATATAATCGCCTGTTTTATATACTGAACGCATATACACCCACCATAGTTCCAAAATGTCCCTGGATTATGCCAATAAGGCCCGCTCTGCTGTCCTCTCCTTCTTCCATGCCCCATCTGGATACACTGTTGTTTTCACCTCCAACGCAACAGCAGCGTTAAAGTTGGTGGGAGAATCGTATCCGTTTGCCAGTGACAGCAGCCTTGTGCTTGGTACCGACTCACACAATAGCGTGAGTGAATGGATGCTGACTTGTATGCGTGTTAATTTTACGCTGATGTAGGTTCATGGCATTCGGGAGTATGCGACATCTAAGGGAGCCCGAGTTTGTTACATTCCCGCCACTTCTGTTGGAGGATTCGAAGTTACAACTGCAAAGGTATTCGTCGCGTTCTTATGGCTAAAAAGGGCTATCCTCACAGCCATGGTCAGAACATTCTTCTGCGAAACCGCCCCGAACCGCGTTACCTCGCCTCTAGTCTTTTTGTGCTAACTGCACAATCCAACATTACCAATAGCAAAAATCCTCTTGCGATCGCTGAATATGCATCTCGTCTCGGGTACCATACTCTTCTGGACGCTGCCGCTCTCGTTCCGACATCAGTCTTTTCCCTCTCGGAACACCCTGTGGATGCTGTGGCTGTATCATTTTATAAAATGTTCGGCTTTCCGACCGGTGTCGGGGCGCTGATCGTCAGAAGCGCATTTTTATCAAAACTCAGAAGGCCCTGGTTTGCGGGTGGATCCGTTGATGTGGTACAGGTTCCTGGTAATATCGTTACCAGAGCACACGAACCTCACGAACAATTTGAGGTGAGGACCTCGCGGTCATATTGATTTTATGTCGCTGACAACCAGGTCATGAACAGGATGGTACTATAAACTACCTGACTCTTCCCGCGATAACGGACGGCTTGCGATTTCTCTCTGCCTATCTCCCATTTCTCCCTCTGCGTCTTTCCTCCCTTCTCCATTTTCTCATTTCCTCGCTCTCGCAAGTGTACCATGACACTACCGGTAAACCTGCTGTTCGCATCCTCTCACGAATGCCAACAACACGACTACGTTCGGTCGGTGAGCAAATGGACACGGGTTCGATTATTTCTTTGTTATTCTTAGGGGTATGTCCACCTTGATCGTATCAACCATCTTAATGATGACGGTTGACTGACCTGCTCATACAGCCATGGGGAGAAATATTGCCCAATTCTTTCATTGAATACTCGGCTTCAGTGAAGAAGATCTCGTTACGGACAGGATGTGTCTGCAATCCTGGCGGTGCGGCCGCCATCTTGGGTATTGAAGAAGACATGCGGCAACTATACCCCGGCGTAACCCTGAAGGACTTTGAGCATATAGTGGGGCGAGAACTGGGGGTCGTCAGGATCAGTCTGGGGCTTGTGAGTAATTTCCAGGACGTTTGGAAGGTGATACAGTTCGCAAAGTCTATGGCATCCGAGAGCTCTCGCCAGGATCAATGGGATGTCTGGCTTGAATCGGCCTGCCCGGAAATTATAGGCCAGGCAATCTAAGTAATTAGCCCTTCGATGGATATGTACAGTGACGAGTCTCAGGATATAAACGAGGCCCCCTTGGCCTGAACACGTGCAGTATGGGTATACGATGGAGGCAGCCGAAAATGCCCTTGAAGTCAACTTGAAGTTACTCATCATCGTCATCTTCGCCCTCGTCATCTGATACCTCTAGGCCTGCATCTCTAAGCCTGTCCTTGTCCTGTTTCCGCTTACTGGTAACCTCATCCAACAAGACCAAAAGGTCCTCTTGTTCCTTTTCTGTATCTTTACGCTTTTCTTCAGAGCTTTGGAGCGCTGAAGAGAGTGAGCTGATTTGAGTCTGAAGCTTGGAAACCTAGCAAGATGTTAATCGAGGAATAGTCCTGTAATGGATGTCATACCTCGTTAAAGCTAGTAGAGGCTGCCTCCTTCAACTTCTTTTTGAGTTGCTCAATTTCTTCAGATTGTTGGCGTATCACATCCCGTAGAGAGGCTACAAGCATTGTGGACTCTGTGTTTTGCCCTTTATTCGCAGAAAAAAAAACATCAGCCCAGAATGAGGTGTGAATGGTAAGCGGCTCGCCTGAAAAAGACAAAGACGACTGATCAGGTTCAGTCGAAAATCCACGTTGGATAGAGTCTGACGGAGAGGTTGAGAACTATTGAGTACCATGAATCCAACTGAATCTTACAGAAATTTGATTTCCAGAAATCAACAAAAGCCCAGTCGAACCAAATCTCCGCTTCATCACGATTGTTGGAATTTGTGGTGGTTGACAAAGGCAGGGTAGGATATGGCAAAACGATTGAGTCCGGACCAACCGCTTTGAATCGATCGTCTTCTCGGAAGCGTGACATTTGTCCGGTCAAATTGGCAACTCCTAACCGTCCCAGTATCGGGTATATGGTGGCCCTATAATGACATAATTATGGTTTTCTTGATGTTGAGGGCATTTAACTTGCCTGGTAATCTCGCCTGGTTCACGGTTATATTCGTAGCACACACCAAGAAGGAAAGCACAGAGACCCGGAACGATGACATCGACCTCCGACGTTTGATTAATTGCTTCCACGAGCTAACAATGCAAACTCGTTTACAAAGCTATCGATGCATATTTGGAAGACGACTCACGACTCCAAGTCCACCAGCATCCAAAAAGTCTCTCACTGCCTTTGGATCTTCCCAAAGCCATTGGACAAGAAGACAAAGGTAGCCTACAGCAAGTCTATCCCACTCCCTTGTCTCTATGTCCGAGGCATTAACCCTCGACCGAGCCAATAAAGAGAGCGATAAGTTCTCGCTGAGAATCTGAAGAAGAGATTGCGGCGGTTCATCATCTGGTTCTACATCCAGTGCATCTTGTGGTGCACCATCTGCGGGAACGAAGAAGTTCCCCGCCCCCGATTGAGGAGCGGAAGGTACATGAATGGGTATCACTCTTCGGGCAGCAGCTTTCGCACGGGGAGAAGAGCGAAGAAGATGGGAGAAAAGAAGAGTGGCGAGATGCGTCGAGATGATGTTCGCTGGATCTGGGGGGGATGCAGTATTGGGAGGCGTGATGAGTGAATGCAGGAGGGGCGTCATATGCGGTGTTGATGAGGAGCCTAATCACCTCACAATTAATGTAGGAGATGTGCGAAGAGAAGCAGAACTGACCAGCAGTTTCAGACGGAAACATGGCTTGTACTATTGCCTGCCTTACTTCCTCTTTCCGGACAAAATTCTGCAAAGTGTTTAGCCGACATATCCTCTAACGAGCATCAATGTACCTCATAGATTGTAGCAGCAGCAGTACGCAATTCAAGTCCAACTTTCGATCGGTTCGACCCGTCCAAACCATTATACTCTCCGTGAATTGCCAATTCCACAAGCGCGTCCAGTGCTGAAGCTGGCTCCAAACGGTCCCACTCTTCGCCATTGGTTTCAGGCACAGGCATATAGGGCGTCAGGATAATTTCTGACAGTGGAAAGTTGATACTGGCGGGTAGGAGGCGAAGGGCCTACATCGATGAGATAGCCATCAAACATCAGAGGGTTGAAGCGTACCTGCACTTTGAGAGGAGATGGGGCGTTGGAGGCTAGGGCGATCTCAATGAGGCATCTAGTGAATACAGAAGGTTCCTGGTCCTTATTTCTATGGGGATACACATGGAGTTAAAACGGTCTGGCACTTACATGATTGCTTTTAGAGTTGACGAGCATCCCCATGATGCCAACAACAAGCGATGCATTTGCAAGTTTTTGGTCGTCCCAAAATTGCAAAGCGAACTCTTGAGGCGCGGGCTGATCCATTTGTAACTGGGGAGGAAAAAGAAGCAGGGAACACAAAACCGGTGGTAGCGGGGTTTCTCGGAAGTAACTCTACACAAAAATGTCAACGGTAGGACAACAAACGGTCATCCTACGTCATTACCTGATTAGATGTGTTGAATCGAAGCAATCCGTCAACGCACACCAAGGCACCTTGCGCAACCACTCCACCATCCACGCCCCCCTCTTGGGTCACGATATTGAAAAGTTTCTCAAATCCTCCTTCAAAGGTAAGCAACTTCTGGATGTCAGAGCTCTGAGAAACGAGTGCTTGAGTCATTGCGATGGCCTCTATAAAGTGAATAAGTTAAAGTTGGAAAACTTCCAGAGACTCGCATGAAGGACTTGAGCACTTCTCGCGAGCGGTCATTCAAGGCTGCAGGCAAGAAGTGATACTCACCAGTTCGAACAATTTCTCGGTTGTCTTCAAGAGCAGCAGTGATGCTGCCCGGTCCGGCAGGTGCAGTTAAAAAGTAACTCTGTACTGCCTGTCGCCTGTTCTGAAGTAGAGTTGAAATGTATTGAAGAGACGCAAATCGTGTGTAGAAATTTGATTCCCGCAGTAAAGAGAAGAGAACATGTACTGTCTTTTCGTTCGCAAGAACAACATCGGTATGCTTGAAGCCAAGTGCTTTCCCTCCAGGCGTTGTGTCTTCAGTGTCACATAGGATGTTCAAAGTCTCCAAAACTGCCTTTCCGATGTCCGCATCGACTTCAGCATCATTCGCCAGCACATCCAGAAGACCTTGAAGCGCGCTATTGCCAACGTCTTCCTTACAGTCGCGCGACAGCCCCTTGAGAGCCAGAACTGCTGCTCTCCTGTCTGCCAAGAGGGTTGCGGGCGACAACCTGTCACTCAATCTCCCTACGGTATCCGCAGCCGTTTGAGGGGCTCCAGTTGGACCTCGTAGAGCGACGTAGGTTTGGGAAAAGAATTCCATGGAGTGGGGAAAAGGGTGAGCACTGAGGTACTGTGCAGCAGTGTATTACATAATTTTCGATCACATGACAATCGGGGGTGAAGTCACGGTCCCAACATGTCAGACATTGCATCAACCATGCGTCGCGCTTCCTCTGCAGTCGACTATGTTGAAGATATGGCGCAAAAACGGATCAAATATGAAACCATCTTCGCAGAACAAGCTAATGTGCTCAGATCAGACCCACCTAGGTTTGAAGCAGCTATGGCAAATGTCCAGCAGTCACCCCTGGTGGCAAAAAAGGGTCAACCCTGGCAACCCACGCAAGATAAAATTGATGAGTTTCTTGCCTACTGCGATGAACTTTGTGATTTAGTACCTCGGGACTTCAATGAGTTGAGTTTTTTACAAGGCTGCTAAGGTTTTACCATCTAACATAAGTATCCAGTCGTGTCAAAATCATGCACAGTGCTTATGGGGCCCTCATGTGCCTTGTAACCTGCAAGGTATGCCATTGTGAAAGGACTCAGTTGGCAATATTAAAGAGGTTTCATGAATTATCGTGAGTAACTGTTCAATGACCCTGTCCTGTATTCCAACTCTCATTGATGATGTTTAGGACATCTATTCCTCCCATCCAGGATGATCATGCAAACAACATTGATACAATACAGGAGGTAAGCACCATTGTGCTCAGCTATGTGGGTGCTTACTCCATTGTGCTACAGGACCATCTCATGCAGCCAAAGGAGATGGAGCAAAACAACTCAGAGACAACCAATGATTTGCCAGTGGCCTTGGCTTTGATGACACCTGTGGATCAACATCAGGCTCTTGCAAAAGATATGGATGGCTCAGCAATAAACCTGTACTTTGGTCCAAAGGCTGTAGGCAAAGGCACAAATATCACACAGCCAAGGCGCATGACTGCTGAAGAGCTGCAACTATTCCAGGATCCGGAAAATCTGCACAGGAAACAATTTGTACTCTCAGGTAAGGATGATTCTAGGATGTATGAGGTTATTGGCTACTCCAGGAAGCAGGACAGGACAGTTGAATATGATGTGCTTTTTGATGATTGTGGGGACTCTATCATGGTGAGTCCAAAAGAGATGATGGCAATGCTTGAGGACAGTCTTTACCTACCTGCTTGAATTTCATATGTCGGAAAATCTGAGAAAAACCTAGATGTGCCAATATGGTGCTCATATGTGCACATCAGGTCATCAGTATTTCAGGATGTATTTCAGCCACAGAATGTGTGTATGGGTGTGATAGACCCCCTCGCTTGGATCAGTAATTACCACTGTTGTCGGACATTTTAGTACTGAGGGTGTGTGTTAGTAGTTATTCTTTCTGGTAAAACATTGAAGCACAGAGAAGAACTTACCCTGGTTGTCAGGTTGACAAACTATGATCTGGGACCAGAATCTTTTCCAGATTTTGAGCATAACATTTAGATCTCACACCAAACAGAACATTAAATCAATGCATTCGAGCTGGGTGTGCACTACATGATGGTAGATACAAGACTGGTGTTGCCTCACTGCCAGCTCTCATAGAATCCGAATGGACCTGACCTGTTGTCTGAGCCACCTCTGATGAACGGCATCCTGAGTTCAGCGATGTTTACAGTTTGGGCTGCATCAGGAAAAAAAGTGGTTGTGACGTAGTGTGGAACACTTCTTAGCGAAAGCGTCCTCAAAGAAGTGGGACAGTCGTAGGGAGTCTGACGAATACACATTGGAATAGGGAATGGGGCATTCCCCCCGCGGAGGCACGTGAGCGTTAGATTAGTCATGCAGTAGTGTAGAGAGGGACCAGAAGGGCGAATAGAGCATCATTCCACCAGGCATCTGCATCGTCGGAAGCACTAGAGCCCATTCCACCTGGTGATGAGTGCGTGATTCGTACTTTTACACGCGCATATCTCTCGTCTTAAAACGTCCGTCCTCATATCACCGTCTTAAATCCACCGTCCCACGTCATACGTCACACCGTCAACGCCACCACGTCCAACGTCCAGCGTCTAACGGCTTTCCATCTCCGAAATCAACTCGGCCGCAAACGTGTTTCCAACGTTTCACCAAGCTCATCGTGTACCCCGCACCCATAAAGCAAGCTGGCACCCAACAATACCTGGATAACTCAGCCAAGAGTCAACGGCAGATTCGTGGCTAGAGACAGAGCCGCTACCATTACACCCTCGTCTAATACAACCTCGGGTACATCCACGCCATCTACTGAAAGTTCGCTCACGCTTTCGGACATACTAGAGCCTGCCTCTCCGTTCGAGGATCTCTTTGGATCAACGTCAAGTCCTCAACTAGGAGCCCCACAACAAACCGCACAGCTCAGCCCCGTTAAACCACCGCAGGACCTTCCACCCATTATGTCTGCCCCAGTCACCCTACGCAGCTTCAGCGGCGAAACAGACGACGATGTCCAGCCAGGCGAGTTTCTGAAGACCTTCCGCCGCTTCACAACGTCCGCCTGCATCACGGACGACGACCTCATCATCACATCCTTCGGAGACCACCTCAAGTACGGGTCCCCTGCAGACGACTGGTTCGCAGAGCTAACCAGCACGAAGCAGACGTGGAAAGAGGTAGAAACAGCGTTTTTGCAACGCTTTCCGCCCGTCGAGAAGGCTAAAAGGACGGAAACCGAGTTAGAGAGGGAGTTGTGTGAATTAAGGTTGAAGACAGAGGATTTGGGGAAGAAGGAGAAATACGCAGGCGAAGAAGTCTACACCCACGTCATATTCGCAGAAAAGGCTCTCAGCCTTGCAAAACAAGCCAAGATCAGCACGGGGTCGAATTCGATCTGGAAGGTCAGAGACGAGCTACCCGACATTATACGCCAGAAGGTCAAGGAAACGTACCCAACCTGGACCGAATTTTGTGCAGCGATCAAAAGGGTAGAAATGGCTCATATACGAGATGGGGTGAAGAAGTACCAGAAGGAGAAGGAGGAGAAGGAGAAAACGGAGGCGGCTATAGCAAGCCTACAACGCTTACACCTGCAGGGACAACGTCGCCTCCCAGCCGCACCCACATCCTCAGTATCAAACGTCAGTCAAACCCAGCAGTCATCAACCTTGGGAGGTCAACGTAACAACACGCCACAATCCAATTCAACCAACACGAATGCATACATGGGCCCGTCAAGTGGCCAAGGCAACCTGCCCCGCCCAGCTCCCTCGCCAATCACTGAAGCTGATCGAAGCGCGTTAATCCGCAGCTTGGCCCTCTACCCCATGCAACCCAACACCGAAGCAGGCATCGCAGCGTGGCACGCCCAACTCAGGGAATGGAAGGCGAAGAATGGCGAAACTGCTGAGGTTACAGTAAACACGGGGTTTCCACTACAACCAGGGGGTGAGGCCCCTGGTTCAGGGGAGTGCTACAGATGCGGAAGGGGAGGACATCGCCGCATCGACATGCGCTGCACGACTGACCAAATCAACAACAAGGAGCGCACGTTCCGCACGATATGTGGCCGCATCCTTCGAGCTGCGCCTACCTCTCGAGTCAACTTCGTCAGTGATGCAGACGATGAATTCAGCTGGCTCAACCATCAAGCCTTCAGACCCACGCCGAGCCCGGGAAATGGAGAAGGGCCGCCTGCATAGGAGTTGAGTGGGCGGCCCCGACTTTAGTAGGGCCTACAGAGGTCGACCGCCCCAGCAGTCAGAACAGTCTCAATGATGTATCTACCATGCGCCATAATTCATCACTCATTGATTTGTACACTGTTGGGGACGGAGATAAGACATGGGATACATTAAGACAAGGAGAAATGCCCTTTGTGCATTGGCTGCTCGTGCATGGACCACAAGGCGAAAAAGTTAGAGTCAAGGCGGTGTTTGATGGAGGAGCGATGGTGGGCGCTATGTGTACATCGTTCTTCAAGAAGGTCCAGCACAGACTTCTAGGCCAAACCACACCATCCAACAGACGTTTGCGTGTGGCGAATGGCACCATCGTACCCTCACACGCAGTATGGACTGGGATCCTGGAATTGGGAGGAGTTCGGGCGAAGGCAGAGTTTGAAATCTTCGATAGTGGAGGCGGCTGGGAATTCTTATTCGGGAAACCGCTACTACGTTGCTTCAAGGTGTTGCATGACTTTGATGCGGACACGGTCACCATTCGCGCTGCTCATGGACCAGTCGTATTATGCAACAGCGTCAGCCAATGTGCCCCGAAGACTCCTTTAGGCGTTAGCCTCACACTCAGTGTGGAACAGCGGGAAAACTCAGTAGGGGGCTCTTCAGGCGTGAAACCCCCTCCGAGGCAAGTTTTGCATCACGAGGTCTTAGACGTTGAAGTTCAGAATGACGAGTCGGATTGCATTTTAGGTGGTACTAACGACACGTCAACTGTAACAGGTGGGTACATCGTAAACGAAGATGAAAGTATAGTGCAGGAAGAAGAAGAGTGGTTGAAGGAGGCTGAGGAATGCGAGAGAGAGAGTATACCACAGGAGAGCCATGAAGGAGTACAAGCCACGGACCAGAAGCGGGATGAGCAGGGATCAGAGCGTTGTACAGACCAGGGGGGAGGTAACATACCCCCCTCGAGGGAAGTACAATATCAAAGTGCTGCTTCAGCAGGGGCGAGCGAAACTGACGATTTCCTTGTTGCAGTCCCTAACAGCGCCATGAAAGCCTCAGAAAGTGCCATGCCAGCCGAGAATGCCCCTATATGCCACATAAAACCGTTACAGGTGGAGCGAGAAGATCTTAGTGGGGGGAGTGACAAACCCCCCTCGAGGGGAGTACCTACCTTCCCAGTTGATCAACATAAGACCACCCCAGCTGACACGCCATGCCTTGTGTTACCAGTTGCCAATGCATCAGATGTCCAGCCAGAAGACACGATCTTCACACGCCAGACTGAGCCCTTCCTACAAGCCCGTGTAGAGAAGATATTGGAGCTTGTGCAGATAGGTGACGACATCGCAGCAGACCAACGCGAGGAAGTCAAGTCACTCATCGCTGAATTCGCTGACTGCTTCGCCTTATCACTCAGCGAGGTCAATCTCATTCCAGGCGCAGTGCACAAGCTCGACATACCCGAGAACACATCATTCCGCACAAAGATTCCACAATGCTCGTTCAACCCAGACCAACGGGCCTTTATGGAGGCAAAGGTTGACGAAATGCTGAAGGGTGGTATAATACGTCCTATACACCCAAGGGAGGTCAAATGCGTCGCGCCCTCGGTGTTGGCCCAGAAGGCGCATGAGAACACAGGCCTGTCCTCAGACGAACTCAAGCACAAGGTTAACGATGAATGCGTGAAGCACGGTCTGCCAACTGCGTTCGACCTACCACCTCGCCCACCTCCTGCTGAAAATGGACCCACAACCACGTCTCCAAAGAAATGGCGCCTGTGTCAGGACTTCGGTGAAATCAACAAAGTTACGCCCGTGGCACCAGTTCCCCAAGGAGACATACGTGCTAAGCAGCTACGGTTATCGGGCCACAGATATGTCCACATTTTCGACTTTGCAGCGGGTTTCTATGGGATTGCGGTCCACCCAGACTCCCAGCCATATATCACGTTCTATCTAGAAGGGCGTGGACACTTTGCTTATGAACGCATGCCATTCGGCGTCACTGGAGGCCCCTCAGAGTTTGGATATGTAGTAGGCGACCGAATGCACGACCTCATAGCAGATGGAACTTGCGAGAACTTCGTTGACAACGGTGGATCGGCAGCGGATTCCTTCGAGGAGGGTATAACGAAACTGCGGCGAATATTGGAACGTGTGCGTAGGGAACGCTTGTCTCTCTCCCCGGCCAAGTTCCAGGTGTTCAAGACAGAGGCTGTCTTTGCTGGAGCGCGTGTTGGACCGGGAGGCGTCAGCCCAGACTCAGCAAAACTCACAGCTGTGGTAAACTGGAAGATACCGGAAGACGCTTCGCATTTAGAAGGATTCTTGGGTCTTACAGCGTATTTCAGAGACCTGGTAAAAGGCTATGCGGCCCTTGAGAAACCTCTCCGGGATCTACTATGTGCGGTGGATATTCCGAATGGCACCAAGAAGTCAGCGTATCAGCGAATAATGAAGGCCCACAAGTTGCAGCCACACTGGACAGCAGAGCATACAGCAACCTTTGTGAACCTAAAGGCACGACTGGTCTCAGAACCGGTCCTGACGGCCCCTCAATTTGATGGCACACATTTCATTCTCACCACTGATGCATGCAAAGACGCATTCGCCGGAGTTTTGTCACAGAAAATCAAAACAACCCTTCCAGGAGGCAAGGATGTAACTCGTCTACACCCAATCGGCTTCGCATCCAAGCGAACGTCCCCGTCCGAGGAGAAATATAAACCTTTCCTTCTCGAGTTCGCCGCGCTCAAGTATTCATTCGACAAGTTTTCAGACATCGTGTATGGATACCCCGTGGAGGTGGAGACCGATTGTCAGGCCCTGCGCGACATCCTACTTAGTGATAAGCTGAGCGCGACCCATGCACGATGGAGGGATGGAGTACTGGCACACAACATTGTGGATGTTCGGCATATTCCTGGGAAGATCAATATCGCAGATGGCGTCAGTAGGCAGTACGAAGGCATGGACAAGGTTCCGGGCGATGGCAGTGAATGGACAGTCACACCGGACTGGGAGGAGATGACTGGCCTTGTTCACGACCTTTACCACATAGCCGACCTTCCTGACCTAACGACTTTGAAAGAAAGGTTCAAGAACGAACCTCTTTACCTCGATGTCATTGACGCCATCGTGGGCCTTTCATCTGAAGGCACGACGATACGGGAGCGAAAACGTGCACAGCATAGGAAGACCCAATACATGCTTGAGGACGGTAAACTCTGGTTCATTGGAGGCGGTAGTGGTGCAAGGGCACGAGCCAGGAGGGAATGCATTTCGAAGGTGGAGGCGGTTGAGCAGGCAAAACGAGAGCATGAACAAGGCGGGCACTGGCACAGGGACTCAGTGAAACTGGCACTGCTGGACCGATACCACAGCCCAAAGCTGGATGAGTCAATCATCAAAGGCATCATGGACTGCGCACGTTGCAAGAATTTCGGAAGTACACACCTACATTCCCTTCTTCAGCCGATAACCAGACGTCATCCGTTTGAGCTGCTGGTGGGGGACTACCTCTCATTGCCGGTAGGAAAAGGCGGTTACCACACTGCTGGAATTTACCTAGATACGTGCTCGCAACATGTTTGGGGTTATAAGTTCAAAACCCACGGTACTGCAACAACGACCAACCGATCTCTTGACGACATATTCCACAACTTCGCACCTCCGGAAACGTTTATGGCAGATGGAGGCAAGCACTTCAAGAACAAGGAAGTGGCTGAGAACTGTGAGCGCTGGGGGACAAAGCTGCACACAGTTGCAGCGTATTCACCTTGGGTCAATGGACTTGTTGAGGGTACTAACAAGCTTCTACTCTACGTCTTGGCTAGGTTATGCGCTCCCGAAGTAGGTGAAGATGGCTGGCAAGCAATCACCTGGGACAAGCTGCCAGCATCATGGCCGGACCACTTCGACAAAGCGATACGCATACTCAACTGGCGGATACTCCCTGCTCTCAAATTTAGCCCGAAGGAAATACTGTTGGGCTTGGTAGTGAACACGTCAAAGACACCCTTCGAGGTTAGCTGCTCCTTCTTAACCCCATCTGATGTTGATTCACACATGACCTACGCGGCGCAACAACGTCTTGATGGGTACGCGGAGGCCGTTCACCACGCAGTGCAAAGGAAAACTGCGTTCGACCGCAGGCTCAAGGCTTCAAAGACGGGAGTCATCGAATTCGAGAAAGGTCAGCTAGTACAGGTATACGACAACAAACTAGCATCCACCCTCAGGACCGAACGCAAACTAGCGCCCATGTGGTCTTCCCCACACCGAGTTGCTGAGCGCCTCCTAAACTCGTACAAGCTGGAAACTTTGGACGGCACCCCTCTTGACGGCCTGTACCACGCAAGACGCCTGCGAAGTTTCGTACCAAGAGAGGGCACATTGTTAGCGGCAGAGCAGAAGGAGCTAGAGGAAGCACTGGCCTCAGAGGCATCGAACGTTGCAACCCCAAGAGTGGAGGCGCAGGTGGAGACAGATCAGGAGGAAACGGAAGAGTCTGAGACGGAGGATTCGGAGTCGCAAGACGTGGAGGGGGAGAGTAGTGAAGGTGATCGGGAGGAGATTGGAGCCGGGTTTTTCTATGACGAAGATGAGGAGGTGACACAGGAGGAGGATGAAGAGACAGGCATAGGCGCTAGAGTGGCGGCGAGGAGACGAGGACGTCTCCATAATGGAGGGGGGCAGATGGAATAGGGAATGGGGCATTCCCCCCGTGGAGGCACGTGAGCGTTAGATTAGTCATGCAGTAGTGTAGAGAGGGACCAGAAGGGCGAATAGAGCATCATTCCACCAGGCATCTGCATCGTCGGAAGCACTAGAGCCCATTCCAACGTACAGAGGTGTGGTGACCCTTGGAGAGGTCAAGTAAGGTGACTAGATGCGCAGGATCGTAGAACGTGACAGTTCACAGTACTCGTATCCCGATCTTCACGGACAGTTCCAGTGAAGATTGCTCTAGCAGCGGTCACGACCTCTTGTAATCCACGCGTTCTCTGAGAGCTAGATGCAGCCGTTAGTAGGGCTAGTATCGAGCGATACAGAGTGGTTGGTGGTGAAAAGAAGATATATTCACCTCATGTAAAACATGAGGTGTAAGTACAATGCTTATGTAATGAAAAGTAATAACGTGTAAATAAATGAAACACAGAGAGGTGGAGCGAGAGTTGAATCTCGGGGAGTGGGAAGTATCATAAAGTAAGATGTAGAGATGGTGAGGCTTACTGTACTATCATGTTACAAAGCCCCCCACTTTCCACTTTCCGCTTAATCCCATCGTTGTTCGGGGAACGTAATGTCATCAAGGAGCTGCTTGTGCCAAGTGGGTCTTAGGCCCGCTCGCGAAATCCCGTCCATGACATCCGTGAAGTCTTGGGTGATAGGTAGATATCGTGGACGATGTTGACCCCGCTCGTTGTTCCTGATCCAGTTCTTCCACTTCTCCTTTGTACGCAGCTTCCCTTTTCCTCTAGCGATGTCATCCGCCAGCCTTCCGTAGATGTGATCCAAAGCTGCATTCCACTCGCCTGTCCAGAGCTCGAAATTGTTGTCGAAGATCTCCGCTGGCAGGAATAACCACTTTCCTGAACAACCGTTAATGCCAGTGCAGTAGCCGAGAAGCAAGTCTTTCTCCTGTTTGGAGACTGCGTCGTGAGATAGATATGAGGCATCCTGGGACGCGGAGTCGTAGAACCCCCGGTTGTGGACCGTGACTTGAATGGATGGGCCAGACATAAATTCTTCTACGAGTCGAACGCCAGTCCAGCGCCTAGCGATCCAGCTGAATTGTCCTCCTTCTCCTATAAAAGCTTGTGCATGAGGGCGGCAAAGCAAATCATTCATTCTTGCTAAATAGAGGGTGCAGAAAGTCGCCATGTTCTCCGCCGGGGATAGATTTGGTTCTTGAAATCCCGCGGTGTATAGAGACGAAGCTGAGGTGCGGTCGAGACTGTCGACAATGATTGGCCGGAATTGTCGCAGGCGGTCCTGTGGTAACGCTAAATAAAACTTGAGGCCGTGTTCGATAGCTGTGGACAGAAGTCGATGTATGGTCCCTATGGTATCCCAACAGTTAGCCCAGTACCTGAGCCGAGCTTCACTTTCAATGTCTGGGATGAAGATGTACGCTGTCTCTAGGAAGTCTGCATTCCATGCAAAGCCCGGTGCAAACCATGTGCTTTCGGTGTACGTGATCTTCGCGGATTCGTCCTTCAACATTCTTCTGAACATGACTTCTGGCCTTTCATGCGATACAAAGAAAGGGTCTGACAGGCGTGCCGGTGATTGAGAGCGACGGTAAGGGGAAGGATCGATTCCACGCGCTGCTCGAGCTTCTGAGGTTTGACGTCGAGATTGCTCGAGTTTTTTCACGTTGAACCGAATCCACGCTGCGGGACTGTTCACGGCGCGGGGGTGGTAGAGAACTTCCGGAACTTCGACAAACCTAACGAACAGAAGATCCTCATCCGTAGAACCGCTGCATGAGTCTGCGGACATATCGTCGGTACGTATGTCACTTGAGACGCGGTCTTGAAGGGATCGATTTCCGCCTAGACGTTCAAGAAGGGAGGGGCTCTGGCGATTATGCCGTGAGGTGATGAGACCTGTTTCTCGGTCGTACGTTGTCCCGGTTCTGGGGGCGTAGTCGAATTGGAACTCTTCACGAATTAGATATGCAATTTCTTCTCCTGGTAGGTGCGCCTTGTATCGCCTTCTCAGATATTCGTCGCATGGCAGCCTTTTCCTCCATCTCCAGAATACGACAGTCTTGTACTCCTTGTCCCCGTCCTCCTCTAGGACTTTGTAGTGGTAGAATTTCGTGAGGCTGGCGAGCGTTGCGTCGTCTCGTTTAACGGGTCGCCTCTTCCACCCTTCGAAGTCAATGATAAAGGCTGAATAGGTGTGGAGGATGGGTGCCTCGTCCGTCCCTTGGTACGCAAATATCTCTTGAAAGAAGTGGTCTAACGTGGTCGCTTGACGAGCGATCTTGTTGATGTCTGCTTCTTCGAGGTCTGGAATTAGGGTTAGTGGCGTCCCCTGTCGTACTGCCCAGTAGGTCATGTTCAGGCTGGGATTGAGACAGCTGAACCTTTCATCGGAACGTGCTTCAAAATCCCATAAGTAAAAGAAGGGGATGTCGTGTTGAAGGTACAGAGGGATGTTAATCGTCTGCCAATCCCTATCCAAGTCGCAAATCACGCCTCTCCTAGTTTTAACGGTGGAAAGGATTGATGATACTTGATGGACGACTGAGTCTGCGAGGTCCTTCTCCCAATTGACAATGATTGTGGTCCACCAGGCTAGCCATCTGATAGAGTGAAGGGCGGATCGTTTCGCCTTTGCCGCGTTAATCTGAACGAGCTTCTGCGTGGGGTAGATTTTGGCTAAACGTTCCGTGGGGAACACGCCTGGAACTGTCATGCGGCGAGATACGCGTTCATCGAAATCGACAATGTAACGGATACATGCCTGGACTTGAGTGAGATCGAGTGAATATTCTCGACGCTGGATTTCCGCCATTGACCAACCTCCATCCCGTTCTTCAACCGGTACTGCGGTTTCGAGAAGATCGTACCAAGGGTGTTGTTGCGCGATGAATGACGTTGGTGTCCAAGGGGCCCATTGTTCTTCGAATCGGTACCAATCGGGGTCCCTGGTGTTGTCAAAGGGTAAGATTTGGCCTGAATCTGAGAAGTCGTCTGCGCTCCACCCTGGATCAGGTAGATTTCTGAAAATTATCGCGGAATCTGGGATAAGCGATGTGTCGGAATTCAGACCTACCCAAATCGCGTCGGTGTCTGCTCTAACCGTCGTGGTAGCAAGGGGGTTCAAGTGGTGAATTAAAGACTCCATGTAGGCTAGATCAAGCAGGACAGTCCACTGCGAGATATGCCGTCCGCCTACTGTTACTCGTGGACAGTCCCTCTGAATGACAGTAGAGGCAGGAAGGTGAAGGGGTGTAAGGCTGGAACAGAACACCAGTTTTGAATAGGAACGTGGCCTTGATTGATGAGATGATCGGATTGGAATGATCAACGCGGAAGCAATGCGTTTTCATTCCTCCAACTGAGAAAAAAAAGATTAAGTAGTCGAAATATAGATAAGAGTGAAAGAATACGAAAAAGAAATGAGGCATAGGTTAGGTACAATGCGTGTGCTTCAAAGGTTGTGTTCTGAACGATACTCTTTCAAAATGAGCGGCGAATTCTTGAGATCGGTGGCTGTGGCCCAGGTGTCGAATTGCGGCCCGTAGTCCGCCCATCGAACCAAGTATCTCAAGGCTGCCTTCTTGCCAATCCGCTTATGCCCTACGATCCTCTCTACTTCGAACTCCTTGGATTCGGGTTTCCGTAGGAAGGAGTCCGGCAGGACGGCTCTGTTTTGGTAAGTTGTGTCGGTCTCGTACTTTTTCAAATGTTGCACGTTGATGATGGGTGACCCCAGATAGTTATCGCCCATTCTTAGACGATAAACGTTCGGGTTGATTTTCTGGAGGATCTCGAATGGGCCAATCCATCGTGTCGTAAGTTTAGCTCCCTCCCCTTTAGCTTCTGACCATTCTAAAGAGTGTGGATTTACTAGGACTTTATCTCCTTCCTTGAGGTCAAGCGCCCTACGTCCTTTGTTATGCTCGCGGGCTTGGTGGTGCTGCGCATGTGCTATTGCCTGCCTAGCGCTATCCCTGTGCATCTGTAGGTGAGCGAGCCACTCTTCTGAGTTTGTTCTTGTGACTTCCTTCCCTCTGGTGTCTTTAGGAATCAAGAAGTCAACCGGCGTTCGTGGCTCAAAACCAAACATGAGGAAGTTCGGGGTCGCGCTCGTGGACGAATGTATGCTCGAGTTGTATGCCCATTCGAGCAGAGGTAGCCATAGCGCCCATGTTTCCTTGTGGTTTGCTGTAAAGGCCCGGATCATGACTTCGAGGAATCGATTAACTATTTCGGTCTGGCCGTCGTGTTGCGGGTGATGGGATGAGGATAAGGACATCTTAGTGCGTAAGTGTTTCACTACCCCTTTCCAAAAGTCTGATGTCCAACGGGGGTCGCGATCGCAGATTATACTCTCGGGTAGGCCGAAACGACATGCTATTTTCTTGACGAAGAGAGCCCCAAAGTCCTCTGCATCTAGACCGGTCGTCGTCGGTGTGAAGGTCCCATGTTTTGTGAGTCTGTCCACTGTTACGTGGATAGCGTTATAGCCTTCGGACCAGGGTAAGTTCACTATAAAATCCATTGAAATTGATTGATAAGGGCGGGATGGTATCGGGTTTGGAATCAAGTATCCGTACTTGTTGAAGTTCGGGTGCTTGACCTTTTGACATATGTCGCAAGTCTGCACAAATCTTACGATGTCAGTTTTCATCCTTTTCCAGTAGAACCGTCCGCTGAGCTTTTGCCATAGTTTCTCCAGACCTTGATGGGCGCCTTCGTACGCTTGCTCGTGTGTTTCTTCCAACAATAATCTCCGTTTTTCTAGGGGAACGCATAATCACGGTTGATAGTCTGCGTCCCTGAAAAAGAGGAGCCCGTCGGGGTCTCTGAAGAATCGGTGGCCAGGTGTCCAGTTCTCGACTAGTGATTTCGGATCCTTCCATATTTTAACTAGGTGTGGATCGTTTTGATATGCTTCTATCCAATCCCTCTTGACGTTTTCGTCTAAGTGGACTAGGACATTGGGAGGGGGGTTTGTAGCACCCCAATACACGTCCGATAGATCTGAACCTGCCTCGTCCGCTTCTGTTGGCTCCTTGTTTGTCCTCCCAGCTGGTACATTAATGTTACCTGTCGGAACTTTGTCTTTTTGCCTAGAGCTTCGCATATTGACCGACGCTTCCTTAATCTCCTGTAGGCAGTCGTGAATGCTGAAGGCCATAAATGCCGCTTTGCCCATGGAAGGGTTGGAGGAAAAATCTACATGGATAGGGTTCATCTCGAGAGCTGTGGAGTCGTCCCTTGCTGGGGAATCCTGAGGAGGCGGTGCGCGATACAGCCTAGAGAGAGGATCAACGTTAGAATGTTTCCTTCCTGGCCGGTGTACGATTGAAAGATGAGGTGCGTAGGCTGAAAAGACCGTCCCCCATGCCGCTAACCTGCGATTAGAATTCTCATAAGTCTTTGCCCATTGCAGCGCAGCGTGATCGGTAATCAAAGTCACTTTCTCCCCCTCGATAAATGGCTGAAATTTCACTAAGCCTTCTTTAGCTCCCAGAGCCTCACGCTCAGTTGTAGAATATCGTGTTTCAGCCGATTTGAAGGTACGTGACCAGTAGGCGATCACGCGTTCAATGTAGACTACAGTGTCTTCGAAGTTTTCAGCCCAATCTTCTGCCACCAGTCCGTCCTTTAAGGATGAAGGTAGTTGTACTATTAAACTAGGCGGCTTCTTCCCAGCCTTATGGGCTTTCTCCAATTGCGAGTAAAGCCTCATCCCTCTTAGATCCTTTATCATTATTGGCTGGATCTGCTGGAGTGCACATCCCAACGCTTCGTCCGATGCGTCAGTGTATAGCCGATAGGGTAAGCCTTCTATTGGATGTCCTAGCACTGGAGCTTCCTGCAACGCTGACTTAATTGACTCGAAGGCTGTCTCGCATTCTGCTGTCCAAGACCATTTCGCTCCCTTCCATAAGAGCTGGAACAATGGATAACAACGATCGGAATAATAGGGAATAAAGGCTGAAAAGTAGACGGCCATGCCCAGAAATGTTTGGAGCTGGGACAACTTGGATGGTTGTTGGAGATCGAGTATTGCACAGACTTTCTCAGCGTGGGTCGACAACCCTAAACGCGACACCTTATGACCGAGTAGAAGGATGGAGGAATAAAAGAGATGGCATTTTACGGGGGATAGGGTGATTCCTGAACGTTCAATGGCTTCCAATACCTTGTCTAGATGGTCGATGTGATCCTCGTATGTCTTAGAGTAGATCACAATATCGTCTATGTAAACCAAGCAAAAAATCCACAAGTAGGGGGCTAGAATACCCTGCATTACTCGTTGGAAGATGGAAGGACCGTTTCGCAAACCAAACGGCATCCTTTTAAATTGAAAAAGACCCCTATGTGTTCTGAAAGCAGTTTTTTCGACATCATCTTCGTGCATTTCTAACTGAGTAAAACCCGATAGGGCATCCAAAGAAGATAAGACTTGGGCGCCTGACAACGACGATAGAATTTCGGACTGTCTCGGAATAGGGAATTCGTCTGGTGTGGTTGCGGTGTTGAGCTTCTGGTAGTCGACGCAAAAACGAGGTTTACCGTTCTGGTAGGCGATAACCACGGGGGCACTCCAGGGGCTTTTCGAAGGCTCTATGACGTCTAGCTCGAACCACTTATCTAATTGCTCATCCATGACAGCTCTTTTCGCAGGTGACGAACCATACATCGGCACTGCAATGGGGACTTGACCATCAACGGTTCTTATGTGTACTTTGCTTGGATGGTGGCCTAGTCGACCATCAAACCCGAATGCCCGTTGGCGTCGTTTCAGCATTTCCCAAGCTCTTTCTCTTAGATGCTCTGGCAGAGAGCCTACATCTAACCATTCCTCCATTTTTTCAGAGGGTATGTCGTGAGTGTACCTACCACTTTTATGATAAACCTGGCATTGC